AGAATAACAAAATCAACAGGATATGTGAATGCACCTACATTAACAAGCAGATCCTCTATGATCCCCCTTGGATGCACAATGGAACGATCAGCTAGCCGAATGCTCATCCTAGTAGGGCTAAGTTCACCTAGGTCTAGCTTTTTATACAACTTATATGGCATGACATTTATGCTAGCGCCTAGGTCCGCCAAGGACTTGCCTACATGCATGCTGCCAATAGTAAGAGGGATAGTAAAACTCCCTGGGTCCTTGCGCTTTTCGGGCAGCTTGTTCTGCAGGATATCAGAACACTCCTCGCTCAGCAGTACTGTCGAGAGATCCCCAAGTTTCTTCTTGTTGGTGAGGAGATCTTTCATGAACTTTGTGTACTTGGGCATCTTCGACAGTGCCTCCACAAACGGTATGTTGATGTTGAGCTGCTTCAACATTGCCATAAACTTGGAAAACTCAGTCTCCAGCTTGTCTTTGTGTAGGCGAGTGGGGAAGGGAAGCTGGGGCACATGCTCCTTAACCACTGGTTGTGGCTTGGGAGCAGGGGCTTCCTTCTCCACCCGCACTTCTGCATCGTCGGCTGGAAGTGCTGAAGCAGGTAGTGGTTCCTACTGCCTGGCCAGGGCAGGATCAGCGGAGATGGTCTTGCTACTCCTGGTAAAAATGGCATCCAGCTGCTGGTGCGGCTCCCGTGGATTGGGGATGGTGGTGGCAGGTAGAGTCCCCGGTGCCCTGGTGTTGTTATGGCGGGCTATTCCTCCAATATGATGTTGGAGGTCCTGCAGTATAGCACCTTGGTTCCTCTGACCTGCCTCCAGCTAGGCGATGCTCTGGTCTATCCTAGCGAAATTTACCTGGCTAGTAGTCATGAATGCCGCTAAAATGTTTTTCAGCTCCGTCATCTGATTATCTGGAGCTGGAGCTACTGCTGGCTCGGCATACTTACGCTGGGGCTGCTGGAATGGCTGCCCCTGCCTAGGCTGGTAGGGCTGTTGCGGTGGAACTGGCCCCTGTCTGGCCTGGAAAGGCTGCCTCTACTGAAAACCACCTGTTGGCTCTGGGAAACCAGGTGGTTTAGTGGAGTTACTACTCCAAGCGAAGTTGGGATGCTGGCGCCACTCCTCATTGTATGTGTTACTGTATGGATCGAGGCGCCGCGCATTGGCGATGAAGGCCAACTGCTCCTGGGGTGTAGAGGACTCCCGCATAGCCTAGCAGTCCTCCACCAGATGATTCGAGCTCTCACACCACTGACATTGAGCTACTAGAAGTGTAGCCAAACCTCGGCCCGGAATAAGATTGTTGGGCTGCTTCAATGTCTGCACTAACTCGGCCACCTGCTGCTCGAGCCCGGATCTGGTCTCCATGGCGTGTACACCACGGTCCCGGGAATGCCTACCTCTGCTGCTCTGCCCCCAGGAATAATCTCTGGCAGCCAAGGTACTTATCATCTGGTTCAGTTCGGGTGGAGTCTTAGTAAGAATATCCCCTCCTAGGCATAGAGACTCAATCACCCTCTGGCTGTCCGGAGAGAGGGCACTGTAGAAGTTCCCCACTCTGAATGCATCACTGAAACCATGATGGGGACACTGCCAGAAATATCCCATGTACTGCTCCCATGCATCATGAAGTGACTCGTCTGGCTCTTGGCGGAAGTGAGTGATCTCCCGCTGGATCTCTGTGGTCTTCGATGTTGGGTAGTACCTGTGCACAAACTTGTCAGCCAAATCATCCCAAGAAGTGATGGACAATGGGGGCTGGGTCTCCAGCCACCTCTTAGTATTCCCCGCCAGAGAATGGGGGAAGAGGTGAAGGCGGATTGCGTCATCAGGGACACCGTTTAGCTTGAACCTGTTCATCAGCTGCAGAAAACGGGAAAGATGCACCCTTTCCTCCTCATCCTTCAAGCCATGGAACTGGATAGAGGATGTAATGAGTTGAATCCAGCATGGCTTGATCTTGAAGTTGTTTGCTGGAATGGGCGGATAGAGGATGACCGGGCGGATGTCAGCAATCCGTGGAGTGTAGTAGTACTCCAAGGTGGGACCCGATGGTGGTGGGTGATGATGAACCCCATCTGCCTGGGGTATGGGGTTGTTCCCCAAGACCTGATTTACCGGGGGAGCCTGGTGAGGATTCCCCTGGTGTGGATTGTAATCTCCTTCCATCTCGTACTCGTCCTCGGACTCGCTGCTCAAATGGTCGTCTATGCGCTCTTCCGTAGCCAGTCTAGCTCGCTGTTGTCTCCTGAGTTGGCGACAGGTGCGTTCAATCTCTGGATTCAACGGCAGTAAACCTCCCGACTGGCTACGGGTCATGCACTACCTGCACACACTCAAGCAAGCAAACCCGTGAAGGCACAAGTGGGAAAGAACAAACAATCAATGCAAAAACGAAAATGCTAAAGTAACAGAAATCACTTTTCTTCAACAACCTAGCCGTCCCCGGCAATGGCGCCAAAAAATTGACTCACTCCTACTGTCACTCTAGAAATTGGCCAAGTGTAACCACTTCCTAAAGCGTAGTATAGCGGGTTTGGGTTTTAATGTCAACCCGGGTCCTAGATTTGATGACTACTTGGTGAATTCTTGTTATCTAGCAGTGAAACTTTAGTGCAATCCAAATTAACAAACAAACAAAGCAAGTTAAAAGGTTGTTTTCAAGTCGAGAGAGGTCACCCGGATATGGTTCCCCCTAGACTGCAGTTAAGCCGGATTGCAATTACCAAGTTCAGTTTCCATGAAAGTCATACTGCGGAAGGTTCTTAAACAGTCTGAAGTCTCGACTAAAGGTCTCCAGACCCTCTCAATCATCATCAACCGTGGTTTTCATCCAACCACAACACTCAATCGTAGATGCGAGCTAAGTCTACCCAATTCCAAGGGTTGGGGGTAAGTGCAGGCTCTTTCTATGTTTATGTGAATTAATATGATCACGAATCAAACAATTTCCATTTCTCCTTTCCATCACAAACCATCCAGAATCAATGCAGTCCCACTGATTAACCGGTCGATACATATTTCCCGGCAATTATAAACTCGACGTTTTTCATAAACAACCATTCCATCACCCAATATCAAATCACACAAATCATCTCATCCTCCAGTAAAGTAACTCATCAGTTCCATATCATAATTCCTTATCCAAAATTCATTAACAATTTCACAAAATAACCTCGATGCAAATAACCGTAAATAAACCTAATTTGGGGTTAAAAATGCTTTTAACACTAAATTCACTTCCCTCCATTAAAATCATCCCAAAATCCATGTAGGTGAATTTATTGACACAAGAATCCATTTAATCCAATTCCGATTATAAAAAGAGATTAAACAATAAAATCTAAAAAAATCTCATATTAACCGTAATTTTAGGATAACTTAAATTCCAACAAAACGGTAACTTCAAAAATCTCACAAAAATACTAGAACGTCCATTTAACATCCTAAAATAGGTATGTCTAATTTTTATAGTTTTCAACATCTCAAAACCAGGACAACAATATTACATTCGGTCTTTACCGCAAAATCTCGTATTAAGCTCGTTTTCACCATTTTAAGGATAAAAACTCCACCAGCTACCTAATCTCTCATTTTAACACCAATATCAATTTAAAAATCCAAACTAGATATTTAAAAGTCATCAAAATCTTAATGATACATAAAAACACGTTTTGGCCGATATTTTTGTAAAATTCACTATTATAAAGTTTTTAACCCAAAATCTATTTCCAAGTGAAATCTTCACTAAAATATGACCAAATATCATTTTAAATATACAAAATTCCTTTGATCAGTTTTAAGCTCATTAATCCCAACTATCCATTTTTAGTGTGTAACTTGTCAAATACAAATATGTATATCGTAAAATCCAAAACAATTAAGAAAAATTATCAAATCATCAAATCAGCCAACAAGTCATCACCCACAGTATTCCATCCATCTAATTATCCAAATAACAGAAATAATCGATGCAATAATAAAGATTCACTTAATTCGCTCAAACCTCAAGTTAGCCGATTCTTTCCCATAACCCCTCAAGTTAGTCGATTCCAAGTCGGGAATTAAGTTCTAAAATTCCAGTGAATGCCTCCTAAAAATTCTCCTCATTCTTACGATCGTGTAGGCCCAAATGGTTTGCCATTTGGATGTCAATCGAAGAAACTGCGAGCCGACTACGATTAGTATGGAAAATTACAGAATGGTACCCTATATTTTTTAACTGTCAGAAATAATTCTAGAACTAATAAACCGTACAATTACACATACAAACTTCCTAACCTCGTTTCTCCCTCATTTGAGCTCGGAATTCAGTTCTGTCGAATCCATGATGTTCCTGGAGATGATCCCTACACATCGGTACCAAGCTTCCGAATTATTGTCGCAATTGATGATGCTGACGCCGACGTCGGGATGACTCTGATGAAGCTACGATGAGCTATATCGATCACCTCACTCGATTTTAATTCATAAGAATGATTTTTGGGTGCCCTAATACCCCAGAGCGACTCTCAGAATTCTTTTCCCCCTTTCCCTCTCGTTCCCCTTTTTCTTTCTTGACTTCCCCTTTTAGTGCAACCAAACACAGAAACGGAGGGATTAGGAAAGAGCAGAATCCTTATACGTCATAAATTCTGTCCCAAGGGCTCCCTCTCTCGTCCATTACTAAACAAACGACAACACTAATGGTGAAGATCACCTTTCAATATGCAGTTTAGCCACGGTAATAGAGGATCCAATTTCCAACATCTCACTGCTTGAAAGATACACATCCGAAGCTCGGCTCGACGCGTCCAGGAAGTGTTCGGTGCTATGTTAAGATGCTGCCTCTTTAATTGAAACGATGACGTAAAAGGTTAAGTCTAGTTGGTTGCTTACACAAGAGACGTAGTATTAATCATTAACTATGTCGGAGAGCTTTGTGCATACAAAAATATGTGTGGCCTAGCAGTTAATTTGTTGGGTTAAACTTAAAAAATGCAGATCCATGGTTCAAATCTAGGTTCTTCAAAATTTTGCACAATTTCATTTCCTTTTAATTTTAAAGCATATATATACTCATAATAATCAATATCTATGATTATTATTATTATTATTATTGCTTCCCGTTACATCTTCTCTTGTCGACGACCTAAATTCCACGACATAGAATCTCCATTGTAATTTTTGTAAAAGAAGTTCATTTTCCCTTTTTAAATTTACAATTCTAACCATGTAAACTCGTTGTTTGGTTTAATACGATTGTGTTTATTTCATATGTGTGATGTCTGATTTCATATATTTCTTTATTTTTCAATTCGATGAGATCTTAAGTCCATCTTGCACTCCTTCGAGGAGCAAGTATATAAATCCAAGTCGTTTTGGATGGAAATAGATATAGCAGTCATGCTCGATTTAACGACGTGATGCCTCAAGGGAGAAATATGAAGGGTTCTTGTCTCCATCTAGTTTGGGTAAATGCTTCGACACAAGGTGGGATCTAATGAAATAAGAAATCGGCAGCTCGTATGTGCTAGAAGTCGAGGGTGTGATCCAAGGTTACCAGATGATGCGCTTATACAATTTTGCCTAGTCGGGTATATTGGCATCTTTACTCGCCACGTTGTACGTACATCGTTGTTCAATAATAATATGCGCATCAGGATTGTACAACGTTTTCACCCCATGTTCTTGAGGCATTTGAGGCGTTTACGTCGCTTGAGGTTCGATTTTACGCTAGGTTGTGCATGTTTCCAGCATGTTTCAGGTGATATTGACTTTGGGAGAAAAATTTGAACGAAAGTGGGCGAAAGCGGATCGAAGGAAGTAAAAATCCGAGGATCACGGTGGAAGCACGATTATCATGGTTAGGCCGATTGTGATAAAGAGGCCCATACCGTGAAGTGCAAGGAGACTTGAGCAATTTTTGTGCCTCGCAGGCCTAAATAACATCACGGTCGCGAGACTGTGATAACCTTGATAATCTCCTAGAGACCGTGAAGACCTTTAATTAATAAAACGACAAAATTTTGTATGAGATCAAGGTCTGAACTTCTAGAAGCGATCGTGCTCTGAGACCGTGACAAGCATGCGATCTGGGTATAAAAGGACACTACAACAGATTTGGCCTATTAGGACAAAAAATTTATTTTGTCATTTTTTATTTGTCACAATAGGTACGGTGATATGAAAAAAATAATATATGTCCTATTTGGTATGTCTAATGTGACAAAAAAAATTGTTGTCAGAATAATTCGTCATTTAAAGTGAGTGATGTGACAAATATTTTGTGTCATAATTAAATTTGTCACAATAGGCATCCCATATCGGAATGTAAGATACAGAAAAGTGACAAATTATATCGTGAGAATAGCTTTTGTCATATTATGTCTTCCTAAATTGTTTAAATGACAAAATATTTTGTCACAATAGATAGAAATAATCCCACGAGGAGCTGTCAAAAGGACGTGTTCGTCATAATATAGTGGTTCCGGCTTTGACAAAAGACATGTTCGTCATAATATAGTGGTTTCATTTTTGACAAAAGGCATTTTCGTCATATTTGCTTGTGTTCAGCATAAAAAAACAAAAAAAAACATCACCACACAATAAAAATTTCAGTCCCGCCCAATTTTAACTGTCCCCTAAAAATTTATGGCTCCAATATTTAATCGCCCATTTGAAAAAAAATTATGGCTCAAAAATTTCCTTTTCTGCCAAAACTTTCCCCATAAAAATTTGAAAATTCTCCCTTCTCACCATTAAAAAAATCACCTAACCCTAAAATTCTAACTGAAACGTCCGCCCCTCGTCCCTCTTTTATCTCACCCCATTTACTCTTTCTTCCCCTTTTAAACTTCCCTTCTTTTCTCCCCTTCTTTGTTCTCTCCAAAAAACGACCCTTCACCTACTCCTTACACTCAAAGAAGACGAAGCTTTCATCTCTTCCTTCCTCTCTCAAAAAGACCGCCGCTAGCTGCCTCCTCTTGCGATAACCAGCGATGCTGGCAGAGAGATTGAGAGGGCAATGATTGCCGATATCCGGCGACGATGGCAGAGAGATCAAGAGGTAAGGGGTGGATAGATCGAGAGGCGATGGGCAGAGAGATTGACATGCGACGATGGCGCCGAGCTCAAGAGGTGATGGGCGGATCGAGAGCCCGTGATGGAGGAGAGTTCCGGTGAGAGCATTGATTGGACCAGTCTTGTTTAAAAAAAATTTTTTTGTAGGTTTTGCTTCGGCAAATGAAGGGGTTTCCGCGAGGTGGGGGCTGATGGTGAGGCTGCGGATGTAGGAGGAGAAGGTGCCCGAGACAAAGATTGACGAGTCTAAGGCCGAGAATGACAAGTCTAAGGCTAGTTGGAGATCAACGAGTAAAAGGTTCGGTGCGAGACTAGCGGCCACGGTGGGAGAAGGATTAGGATGCATGCGTTTTTTTTCTTCTTCTTGTGTTTGTTACTTTCTGGGGGTTCCAATTCTGGGTTTGAGGAGGAGAAGGAGCAATTCTGGATTTGGTTGGTTTGGAAGGGTTTCAATTGCTGGGTTAGCAAAGCTTTTCTGGGTTTGCGAAACTTTTCTAGGTTTGTGAAAATTTTATAGGATTGTGAATGATTTTATGGGTTTGTGAATAAAGAACAAATTGTGATAACGAAGCTTTGCTAGATTTGTGATTTCCTTTTTATGAATTTGGATTTGCGAGTTGGGCACAATCGATGGAAAATAAATATCCTTGTCTACACTTATGACAAAATGCAGTCGTCACAATATACAGTTATGACAAAATATAATCGTGTAATATGACAAACAATTCTCTCAAAATCACCAGATTATGACAACTGTAATGACAAAATATGTCGTCATAACATCTCTGTTTGTCACAATAGACTACCCAGAACCTCAGTTATACTAAAAGCAAATGTGACAACCTTGTTTTAAATTTTTGTCACATTTGACCTATCCTGACGACGATAAAATGACAAACCTTTGTGACAACACCTTTTGTCATATTATAGCTAATATGACAAAATGAGTATCTAATATGACAAATTTGTTTTGTCATAATAGGCCAAATTTGTTGTAGTGGGAGGATGGAGCTGAAACCAAAGGGAGAGAGCCTATTGAGAGAATACCTTTTCTTCCTAAGATTTTAGAGAGAGAAATGATAAACCAAGAGAGAAGATTGGTGATTATCACCTTCCTAAGGTGATTTCTACAATAAGGAAGGAAGTCACAAGCCACATCCAATGTTCAAGAAGACTCTAGGCGTCAACTAGGCGGAGAGGCACCACTCAGCGCCCAGGGCGATTAATCCTCGCCTAGACGAGATTAAACGTGGAAAAAAATCAAACTAAGAAGCCCTTAATCCACCATACTAATGCCTACAAATCTCCATCCAACATACCATTACCCCTTTTTCACTTAAATCAATAGCATACCCTACTACCCTTTATCATTAATTCATTATTTATCAACCCACCAAACGAGAGAGGGAAGGACGAGTGAGTCACAAACTTTCACCAACTAGATGATGGTGATAGTGATGATAACTATGGAGACCGGCGACGACAACTTTGGAGGAAGACTGTGCGATGGCGGCGAGGACGAGGCGCATCGTGATGGCGGAAAGGACAAGGTGCACTGCGATGGCGGCGAGGACGAGGCGCAATAGATGCTTGCGACGACCACCCAATGCGATGCTGGAGACGGCAACGACAGTCTGCTGTAGAGGAGGGACGATCGCGACGGCTAGAGAGGAGGGAAAGCTACGACGCGTGATTGCTGTGGAAGAGGGAGAGGTGCTCGTCTGCTACCCGATTGGAAATGAAAGGGATTAGGATTTTTTTGGGCCAAACACAACAACATCTCCTCCCCCTTCTCCTGCTCTAGGCGTCACCAATAGCTAGGAATCGCGACTTTGAGCTACTAATCGCCGCCTCGGCGTTTTTCAATGCGATTCTGCGTTTTGCATGCCCAACCACTTCGCCTAGGGCTAGACTCCACGATTTCCCCTTGCCCAGCGCCTAATTGCGCCTAGGCGCTCGCCTAGATACTGGCCACACCATGGTTCTTCTTCTTCTCTTTGTTGTAATCTCTAGTTTGACAATGGAGTAGTACTCTTTTTCACTTGGGTATTGTAAACCCTAGCTTTAGATATGTGATAGATTGTATGAATTGAATGCTATGTGTGTGGGTTTGTGTTTAATGCAAAGTTTGAGGTATTTTCAGAATGTTTGAGTTCAGTTCTTCATTTCTCATTACAATGCCAATTTGACCTAGGTGGAGATAAATCCCCTAGTTTACTAAGAGTCTTTGAAAAGCTGGGTTTATTGGACATTTGAGCATCCCATCTAGGGCAATTTTGGGCAAGCCTCAAGTTTTGATTTAACACTTTAATTTGGTTATTATCTTGTCGTCCGTATTAAGTTCCGAGAGAGTAGCCTTACCAACCCTTGGTTGAGCGGCCAAGAGAGCTAGTTTGCTAGCTTTAATTGTTGTGCCTTGCCCTATCACCCAAGAGAGTGACGTTTCTTCACTAGTTGCGCTCTCATCACGGTGTATGAGCACATTCCTACACATTGACCTTCTATTTGGTCGATCTTGATATATAGCTAGAGTGAGCAATACCCGGGCGAAGCTTTCTTATCTAGATTCTAAACCAATTTATTTTCTTGCTTGTTTCAATTGTAAACCTTAGTTACTAAAAATCTATTGCTAGATAATATTTTACACGATTGAAGTAGGGGTACATAGACCAACCCGAGTTGACAATTAAAACACTTATCCTATACTACACCCTACTAGAATTTATACTTGGGCTCTATGTGGCTGCCAACAATTTCGAGATTAAGTCTGGCCTCGTTACAATTATCCAACACAACATTCAGTTCCGTGGGCTTAAGGATGAATCTCCAAGGGAGCTTGTCTAGAGATCCTGTGAGATAGCAGGAAGTTTGAGGATCAATGGGGTATCCGAAGAAGCTCTCAAATTGAGGCTTTTCCCCCCACTCTCTTGTTGGGAAAGCACTCAAATGGCTCAACAATAGGCCACCCCTCTCGATTTCCTCATGGAACGACTTGCTCAACAAGTTCATAACCTGATATTGTCCACCTTTCAAGATGGCAAAATGGCGTAAGAAGATCACCCACTTCACCCAAGAGGAGGAAGAGACTTTGAGGGATGCATGTGAGAAGTACTCTGACTTTTCCCTCCAATATCCACATCACGGGTTTGGAGAGCATCTCCGGATTGAAACTTTTTACGGAGGTCTTTATCGAGAAGATATGATCCTTATTGACTTTTTGTGTCAAGGGAACCTGATGAACAAGAATCCACTCGAGATGACCACTTTGTTCGAGGATATGGCGGAAAAGGGGTATGATTGGGGTTTGACGAGACGTGGTAGAAGGGAAGCCGAGAAGGGAGTACACGCTACAGAGGCAAACCCTCTGCTTGTCGCAAAGATTGATGAGTTGATATCAGCACTTCTACAAGATAAGAAGCAAGGCAGAGGTCGGTGATGGAGTGTGATTGGTGTTTGAGTCCCAACCACAATATTACGGAGTGCTAATTGATGATGGAAGCAAGCACTTTGGAGGAACGATTGAGTTTCATCTATTTCGCACAACCTAATAGGGTTTCCTCCTTGGAGGAGTTGGTAACCACCTTTGCCAGTTCTAGGTTCCGGAAATTTGAGAAGATAGAGAAGTTTATGGTAAAGGATGCGAAGAAGTTCTCATCCATCGAAGAAGGGTTGCAAAGTCATCAATCAATCTTGACAACCTTGACCACCAGGATGGGGATCATCACGCAAGCTGCTCTTCCCGGGAGTCAAGTAGACGAAGCTGAGCTGCGAGCTATAACACTCAGTAGTGAGAGAGAAACCAGAGAAGTGCCCATCCCAAAGAGGCCAACTGTGACAGCGGAGCGAGTCGAGCCCACTACCACTCCAAACAACCAAAGGGCACAAATGTGTCGGTGGAAGCATAGAATGACTCAACTCCTCAACCAATACAACCAGTGGGGAAAGCAAACTCACCACTCCCCTACCCAGTAAAACTACACAAGGATCGCATGGCAGTGGAGTTTTCTCACTTCATGGAGTTGATGAATCAACTGCACCTCAACATTCCATTCGTTGAGGCTATCACCCAGATTTCAAATTATGCAAAGTACTTCAAAGATCTTCTCACTAACAAGAAGAAACTGGGAGGTTTGGCACCACGACCTTAAACGAGGAATGCTCGACCATCTTGCAAAATCAGCTTCTCACGAAGCGAAAAGATCCATGGAGTTTCACTATTCCTTATTTTATTGGTGGTATGTGCGTAGGTAAGTCCTTGGTGGACCTAGGACCTAGCATAAATGTGATGCCTCATTCAAAAAGTTAGACCTAGGTGAACCTAGTGCCACTAGGATGAATATTCAATTAGCAGACAAATCTGTTGTGGATCCTAGGGAGATCATTGAGGATCTACTTGTTAATTGATGTACACAGGTAAGATTGGTGATGAGGGCAGGTGATGAAAAAGTAACATTCTCAATCGATGATAACATGAAGTATTCTAGCTTGCATGATGATGTTGACTATTGCGATGAATGTCCGATTTTGTAGCAGTGCTTGCACACGCGGGTGCTAGCTCTACTGATTTTCTTGGGGGGTGTTTTGTGATAGGGGCAGATGGCTTGGAGGAATGACAGGAGGAAGAGAACTTACCAAGAGAAGAGGTAGTCGCCGCTCCGGCAGTGGACTCGGAGATAGACCCCTTGCCTCCCACGCCTAAGATCCCCACTTCCTTGGAGGAACCACCTGAATTAGAGTTGAAGCCATTACCTAGCCATTCGAGTATGCCTTCTTGAGGGAGGACGACAAGCTCCCTGTCATCATTAGCGCCAATGTCACTCCGGTAGAGAAGGCCGAACTGGTTGATGTCTTGAGGCGCCAACCTCAACGACGGGTGAACCCTAACCTTGAAGATGTGGTGAAGGCTGAGGAAATCAAGCTTTTGTATGTTGGGATTGTTTACCCCATCTCTGACAGTTCAATAATAATACGAGCATCAGGATTGTACGACGTGACACGTTGATTCGGGCATAACTGTACATGTTTTCACCCCACGTTCTTGAGGTTTTTGATGCATTTACATCGCTCGAGGTTCAATTTTATGCTAGGTTTTGCATGTTTCTAGCATGTTTAAGTTCTAGCAGATGATATTGACCTTGGGAGCGAAAGTTGAATGAAAGGGGGCGAAAGCGGATCAAAGGGAGCAAAAAGCCATGGACCACAGTGGAGAGAAACCCCCTTGTTTGCTAGAGGCTTTGAAAAGCTGGGTTTCTTGGACATTATAACCTCCGATCTAGGGCAAGCTTCAAGTTTTGAATTAACACTTTGATTTGGTTGTTATCTTGCCTTCCGGATTAAGTTCCGAGGGAGTAGCCTTAGCAACCCTTGGTTGATCGGCCAAGAGGGCTAGTTTGCTAGCTTCAATTGTTGTGCCTTGGCCTATCACCCAAGAGAGTGAAGTTTCTTCACTAGTTGCGCTCTCCTCACGGTGTATGAGTACATTCCTACACATTGGCCTTCTATTCGGTCGATCTTGATATATAACTAGGGGGAGCAATACCCGGGTGAAGCTTTCTCATCTAGATTCTAAACCAATTTACTTTCTTGCTTGTTTCAATTGTTGACCTTAGTTTTCACTATAAATCGATTGTTAGATAACGTTTTAAATGATTGAATTAGGGGTTCATGGACCGGCCCAGGTTGACAATTAAAACGCTTACCCTATACTGCACCCTACTAAAGTTTATACTTGGGCTCTACATGAGATTTTATTGTGGTAGTTGGAGAGAGTCACACGTATAACTTGAGAGATCGTTCCCTCGGGTGCACGATAAGCGGATTCTCTTTAGACAGACAAACATGACCGAGATCGTAATACATGGTTAGGAGACGAGTTAAGTATGTATGGAGTAGATGTGATTGATAGTCTGGGTTCAGTGAATCCTGGATTTGACGAAGATTGATTAATGAATTGAGAAAGCAATTTTTAGTAAATTGTGAAAGTTTTGATATATGATGAGTTGAGTTTTCAACATATCATAATTATGTGATGTGAGTTGAGTCGAGATTTTCAAAACGTAACCACTGAATGATTTTCACTGCGCGGTTGAACCAATAGTTCGACCTATGATTTTAGAGTGGGGGTGTTACACGCCTCTTTTCCGGTTTTCCTATTCACCTAACTCTAGTTTTTTATTTTAAGTTGAACATATGAATATCGATGTTATGTAAGTGTGTGAATTTTGACTATATTTTTTTATCAAAGTACAATATGTTATTTTGGTGTCATATTGTATGTTTTACTCATATAATAGATAAGATTTGATATAATTTATAAATGTATAAACAATATGACAATTTTTTTTAATATATCCGAACTAAACCAAACTAAAACAGCCCGACCATAATCATAAACTCACTTGACCTGACCGATCGGGCCAACCAAGTAAAAGATATTAACAACTTTGCTACCAAGTCCCAACTCTTCGATGGAAAATAGGGATGACAATTTCGACCTGACCCGATTTACCCGACCTGTTTGGATTGTTTTGGGGCGGGGCGGACATGAGTGCCTCCCGCCCCATTGTCGACCCGTTCTTACCTAAATTACATATAATCTTAGTTAAATTATTTAGGATTTCCCTCTTATTACATTATATTTTGGCTATAATAAAGTTATAAATAAGTGAAAACCTCAATTTCTTCAATAATTTAACTACATTTTATCATATTATGGTTTCTTTCTTGGTGTTTTAATGAAAATAAAGAATATTTCTAATGTTTTTCGCATAAATTACATACCCATTGGGTCGACCTGCCCCGACCCGTGTCCCGTGATAAATTACCCGACCTGACCCAACCTTTTATGGGACGGATATAATTATCGAGATTAGGGATGGCAATCGGGCGGATCGGGGTCGGATGTATATGGATCCGTCACCCGCCCGCCGAAACTTCGGGTTCGGGGAATCCCCGGCCGAACACTGTTATCGGATGTAAAAGAGCAACCAAGCCCGCCCGTTTTCGGATGTCGGGTTTGTCGGGGACCCGAAACCTATCCGACTAGTTCATTAATTAAAAAACAACAACCAAATTCTTACGTGAAGCTGAAGCATGAACTTCATAACGTCAAATCCAGAAACCAGAATGCACTGGAGAAGTAGCAAAAGAACAAAACATTCAACAGAAAACATCCAATCCTAAAATACCATCAAATCCAAAATGACCAAGACCATTGTATCAGCAAAACAAAAGTTTAAATGACTAGCAAAAGTGCAAAACATCTCTACTACTCGTCCTCGAGAACAACTTCGATAGCAGCAGCAGCACAACAACATGAGAAAGACTTCACTTTAGGCCTCCATACTCCACTTTCCAGCAGCAGCAACAATGCAGCATTCTGCATTCCTTGGTTCCACCCAGCAGCCAAGGCAACAATACTCAAACAAAACCTGAAAAAACGAGGAAAAACAACCGTTATTAAGGATCCAAATTCACAAATCATGAACTCAACCATTCTGCATTCTTACTTACATCTTGCTGCTAAGTATCAGTTCACAAATCTTGATTAATCTTCAAGAAGCTTGAAACGAGGGGCTTGCTCTACACATTTAAACAAACTATCTCAATCTCATTGACATATATCAAAGGCTAGAAGAAATCACACAACTGAAACAAGGTTTTTTGCTTATTACCTTCAGTAGTTTCAGCATCAGGTTGGAGCTGGACCAGATTGGCTTCACTTGTAGGGGAGAAACATCCTTCCAATACTCCTGCTCCAGTAGCAGCATCATCTAGGAATGCAAGCCAAGTCAAAATAGTTACATAACATGCTAAAACAACAATGAAATTGAACAAAAAGATTAACTTAACAGGGTTAAGAGTTTACCTCCAGCCAACTCAGCTTGCAACCAACTTCTTGTGCACACAAGTGTTTCCACAGTAGCATGGTGCAACCTGCTCCTATGAGGGTCTAAAACACGACCTCCAGAGCTAAATGCACACTCAGATGCAACAGAGGTAACAGGAACAGCCAAAACATCCCTTGCTATGGCTTGCAAAGTTGGATATTTTGGACCATTATGCTTCCACCACATTAAAATATCAAACTCAGCAGAACGAGGGAGAATTTCCTCATTGAGGTAACTGTCCAACTCAGTATGGACAGAAGTAACTCTTGCCCTTTTTCTTTGGCTCACAAATCGATCAAAGTCCAAATCAGTGGTGCTAGGAGCAGAGGACTCAACTCCAACATACCCAGAAACATTCAGATTCCTCTCCTCATTCATTTTACTTTGGTACTCCAATACCAGATCAGATAATATGTCCTTAATAGATTCCAAACAATAGCCATCAAATTCAACACCAAATTTTTCAGCATAGTAGTCAACAATTTCCAACTTATACCGTGGATCTAGAATCACAGCAATAGCAAGGACTTTGTGAATCTCGTCCCAGTACTTGCTGAATTTTTCCAGCATAGAATAACCCATCTTTTGAATCACTTTATTGGTATCAACACACCACTCATGAATTTTGAGTTTCAACTCACAAATACAAGGGAAGAACAGATTAGTCGTTGGATACTTCGATCCAGAGAACAAATCAGAGATAGAGCTAAAAACTTTAAGTTTCTCACAAACAAGTGCAGCAAATTGCCACTGCTCATTCGATGGCAAGAAATTATATTGAGCATCACGTTGCTTCAGTCTAGTGAAAACCTCCTTGTAAGGAATAGCAACAGATAGCATTTTAAAGGTGGAGTTCCACCGAGTAGGGCAATCCATAACAAGTCGTTTCTCAAAAGTGAATTTTAACGGCTTTGCAGTTTCAAGGAAGAACTCTAGCCTTTTAGGGGTAGCAGACCAGTAAACAACACTGCTCCTAATGTTATCAATTCCCTCTTTAACAACATCCAGACCATCTTTCACAATCAAATTCAAGATGTGAGCAGCACACCTCATATGTATCAAAGCACCATCACTTATCAAGTCAGGTAACGCTAATTTTGACTGTATGACACGAATCATAGAGTCATTAGTGCTACAATTGTCTAGGGTAATGGTGGATACCTTACTGTCGACATTCCAGTCGAGCAAACAGTTAACCAACACTGTCCCCAACCTTTCAGCAGTATGAGGTGCTGGTACATATGCAAATCTGCACAAGAACGAGCAGACAAAGAAACAATTGCAATTAGGAATGAAACAAAAACTAAGAAACAGAAACCAATGATTCAAATAGATACAGATTACATGTCTTACCTAAGCATATGGCTCCTAAGCACCCACGAGTTGTCAATATAATGAGCTGTAACAGCCATGTACCCCTTCTTTTGATTGGTGGCAGTCCACAAATCATTAGTTATTGCAATTCTACCTCTGTTGATATCAAACAGACTTTGAATCTTAGCTCTTTCAATATCATAGATCTTAAAGACCTCTTTCTTTATAGTATTCCTCGATGGAACAGTGAACAATGGTTGAAGAGAGCAGCCAAATCTCTTAAAATAGAGATGATCAACCATCGACAAAGGATATTCATGCATTGTAATAGCAATTGCAAGCTCCCTTTTTGAAAAATCAGAGTTGAAAGCAGTAGCAACCAAGTCTTGATTTCCTTTAGCCAAATAGTGAGGGCCGAGAATCTTTTGACTACCATCCCTAATTTTCTTCTGAACACAAATTTTGGTGTGATTCTTTAGGTGGGTAGTACCATTATTTGATTCCCCACCTAATTGCTTCTTACAATAATTGCATTTAGCCTTGACAATTCCATTAATTCGAACTTTGGTATAGTGTAACCAAACAACACTCTTAAGCTTACCAACGTCGAGTACTTTCCAAAATCTTTTTTGAAAATTCAACAGATTATAACTCATTCTTTTTACATCGGGTTTTAAAAATTTTGCGTAGAAATATCAAACTTTGGTGCTCTACAAGATGATACCTATTTTAATATTTTTGTAGAAAAACTTTTTCACATCATCTTACCAATGTCATATCATGATATGACAGTACCAATGTCATCTTACCAATGTCATATCACGATATGACAGTGGTATGATTATATTGTGGTAAGATCATGATATGAAAGTAGCAAGATGGTTCTATGAAATCTTATCATAGTGGTATGATGGTTTTATGACAGTAGTAAAATAATATGAATATTATAATTGCCATACCACTACCATTTCATGATAGTTTCTTATTAGAGTGGTAAGATAATATTATGAAGTCTTACCATAATGATATGATGTTGATAAAACAGTGGTAAGAGTGTATGAAGCATCTTTGTTGATCGTTAAAGATAACGGTTGACTAGATGGAGGTCAAACCAATGTTGACGTTTGCTAACATGAAAAAAATATAATTGCCACATTGATGCCACGTCATTCGAGATACCCACTCCGGACCCGCCCATTGTCATTCCTAATGGAAAACACAATGTCTCGAGTGAAAGAGACTCCAATCCCCACACGAAACAGTTTAAATCCCCCCTAAACCTTCCGCCTAATTACAAGCTTGCTTAGATTAATTATTACTTTTATTTTTTATCAATCAATATTTATTTATTTATTTATTTATTTTCGAGAGGTCTCATCTCATCCCGGCTTTCTGTCTACCGCTCTCCCTCCGTCGACCGAAAGCCCGACTCATCGCTGAACAACTAAACTCGCGTCGACAAAAAAACGATTTTTCTGCCCCCCCAAAAAAATTGCCCCCCAAATTTTTTTGCCCCCCCCGCCTCCTCACTACTCACTGGCTCTTATGGCCTTTCACGTAGCTTGCCCAATTACATGGTCAGTCTCTTTGTTGTATTACTCCTGTTGACACTCTCCGGATTCCTTACTTTCCTTCCTCTTCTGCTTCTCTATCCTCTAATCTCATCCGTCGCCCCCTCCGCTGGGTCTCTCTTTGTTTGCAGCCTTCGAATCTGCTCCTGCGAGCTAGGGTTTCCGCGGGATCTGCACGGGGAGGCATCGAAGTCCGATTTCCTGCTCGATGTGTCCAGAATCGAGGAGCTATGGAGGGATCCCTCGCGAATTAGGGCTTCCAACGGGGCTACCGTTCAGGTTTTGGTTCCTAAGATTGTGCCTGCTCCTCCACATCCTATCCCTGTTCCTGCTGCTCCCACTCCGGTTTCGGTTCCCACTCTAGCTCCTCACCTCGCGGGAGGCGATGGTGGGGATGTTGATCTTGGCGGGGAGGATTCCGCGGCTTTGTCCGCTTCCGCGCACACAAAGCGTGTGGCGCTTCAAAAGAAGGCTGCTGCTACTGTGGTTGCTGCTGAGGATTTCGCCCGAAGGTTCGAGTCTGGTGAAGCTGCGGTGAGTTATTATTTTGGGATTGGATTGTTGCTGCTCCATCTGCCGCTTATACTTTTTGCTACATGTCTAGAGTCTAGAGAGTCAACATTTCTAACATTTTAAGTGGTTTCCGTAAATTTGCACTTGTTATTGCTGAACGCAATGATTTTGAATTAATGGCGAGATGTTTTTGTTTGTTGAGTGGTGATACTGCTTTGTTTATAGGCCCCTCAATGCCAGAAGGCATCTTGTTGTGAGATCTGTCATCATTAGAGTGCTTAATCTACATCTGGAGATGGGGGACATTGTGTGGCTGTTATATCACCTTGCTTTCTATCTTAGCAAAGGCCACTGTCTTTGACAACCTTTTGTTTAGTTTGCTATGTTTTGATTTTCCTTAAATTTGACTCCCAGGTGGTCTCAAGAGACACTAATGGAGATGAGCAAGCACTTTCCAACACAAACACAAAGGTGATGTGTCGAATGTGCTTCTCTGGTGAAACAGATGGTAGCGACAGAGCAAAAAAGATGCTTTCTTGCAGAAGTTGTGGCAAGAAGTATCATAGGGGCTGTTTGAAATCTTGGGCTCAACACAGAGGTACGACTCAAATTCTATTTTTCAGATTCGAACTCCTGCATTTTCTGATTTGATGCTATTTGCAGATTTATTTCACTGGAGTTCGTGGGCTTGTCCATCTTGCCGGACATGTGAGGTACTGCTTCCTTTCACTAGTTGGTTCCCGGTGACAATCATATTTACGTCTGCATAGCACAGCCGAAGTGTCAATTGTGTACTAAAGTGATTCTGTATTCCTTTCTATTACCCCTGCATCTGTCCAAAAACATAGTTCAAACATCAGATTTTCGGAACCATAATTATTGAAACTCCCAGGTGTTCTAAGCTGCAAGGTGCTCGCATAGTGAAACTTGCCGCAGAAAGAGCTGATAGCTAATGCCAAATAACTTACACTATTTTTAGGGTTTTCCTGGACGGTTTATGCAAAGGAAACACTTTAGATGGTAGAGAGAGATTAAATTTGGTGGATGTTCGAAGGTTCTTGGGGAGATGATTCATAAGAAAGTTATTGGGGAGATGAAAAAATCGTCTTTATGGATTGGATTAAAAAGGAACAAGTTGGTAGAGAGTGAGATTGAATTTGGTAGATGTTTAAAGGTTCAAAGGCGTGTGACTTTCTGATCTCCCTCAAATCACCATGATGATTTTGTTTTGGATTGGGTGTGCTTTGATTACTACTGTCGAGGTAAGCTATGTCATGTCTCCAAAAGAAGTTTGGTGATGTTTGTGTGCTTTATCTATTTCACTCAGATATGTCGAAGAACTGGAGATCCAAATAAGTTTATGTTCTGCAAAAGGTGTGATGGTGCTTACCATTGTTACTGCCAACATCCGCCCCACAAGGTACTATTTTGTTTCTTATGTCTTGCAGATTGCAACAGCAGTATAAAATTAGTGATGCTATGTTTCTTTAACGGTGCAGAATGTCAGCTCAGGACCATATTTGTGCTCCAAACATACAAGGTGCCACAGTTGTGCATCCACTGTCCCTGGAAATGGTTTAAGTGTGAGGTAATCTAAGGGTTAAGTCTGCTTTCTTTGTGCACAGTTATGTCAAGTTCTATGCCGGCTGATGCAGTTTCGCAATGATAAGTTTGACACATTATGGTAGATGTTTTCGGTAAGATGATGTTCCAGAGTACTGGTTTGCAGATGCATAAGTTCAGCTGAGCTTTTACTTAATCTATTCCTGAAAAACAAAGTTGAGAGCCCTATCCAGAGAATATTGGAGTAGTTCTTGGCAGCTATATGCTATATATGTTTGTGTTCCTATTTTCCACTCGATCCTTGCCGTCTCCTTTAATCTCCCTTGAAATCCTTCAGGTGGTTTCTGGGGTTCACATGCTGTGATGCTTGTGGACGATTGTTTGTCAAGGGGAATTATTGCCCAGTTTGTTTAAAGGTATATATCCCTATCAACTTTAGATTGATAGCTAGTTTGATATTGCTGATTTGAAACTCTAGCAGCAGCTCTCTCTTTGGATAAAATTTCATTTGTGTTAAGTTTAGGTCCATTTACATGCTCGTTTACTGAAATTGCTCTTACTCTGCTACGTAATTCCAGAATCTGTGACTTACATTTGTATGTTCTAGTTTTTGAGTTGAATTCTTTATGTGCTTTATCCTGTAGGTTTATAGAGATTCAGAATCAACACCAATGGTCTGTTGTGATATTTGCCAACGTTGGGTGCACTGTCATTGTGATGGCATAAGGTTTGTTTGTCATGGGTATTTTAATTTCTAAGAGTTCTTTGCATTTCTCCTTTCCTTTTTTGGTCATTATAAACTGATTGATAAAAATTGCTTTTTGAGGCCATACTCATAGCTTCTTTTATTCGCTTGATATGGATATATAGCTTATGTATACGATATATGCATTTTGCAGTGATGAGAAGTATCTGCAGTATCAAGTTGATGGTAATCTCCAATATGTTTGTGCAACGTGTCGCGGAGAGTGCTATCAGGTCTGTTTTCTACAACTAAACTTTTTTAAGCTTTAGTATTCCTGTAGTCTTGTCATTCCTTAATTTCCTTTAACTCAAATCTATTATCAGGTTAAGGATCTTGAAGATGCTGTTCAAGAGCTGTGGAGAAGACGTGATGTAGCTGATCATGATTTGATTGTCAGCTTGAGGGCTGCTGCAGGATTGCCAACTCAAGAAGATACTTTCTCTATATCACCTTACTCCGAGGATGAAGATAATGGACCCATAACGTCAAAGAATGAGTTTGGGCGTTCTTTGAAGTTTTCCCTCAAAGGTGTTATGGATAACTCACCAAAGAAGAGCAAAGACTATGGAAAGAAGTATTTCAATAGAAAATCGAGCAAAAAGAAGAACTCTGAGGTACACTTATTGAGTAAGATAGAAGCAGATGTGGACCGATATGAGACACAATCTTATGGACAGAGTTCTGATGAGAGAAAGAACTATGGGTCTCATTCTTATAAGAATGCAGGATTGGTTGCACATCCTTCTCCTGTTGTTGGTGGTTTATGTTACGCTAATGCAACCAACTCTGTTGGTCAGCCAGGGGATCTAAAACAGAAGCCTATTGATGAGGTGATGGTTAATGATGGTGACAAGGGGGCAAGGATTGTTAAGATTAAGAGCAACAAGCCTCCTGATAGGGATAGTGGAGATGATAGTGATAAGCATGACAGCAAAATGAAATCTGTGAAAACCAAAAAGCTAGTGATAAACCTAGGTGCACGAAAGATAAATGTTACTAATTCCCCAAAGTCTGATGCTTCAAGTTGCCAAAAAGAGCAGGATTTGCCAAATTCAAAAGGTATGTGCATGTTTTGATGGAAATTTTTATTGGCAACCATAATGCTGTGTGAAACTGTTGCACTGACTAGTTTCCTTGATATTAATTAGGATGTGAAGATGCAGGAAATCCTAAAATAGGCGACAGTCTGATGGACAAAGAGAATGGAGATGCTAAACCTGGTAATGGTAAGATAATGGATTCTGATCCATTTAAGATTAATTCAGTGCTTTCAATGTGCTCCAACAAGTCAATGCCTACAGTTATGAGGAAACTATAGCTACTTATACTAATATCTGTTTCATATTTACGATATGCAGGAGGCAGAGTTGACCAATCTGGCCAAGTAAGAATTCTGAAGTTTGCTCGAAGAGGAAGTAGTTTGATTAAACTTGGGAAAGTGAAAGGAGCACCTGAAGGGAATCCAAAACTCGAGCGAGATAATGGCTCACATACAAGTGCTTCATCACTTGGATGTGCAAGTGAAGTTCCAACATTAAAAAATGACCAGGCGCCACAGGGGAAACAATCTGAAAGGCCAGTTACAAATACTGAAACCAATGATGATTCTGGAGGTACAACTGCATCACTTTCTTTGCCCAAAGATTCAAAGTTCTCTCTGAAGTTAAAGATTAAGAAACCTAGCCTCGATAATCAAAGCTCTCAAAACCCCCCACCCGAAGAAAAGGCTACCATAAGAGGGCAGAGGTCCAAAAGGAAAAGATCATCAGCCTTTGCAGAGAAGGCACCACTAAATGAAGATAAAACTGTTGTGCAAGACAGTGAGATGTTGGAAGCTAGTTGGATATTGAAAAAGTTGGGTAATGATGCAATTGGGAAGCGAATTGAAGTCCATCAGCCATCCGAAAGCTCATGGTGAGTTGGTCATCTGTCTCCCACATCTCTTGGGCACCAGGAGGTGTTGAATTGACAGCAGATGTGCTACATAATGCTTATACTGGTCATACTGTTGTCATTTCCTGTCTTCTATTGAGCTTCTGCAACCATTGATACTCATCTTGTTGTGTGCTTCAAGTTTGGGGTCTAGATGAATGATGTAATTGGTGGTACCTTAGTTATGTGGCTGCCTCTGTGCACCACTTGATAACTTTAGCAAGCATGTTAGTTTTTTCAACCAAGTTGCTTTGACTCCATTTGAGATTGCCTCATTTGTGTTTACATTGCTGTGAACCAGGAACAAGGGAGCAGTTTCCGACGTGATTGAAGGAACATCAAAGCTGTCTGTAACCTTGGATGATGGTAGAGTCCTCACTGTTGAGCTTGGAAAGCAGGCTGTTCGATTTGTTCCACAAAAGCAAAAGAGATGAATATGGAGCACCAAACTCCTTTCAAAAGGAGTTCTTGGTGGTCCAAGATGGGAATGGAGCGACTCTTCCTTATTATTTCCGAAGATGCTATCTCCATTAGCCAGATCATGGAGATCGACTTTTCTTCTGGGTACCTGCCGAATCTTTTCATGCTGTGGATAGGCTGTTCAGTCTCCAGGCTCTTCATTAATTGTTACCTTGTCCATATGCAGCTAGTGATGATCTCGATGACTTAACTTTGTAGCAAATAGTGCCTGTATTGGAATCAAAACGATAATACTCCATTCAGGAACCCAATGTCTGTAGTAGTAACACCCTCTGTCGTGTAATTTGTGTTTAGTAGTCAGGCACTGCTTGGAATTTGAGTTATTTATTGAATTGAGCTTGACGGCTCACATCTCGTACACAACTCTTTCCTAAGCATATCTATAGCAGTTAGTACAATGTTTGTTAGCATCAGACTGCATTTCATTTTCATTTCCAAGTTTTGAGAAACAGAAGTCAGGATCTGAAGGCTGCAAAATCGTACAGGTGGGTGGCAAGTCTAACAACAGCCAGAATCCAAGTTATCTGCACCCAGTAGGGGTGGGAAACAGTCCAGTTCGGTTTAAACCGGACCGGATTGACCCGGTTTTTTGAAACCGTATTGGACAACTCCACAACCGTAGACGGGATTGGATTGTTACCCGGTTCAACTGTGACCGGACTGGATTGAATCCGGTTTCAACCGAAAAACCGGATCACCTTCTCCATCCCAAAACACAGTCGTTTCAATACCAAAATATTACCCTCTTTCTCCTGCCAACCACACAATCCAATCCCTATTCACTACCAAAAAATTGCCCTCACCATTCTTTCTTCCCAGCTACCTTCGCGATGCTTCTTCTCCCTCTCCCTCCTTCTACTGCCAACCACACAATCTAATCCCTATTCCCTACCAAAAAATTGCCCTCACCATTCTTCCTTCCCATCTTCCTTCGCGATGCTTCTTCTCCCTCTCCCTCTACTGGATCCAACCAAATACACACAAGCAGCTCTGCCTATGAGCTCGATTAAAGTAAGAGAGGCGAGAAGACTTGGATCTGGAGAAGCGATTAGAGTCGCGTGAGTCGGGAAGGGGATGCATGTCGTCGGCCGCCGCGTCTCGATCGATCAAATATCCTCGTCGACTCCGTCACCATCGTCGTCGCGCGCTGGGAAGTTGGAGAGCAGAGGACCTAGCAGAAGTCAGATCGGACGGGATGGACGACGGGTGATGGAGGGAGGCGATTGGCGTCTGCGAGTTCTGGTGGCGGAGTGGCGATGGTTGGCGACGGGATGGAGGGAGCCAATGGTCGGATTTTCTTCTTCTCCTACTCCTCTTGTGTGGTGGGACGGTGAATGGGAAACAGAAAGTTGAGGGTTCGAGGGGGAGAGAACAGAGGAGGGTGATTAGGGTTTGGGATGGGGGGGACTGGGGGTGGGTTGTTTGGGCTGGGATATTAGCGGGCTAGGCTTGTTTGGGCTGGGATATTAGTGGACTAGGCTAGGCTATTTGTTTATTTTCTGTTGTTCGGTTTTTCCGGTTTTAACCGGATCGGACCGGGCCTGTGAGTATTACAACCGCAAACTGGATTGGATTGATTGGGATTCGGTTTCCGGTTGCAACCGGTACGGTTTTAACTGGCCAGTTTCCGGTTTGACCGGAAAACCGGGACCGGATTTCCAGCCCTAGCACCCAGGGCCAGGATTCAGCTTCAGCTGTTGTAACGGGGATTTTATTGTAGGTGGCGTAAATGTAGCGAGTGGAAACCCCAACGGAGAGCATCGGGCAGCTTTTGCACTTTGCTTGTGTCTTGCTTCGATTGCACAAACTTCCAGTCCATTCATCCAAAGCAGGCATGCTTGTGTCTTGTTAACTGGACGAAAACCCATGTCTCTGTATACATTCTCTGGGGAGCAGATCAGGTGAGTAACCTTGTGGTGAGTAACCATGAGTAACCCGTCCACATTAGCATGACATCAGCATCCTCTCTCTCCTGGAAACCTTTTAATTTTCTCCTTTTTAATCTTTGACGAACGATTTCTCACTCATTTTAAGTCAAAATTTATTTTTTTTGCACAGTTAGATCAGATTAATTGTGCTCTCCAAAATGATATCCACTTTAATATATTTTTCGAACAAAAAAAATTGAGCCATTTTTTACCAGTCTATACCATATGGTATTGAGTGGTATTGAAATAAAAGCATACATATGGTTTGAAAAAAGTACTATGGTGGTATGAACAAACCAAGATTGTAGGATGGTTGAATACATGATAGTAGAAATATATTAATTGTCATTTACGACTTTTAACATTGTATACCACAAGATAACACCCCGTACCAGGGTGGTATTGTATGGTATTGTGTGGTATTTTTTGGTCCTGTAATTTGTTCACCCATAAATTTGTAGATCCAATGGATCATGATGAACTCGTCCCTTCTGTGCAAACGTTTTCAAAAATGAATTAAAAACGAAGAAGATACCATACAATACCACCCCGTACCAGGGTGGTATTGTATGGTATTGTGTGGTATTTTTTGGTCATATAATTTGTTCACCCAGAAATTTGTAGATCCAATAGATCATGATGAACTCGTCCCTTCTGTGCAAACGTTTTCAAAAACGAATTAAAAATGAAGAAAATACCATATGGTATGCAGTTGGTACCGAGAGGCCAGAACTTTTTGTTCTAAAAAAATATTGAAAATTGATCTCATTTTGTAGAGCACGATGAACTCGTTTCACCTGTGCAAAAAAAAATTAAAATCCGAGTTAAAACGAAAAAGATATGAGCCGATTAAGAAAGCTAGAGAAAATAAAAATGATCTTTAATTCTCCATCCTTAGATCTGGATTTTCTAAATGAAGGGTTCAGATTTGGTTATTGATGGATGCATAACCCATGGTTATGCACCCTATCTTGAGCCCATTCTCTGGGAGGTCTATTGGGAAGGGATTGTCTAATGCAATTAGGAAACCAGGGTGGCGTTTATATACTATCGCGTCCCGTTCTGTGTTAGAAACCTTTTTCTAGGGTTTCTAACAAACGTGTTTGTGGAATTGCGAATTGATGGATAATTGGGGATTTAGAATAGAATCGGGGATTAGAAGAAGAATTAGGGATTTGAGGAGTTGAATTTGGGAATTTGGAGACGAACGATCTAAGCCTTTGGAGTAGAAGGATAGACGAGATTGAGAGAGAATATTATAAGGTTTGGGGATAATATCTTCTATTAATCTGTGCTTAATCATAATTGAATGGCTGAATACATAGGAAATACTTGAATAAACCTGATAATAAAACTAAACTTAACTCTCAAGTTATTGATATTCCTAATAATTATCTATCATAAACAATAAGAGAATCCTACAAAAGGTGAGCTTCTAACAATCCACCCCTTTAAAGCGACCTTGTAGTCAAGGTCGCAGTCAACTTTTTCCTTCTTGACCTTCCGCTTTCTTCGTTTTCAATTGCGCTCAAACTCACGACTAAATTATTCTTTAGCAACTCCAATGTCCCTCGATACTTCTCTAACCAAGTATACATGTCACGTCCTCCATAGCCAAACAATTGTTCCTTTTCTTTTTCAAAGTCCACAAAATTAAAGTCGGATAACTGTTCTTCCTTATGCCCAACATCATTGGCTACCTTAAAATTTTAATGCATTGCTCCATAAATTTTGCTATGCGCTCGATAAATTTTAATGCCCGACCTCCGCAAATGTGCTAGTTGACCTCAACCCAAATCCATACAAGAGATGATCAGTTAGCCCACCAATAGGCGACCTAGACTGGGCCAAGCATTGTGTAAAGAATGGGGATCGATGTATATTTCCAGCGAAGTAGAGAAGCAGAGTTTTTACAGAGGAAAGAAGAAATACAACTATTATCTAACTACTTTCGACAGTTTACTGGATAGATGCCAAAAAGATAGCTAAAATAAGTTCTTCCTCTCTATTTATACCCTTGCCAGCTGTCTTCAACCTTCGTTTTGTCACCTCAGGTCATTACAAATCTCCCCCCCCCCCTCAAGACACAGCTTGTCCTCAAGCTGGAAAGGCAGGAAAAGCAGCACGAAAAGAATGGTAATCCTCCCAGGTAGCATCTGCTGGAGATTGATGAGACCACTGAACCAAAACCTGTGTAACGGCCCGATCACCCTGCTGCACAAAACGGCGAGCGAGAATAACGTCGGGAACGAGCTTCAGAGACCCATGATCATCGACCCCAGGAAGAGCAGACACCTCTGGAACAACTTGAGACCCACACCGCTTCAGCTGAGAGACGTGGAACACCGGGTGGACCTTGGCATCGGTCGGCAGCTGTAACTTGTAAGCAACGACACCCATTCGAGCCAGCACTCGGTAAGGACCAAAGAAGCGGGGCCCCAGTTTACTGCCTTGTCGTCCGACTACCGAACCCTGACGAAACGGTTGGAGTCGAAGATAAACCCAATCGCCCACCTGGAAAGACCTTTCGGAGCGACGACGATCAGCATCTTGCTTCTGCCTGTTTTGAGCAACAGTGAGATTGTGCCGAAGAAGAGGAATTAGCTGCTGCTGCCGAGCGAGACGATCTTCCACAACACCAACCGTCGTCGAGTCCAAAGGCGAGAGGCCAAAAAAGGAAGGGGGAAAACCATACAAAGCTTCAAACAGAGTGAGGCGAAGGCTGACCTGGAAGTGGGTGTTGTAGCACCACTCCGCCAAGGTCACCCAAGTAGCCCAATCCTGTGGCTGGTGAAACGTCATACATCGGAGGAAATCCTCCAAACAGCGATTGACCCTTTCCGTTTGGCCGTCGGTCTGCGGATGATAAGCCGTCGAGTAATGAAGATCGACAGCCTGAAGACGAAAAAAACTCCGTCCAAAAAGAGATGGTAAATGTCGAATCCCGATCATAAACAATCGTCTTAGGCATCCCATGGAGTTTAAAAACCCCATCAAAGAAAACCCGAGCCACTGATTCCGCCGAGTAAGGATGGGAAAGGGCAAAGAAGTGGGCATATTTGGTGAAACGGTCGACGACCACAAACAAAATCTCCTTGCCAGCTGACTTAGGCAACCCCTCCACAAAGTCGATACTAATATCCTGCCAAGCCTGGGTCGGAACTGGTAAGGGCTGGAGAAGTCCAGGAGAAGCTACCGTCTCTGCCTTGCACCTGCTACAAACGTCACAAACACGCACAAAAGCCTGAACTGCCGCCTTCATTCCCACCCAATAAAAGTGAGACTTCAACCTCTGATAAGTGCCCTGCACACCCGCGTGTCCACCCACCGCTGAGGAGTGGAACAACTTCAATAGCTTCTCCCTCATAAAACCAACCGACCCAACAACAATAGCCCCCTTATACCGCAATACCCCTTGAGAAAACAACCACAGAGAGAGGCTAGAGGGAGTGAGAACAGCTTCTGCAATCTTGTCTGTGATCCATTGATCACCCTCATAAGTTTTCTCGACCTCCACCATCCACTCGGGAAGGACTGTGGAGAGGGCCGAACAGTCCCCTAATTCATCATCCTCATCAAAATTCCTGGAAAGGGCATCAGCTGCCCCATTGAACTTACCACGTCGATGCTTGATCTGAAAGTCGAGCCCTAGCAATTTGACAAGACCCTTCTTCTGAATCGCTGTGTGAATCTTCTGCTGGAACAAGTGCTTTAAGCTCTCGTGATCCGTCAAAATGGTGGAAGGCCGCCCTTCGAGATAATGGCGCCACTGATCAACAACCATAAGAACGGCCAAATACTCCTTCTCGTATGTACTCCTCCCCTGGTTCTTGACTCCGAAAGCTTTACTGAAATAAGCAATCGGTCGGCCCTGCTGCGATAAAACTGCCCCCGCCCTTGTGCCACACGCATCGGTCTCCAAGGTAAAGGGAAGGGAGAAGTCAGGCAAAGCCAGAACAAGAGCTTCACTCATAGCCTTCTTGAGGGCAAGGAAGGCCTCAGTAGTCGACGAAGTCCAGCGGAAAGCATTCTTCTTTAACAGCTCGATGAGAGGTCGGCTGATTATCCCATAATGACGAATAAATTTCCGTTAGTAGCCCGTTAAACCTAGAAAACCCCTCAAAGCTTTGAGAGACGTTGTTTGTGGCCAATTGACGATGGCGGCAATCTTTCCCGGCTCTGTCGAAACACCCGCCGCCCCAATAACATGCCCCAAGTACTCCACCTGCGATTGCCCAAAAGAACACTTTGATATCTTGGCATAAAGCTGGTGCTGCCGCAGGAGAAGGAGCGTTTGGTGGAGATGTTTCTGATGAAGCTCGGCCGTCGGACTATAAACCAAAATGTCGTCAAAAAACATCAACACAAACTTGCGCAAGTGGGCAGCAAGGACATGATTCATGAGGGCTTGGAACGTTGCCGGTGCGTTGGTAAGGCCAAAGGGCATCACCAGAAATTCATAATGGACCTGGTGCATTCGGAACGCCGTCTTGTGACTGACACGCCAAAACACAACACCAAACTGCGACCAAGTGTAATCGCAGTCCGGGAATGCAGTAAAATGGCAAGTTCTATTATCAACCCGGGGTCTAGATCTCTTAAGCTGACCAAGCCCTCTCAGTCTAACTACCCGGCAGACGACTAGTCTTCACCGGGATAGAAAGCTGAAGCAATAAGCACAGAACTCCACTACTGGAATTGGATTCCAGTACAAAGCAGTAAACTGGCTAACTCTCGTATAGCCAATCTCCTACTACCGAATGATGAGGCTCTAACAACCTAATCAGATTCTATCTATCTCAGGTTGCAGCAGAAATCAGGAAAAGCTGATCAGACTTCAACTGACTCAATAAACATGCATCATTCGATTAAAACCAAGCAGTAATATCATCCCAAGTCATTACAATCAAATCCCTAACACATAGAACTAGGGTTCTTCATACCTAAGTGAGAGAAGGGTTCTACTCCATAGAGAGAGAGGGGAAAACAGAATACAAAGCAGTCATACTCATAACAATGGAAAGAATCTGCTCTAGGATGATGATTTCCACTCCTATGACGATCTCCAAGCTCGATTTGATGAAACCCAGCTCCAAGATATCTTCTAGGATGTGTTCTTCGTACTTTCTCTCTCTAGGGCTCTGTTTTTGCTATGAAAACTCGATTCTCACACTTGCAGCCCGAAATTGGGTAAAAACCAGAAATTCCCGACTCACACGGGCAGGGTCACACGGCCGTGTGGCATACCCAGTTGCCCGTGTGAGGTCAAAACGCCGCGTTCCGAGTTATTGAATTTCAGGCTTCCTACACGGCCAGGGTCACACGGCCGTGCAGCTCACCCAGCCTGGCCGTGTGAAGCCTCGCAGAATTCCACACGGCCAAAGTGCAACTTCACACGGCCGTGTGAATATCAGGGCTGGCCGTGTGAAGGCTCGCAGAATTCCACACGGCCAAACTGGTCACTTGCACGGCCGTGTGGTTTCTGTGTGTGCCCGTGTGGCTTCCTTTGTGACTTGCCTCGCGCCCGATCTTCATCCAATCGACCCCGAACTCGCTCCTAAACCTTCATTCACTTGCTAGGACCTGAAATATCACAAACAAACACAACCTAGCGTGAAATCGGCCTAAAACACGAGAATTACCATCTCAAACGGCTCCAGAGTAGGGGTAAAAACATGTGCAATTAACGGCTTATCAAACTCCCCCACACTTAACCGTTTGCTTGTCCCCAAGCAAACCAAGTCAGACACAAGGTAAGCTTACATAATTCAACCATACCAACATTGGGGACAAATCATATAGGCACAGAACACGTGAATCATACTGGTTTTCAAACATCAACACATGAACAACCTCAATAGCAACCTGGACAACCACCACAGAAGACATTCGAGTGCAGCAAAATCGAGTAAAGGAGGAGTCTCCCTTCTGTTCATCAACCAACCTAGACTTGACTCAATCACTCACTCAAGACAGTCAACTCATGCATAAAACTCAAGACATCAGAATCAAGACCGAGCCATCTAGGTCCTCACCGGGTAAAGAGTGAACAAGGAAATGAATCGCTCACTCTCGACCAGTGGGGTCAGGACTATTTGATGCGAAAAATGCGCATACTAATTCTCTCAATTCCTAACATCTCTTCACCATGACGGCAGCCTCTAAAGGTTAGAGTTCACATAAATGGTTGTCATCACTAACTAATCAGGAGGTCTTAGACACAGGTTCAAATGACTGGCTAGGGTCTTGGACATGGGGAAAATGCCTTTTAGGTGGTGGAAGTATTCATAGCACAAGGTTCCACAATTCCAAACCCAACAAACTCACAGTCAATCGAACCAGTGCTTTCTTTCTGCTATTCTGCATTACTCAAATTCAGAGCACAAGAGCGAAGGAGGTCACAAAAATACCAGTATTTCTAAGCCAGACTGCTAAGAAACACTACTTAATGGGCACTATTCAGATTCTTGGTGGTGGCTCACTTTTGCTTTCATTGTTTTTCTTTCATTTTTTTCATTTCTTAAGAGAACCACCACCTCTGCACATTTTCAAACACCTGCCCAACTTTTAAGAACTACTTCCAACTCTCACATTACATTTAGCAGAAACAGCAGAGAACATGTAAAAATCACTCTGTGGAACCTTCTAAAAGATGCAAAAGGGTGACTTTTCATTGAAGACCGAAAGAAAAGATAACACACGGCTCAAAGGGGCTGACTAGGGGGTATGACACACCAGGACAGTCAATTTGGTCGTGTGGGCTAATCCTATGCCTCCATCATCTTAGCTAATGACAACGTGAATGCTACACATCATGGAAGAGGGAACTATCGCACAAGAAAGAAACGAGCAGGCTCAAATCTCACATGGCTACCTATATGCTCTATCTCTCATTCTGATTCCCTGAACTAGATGCATAAGAGACTGTCAAGAACAAGTAATCAATCCAAGTCACAGTTGGTAAGCAAACAGTCGAAAAAAAAAACTGAACCCTACACAATTCTACTGCACGTCTCAGTCATCATTATAGGTTGTCCTAATCACCATCCAGTTTTCATGCATTAATCCGAAAACCATTCAATTCACCAATCAAAACACAGTGCCAATATGATCAAACAGCCGTACTTGGAGCCCTCAAATCTCGAGATTTGGACAGTGGACTAGGCTCCAAGCACACGTATATACATTCCAACCGATACAAAGCACCCCCCCCCCCACACACTTAAGCACGACATTGCCCTCAATGGAGCAGAGGGATAGAGAAGGGGAACGATGTTACCGGATTGAAATGCTGCGGGAGACTGGAAGTGGACCAGTCAACGGAGGACATATGGAACGAACGGACAGTTCTGCACTAAGGGAACATCAAGAACACACTAGCACATGTTCGTTAGGGATCAGAGTTGGCCCAGATGGCCACAAAAGGAACAATCCACAAAAGAAAAGAAACAAAACACACTACAAACTCAGTTCAAGCTCCTCAAACACATGGAGCAAACAGAAAAAGTCTAAATAAAAAACACACACTGAGGGGCGACAAGTACAGCCTACTAGTCGCCAAGGTTGTCCAGATCGATGTCATTCATCAATGCATCATCATCATCAGCTGGTAGAGGTGGAAGTAGAGAGTCCTCCCAGGGAGTCCTCCAGACTGGATGCTCGCCCGGTAGCAGCTGGAGCAGATGCCCCTGGACCTCATGCATGCGCCTAGCTCGGGCCTGCTCCCTCTCGATGCGCGCCAAGGTCACCCCCTGCTGGGTCTCCATCCTATCAAGGCGCTCATCATACGCAGCCATCCGGGTCTGGTACTCGGCATGGTGAGCCGAATACTGCTGCTGAAACTGCATTTGATAGTCGTAGAGCTGCTGATTCTGGAGACGCAGCTGCTCGAACTGCTGAGTGAAGTAGTCCTAGCCGGGGAAGGTGGAGCTGCCACCCCCGTACTCGAAGGTGGTGGGGCGGGCGGCAGCAATATCATCCACATCCTCGGGCTGGACCTCATCATCAGCCAACCTCCGGCTGGACCGCCTCTGGGATCTGAGGTTGAGGCAACCCCTCGATCCACATAACACCTCCCACTTCCCGAAGCAGGTGCATTTTAGTGATCGTAAGCCGGCCAAAGGCACTGGTGTCTCCTTGCTCTGTGCACCCCTGCAGGGATATCTGGAAGTAGTCTGCCAGGCGGGTGATGAGGGGAGTGCAGTGGAGTTTCTTCAGCTCAGAAGCACTCTTGTCGAAGGTCCTCGCCACCACCGAACCCAAGTGGAGGGGATGATCCCTACGGCGCATCGACTGGATAAGGTACATGGCTCTCTTGGTGATGGCGCTGACACTGTCCGAGGCTGGAGTGTAAGACTTGGCCAGCATGTGATGGAGGATGCGGTTGTCGAGCTGCAATGTGCTGGCCTTCGTCTTTCCCGCCTTGAAAGGAAGCTGACCGGGCCGAGCGAGGCTGGTGTACAGTGTCCCGAAGTCCACCCCCGCTGGCTCGGTGCTCTCGGTGATGTAGTCCCTGTCATCGACCAGGTTGAGGCCGAGTGCGTTCGCCGGCTCGTTGTAGCTCATGGATCGCGGTTCACCGCCGAGCCTGAACTTGACGGCTTCACCGTCCTTCCAATCCTCCGTGTCTCCATGCTCGAAGGTAGTGTAGAACTCGAGCATGAGCTCGTGGTGAACCTTCTCGCGAATGCTGAGTAGGCGGCGCCAGTAGCGGTTAGTGACAACGGGGGAGAGGTGCTCGTAGCAGTTCAGCTTCTCCAACTCTCGCTTGGACCAGCAATGATGCTGCCCAAACTTGCAGGCCAGGACGTTCTTAAAACGATCCTGGTGGGGCCCCCTTCTCAAATCTTGAACAAACTGGTGCCGGAGGTTGGGCTTCGTCATGGTCCTGCAAAAGAACAACCCAAAGTGGAACCAAAAGAGCCAAGGAAAATGTTAATCACACCCCCACACTTAAGAACAGAAAACAGCCGAACCATGGTTTCATCCATAGTTCGGGGGTCAAAAACTCGATCAAACAAGCATAATCGGGGTGGGGGTGCACATCCATGGGAAAGGAGGCAACTCAAGGTTCACATCCATACCAAACACACTCTCAAAGCACAACATTAAGGGCTCCAACCGACTCCCACAAAATGGTACGAAAACAGGCATTTTATCGAACACATTGTGTGCACTATTAAGATAAACATGGAGTTGACAAAATTTTTGCACACAAGGGCTCAATCAAGCAAGGGGGACAATGCCCAACACAATTCATACATAATCCAAGCATTCCCCACAATCAATTGCACACAATTCACATTATTCAAAGAGGTTCTCTAAACATGCACCCTAACACCCAATTCTCCATAAAAAACATAGTTAAGTTCGAAATCAAACCTGGAGACTCAAGTAGAGGTGTAGGGGATGATGAGGGGAATGCAATGGAAGCAACGAAAGGGCGAAAAACTGCCGGGAAGTGCTCGTCGGAGTCTCGCCGGAAATCGCCTCCGGCGACTCAAAATCAAACCAAATCACCTCAAAATCGAGGGATAGGCCGATAATGGGGAGGAAAGGGTGGGTGTGGTGTTGGATTTGTGAAAAACCGACCAAAAATGGCCGAAAATCGACAAAGATGGCGAAAAGTCGCGGTTTTCCGGCGAGGGGGAGAGGTTTCCGCCGAGAGAAGTGGGATTTTCTGACCACTCGCCCGTGTCGGCCGAATCTATAGGCCGTGGCTCGGTCACACGGCCAGGCTCACACGGCCGTGCGCTGTTCACATTTGCCCGTGTCGGCCGACACGGGCTGGCCGATGAATTATCACACGGCCGTGCGAAAAGCACATTTGGCCGTGTGAAATTGTGCGAGCGCTCACACGACCAGGGGGAATTTCCACACGGCCGTGTCACAATCACAGCTGGCCGTGTGGAATTCTGCGAGAGCTCACACGGCCAAAAATAAATTCCACACGGCCGTGTGGCTTTCAGGGCTGGCCGTGTGGGCTACCAGAACTCCGAAATTGACCTGTTTTCACTTCAGAACGACATACAACTCGTGAACAACCCCTCAAGACTAAAAAAACACAAAAAAATCAAAAGAAAAAACACAAGCGCTTCTTTACCGTCTTTTAGCTAGACGCCAGTCGGTGGATGCTCAATGAGGTGAAGGAGCAGGTGCCTTCAAGAGCGGATCCACCTCGCTCTTGAGGTACAGCTTCAAATGGTGGCCATGCACACGACGAATGTGGCCACCAGCATTTGCCAACTCAACTTGGCCATCCGGCAGGATGCAAGCGAGTGAATACTCGGATGGCCAAGGTGGGGGCGGGACCAGCTCATAGTGGTCTCCGGCTTTCTTCCGAGCAGGCTTAGCTGCCTGCAATTTCGGCCGCCACTCCTCCTTGATCTGTTCTTTCGGTGACGGAGTGGACGGGAGTGGCGGCGATGGTATGGGAGGCGGATCCTGCAAAATAGGAAACACAGAAGGATACATGACAGACTCGTGCTCCTGGTGAGATACAGCATGCAGAGGTGACGAAACAGGAACAGTATTAGCAATTGAAAACGTTATTCTCTCCTCACCATCCCTCAGAACTAAGGTCCCATCATGCACATCTATGAGAGCCTTGGCGGTGGCCAGGAAAGGCCTTCCCAGTATAAGGGGCACTTCTGTGTCCTCATTGATGTCCAAGACAACAAAATCCACAGGATAATTGAATTTGCCAACCTTGACCAGAAGGTCTTCCATTATGCCCCTAGGATGCACTACAGATCGGTCAGCTAGTTGAAGGCTCATCCTAGTAGCACGGGGTTCACCTAGGCCTAGTTTCTTGAACAGTTTATACGGCATAACATTGATACTAGCACCTAAATCTGCCAAGGACCTCTCTACATGCAAATTATCTATAGAGCACGGGATAGTAAAACTACCTGGGTCCTTCTGCTTCTGCGGAAGCTTGTTCTGCAGAATGGCCGAGCACTCCTCGCTGAGCTCCACAGTGGCCAGCTCGCTCAACTCCTGCTTCTTTGAGAGAAGATCCTTCAGGAACTTCGCATACTTAGGCATTTGAGATAGTGCCTCCAGGAAAGGTACTTGGACATTCAGCTTCCTAAGCATAACCATGAAGTTCCCGAACTCTGCATCTAGCCTGTCTTTGTGCAACCGAGTAGGGAAGGGGAGTTGAGGGATATACTCCTTCACTACTGGTTGCGGGTTAGGCGCAGGCACCTCAACCTCCTTCTCTGCTTCTTCTTCAGCTGCTGGAGATGCCGAGGCAGGGGCCTCTCTCTCTTTTGCCCGAACAAGTGGATCAGCAGTCATCTTGCCACTCCTGGTTGTGATGGCATTGCAGTGCTCATTCAGGTTCTGTGGATGAGGGATGGTCTGACCGGGTAGAGTACCAGGAGCCCTTTGTGCCACTGCTTGAGCCACACTCGCCAGCTGGGTTTGGATATCCTGCAAGACAGCCTGTGTGTTCCTCTGACCAGCTTCAAGAGCCAGGAACTTACTCGAGGCCTTTTCCATGAACTGCTCTAGAGTGTTGAATTTCTGAGCACTAGAACTGGCGAGAGAACCCACCAAGTCCCGCAATTCAGCCATCGGATCATTCTGCACTGGGGTGGCAGGGGCTGCACCTGGCTGCTGGAAAGGTCGCGGCTGTGATTGAGTAGCATGCCCTTGCATGGGCTGATAGAGAGACTGATGCTGCTGCTGCTGGAATTGCCCTTGTCTGGGCTGATATGGCGGCCTCTGGAAGCCCGGTGGTCCCTGGGAGACTGGTGGTCTGGAATTTGCCCCACCCCAGGAGAAGTTGGGATGCTGGCGCCACCCCTCGTTGTAAGTGTTGCTGTAGGGGTCGTTGCGCCTAACATTATTGATGAAGTTCACCTGCTCCTGGGGTGTGGTAGATTCCTTCATCGCCTGGCAGTCTACCACCGTGTGATGGGTGCTCTCGCACCAATGGCAGAGCATCGCCTGCTGTTGTCCGGTACCTGCAATCATCCCGGAACGATCGATAGCTGAAACCAGCTTCGACACCACCTGCACCAAATCAGAGGAGTGGTTTCCCACAAAATGTACACCTCGGCTTGGTGCTATCCTCGACCTCCTAGCAGTGCCCCAATCATACCCGTTCTCTGCCATCTCCTCAAAGAGTTGATTCAGCTGTGGCGGTGTTTTGGTCAGCATGTTCCCGCCACAAACTGAGTCAATCAGCTGCTTGTCTTCTGGGAAGAGGGCGTGATAGAAGGTTCCCACCTTGAAAGCATCATTGAAACCATGATTGGGACACCTCAGGAAGAGACTGTTGTATCTCTCCCAAGCATCCCTGATGGTCTCATCCTCGTCCTGAGCAAAATGGGTAATTTGCTTCTGCAGGTCCGCCGTCTTGGATGGAGGATGGTAACGGGTGAGGAACTTGTCCGCCAAGTTGGCGAACGTGGTGATGGAGCCCGGAGGTCGAGTGTCTAGCCACTCCTTGGCCTGCCCCTCTAGGGTGAATGGGAAGTACCTCAACTGGATGGCATCTGCTGGGACCCCATTGATCTTGATTCCATCAATGAGCTCGTGGAATCGCCTGAGATGTGATCGGGGGAACTCCCCCTCTTTGCCACGGAACATCACTGAACCGCGCAACATGATGATTACTGAGGTGCTCACCTCAAAATTATTGGCTGGGGCATGAGGGTGTTGAATGGGTGACCTCATGTCTGCAGCCCTGGCGGTCCAGTAATGTCCCATGGTCTGCTCCTCGGGATTGACCACATCATGGTCCTGTGGATCAGCCATCTCCTCTTCTTCAGTGATCTGTAGCTGTGCTAGCGCCTCCTCCGCAGCCAGTCGCGCCTTTAGAGCCCGCTTGAAGTTCTGCAGGTTCGTTCAATCTCCTGGTCTAGTGGTAGTAGATCTCCCGACTGGCTATGGGTCATGCACTACCTGCACACAATCAGCAGAAACAACCCGTGAAGGCACACAGGTGGAAGAGAGAAAATGCAGTAAAGACAAAGCTAGAGTAACAGATTTGCACGTTTCCCCAATAACCTAGAGGGTCCCCGGCAACGGCGCCAAAAACTTGACACGCCAAAACACAACACCAAACTGCGACCAAGTGTAATCGCAGTCCGAGAATGCAGTAAAATGGCAAGTTCTATTATCAACCCGGGGTCTAGATCTACTGCTTACTCCGTGAGTATCTATTATCTAGCCAACTAAGTTAAGTGTTTGTTGTTTAAAGCAAAAGCAGAAAGAAAGCATGAATTAGTACGGTTTTCTCAAGCAAAGAAGAGTCACTCGGGAATGAGTCCCCCTAGCTCCTTAGTTAGGTTTCAATTGTAATTTCCCTGGGTTGATTTACTGTTGACTAGACTGCGGAAGATCCGACAATAGCTTTGGAATCTCTTAAGCTGACCAAGCCCTCTCAGTCTAACTACCCGGCAGACGACTAGTCTTCACCGGGATAGAAAGCTGAAGCAATAAGCACAGAACTCCACTACTGGAATTGGATTCCAGTACAAAGCAGCAAACTGGCTAACTCTCGTATAGCCAATCTCCTACTACCGAATGATGAGGCTCTAACAACCTAATCATATTCTATCTATCTCAGGTTGCAGCAGAAATCAGGAAAAGCTGATCAGACTTCAATTGACTCAATAAACATGCATCATTCGATTAAAACCAAGCAGTAATATCATCCCAAGTCATTACAATCAAATCCCTAACACATAGAACTAGGGTTCTTCATACCCAAGTGAGAGAAGGGTTCTACTCCATAGAGAGAGAGGGGAAAACAGAATACAAAGCAGTCATACTCATAACAATGGGAAGAATCTGCTTTGGGATGATGATTTCCACTCCTATGACGATCTCCAAGCTCAATTTGATGAAACCCAGCTCCAAGATAGCTTCTAGGATGTGTTCTTCGTACTTTCTCTCTCTAGGGCTCTGTTTTTGCTCTGAAAACTCGATTCTCACACTTGCAGCCCGAAATTGGGTAAAAACCAGAAATTCCAGACTCACACGGGCAGGGTTACACGGCCGTGTGGCATACCCAGTTTCCCGTGTGAGGTCAAAACGCCGCATTCCGAGTTATTGAATTTCAGGCTTCCTACACGGCCAGGGTCACACGGCCGTGCAGCTCACCCAGCCTGGCCGTGTGAAGCCTCGCAGAATTCCACACGGCCAAAGTGCAACTTCACACGGCCGTGTGAATATCAGGGCTGGCCGTGTGAAGGCTCGCAGAATTCCACACGGCCAAACTGGTCACTTGCACGGCCGTGTGGTTTCTGTGTGTGCCCGTATGGCTTCCTTTGTGACTCGCCTCGCGCCCGATATTCGTCCAACCGACCCCGAACTCGCTCCTAAACCTTCATTCACTTGCTAGGACCTGAAATATCACAAACAAACACAACCTAGCGTGAAATCGCCCTAAAACACGAGAATTACCATCTCAAACGGCTCCAGAGTAGGGGTAAAAACATGTGCAATTAACGGCTTATCAGTGACGATCCTCGACCTTCATTTGAATTTGATGATAGCCCGCCCGCAAATCCAACTTCGAAAAGAAATAGGCCCCATGCAGCTCATCGATTAGGTCGTCAATAATGGGGATGGGAAATTTGTTCTTGATGGTGATAGAATTGAGGAGGCGGTAATCAACACAAAATCACCAGGACCCGTCCTTCTTTCCGACCCGTAGGACCGGTGCGGCATAAGGACTCTGACTAGATTGGATGAATTGGGACTCCAGCATTTCCCCCACCATCTTGTCGACAACCGCCTTTTGGTGATGTGGAATCCGGTACGGCCGAATGTTAACTGGTTTGGAGAGGGGATCAATAGGGATGGCATGGTCGAAAGGACGAGGAGGGGGAAGGGTGGTCGGAGTGGCGAAGACATCGGCAAATTGGGAAAGTAAGGGTTGAAGGAAAGAAGGAACAAGAGGGTTCGAGGAAGAAGAAGTGACAGGGGAGAGGGAGAACAAATGGCCTGTGAATTGGGCCACTTTTTTCTTCAAGAGCTTGTGAAAAGACTTGCCCGTAATCAACTTACACTGGGCTTCCCCAACCAGGCCTTGGAGAGTCAACTTCTTACCTTGCCAGTCAAATGACATCTGCCGCTTCTTAAGGTCCAGCTGAATTGGGCTAACGGACTCCAACCAATCCAAGCCCAAAACCAAGTCGTGAGCCCGTAAGTCCAATGTGCGTACATCGAACGCGAACTCAGTACCCTGCATCCTCCACCGAAAACCACGACACACCGAGTTACTGAGTAGAGCCGCTCCGTTTGCAACTTTGACTTTCATCGGCGGGACTGAGTCGAGTTGACAACGCAACTCGGAAGCTCGGGACTCACTCAAAAAAGTATGGCTGCTACCAGTATCAATCAACACCACCATCTCCTGACGACCAACCTTCGCCGGAATCTGCAACGCCCGGCCAACCGAGCCGGAGCCAAGCGCCTGCAAAGAAACCTCCACCTCATCGGACGAAACCGAGGGTTGAACCAGATCTACAATCTCCTCATCACTTTCATCCGGAGAATCGGCGGCCTGAAGAAACTGGAGCTGCTTTTTCTTGGCACACACATGGCCATAGAAATATTTATCCCTACACTTGAAACAGAGACCTTGATTGCGAGGATGCCCCGAACGATCAGGAGGAACGGAAGGGGAAGAGGATGCCTCCACCGGAAATTTCTTCGGACTCGGCATAGAGGTTGGGGGTAACCACTTCGATGGCGGTCGAGTCTTCTTCTTCCGAGCGGCGATCGACATCTCCTCCAATCGAGCTTGATGAAACGCAATTGCCAAGGTCGGCGGCATCAACATCTGCACGCGCGGCTGGATCTCCTCATCCAAACCACTGATAAAACTCATAATGAAGTACGATTCAGGAAGATTCGGATTCAATCGAAGCATACGAGCGCGGAGATCCTCAAAATCCTCCTGATATGCAAAAACCGAGCTCTCCTGCTGAAGCTTGTTGAAGGCGCCAATAACATTCAAGTGATCCTTATCGCCGAATCGATAGAGGAGATCCGCGACGAAGACTTCCCACTGCAAAAACTGGCGATTGTTCACCCATCCTTTGTACCAGATATTCGCCCGTCTGTAATGGAATGAATCTGAAAGTATTTCGCACACTTCCGGAGCCACGCGTGAGGATCCGTACCATTGAAGAAAGGGAGATCGAGCCGGGGAAAGTGATCAGAAATGGAGGACCGGCGCTGGTGAGTGCGGCAGAAACTTCGATCGCTAGGTTCGCCATTGGAATGAGGGGATGACGACCGAGTCGAGCGAGTCAGGAGCGTCTTCAACGAAGCCTCTATCTTCTCGAATGACTGCGAATGGCGGATCTGAGTATCTTGAAGAGAAGCGATCGAAGCAACGACGGAATTCATATGCTCCTCGAGAACCGAAAGGCGCGTGTTGTGAGTCTACTCGGGCGCCATTGTTGCTGGAAGAAAGGCTCTGATTACCACTTGTAAAGAATGGGGATCGGTGTATATTTCCAGCGAAGTAGAGAAGTAGAGTTTTTACAGAGGAAAGAAGAAATACAACTATTGTCTAACTACTTTCGACAGTTTACTGGATAGATGCCAAAAAGATAGCTACAATCAGTTCTTCCTCTCTATTTATACCCTTGCCAGCTGTCTTCAACCTTCGTTTCGTCACCTCAGGTCATTACACATTGCCTCGTCTGGTCCGGACATTCGACCCACAAGGTGGCCTGTCTCCACAAGCTGTTGTGGGGCGTTCCTCAACCCGAGCTGCTAAGGGTTTGTGATGAGGACGACACCACTGCCGCCACCCTCTGTCCTCTCAGTCCTCGGCGGCAGACAGACCAACGATTGACTCCATGTTTAGGTCTAATTGCACATGTTTTCACCCCATGTTCTTGTAGTGTTTGAGGCGTTTACATCGCTTGGGTTCGATTTTACGCTAGGTTGTGCATGTTTCCAGCATGTTTCAGGTTCTAGCAGGTGATATTGGCATTGGCAGCGAAAGTTGAACGAAAAAGGGCGAAATAGGGTTGAAAGGAGCAAAAAGAGGAAGATCACGGTTCAATCCGTAGGATCACGGTCAGCCGACCGTGAAGATAGACACCATACCGTGATGTTCGAGGAAACCATAAGAGTTTTTACGCCTCGCAGGCCTAAACGATATCACAGTCACCATATCGTATAATCCATCTGTGACCGTGAAGACCTTAAATGAAACGGTGCACTTTTGACCGAGATCACGACCGTGATATTCGACCATGATGAGCGTGCGATATGGGTATAAAAGGAGGATGGAGCTGAAAATTTGAAAGGAGATCCTAGTCAAAGCAGTCAAAACGGGATTTTACCTAAAATTCGAAAATTGGGATAAAATCGGAATCCTAGAATCATAGGATTTTAAGTACCATATAGAAATTAACATATAATAATATTAATAAGGTAAATCATTAATAATACAAAGACATATAACATTTAAAGAGATAATTTTTAATATTAATGTTCCAAAATCATCATTTTAATTGTTATTTAATGCGTAACTCAATATAATTTATGAGGAAAGGATAGAGCTCATGCAGTTTGGCTCTTGTTTTTCAAGTTGTGTCTGGGTAGTATAACTCAAATTAGTATTCCGACATCGTCTACTAAGCATGATTTAAAACTAAGAATAAGTGAACTCCAAGAAAATAATTTATGTCATTGGTTTGGTACAAATATATTCATTAATCAATTAATTTGTTAATAATGATGTTAATTCTTACGTACTTACAATATTATGACAATTGTTTTACCGATGAGCTAAACAAGGGGAAGGGAAAGGAGTTGACTGAACCCTAATTAGATTTTTTTTCTTTTCAAATGTTCTTTTAATAGTCTAAATATCTGAGAAGATTCCCGTCATTGACCTTTTCAGCGAAACAGTTCTACTTCTTTTGAGTTGACTCAAGCTCCCTATTTTGTTCACATAGGATCAAAATTCCGGTTTTAGTACGATTTTAACGATTTTAATCCCGATTTTGAACAATTTTAAGGTCCACCGATTTTATAGTAAAATTAGGATCGAAATTCTTAAGTACAATCCTAAAATTCTACGATTTTACGATCAAAACACCGATTTTGACTGAATTGATCTTACATACCGTTGGTATAAATAAATTCCATAAGTTTTGAAGAATTCATTCTGAAATGAAACATTTTTGTGTTTGGTATTTGAAAGAATTCATTTCCAATTCTAAATTTTAAATTCTATGGAATTGGAACTAGTTGTAGCAATTCCGAGGAATTGAGATGGAATTGCCAAATGAATTCCACAAGTATTTACTAATTATAATAGAATGACATAATTATCCTCTTTTATTAACTAAATCACTTATACATATACATACCAAACACAAGAATTCATTTGACAATAAATTCTACATGACAATTCGTTTTATTTGAATATGACGTACCAAACACAAGATTTCATTTGACAATGAATTCTACACGGTAATTCATTTTACAATGAAATGAATTCTCGATTCATTTGGTACCAAACGGCCTGTTAGTGAGAGACTATCTTTTCCTTCTTATTTTTCTTCAGATTTTAGAGAGAGAAACTGACAAACCAAGACCTAACACCCAAAACCTAACCAACTCCTCACCCTTTTTGGCCTCAGCCCACTCAAACCCCCATAAGTTCGATATAAAATCAAGACCTGATTAGGTCCGGACCGAGTCAAGACTAGACCAGGTCAAAATGGACTGTATCCAATCAAATCTTCGGTCCTCATATTCTCGAAAAGACCGGACTGTGACCGAATCAATCTAGGCCAATTTAACCTGACCGGACAGTATAGCCACCCCTACGATTAAGTCATCAAACTTTCAAAATATTGTAAGAGCTAATTATAGATTTATTGAAGTAGTAATCAAGATAACTAGTAATAATTCCTTAGTTATACAAATAGCGAGATTAATTTTGTTAGCACGTAATGAATTAATTTGATTAGTTAGTTAAATTGATATGATTAGTAAATGAGTGAATTTATTAGTTTATTAATTTGGTTAATATACCTTATGATATGCTTATCGAATCTTGAATTAAACTACATATATAGGTTTATTTTAGCACAATTAATTTTCCAATGACATAGATTGACTAAGACCTTAAATATTAGATTTGAGTTATGATCATGTTAAATTAATTGAGACATAAATATACCATACTTTGCACATCTTGCAAAGTAGTCACAAGTCGAGAAAGTCGTCACTAAGAACCCAAAACTCAAATCAACCAAGTCAAGGGCATCAACCTTCACATTGTAAACTTCTTGAATTAATAAGGTGGTTAGTTTAAAGGGGTTAGTTAGTATTTCGCTTTATTTGTCTAATTATGACATTTAATTAAGTTATTTATTTACGTTGTAGTTTTATATTTACGTTTAATATAAGTTTATTTATGTTTAATAAGCATGGCAATGCATTTCATCATGAAGTGATGTTTTAAAGCAAGAAGATACAAATATACGTTTTAAGCAGGTTTATGACTTACGTTACAAGTTACCAAGTTATCAAGTAAGAACATGTTTTTAACCACTCACTTAACTAGCGGGTTGGATCTAGTCCTTAAGCCTAAAAGTTAAGGAGTTTCTTAAATTTTCGTTAGCCAATAAGAATAGGAGAGAGAAAATTTGCATCTAACTACGTAAAAGGATAAATAAGGTATTTTGATAAAATAATTAATGTAATAATTAACAAAAATTAAGGAAAGAAATTGAACATTGCCGCATGCATTCCCCTTCCCTTCCCCGCAACACAACTACCCACATAAATTAAGGAGAAAATTAGGTTCTTTCAGCAACCACGCTTTCATAAGGGCTAAGATCATGTGACTAAGGAGGGGGTCCTTAGTCATGTGACTAAGTGAATCTCAGCCCTTCCCCCTCATTAAAATCCAATGGCTGAGATTAATCTCTTTTAATGAAGGATATGATAGTAAATACATAATTTATTTATTTAGCAATTAAATTAAACAAAAATAAAACCTACCTAGCGCCGCTTCCACCGACGTTCCTGGGAAATTCTTCCGGACGGGCGACGGCAATCTCCCGACACCCAGCGCCGGCGGTCCTCCTTTTCCTTCCAGCGGCCGGTCCATTTTTATGGGATTTCCCCATTCCCAGCACGAGAGAGAGGGGTCAATTTTATGTGGACTTTTCCCCATTCTCATTCCCAGCACGAGAGAGAGAGAGAGAGAGAGAGAGAGAGAGAGAGAGAGAGAGAGTTCTTGTCAACTTTTCCGGCGACGGCGGAGCAGTTTTCCGGCGACCAGAGACGGTGGTGGATGATTTTCCGGCAACAGTATTGAGTTCGTGATGTTTGTAATGTTTATATTACTATTTTGTATACATTGTAATGTTTGTAATGTTTGTTTGTCTAGTTTGTATACTTTATGTTATGATTTATACACTTTCTATTCATTGATTTGTATTTGTAACTTTTGTTATTCAAGTTTGTATACTTTTATGTTATGATTTGTATACTTTGTATTCATTTGTTTGTAATACAAGTTTACCAATCTGTATTGTAAGTAGTGATATTCTGTACGTGTAGTATGCTTTGTAATGTTTGTTTGTAATGTTTGTAATGTTTGTTTGCAATGTTTGTAATGTTTGTAATGTTTGTTGGTTTCTTTTGTATTGTTTGTAATGTTTTGTAATGTTTTGTAATGTAGTGATATTCTGTACGTGTAGTATGCTTTGTAATGTTTGTTTGTAATGCTTTGTAATATTTTGTATACATTGTAATGTTTGTAATGTTTGTTTGTCTAGTTTGTATACTTTATGTTATGATTTATACACTTTCTATTCATTGGTTTGTATTTGTAACTTTTGTTATTCAAGTTTGTATACTTTTATGTTATGATTTGTATACTTTGTATTCATTTGTTTGTAATACAAGTTTACCAATCTGTATTGTAAGTAGTGATATTCTGTACGTGTAGTATGCTTTGTAATGTTTGTTTGTAATGTTTGTAATGTTTGTTTTGCAATGTTTGTAATGTTTGTTATTTTGTAATGTTTGTAGTGTTTGTAATGTTTGTTGGTTTCTTTGTATTGTTTGTAATGTTTGTTATTTTTGTCCACGTGTTTGTCATTTTTGTCAAATATGTTTGTAATGTTTTTTGAATCACAAATCAATACATATAAAGTATACAAATTATTAGTACTTACAATACAAAGCGACGTGATTTGCAGCACAAATCAATACATATAAAGTATACAAATTAATATTACAAAACATACAAACTATACAAACCATACTTACATTTTGTACAAAAATACTAACAATACAAACTAATGTTACAAAACATACAAACTATACAAATCACTGTTCTTCCTTCAGACGATGTCTCTCCACCGCCGCCGCCGCCGTCGCTGCCGCCGACTCTCTCTACAGCCGTCGTTACCTCTGTTTTCCCGGCAACATATCTACTTTCTCTCTCTTCCACCGCCTCCGTCGCGATCGTCTTTCCCTCTCTCCATCGTCGCCGACGCGGTTGAGATCTCCTCGCCGTCGCCCCCCTCTCTTCCACCGTCGACGTCCTTCTCTCCCCGCTGCTGCTTTTCTCTCTCTCTCCTATGGCCTGCAATGGCGACGTAGAAGAGGATGACTGGAGGAAAAATTGCGATCTCCTTTCCCTCTCTCCACCGTCGTCGGCGCCGTCGAGATCGTTGACTTTCTCTTTCTCTCTCTCATCCGCCGGCGTTGCCTCCTGTTTCCTCCGCCATGGCTCTCTCTCTCTACATCACAAAAAAGGGAAACTAAGAGACGTGTTGTAGAGGAAAAAAGAATTCAATAATAAATAAAACAAAACTAAAAAATAGGAGTTAATAAATTATTGATAATACCAAAACTACCCTTCTTATTTAATAATAATTAATTGAGTTATCTGGACCATCAGATCAATCCAATGGCTGAGGGGGGCTTAGTCAAGTGACTAAGGAACCCCCCTTAGTCACCAGATCCGGACTCCTTTCACAAGACGTTCCGTTGGATGGTCCTTGAGAGTTTGTGATAGGTTTGTCAATAATGATCTTTCAAATATTCTAAACTATTGTAGAAAACGTTAATAATAATTGCAATGTATTGTTAATATTATATGACATAAACATTGATAACGTTAAATTAAATTGCTCTCATCGGTTGTCTAAAAAGCCTTATAAGTTTTGATAACATTATGTTTCAATCTTACCAATTATTTAAAAATGTTAATAATATTGATGAAATGTTGACATAATATAAATGTATATTGCTAATGATACATGGTGTAAACGTTGATAATGTTACAATACATAGTTAACGTATGTCTAAGAAAATGTTTATAGTGTAAGCATTGATAATGTAATGCCTCAATCTTAACAAAAATTTTAAAAATGTTAACAATTTAGAAAATAGTGACTATTAGTGGCCAAAAAAATTATTTAGTAAACGTTGATAATATGACTGTATATTGTTAATAATGCCTCACATAAAAGTTGATAATGTTACATTACATTGTTAACAACTGTATAAAAATGTTAATAGTTTGAGCTTTGATAACGTTATGTTTCAATATTAACAAAAAAAAAATTAAAATCTTTGACAATCTAGAAATGTTGATTGTTCACAGTCAAAATAATTATTTTGGAAACGTTGATAATATGACTGTATATCGTTAATGATATCCCACATAAACGTTGATAACCTTACATTACATTGTTAACAATTGTCTACAAAACGTTAATATTATTAGCTTTGATAACATTATGTTTGAATATTTACAATTTTTTTAAAATAATTAATAATTAGAAAGATGGTTATTGTTAACAGCCAAATAATTATTTTGGAAACGTTGATAATAATGTGGTATATTGTGGATAGTTTAAAGCATAAGTATTGATAATGTCTTGTAATTGCTAAATAGGAATGAACATGAAAACATTAATAATTAGAACGCAAACCTTAATAATGATAGTGCATAATATCTCTTTTATTATCGACAACTCGCCAAGCAAGCAACAACTAAACCAATATGAAAACAAGGACAGTATTCAAACAATGCTCGTGAACGTTATTATATAAGGACCTTCAAATGATAAGATTTGGAATCCACCAACGTTGAGTCTTCAAAGCCGATGGGAAGATTTGGAACTCGCAACATGAAACACCTCCGCTCAAGACGACGACAGGGTGCAATGCTGACCCTTGGGAGCTCGAAGTCGACGACGGGAAATTTCTCCGCTCAGGACGACGGCGGGCTGCAAGTCTGCAACTCTGACCCTTTTTTATGAAAGTCTGCAACTCTGACCCTTGGAAGCTCGAGCTCAACAACAGGTAGCATCTCCGTTCATGATGATGGCAGGCTGCAACGTTGACCCTTGGAGCTCGAGCTCAACGACGGGAAACTTCTTCGCTCCTGACGACGGCAGGCTGCAACACCAACGGGAAGCTTGAGAAATGAAAATTTTAAATTAAAGTAAAGATATATTGATCCCGCCGGCAGTATAAAGTAACTGAAAAGGAAATATTGAAAACCTAAATAAAATACCCTATTTTACCCTTAATAATTACTAACTACTTAATAACCGTAAACTATTTTACAACTAACCCAGATTAATCTAATGGCTGTTATTCACTTAAGAAACTACTTAAGGTTTGGGCCCTGAACCTAGGCCCTTAACTAGCTATGCACGCTACCCTACTTCTCGTCAGATGGATGGGATTTTTCCAATAATAGCACCTTTAAAAAAAAATTACAAAAATAGCACCTATGTAAAAGAAATTCCACTAATAGCACCTTATTATTTGGAACGCACCCCTAAGATGCGTTTTAAATGTAAAACGCACCTTACAGATGCGATCTACACGTAAAACGCATCAGAGGCGGTGCAATCCACAATATAAAACGCACCAGACTGATGCGATTTGGGGAGGACGCGTTGCGATCCACCAGATCGTCGGATTGATAGCCGATCCAACGGCTAAGCGCACGCCAGCGGAGCGATCCGCGCCTTGGATCCCAGATCGCACGCCAGCAATGCGATCCGCGCCGGTGTCAGTCAAACCGCATTGGGAGGGTGCAATCTGCGCCTGGGGAAGCGGAAAACGCATTGGGAGAATGCGATCCGCGCGGGGAAAAATTACCGCCTCGCCCCTGGAGCCTGCGATTTGAAAAACTATAAATAGCCCCCCTCCCCCTCTCATTTCTTCACACCTTCAACCCATTCTTCCTTCTCTCTCTAAGTTTTATCTCTCTAAACCCTCCCCCTCCCAAAAGCCTAGGAAATAGTGGTCTATTGGTTGCGGCAAAGTCCGATCTGCCATTAGAAAATATTTCTTAGGTTTTATCCTCAAAACACGCCGAGCCGAGCCGAAGCTCTGTCCGAATTGCGCCGAAAAAATGGCCGATTGGTGGCAAGGAGAAGGAGTTTTTGTTGATGAATTTCAAGCGGTACATACTCATTATTCGGGTTTAATTTTTGTTGTTCTTATCTTGCTTTTTAATTAATCTATTTACTAACCTCGTTGTTATTTTCTCGTAGGCTGCGGAGGACGTCGATATTTACAACCAACGGTATTATCTCGAGCAAGGACCGTTGGATCCAACCGACTTGTACGACCAACCCAACCATCGGTCAAGGGATGTTTGGAACGCTCACCCGGTACATACAATTCTTTACCATTTGTCCTTCTTTTATTTTGTTAATGTATTTAGTGAAATATAAAATAAATTTATGTTGAATTTTTAATCGTGTTGGTTGTTTTCAATAATTTAATCGAATACATTGCGCCACTTACTTCGACTCTTTATAAAGAGATGCACGTCTAAGGAAATGGGGTTTTAAGCGATTATCATATCCTCCCATTCCCTAGGAAAATCGGGTATTAAGAGATCCTCGGATCCCCCCTTTTTCTGTCACCAAGACTGCGTTTCTAAGAAGATGTATACCTCTTCTAAGAGTTTAACGAGTGTTGCTTTGTATTCGATTAAATTATTTAAAACAACCAAAATGATTAAATAATTTACCAAACAGTCCTTACGATTTATTTTTATGTGTACAAATGGAATTTTATTAATTTCAAACAATTGAATATGTATGTTTCTCTTTAAAATATTGATTAATTAACAATGTCATTTAATTTAGTTAATTTAGTATGTTTATTTTACGATAATTAGTATGTATATCTTAATGAAATTATTCATTTAGAATGTTATTATGTTAATTAATTTAGGATGACATTTTATGATAATATGTATGTATCTCTTTAAATTATTATTAATTTATAATGTTATTATGTTAATTAATTTAGGATGTTCGTTTTATGATAATATGTATGTATCTCTTTAGATTATTATTAATTTATAATGCTATTATGTTAATTATATGAAATGTCTAAAGTATGATAATAAAATTCTGCTTGAAGTTAAATAATTTAATTTAAGTAATTTAGTTATAAGGATTAAACCCTTACTAATATATAATAATTAACGTGTAAATTTTCTCTAGGAGGCACAGACAATAATCTGCTACATCGCACCTCGGCCATGCGATTTTAGTAGGTCAGACCTAAATCGCATTTTGGCCATGCGATTTTACTAGGTCAGACCAAAAATCGCTTGGCTAAAGTGCGATTTGATTCCATATTTTTGGAACGCACTTTTAGGGTGCGATCTATTTTTGGAACGCACTTGTAGGGTGCGATTTATATGTAAAACGCATCTACAAGGTGCGTTCTATTAAAAAGGGTGCTATTAGTGGAATTTTTTTTACATGGGTGCTATTTTTGTAATTTTTTTTTAAAGGTGCTATTTCTGGAAAAATCCCCAGATGGAAGTCACATTCAGGATTTTATGTTACTTCCCGCTAGGTGGAAGTTACATTCATGTTATGGTAGCGTACTTCCTATCAGGTCGAAGTTACACTTAGGATTATGTTGCTTCCCGCCAGGTGGAAGTCAACATTCATGTTATAATGGCGTACTTCTCATCAGGTAGAAGTTACGCTCATGTTATATCTTCCCGTCAAGTGGAAGTTCACGTTGTATCACGTTTGGTAGCGCCCCTTTTCATAAAGAGTTATAAGAATACTAAATTTAAGCATGAAGCATTGCATGAGTATATTTATTTATTCATTCATTCAAGTATGTAATTATGAGTTTTTTCACCATTGACCCCAACGCCCGCGCTTAGGAGCTGTAGGGAATCAAGAGCATCCATATCAATCGCAGGGCGAGGACATAGCAGCTGCCCAAGATGTTATCACAAGGATTAGTGGTCCGAAGACCTTCCGACGGAACCAAGGTTGTCAAACCGGTTTATGCCAGTGTGCCGGTTTAGCAAGTGGAATGGTTTAACCGGTGGTACATACCGGTTTGTGCCGGTTCATGCCGGTTAATATTATAAATAATTTATAAATTCTCATATTTAAACACAACATTTAACGTCAATACCTAAATATTTGTACTTGAATCCAACAAATTACATCAATATTTAATTTTTTAACACATAAAATAAATAATAAATTACTTTTTATCAATTAAATTCACTAAGATAAGATCATTTTATTTGAAGATCCGTATATCGATCATGCCGGTCATACTGGTGGTGTCATGCCAGTTTTATGACCAGTACAGGTTGAACCAGTGGCACGCCGGCCGGCGTGACAACCATGGGCGAAACTTATTTAAGTTTATTCATTAATTGTTGGTGGACTTAAGACTCAATAAGAATTATGTTTGAATACTTTTAAGATGGATTTTCCCCTTGTATTTTGGAATGATCTTTATGTTACTTCTATGCATTTACTATTTGACTAGAGCACTTCTACTATACTATATAGCATTGGTGCTTTAATGTACAACTCAAAGTTGTACCATAACATAAAATGTATAAGTTTAGGTTGTACCATAAATCAATTTGTACCATTATGTTATGGTACAACTTTACAACTTGAAGTTGTACCATCACATAAAGGTACAAGTTCAAGTTGTACCATAAAAGAATTTGCACAAAAAGTATAGGTACAATTTATAGTTGTACCATAACATAAATGTACAATTTTAAGTTGTACCATAAAGGCAAAAACCTGTAACACCAATACTATATATCATTGTAAAATTTCTCATTTGACTAATATCAATAGTATTTGGGTAAAAGTAGTGGCCTATCGGTCTAGGCCCTAGGGTGTCACAGGCTTATACCCAGGGGCGGACCTAGGCACAAGGGAGGTGTGTCATCTGACACACCTCCGCCCGAAAATTTTGTGAAAGACCCCTAATTCGTCGGTACTAAAATTTTGATCTCGGGATTTCCGACACACCTCTGATCATTGTCTCCGACACAACTCCATTGTGTTTATGGAAATTTATTGTCATAAGTTATCAAAATATATAAATATAAGTTCAGGCTAGCGTACGTCCGACCACCGTACGCCAATTGGGTTTTGCTATTTAGATAAATAATTAACCGGACTTTGGGGCATGATCTTATATCCTAACCTCTAATGGGTGAACCCCAATCCCTAATTTTCTAACCCAAACTGCAAAATTTGGTCAATCTTAAAATGAAACTCAACAATAATTTCGACGAATCAGAATCATTGATTTTCATTTTTCAAGATTAAATGAATCTTATGTTAGGTTAGTGAATTGGGGATTGCGGTTCACACATTGGAGGTTAGAGTATAATATCATTGTTTATAAATGATTGTTAAGTACTTAAGTTGTGTATATTGAAAAGCATTTGCTTTGCAGCATAAGTGATGAATGTATTTTAGAGACATTTCAGCAGATGAAAAGTCGTCGTGATTCGTTGTAAAATGACATTGTGAACTTCATAAATTAATTTCTTTTAATTTCTACTTAATTTTTTTATTTAATTATTATTTTATGTTAGTGGCGACACACCTCTCCAACAATCCTAGGTCCGCCACTGCTTATACCCTTTTGATTGGGTTGGGGTCTAAAAACCCGACCGGCTTGACTCATTGCCATCGCCGTGCTTCACTTCAATTCTTCCTACGCTGCTGCTGAGACTTGAGAGCCACAGAGAATCGCTTCTGTTCGCGAGAGCTCAAGCTTCACTACTGAATTTAAATGGAATTTTCGGACACGGCTCCTTCCGGCGCCGCTTCTTGCACTTCCGCCGCCAACTGGACCGTCGCCGGTGGCTCTCTCAAGAACTCCGTCACGTTCGAGTCCCCTCTTTCTTTCATTGACGACCAGGACTGCGACAGCGGTGACAATTGCGGTCAGGAACCGGTCGACTATTCAAATTCAAAATCGGAGTCTCCTCTCATCCTCTACCCTCCTTCTCCTGATTCCTTTTCCTGCGAGATCACACGTATGTTCACCAATTCCTTGCTTCTATCCAAATTAGCTTGGGGATAAATGAAATTGCTAGATCTCGGATCCTGTTTGTTTGTCTATAAACCCGACGAAAATTTGATTATTGTAGCTTGAAGCTTTTCCAGTTTCGGACATTGAATGAATATCAGTTAGCACGTAGTTTTTATGTTATTTTCCTTTTCATAGGACGGTTTTTTTTTTTTTTTGACTAGTTCATTTCGAGTTGAGAGATTGGTTGGATGAGAGAACTAATTTCCTCGATCAACAAATATGGCATATGTTAACTCTATGTGAGATTCACTGAATCCATGTAAATGGATGCTTCCGCACTGAACGGATATCAATCATATTGAGCCATTGTTATGCATCTGTGAACCTCATGCTTAGTCATCTCTTCTAAATCTTCAAGAGTTTATTTCCACAGTGACCTTCCCGCAGAAGCAAGAGGTGAGGCAGGTCTATGTTAGAAGCACAGCCCGAGTCTTTGAAATATATTGTGCCCCTGAATCGGAGAGCAGTGCCGAGTATCTGTGTACTGTTCGTTGTTGTGTTGCTGTTAGGGATGAAGAAGTGCTTCGTGCAACTAATATAGAAGAAGCTGTACTGGTTCATCAAATGGGCTCTAGTAATGATTTAGCTAAAGGAAAATTTAGAAATGGTGCTAGCCCAACTGGCAGTGAAGATGACTGGGTTGATGTCAAGGCTCTTCGTAATTCTCTGCCCTCTAAGGAAAATGGTTCCATGTCATCAAATTCGGACACAGATGCAGGGTGCAGCTCACAGGTATTAACAATATATCTTGTTTTCTAATTAGGATCATATCTATATATTTTCATCCTTTCCATTTGGACTCCATTGGAGTCATGAATTTTGCTTGGCTAGGAGATTCACCAAAGTTTGTTCTTAGGTTTTGGAAGACTAGTGGTGATAACGAGACTGTGATAAATTAAATGGGATGCAGAGGTGTTACCTATATGGTTATAACACAGCTATCTGTGCTGCTTTGCCTCTTCGAGTGTTTTTAGAAACCAGATCAATAGTAGGTATCTTGGAAGGTTGCTTTTGGATAAGGATTTTCAGGCTGTTTAGCAAATTCTTAGTACTGACTTGCTCCAAGGTGTATGTGTACTTCTGAGTTGTAATGAATTGATGTTTCTAAATCTTCAGGATCTATATGAAGCTACTGCAGAGATTAGTGACACGGATCCTTGCAAGTCACTTACGATCAGACTTCTGTCACTTCAGAACAAAGGTTGTGTATGCATTGATCAAGTCTACGTGTTTGCTTTTCCCATTGATGCAGCTACCCAGGAAACTCAACCCATTTCAGCAGAAAGTTCTTCTGGAAGCTCGCTCATGGCTATGCTTATTCCAACCTTTTTTCAATTGTCTAGAACTCATGGCGTTGGCCGGGAACAAGAAAAGCTCAACATTGACAGAAGTGAACAACAAGTATCTGTTGAAACGTGTCTAACGATTACTGATGCAATGGGGACAAGAAACGTAAGTGAGGAACTGGGTCCTTATGATACTCAGTCTCGAGAAGAACACAAGTCTGGGGAAGTGAGCCCAGTAATACCCGATTCAGTTAGTACAGAAGATAAAGTACAACATGAAGAAAAAGATCTTCCATCTTTTCAAGAAGGAATCAAGTTGCCAGATGCAGTCCATAGTCAGATCCCCGCTAGTTCTTTTGAAACAGAATACAGAGCCAGGTCATCACAAAATTGCACGGGGAGTGTTCTTGATCACCTTGTATCTCGGGTCAACAGAATAGAAGATTTGATATTGAGGTTTGAGGGAAGTATTCTCGAACCCATAAACAGTATTGATAAGAGGCTCCAGCGAGTAGAGCAGCAGCTTGAAGTGATTGCAAAGAAAAGCCATAACCCTGGTACTAGAATCTCAGCTCCTGAATTTGCATGCGGTGAAGCAGAAGCCAACTCGTTATATAACAGTGGAAGTTTAGATCTCAGTTGTATGGCTTGTGAGGATACCAAGAAGGACCCAGCCTCAGCTGCATCATCTATCCCTCCTGAAGAAGATGTCAATCTGGTACAGCCCAGTCTGGTAGTCAGTACCCCTAAGTTTGATATTGCCGAGGAGGAACAAAATCTTGCAATAGAACCAGTTCCAGAACCTCTCAAGTCTGAGCAGAAACATTCTGTATCAATTGATGATGCTTTGGCTTCAGCATTTGCTGGCTTCTTGTCTTCCACTTTATCACAATGCCAGGACAAGTATTCTCAAACTCTTGCCACAAGAGCTCCCGACTTTCTCAATGAAGATGAAGACGAAAATGACGATGATACGACCTCTTCACCAAAAATACAGTCAGAAACTCCAATGGATCCTCTAAATAATGATGAGATTCCAGGTCTCTTAAAGTTGCATCCAGAAATGACCACAGGCCTTTCAGCTCCTGTCAACGAAACTTGTGGGGCAGATGGCTTTACAGCTTCATTTTTATCTATGCCCTGTAATAAGAATGTGATTGGATCACTAGATGCTGAAGGCTTCCCGTACATGGAAAGAACACCTATTGGGCAGTGGCAAGATGGGGAAGGGTGTGAAGGTGATACACAGTTAGTTGAACTACAGCAGGAAGAGGCTGAAGATCCAACAAGCAATGCTGCTATTGTCCAGCCAACTGAGATGCTAGAAGAGGCATCCAAAGAACAGACTAACCACAGCGATCCATCTCAAGTTGCTGCATTGCGTAAAGTATCTGGTTTCACACCAGATAACGAACAAGACTCGAACCAAGATGCACTGGAGATCATTCATTTCTCGCGTACCTCGTCTTCAGTAGTTGATTATGGGAAGCCCATACTGGAGGTGAAATTTGCAAGTGGAGAGGGATTGAATGGAGGGTCTCCTCTGCAATCACTTTTGTCTGGGTTTGGTGATGTGGACATTGAAGTTCCTTCAACTCGAGAAACAGACGAGGACCTATCTGGACTTGTTGACAATCATGGCGACTTGATTCCGGCAGAAGATTGGGAAGCGGCCGGCTCTACAATGGAGAGCTGCATTTCCTTGGATATGAACTATTACAGCCTCGAAGACGAACACACGAACATTGAAGCAGCTGAGAACCAGGACGATTGTGAGCCCTGTTACAATCAGGATGGGTCTGCAACAAGCCTCATATAGATAAATAGCCATTGCGGGATTGCATCAGGTCAGATGATGTTAAAGCGGTAAATGCTAGCTTAGTTTTAGCTTTGAGGCATATACCATTATGCATTATCCTCACCTCTTTTTTGTGGAAAGTTCTGTTCATGATTGGCACAAGCTTCTCCTTTCTTCCGGCTGTAAAATGCCGCTTATGAAATAACTAGGGTGTCAGCCTGTCAGGCGTAGCCAGAATTTCGTTCTGGGTCTATTTATGGAAACATAGTTTTTGTCAACTTTTATTAAATTACTCATGATCTACACCTCTACACCAAATATATAATAGAGAAATTGGAAATGTTCTCCATTTCAAAATTCGAATAAAAGTAAGAATGATAGATTTGTCTTTATAGTAATTTATTATTTATGATTTACATGAAAAAAATACATCAGTAATAGAATCAGTAATAGAATTTGAACCGTGTTTTATTCAAACATAAGAAAGAAACATAACTATCTATACTAAAAAAATATGTTAGAATTTTTTAAATTAAAAACATACATGAAGCTAAAATTTGAAAAATCATAGGACTTACCCACCATGATTGGCTAACCTACTAACTCTATTGTAAATATTATTTGGTATTGTATTTTTGTATTTTGATTATTCTAATCAAACTTTAATAATTAAATTTTTTTATCTTATAAAAAGATGATAATTTAAAAATTGTAACTGAAATGTCATTGGTTCAAATATTACGTATCGAATTTCGGTACTGAACGTGCAGAAGCGATGTAGAATTCTTAACATGAACTTAATTTTTATAACTACCATAAAGCAAGATATTTTTAACACATAAATTTTGAATGAATATAGGCACATGTGTCTTTAAGATAGGGTAAATATGAAAAGGTTTAGTGATGTTGGTTTGTTGAATGCGGATGGAAAATGCCCTACTAATGTAAACGGGCTCAAATAGTGCCCGAACCACTAAATGCTGAACATCATCGTCTCTCCGAACTTCCTATCGAACTCAACAACCGGCTAACCTTCCACCTCTATTGTTACGCCATAGCAATTTTCGTAGTGATAAATATGGAAAGGTTGAGTGTTGTTGGTTTGCTGAACGCGGATGGAAAATGCGCTACAAATGTAAACGAGCCCAAATAGTGCCCCATCCCACTAAACGTTCAACCATCGCGCCTACTTTCGCTACAGCTAATACAATAGTGAAATGGGAAATGTATTTCTCCCAGGCCCCATTACAAACTCTCTGAATCCAGAGCGAAAGTAAGAATGATAGATTCATCTGTACAATCATTTATTATTTTTTTGTTTACAGGAAAAAAATACATCAGTAATAGGACTGTGGTGTCTTTAAACAAGGAAACATAACCAGTTACACTAAACAAATTTGTTTCATCTTTTAATTTTTAAATTAAGAACATACAAGAAGCTAAAATATGAAAAATCTCAGGACTTTTCCACCAGGGTTAGCTAACCCACTAACTCTCCCGTAAATAATTTTTTGGTTTTGATATTTCTATATACATATTTTGATTATTTTAATTCTAGTTTAATAATTAATTCAATTTTGATTATCTTATAAAGGGAGGTTAATTTAAAATCACTACCCTAATGTCAAAATGACATACACTTGATATATTTTGGGAAAAAATTGAGGTATATATTACCATTGTATACCATGATGGTACTACTTGGTAGTATACAAGATTTGATGCAATATCGATTAGCACGATATTTAATTCTCGTGGTCCAAAAATAAAGATTCGAATTGAAATATATAAGGATGAATTGTAAACATTGTTGATAAATAAATGGATGTTCACGTTGTTTAGTAGTTGTTGCCTACTCGTAAGAACGTCCACACGTGAAATCACATTAATCCATCCTATTAATTTTGGGGCGTGCTTTAGATGGATAGTATTAATTTGGCAGCACATGATTTCTAGAAGTAGACGTTTGTTTGCATGGAGTATTTATTAGTATTTTTATTTGGTTATTTTGGAGTTTAATCGATAGTTTTAGTCCTTATTAAATAAGTCTTATGTCTACTTAGTTTGAGACTTGTTTTCATATTTGTAGGAGGTTAGATTTATGATTTTTTTTTTACCTCTATGGATATAAGGTCTACAAATTTTATAACCAATATTCAAGTTTTTACCAATCAATTAAAGATTTTAACTCAATTCTTACCAATCACGACCAAGGTGCCAAGAACTTGAGATGTTGCAATGAGCTATGAAAAGCTCGATGCTAACTATCCTACTCCTCTAATTAGGTCAAGTGTAACTTAGTAAGGCAAAGCAGCATAACGGTAAAGTCGTGGCTTCCATCATAAGTATTTCACTAGCTTTTACCCGACCCGTTGGTCGGATCAATTTCATTTTATTTGGTACATTTATGGTTATCAATATTTATATTTTAAATTATTTAAATGTTTAGTCTCCCCACAATTGAAAGTAATATTTGTGATACTCGTTGTTAATGATATTACGTGTAATTAGTTCATATGTATTTTTACTGATCTGTATACATTTCTAGCCTCTTTTTCTCTTTTGTTAGATATCAAATGGAGGAATCAATTTTTTTCATTGACCTATTGATTGGATAAATTTCATTTATTTGTTATAATCTTATGCTTATCGAGTGTATTTTTACACAAATTTGAAAAATTTAAATGATTTATTGATAATTTGAAAGTAAATTTCTTATTTGTTATTATGACATTACTGATAATTAGTTCATAGGGAGTTTTAATAATCATATTATCGTAGGTTACTTTTGTTTATATATTTTTACATTTCATAAGAAATCTGTGTACTTCTTACTCATAGCATTAATTATTTAAATATTTAATAAGATTCAATATTATTAAATTATTTTTCTATTAAATCCAAAAGAATGTAAGACAATTATATAGTAAAATATTAATTAGAAATTCCAAGGGATTGTCCTATTGAATATTGATAATACGAAAGGATAAAATTCATTACATAGTTGGTTCGAACTTTATGGTCAACAATCAACAAAAAACTAATAGTTAAAGAAATTAAATTACTCAATATTAATTCATAAATAGCACATATATCACATAAAATAGTAGTGGTTGTTAAGAGCTTACATTAGCATATGAGAAGAGTTCAAGGCCATCATAATACAAAAAAATAAAATTCATCACATGTTTTTTCAAACTTTATGGTTAACAATCAACAATAAAAATAATAGTTAAGAAAGTCAATTACTCAATATTAATTCATTAATAACTCATATATCTCGTAAATTAGTTAAAACTGTTGTTAAGAGCTTACATTAGTATATGAGAAGAGTTCAAGGCTATTATAATTGTCAAATAACAAAAAAAATTATTTTTTTTAATTGCCAGATCACACACTTAATGATCAACTCTAATAGTTGACTGCCACATCAGATAAATTTAGCAGATTTGGACGAAGAGTGACCAAACTTGAAATGTTTAAGTAATTTTAGTGACTACTAATGAAATTAAATATTTTTAGTGACCAAACGCGAACCTTTTTAGTAAACCCCGTTACCAGCCATGAAATTAACCCATTAGAAAACCAAATTAATATTTAAAAAGATATATGGGGCATCTGGATCATTGATTTTGGTGTTTCATTTGATATTCAAATACAACACCTCCGAGATTTGTCAAACTTCACCATTTGAAGATACTAAAAATGTATACCAATTACGTAGCGTCAGTGAAATTTTTGTCCAAAACTGATTGAGCATGTATTTATAAAAATTCATATCACTATATGAGATTTAGCAAATTTAACATATCAAGTGTCGCATGCTTAAATATGTATTCCACAACTGGTGGTGACAAAACTAATTAGAAGAAGCATTTTAATTAGAAAATCCAAAGAAGTAATCATATATCATCTCATCCTGATCTCATTTGAAGGCAAAGGACTCGAAAGCTTCGTCCACCTTTGTGTTCCTTCATCCGTTTTGCTGGAGCGTCTGGAAAGAAAGGAACCATAAATTTTTGAAGACCAAGTGAAGTCTGCTCCTGAGATTTTGCTTCGAAGTTGTAAGAGTTGTTTGAGTCGTTCCTCATTACTCTTGCCGCATGCAACATTTAGCTTGAATGGTTAACCTTGTGTGTCCCTTCTGTCTTGAGTGACTTTAGCTATTATGAATACAAACACGCACACAATTCTACGATGGACTCAGACACCATTACCAGATCAGCCTCCATTGCAGTAGAAAGCTCAGAGCTGACCTGCCTCAAGTCAATGCATGGAATTCCACAGCCATTCGCAACAACTCTTACCGGGAGTGATAACGAATTCTCTTCGGAACCATCTGAGTTGGTGATCATTGCATTTGGAAGTAGCCCTCCAGCTTCAGCAGCTCTTCTAAGAATGTCACAATGCCATAACAATGGCAAACATCCTAAATGATAGACTGGATACTGAACATCTAAACAAAACGCTTCCAATTAAAATTGGATCATTCAGAGCAGGAACATAGTTTGCAACCAACACAACCTGCAAGTGATCCCATTTCCAGCTTCGGTCTGTTAAATTACAATGGTCACCACACTCTTGGTGAAGGAACAAAATCTCAAAAAAGCTAAGTGCTCAATTTGAGCTTAACTTTGTCAAAATCTGGTTGACAGTGGGGCAAAAATTGCCAAATCCGAAATCATTACGGGGATAGTTAAAGTGAATGGTTTGTTTAGGTAAATGGCAAGTGTTTTAAGCTTTAAATTGATCCACATAAGGATGGGCCAGAGGATTATAATTAAAGTTAATTTGATTTAGTACGTGGGCGGTGGGAGTTCTACCTTATCTCATTAAGGTGGGAGGGTTTTGTTTTCTTCTAGTCCTCTCTTATTGTACTGCGAACAAAAGGGTTCAAGGTCATACAAACAAATTATTCTGCAATTGACAGAGCCTTCTATATAAATACCCAACTCCATTTAAACACCACGTCTATATTAATGCTAACTCCAATTTTTTCACTTCTCAACCAGCAAATCAAAGTTGAATGGAGATCAATTCTCATTAAACCACACTTTAGGTTGCTCTCCAAAAATTAAATAATGACAGATGACCAAATGGATCAACTGGAGAAGGAGCAATGGAAGTATGCTTATAAAAAGTTGCTTTGTCAATTGAAGGTAAATTCATTGTGTTGGTTTGGAAGAAGTTTGTGATCACAAAGAGGTGTCAATGGGAGATTTGATTATGCATTCATTTCCACCCGATGCTAACTGACTGGGGTATGAATTTCCTGTCTGAAAGTAATTGATGCAAAGGAGGTGTGAATGGTATATTTCATTATGCATTCATCTCGATCAGTGGATTACACAAAGCACTTGCAACCAAAGTGAGACGTACGTACCTGTGACTGTGAAGATGAGACTGTATTTCATGATTTGAAGCTCTTGTTCTGACTGTAGCTCCACTTCTTCGAGAATGCATCAAAGCTAAAAGGTCTACCATATATGCATCCAACATCAGGAAAGAAAGCATCCCATTGAGAAGAGAAAGAAAGCATGTTTATCATTCCTAATGCACTGAACAACCGAAAACTGAAACAGACCTGAAAATTCATCCATCATCAGGAAAGGGTCCAGAGAACTGAGCTCACTCCTGGAATGAAAGAAAATCCAAATTCCAACCACAACCCACTTCAAAGACACAAATTTTGACAACTTGGAAAGGCAGTTCAAGCTTAAGGTAGTTCAACAAATTTGGATCTTGGGCAAGCTACAACAAAAATAAAAACTCCCATCTGTAGTCATCAAGAAAGATTAGAAGGGGAAGATAGATAACTGACTGACTTGTACTAAAGAATACTCTCTTCGAGGAACTGCGAATGTGTGTGTGAGAGAGAGAGAGATAGAGAGAATGAATTGTGTTGTTTATTCATTACCAATGTCAGCTGATATTAGACACTCTCCTTCATGATTAGGTCCAGACAAGATGGTTCCCGATGGCGAGACAATGCAGCTAATTGAACACAAAACCCATCCAAGGCCAGCCAGCCAATTCATTCATCAGAAAACAACAGAATAACAACAAAGGTAACAAAGGAGGATAACATGCCCGATAGCCGAGTTTCCTTTGCCGACGGCAGTACTCGAGGTCGGCAGCCCTGTTCCTAGAAATCAGTTTGCCACGCTGCCACCGTCGGTCGCCAGCCGGATCTATTTCCTTGCTACTCTGTTCTCCCCCGCTACCGTTGATTTTAAGCTTCCTTACCTCGCCATCGCATTCGTTATCACCATCTTGACATCCGCCAATTTCGTTGCTGATTGTCGGTCCCAGAAGCGAACGGAAACAGGGAAACCCCTTCTGGCGTCGCCTCTCCGTCTCCCTTCTCCCTTCACCAGCCCATCCTGCTTTCCCCGCTGGGCTCGACTTCAAATCGCCGGTTGGCTGGCAAGGGTTCAACGCAGAACTACCTAGTCTAGATTGAGAGAAGCAGCGGGAGAAAACAAACCGAAACAATCTCGCCTCCCCTTCGAATCAGCGGTTGTCTGCAGAATCGTTCACCACATAACTACCAAATCTCACCTTCCTCCGATCAGCAGCAAGCGCCAGTCCCTGTTCCCAAAATTGTCCGCTGACAAATGGACTCCTGCCGTGCTGCGGGAAGGAGAAAGCAAAACATAGATAACCCAGAAGAAAATGGAAGGTAATTTCAGCCGCAAAAAAAGTAGTGGGAACCGACGGTTTCTTATCTCTCCTTGAGGCGGGGATTTTCTAATTTAATCCCGCGTAAACACCTTGCCACGTCAGACTCCTAAAATCACTCTATGGTCAGGAAAATTTGAATGGGGTTGCAGTTTTACTTTTCATCAGCTATAAATGATACTGTTGATATGTAAAGAAAAAAAAAATACATATACCTCCAAAAATCATATAAGAACTTTTTTTTACCTAACATTATTTTATTTGATAACCCAGGGAACCTCAGCTCCACGTGCCGCTTGAGCGACAGCGGGGCCTACTAAACCACTGGGGTTACCTGCGTACTAACCGGGGCTTTCTGCTACCAACATCGGGGAGGCTTCGCCTCTGATACCAAGGGTGCCGCCGGGAACGCTCAAGTGACGCCAGTGAGAATTGAACTCAGGACCTCCCACATTCAGAGCTCAATTGGTCCAATGGTTTCACCAGTAGGCTATGTTACCTTTGGCTTTTTTTACCTAACATTAGTTAACAACAAGCTGAAAATCTAGTTTGTTTGTTTGTTTGTTTTTTGTAAATATTAATCAGGCCGACACAAGAGATAGCCGGTTGGGTGCTGTTCAGGAGGAGATTGATCATTATTTTCGTGCTCAGCCTGGCTTTAGTGTGCGTTTTGTAGGTCGGGAGAACAATAGGGTAGCTCATTTGGTAGCTAGGAAAGCCCTTTCTTTGTATCCGACTACGAGTCGCTTCTTTGATTTCCAGACCTGGCTGGTTCCAAGGGTGTAACTATCTTTTGTTTCGATCAATATATGATATCTTTTGACAAAAAAAAAATAGAAATAGAAAGAGAGAGAATCAAAGCCAATTGGATTTGTGCTAGTGTATCACAACATACACGTCTACTAATGGACCTTAATGACTAGAAAACAAGGCCCATAATACATTATACAATAACAAAATCGACTCAATAAGCTAACCAACAAAATGAAAATGATCACAGGATAATACTTTCCGCTTTCCAGTCAATTTGGAGAGCATATGGGAGTAACTATCCCTCTTCTAGTTAAGTCCACGCTCACACAAGAAGCTTCCACATACTCAGGCCGTTGACTTGCCAGCGAAATATCCTGCATCACTATCTCATGGCACCGCACACTCTTGCTGCACTCCAAATTTATTGCCACCTTTGAAGCACTTGTCCCCTTTATGTTCTTGTACATCACATTGCTCACTCGCACAGCTGATGCCTGCTCACAATAAAATTACCACATTAATTATCCTGGGATTTTATTTTATTTTGCGGTTCGATATTACCACAATTCAAAAACATAGTTCTTGTTAAACCCGGATTTTTTCCCCTCTCTCTCTCTTAATTTGTAGCCGATTGGGTACCTGTTCGTGACATGGCTCGTTTTGATCGCAGTAATTTTGATCTATGATAATGGGATTGGTCACGTTGTTCATCGCTATGTTTTGGAATTGTATGTTTCTTGCATAACCTGATCCTCCCTGCCCACACAGTAATAAGATATAAGAAAGTGAGGAAATCTACACACAAAAACCTGTTCATGGAGATTTGGTAAATTTCCCAATAGTCATCAATGAATGGACGGTTTGAATTTTATATCAACTTGTATCAGGAAAAGTAGTCCAACATTTATTTAATAAATTGTCCAAAAACTTTTGGTACTTTGGAATAAAATACATTCCTAAAATTATGCTCATAATAAAAAAAAATTTAATCCACTTATTTTCATTCATATTACTAAACAAGGTAAATGTTCACTAAAAAAGATTTAACAAACAAACTAAATATGGAAGTAGAACTAGTGAATAACCCGGATATACATAATCCTACACAATCATGAATCTACAGTTTATTATTGTCTTTTAATATGGATTGTAAAAAAAATTATGCGTAAAGACAAGGAAGACTTCATACTGTCATCTCACCATGATAAAGAGTATTTCATTGTTTTATAAAATAATATTTATTTTGTATAAAACATGTACGCGATTGGACTAGTTAACCACCACAGTTGTATCTGTATCGATCACTATGTTATATATTTTGTATACCATCATGATATATAGCTTATATGACATGTGATATAAGGATTGAGAAAAACTAAATAATTACAGGATCAACAATTGCCAATTGGTGTCCTGTATATTAAAGGAGGTAAGATAACTAAGTTCATGAACTATTCATATTATTCTTTCTAGTAGGTCGGATGCGGTTTACCTGCCAAGTCTTGATCCTAACCCCGTTGCTCGTTCCAGTAAGGATTGCTCTATTTACCACAACATCTGAGACCTGAGCTCCTGAATTCCCAGCTCCTAAGCTCCCAATACTTTCCATAAAAACAAAGGAAGAAAGTAGTTTCACTGTTTGTATCGTTCAGTTTGGTAGGAAATTCAGTTCAGTTTGATTTGAAGTATCCAACCTTATTCCGTGACCAGGTCCGCAAGTTATGTCCGTGGCTTTAACGTTTCTGGACCCGCTTACTATTGAGATACAGTCATCGCCTGCATTTGACGGAAAACAAAACAAACAAACATTTGTTAGTATATAGGGTCCAAGTAAGCAATCATGTGTTGTTGGTTAGGAAAGGAAAATGGAACCATACCCGTTTTGATGACACATCGGCTGATTTGAATATTCTGAGTGGCGGTGACGTGGATGCCATCGGTGTTGGGGCTGTTTTCTGGAGCGGCGACTAACAGTCGCACGACTTTCACGTCCACGCATTTATCAAACGAGACGTGCATCTTCTGTGAGTTCCGAAACCTTAAGTTCGATACGATTATGTTGTTGCACTCGTAGAACGTGACCGCCTGCCCACAAATCAGATATGTATATGAACACAATATGTCATTATCTCAATGTAAAGTGTAAATTAAACCAAACAAGGCAAAGGGTGGTGTGGTACTCACATTTGGTGCATCTTGGCAGGGCTGCAGTGAATTACAAAGAAACGTTCAGAAATTAATTAGTGTAAATATCTTCTTTTTATATGGGTAGTCCATTGGACTGTTGACTTATATGGAACGTTATGATATACATATATATATTAACACTAAAGGGCAATAAGTTAGAGAGAGAGAGAGGTGACATTGATGAAGTTGTAACTTACAAGTCTTGTATTGACTTTGCAAGAGTTTTGCCACCAAATTTGGCCATTCCCGTCGATAGTTCCACCACCCTTCACTCTGAAATTTTGGAGGCTCTCAAACTTTATCCAGTGTCTTCTGTCATTTTCGTAGTCTTTCATGTCTCTAGACGCCTTAATCGTGCCGAAAATCTAAACCACACGCGTACGTAATTTTGCGATCAGGGGAAGGAAAAAAGAAGAAGAGTGCAGACGTCGTCGTCTATAATTCTCAGTAAATGAATTGCGGTGAAACCTGAAACATGATATTATTAGCTCGGCAAGGCCCTGCAAATGTGATGGGTTTGAGTAGGTAAATCTTCTTCCTAGGAACCGCAAATACAGTAGTTGGCGCTGTAGATGAACAAGCTGCCTTCCAAGCCTTTTCAAATGCCTAACCAAAAACCCACCAACTCAAATTCAGGACCAACCGTACTTCACCCAAGTTCTTCTTTTTTTAAGAAGAAAAAAAAGACCTAGGTAGCTAGCTCGCTAGAGATGTTTATTTGATATTTTACCTGAGTGTCATCCCACCTTCCATCACCTTTGGCTCCAAATCTATCTACGTTAACAATCTTCACTCTCACAGGTCTCCTGCTTGAAGCATACAATTGGCTGTTCTGAGGGTACAAGCCAAAACAGGAAACCAAAGGGAAAGAAGAAGAGGCTAAAATGAGGCAGAAAGCAGTTGGAACCCAAAATCCTAGTGGGTTTGGTAACATTGTTTTAAAAAAAAAAAAAATTGTTGTGAGTTTTCAAAGAGAAACAACAGGCAATTAGAGATATGATTTTGTGAGGGAGATGTTTACCAAGTTTAATGTGGTCTGGAGACGATATATATATATATACACACACCGAAAAAGTTGGGGGAAGTTCCTCTTTGCAGTTGGCAGGCAGAAATTTGACTAAGGTTTGGAGGATCACTTTTGGCTTTGGACAAAAATTGCACACACACAAAATGGGTGATCATCGGAGGCAGTGTTTAGGTTTTACTTTTAACCTGGAATTTGAGACCCAAATTAGTTGTAGGCGTAGCTAGCTCACAGAAGTTTCTTATCCACATTTGACCATCAAATTTTAAGTAACGGGTATATATATATATAAAAAATAGTTGAGATTCAATGATGCATATCAATAACTAGCGAATGAATACTATAATTAGATTGTAATTAATTTACATTTTATGTGCACAAATATTTGAAATCCGAATTAAAATCAATAGGAATGCGACTTTATAAAATAATAATGGAGAAAAATTCTACCTAATTATAGTTTCTTATTTACTACTGATTAGTGTTAACACCATAACAAAACTAGAGGTGTTATTTACTTATCTCCTCTCTGCCTCCATGTATATATAGCATATGTACGTAATATTATACTTCGTACCACCATGCTATAAATTTTTTTTTCTCGATAAGTTGCTATTCTCATTAAGCTCAACTGGCAAAGTCCATAATAAAAAATACAAAAAATGGTGAACAAACACCTACCACAACAAGGAAAACCTAGAAACCACCCCTTATAATCTACCTTTTACATGATTACCCTGCCCCTACGCCCGAAGAATGGTAAACGCAACGCTAAACTCAGGATGATTAACACCAAATAGATCTACATCCGATCTAAAATTAGCCACCAGCTTCTCCACAGAAGTCCTACCACCACCAAAAATTCTGCAGCATCTCTCTCACCAAATTGCAGCTAGCAGCTAGCAGCCAACACCAACAAAAACCAACCACAGGCCCCTGGGTATTTGTCTTTAACAAACCAATAGCATCACCAAACCATGACTCCCACCCTCTATCAGCAGGCATTGGACAGCCCTGTAAAACCACGTCTGCAACTCTTCTCGTGTATGCACACTCAAAAAACAAATGGCTTCGAGTTTCATGGCTGCTAGAACAAAGCACACGGCTAGGGTCAACTGCCATCCCCCAACGAAGCAACTTGTCTCTTGTGATAATTATGTCTTTAATAATAAGCCAGGAGAGGAATCTGTTGCTAGGACATGCTATAAATTTTATACCACTGATATATGGTAATTTATACAATAATGGTAAAATTAATGCATCAATTGAAGTATTTTGTTTTCAAAATATAGATGTTATTTTGTAGATCATAAATTAGTCCAATTTTCATATGCTAAAAACCTAAAATTTGAGTTAAAACGAAAGAAAAGTATCAGTTGAGAATGAACAACAGAGCGATTCAATAAAAAAAAACAGAGTGATTAGGTTTTATATAGGAATTAATTACGATCTAAAGGTATGAATTAATCCGTTCGTTGGCTAGCCGCCGACTTTCTATAGCTTCAATATTTGATTGAAATGTATAGATAAATAATAAATTAAACGTAGTTAATAAATTTACTGTATGCCTCAAATCTTAATTGATTTCGTAGAATTGAATTTATTGGGTAATGTATACAAGCAAACAACTGATGTACGTTTCTTTTATTTAAGTACTAATAGTTCGTCCTTCTGGAGTATGTAACATCGGTGTTTTTTTTACTAATAGATCACTTGTATTACCAAGGTAAAAAGCTAGCAAAGTTTACAACCCAAGTACAAATCATCGACTAAAATCAAAAGTACTATAACCACAGGCAACCAAAAAAGGGGTCTTCCTAGCCACCTCATGGGCCGCCCGATTGTTACTCCCGCCAACAAAGGCCATCTCAAATCGCTGGTACTGATGTCGCAGCTTCCGAATTTCTTCAAGAATCCGTCCACCCTTCACATCTCGTATATCCATATTCTGAATTTTCCCGGTGACAACCTTTGCATCCCCATAGAATTGCACTTCAACGAGACCCTTCAAAGAGCACCACTGAATCGCATCACGAAACGCCACCAATTCCACCAGAAATGGATCCACCAGACCAACATAATGAAAGCCTTGCACAAAACAAACCCTCCCCAACCCATCATATACTACCAAGCCCCCAGCACCATGCGACCCAGAGAGAACAACACCATCAACATAACAACGATAGGGAAAGGGAGCCTGGTGCCTTCGAGCCCCACCAACTTGTCCATGAAGTTGCTGTCCGTTTCCTTGACTCCCACGACCGAAATCGACTAGCTAACCATTTACGAACCTGCTTGTCATACTGTCTTACTAGCGTAGCCACACCATGCTGGAGATGGTCAAAAACCACTCAATTTCGACTCTTCCATATCCTCCTTAACAGCGCTACAAACCTGATCACCATCTCTACGCTGGAGTCCTGCTTAATAAATCTGCGAACGAACAAGCCAAAATTTGAAGGAGGTTGCCTCACCTGACCCACATCCAAGCCTGACCTCTCCCACAACGTCGTCGCCATTCTACACGATAGAAACATGTGCTCCAGAGACTCCAAAGGCGCCCAACACACCGGACACCTTGGGGAGATAGAAGAATCATCTTCAGGATCAGGTTCCGCATCCTCTGGCACTCGACCCGTCCTCTCAATTATAGCTTCCATAGTAGGAAGGATCAGCTTCATAACCTGCCACATGAAACACTTCAATTTTGGAGGAATGGTAAGCACCCACATTTTTTCCAGAAAGTCATATCAAAGAAGGGGACCTCCGCCTTCCAATCTTGGAGTCTTTTCGCGTACAGGAAAGCCAAGTGATATCTAGATTTCAGTGTGTACTCCCTGTCTCCCCATCCCTCTCACATGTCCAGACTTGGTTGTCCTTCACCTCACCCTTCGATAATGGTATAGACTGAATAGCCCGCACCACCGTCAGAGGGAAGCACTAGTTAAGACAGTCCGTACACCATTCATCCTTACCGGGAATGATCAACGAGTCAACCTTCACCCTTGAGATATCTGGAGCCAAAGTGTTAAGCTCGAGGTCCTCCACTCGAATTCCCGGGATCCAGTTATCCTCCAAAATCCTAACCTGAGAGCCCTCCCCAATCTGCCATCCAAGACCCTTGAGAAATATATCCCTTCCATGGAGGATACTAGTCCACCCCCAAGAGGGTCTGGAGCGACGTGTCGCAGTGAGTATAGACGCCTGCGGGAAATACTTACCCTTCAACACCCTAGCAAGTAACGACCCCAGTTCCTTCCAGATCCTCCACGCTACTTTTGCCAACAGAACCTGATTAAAATTTTCAAACCATCAAAAACCCAGACCACCGTCAAATTTACTCCTGCACAGATTTCGCCACGAACCCCAATGAGCCTTGTCTTTCTCCACTGAGAAACCCCACCAAAATCTTTCCATGTACTTATCCAGCTTACGACATAAAGTCACCGATAAAAGAAAGAAAGACACGACATAAATTGGAAGGGCCGCTGCTACCGCCTTAAGAAGAACTTCCTTCGCCGCCCAAAATAGTTTTTTCTGCTTCCACTCTTGGATCTTGGCCAATAACCTCTCCTCCAAATGCCTAAAGGTTTCCAATTTCGGCCGCTGAACTAAAGATGGAAGACCCAAGTACTAGTCATGAACACCAATAGCTCCAACACCTAAAATGGCCGACATCTCCGCTGCATCAGGAGGATCCACGTTTTCACTAAAGCACACCGCATAATTACTCAAATTAACCTTCTGACCACTCAAATCCTGGTACTCCTTCAAAAGCGCAAGCAACATTTCACCTCTCTCTTGGACGCGCGAAAAAACAAGTATGACTCATCAACAAAGAAAAGATGAGACACACTGGGGCACTGAGGATTCACTTTGTCCCCGACTAAACTTCTTGCCTGTGTAGCCTGTCTTATTAGCGCCTCAAATCCTTCAGAGCATATGGCAAATAATAGTGGAGATAGTGGATCCCCTTGACACAATCCTCTCGTCGATTTAAAGTAGCCAGACGGGCGTACTATTCATCATTACAGAGAATGTGTTGTAGAAACACATTCCTGTACCCACCTAATCTATTGAGAACTAAATCCCATCTTAGCCATTAGTGCAAACAAAAAAGGCCACTCAGCTCTATCATAGACCTTTTCCATATCAACCTTCAGAGCCAAGTATCCTTTTTTCCCTTGCCTTTTGATCTTAAGAGTTAAGATAGTGCATAATTTCATGCCCAATCAGTACATTATCTACAATCTGGCGTTCACGAATAAACCCATTCTGCTCCGGTGAGATAATAGAAGGCAAAATGATGGCCATCCGCTCAGCCATGATTTTCGAAATAATCTTATAAAACATCTGACAAAGACGGATCGGTCGAATCTGCTTCATAGTTTCAAGCGCTTCCACCTTAGGTATCAAAGTCAACCATGTATGGTTAAAACTTTTCAATAGTCAACCATGTAACATCAGTGTTCATATGGTTATCATGGTAATTATCAAATTAAATAAGTCTAAATTTTATTAACCATGGAATACAATATTATAACCAAATCGTCCAAACTAATATCATAACCAAATTAACCAAACTAAAGTTTAATCAGTTTGGTTAATTGGTTAACCAGATTAACCAATATAACATCACATTCTCATTAAGTGAGAAAATTTTCTGGTTAATGTATCAATTTAAAATTTATATCATGAATAAAATATAACAATCCACACATATTTATTGTTAATCTTTAACATAAACACATACAACTAATATAATTATCTTGCATTCAATAGAAGTATTCAATTAAAAAAATTATATGTCAATGGTATATATGGGGTTAATGAATTGTTGTGTTTGTGTGAATTGACTTAGTCTCTTAGAAATTATCATAGGTTGAAAAAGACCTAACTTTCAAGTTTTCATCGAATATAATGTATGAGTTTTATCTCAATTATGTGTATATATTTGTAGTCTACATTCTACAAATACAAAAATACAACATAGGAACAATATCGAGCTTTATTTTTCTGAATCTAAAGGGAGTAATGTATGTTTTGGTTGTTGAGTTGTTATGCAAGTTATTACGTTTTTTTTCCTTGTGGTGGAACAAATTATTATGTTTGTACAATATATTAGATATATAGCGAATTACTTAACTGATTAATTTAGTTTCATTGGTTGGATTATCTCAAACCAAACCAAACTACATAAACCAAACATGCTAAAAAATTTAACCAAATCAAACTAATTATTCAAATTAACCAAACCAAATCATCCAAATACTACCGATTAAAACGATTATCATGATAACCACTCCGTTTAAACACCATTAATAGATAGAAGTTATGTTTAGTAAGGACACACTTAGTGAACAACTGATTAATGGAAACAACAAAATACCAAAAGGTCTTCAATAAAAGAGGAATGAGTAATTACTCAAATAAGAACGTCTTTGCGTGCGTTTAATTTACTGCAAGAAAAGACATCTTAATGGGGCGAGGTGATTTCGGTAAGCAATTTGTGGAAGAAATTAGGTGACAAGTGTTAGTGCAATGTAGCCGGTCTTAATTTCGTGTTAATTGTGTTTGACTTCGGTGTAACTCCACTGAAAAGAAAGAAATAAAGAACTACTAATGAACCAAGGACTCTGAAACAAGAAGGAACATGGAAGAGGGAAAGTGGAAAAGTAATTTCTTTTGACCTCCAAAAATCTTGTATTGGACTAAGTAGTATCTTTTTTTTTTCCAAAGCAAGCACAAAGGCACGATTCAACGGAAAGAAAGTATAATAATACTAGATTGGGCCCGCCCGCTGGCTGGATGAATTTCGTTAATAGTATAAATAATCTTAGTAATTGTTCGAAGCAAGACATGTTTTATTTCATATCATAAAATTTCAAATAATTTAGTTACTGGAAATATCATACTCATATAATTTTTAGCATGCTGACCTGATTTATTGACTGAAGTCCTTACTCAAAGTATAAAAAAATCATGCAAGAAAATTGGCTCCTAAAATTTAATAAGACGGTCACACTATTTGCTACTCGATGTCAATAATTATTGAATATTTCAATTTGAATGTTTTATGATCGCTCTGCCTCCGCCTTCTAAAGCACCATCATCTCCTCCAATTATCAATGCTTTTGTCTTCCTTAAAGTAACTTTTTTCTTCACAATAGGTTGTTCCTGCTTAATTTTTCATTGGAAGTCAATCTTTAATGGTAAAATGTTCGGAAACACTGGACATTCCACACATTAAAAGTTTACACCCCATTTACTCCTAAATTGAGAAAAGAATGGAATTGCTATGTTGGGATCTTGGTCGAGACAGGTGATGTTGTAGTAGGTAACGCCTCATTCATGAGATTTGTTTTTTTCCTCACACTGATAAACAACCATACGGCCAACACCAAATTTGATAATATGTAAATTGAACAATTAACGAATAACCAGTAAGCGTTGCCTATTCTCCAACATATCCTTTTTTCCCTTGTATATGTAAATATTTGGTTGCCCAATTTGTAAAAATGGCTTACGAAAGTTTAGTGATTGACAATGAGAATAATTAAACTTGCCACGAATGTCATCTTCTATCTATTGTGGTTTATTTTTAATCGGTAAATCATGAATTAAGTGGGAAGTAGCATGATCATTCTAAGTTGACCTCAAGAAGATTGAGAGATTAGTTGAAATATTTTCAGAAAGGTGAGGCTCACTTTCATAAAAACTAATGAAAAATTAATGGTGGCGATACGATAAAAAAAATTTATAGAGATCGGGTACCATTGTAGAAGAAATGATAGTTCATGAATACTATTATATATGATTAGGCTAACAGGTTTCTATTCCAAAATATATCAAAATAAATATCATTTTATATAATATATTTAATATAATTTTTATGTTAAAGTTCTGTAAATTAAAATTTTAAAAATGAAATATCATTAATTAAAAAATAATAAAGGATAAGTTGTACACCTTTTTTTTTACAGTAAAACCTGTATAAGTTATGCATCTTGAGTTATATTCCTAATCTGTTAATAAAGTAACAATAATATAAATCAACTTTTCTTACGGAAATACCATTGATTCTATTCTTACCGAAATATATAATCTTAAGTGGATAATATGAACATTGATTTTATTAGTTATCCCATGTTATGTACGAAACAAAAAAATTGAGGAACCTTTTCTTACAGAAGAATTGGAATGGTTAGAAAAAATAGGGAACTTGGGGCCTTTTAGATTCATTAAAATTCATTAACGTTAGTTAATTAGTAATAATGTGATCGGTAATTCTTTTATTAATTTAAGTGACAAAAATATCTCTCCTAAAATTACTCAGATCGCTGGAAATTTTGAACGAAGTGTGTTCTGATGGAGAACCTCAGGCCTGGCTGAATTCCAGGGTGTAATGATCTTTTGCTCTTCATAATATAATGATTATCTTTTGTCAACAAAAAAAAAGATGGAGAACCTCCATATATAAGTGGAAGGACCCTATCTATTTACGATCTATCTATGACAAAAAAAAAATCGGAAAGAAAGTATAAAGACATAAGATATAGACTCGACATGAGATATAGACTCAAATAGTGTACGTTAATCCGTATACAACCAGATTCAGGGTTGATTATGAGATTTTGGGAATTGGGACCTTGTTATGTAAAAATGTGGCCCAAATTATTTTTCCTGAAAATATAAACAAATCATCAATGAAATCATGACATTATTTAAAAATGATATCTATCTAATATGATTTGAAATAAAGAGTGACAATCGTTTAAATAGTAAGTTGTTATAAAAAATCAATTACTTTAGAGAATGAATAAAAAAATCAAAATCAAAGAATCAAAACAATAACTAAATTGATAAATTAATTAACTAGACTCACCTGAATATGTAATTAGAACTTAATTGAGTAGAAGATGAAATAATTTTAGAAGTATCAAATAGTATAAACAAATAATAGAGTAAAATAAATTGGACAGGAGAAACTGATAATTTTTTTAGTCTACAAACTATTTATAATTTGATTTAGTTATGTTTTATTTTCTACTATTGGTGGCTTGTACCTAATTATTTTGGTTAAAGTTTAATAAATCAATGCGGATATTTAAATAATTTAGCATTGCTGTGTTGCTATTACAAGCAGATTAATTGGCGAGAATGAATTATTTTCCCCTTTGGAAAGCTGAAAAATAATGAAAGTTCAAGAAACAAATTTAGTAATGCTAATAATGAGACATCAACAATATTACCTCTTTTATTCTATTTAGGGGACACACAACAAAAAATGAGTTCTGTTATATGTTTTGAAAAAAGTCTAATAAGAAATCAAGTATTCCCCTCGGGGTCAGAAGAGCAGGTTTTCCTCCTGATCATCAACTCAACTTTCATGTCTTTGTAGTGAATGAATTCGTGACTATGGAAGGAAGATGGTGTAAGTTCTTATAGGAAGAACAATCATAGGGTCGCTAAAACACATTAGAAGCAATCATAGCACAAATTAAAGATATTATGACAATAATGATAGGAAATGTATGCACTTTGGATCATAATACGAGGATCTAGAATAGATAATTATACGTGTCATCAGTATTGCAGGATTTAAACTCGAGAAAGCCATAACAATCCATACAAGGATATACCAAAGAGAAGGAGCATTACTCGAAGAAACGTGGGCTTCCTATATCTATTCGCGTACTTTAGGACAAATGCTTCAAATATCAAGGCAAGGAACATCAATCCTACACTTCATTACTATGAACAAAGGATTCATGTCAACGAAATAGTAAGAGATGCATATAGAAGATTTGATGCTACTAAGAGTGACTTGTGGAGATTACCCCACTATAGAGGACATGGAGCAAGCTTTCAAAGTTCTTGATGCAAGAGGCAAGATCAATTCAGAACCTCCTACGAGCATCGATGCTAGCATCAATGATAAAGAACCAAAGCAACTGCAAGAAGATGTTCAAATCATCAAGGAACATCCTGAAGCCAATAAAGGACAGTCCATTGAGATGCATGAAGTATTTGGAGAGATCATCAGCCACGAAGGGCTTATGGAGCATGAATAATTCATGGACCGTAGGGAGGAGAAAGATCATATCAAGGCCTACCCATTTGACGAAGAAGAAGATGGAGAGATCGTAGACCATGGAGAGGAGGGCCATAATGAGGTTAACGAATTTGATGACGAAGAAGGTGGGTTTATAACTCAATCTTTAGAAGAAGGCAAGAGACCCCCTAGGAATATGTGAAGGATGAAAGAATCTACTCACAACATGATGAAATCATCATACCAATAATGGAATCCATGATCGAGAATCTTTAACCTATCCAAAGATGAAGAATGATCAACCTAGCGAGGAACCTCAACAGGAAGATCATCTAAGGGCCAACGAATAAGAAGATGATCTTACAAATGAATCTTAGGAAGGAGAGGACGAGATACCACCCCTAGAAGTAGCAATGGAGGAAGAAGGATGCAACAAAAGAAGTTACACGAATCCAAACTTTCATGGAATCATGGGAAGATGTCAAAGGCTTTACACTCGTCGAGGGCTTCCAACACGTCCTACGCCTTCTTCAATCTTCATCTTAGAGTTATCCACCTACCAAAGCATAAACAACCATTGGAGACATACAAGAGGGAGAGAGCGAGTATGATGATCCCCCTACACGTCTTATTCAAAGTTTTATGAAACCCTTGGAACATAACATTGAACAAGAGATCATGGAGGAGAACAATGATGATCAACCTTAAATGGAGCATGAAGGTGAGGACCCACTAGAGTATCAACTATCTCAATTCAAAGGAGGAGCTCCAATAGGATCCACTTGATACAAAATATCGAAGTTATAATCCTAGGACGCCCTAGGGTCAAATTTCACAAGGAATTCTAATGCATAACTAATCACACCATGCCATCTAAAAGAAAATAATAGAAGCATTTAGGGGCTTTTATTCACTTAAAAAGCAAGAGTAGTAAAGTTGTTTAGGGGTTTTTTTATCAATTTATAGATGCATAAATATTAAAGATATGTTATTGTATAAGACAGAATCATTGGTGATGGTGCGACGGGTCTATATGTCGGTGGCTTTTTGGTGACCTTTTATGGATGCCAACCGCGTTAAGTCTCGACGTCCAGTTGCATACCCAACTCGGCTATGGTCTGCGCTACGTCTCGTTATCCAGTACTATGCCCGATCAACTGTTGCGTTATGTAATGTCGTCCAGCAGTGATCCGACCATCTACCGCGTCCAGTAGTGGCCCAACCGCCCGGGGGTTCATCTTACCATTAAACATACAACAACACACACGTTCACATAAATAGAACAATGTGTGCCTCCACTTTAAGTAGGCGATGGGATGCCTCACACACATAATCGCGCATAACTCGAAAATAACAAACATAATTGAATTAAAAGCATAAACTAAAAGAGCTCGACGGAGATTCTATCTCCTTTACACTCACCTCATTTTCCGACCCTGGTCGATTGACAAGACCCCTCTTTATTGTTGATTATTCCATATCATCTTCCGAGATTCCATGCTCAAACTCCTCGTGCTTTACCTCCTTTTGTTCTTCCTCCTATTAAGCATTTAGGCAAAACTTAATCCATTTCTCGCAAAGAGTAACTAGCCAAACGACCTCCAATTTGGTTGATTCAAATTCCAAATTTCTCCATTTAACCTTTCCTAGACTTCCCCACAAAATTCTGGAAAATTACATTTTTGCCCCAATATGGCAAATTACAGAATGGTACCCAAAATTCCTAGGTTATACCAATTTGGCTCCAACTTCCAGAATTGCATAGTTTGGGCTTCAAGGAAGGTTTAACTTTCTCATTTTGACAAATCAGTCCCAATTCACATATTTCCTTTTTGATACCCAAACAATTGCTACTTACTAACTAACCTCTGGCATGGTAAATTATAATTCGACACCTAGACTTCTTAAATTCTACCAAACTTTCCTAGCACCCTAAAAGAATTAATCACCCATAATTTGATGCCATTGAATTCCAACAAAACGAGACATCGTTTACCTCAATCCCGCCGTCGCCGCCGACCTCTAAGTTCCGGTCGCAGTCAAGTTAATCCTCCTCCTCTAGCCCTTCACCAGCAGACCACTCCTCCGACTCCTCTTCCTGGTCCTTAGAGAGCAGCACGCTGGAGGCCATCGTCACCGGAATTCCCCCGCCGCCGCGGTTGACGTCAATTCTATGGCGTGGGCCACACATCGGAGGCCAACTCCGAACAACCCAGACTTTCGAACGCTTGGGAGGATAGCTGCGTGGCCTCACCATCGTCTTCACCTCGTCCCGCTGCCATCGGAATCAACACCGGCTCTAGCCTATGTCGCCGTCGTATTGCCGAGCTCCTTACTTTCTGTGGTCGCCATTCAGCCTTTGACGATTTCCTCCTGGTTGACGGCTGGTCGTGCTCCTCCCTCTCCGTCTCCCGAGTTTTTCCCCGGCGCTACTCTCTGTCTCCGTTCGATGATAAAAAAAACTGAGTGAGCTTTTATTTTTTTTATTTCTCTCCTGTTGTTTCCTTTCGCCTCTCTTCCTCTGTCTTTCCTCGCGTCAGTTTTGTAGGGAAGAGAACCAATCTATTCGATTTCCATAATCGCCCCTTAATCGAAAATTAAAACCCCAAATTAATTGTTCGTTCCTTTGCACCCTATCTCCCGGCGACTTCCAAGTTTCCGTTAACTACTCTACTTTCCTGGCCATTCTGTTTTCCCATCGACGCGCCAGAGTAGAGGTGACTCCTCTCCACTTCCTCGCTTGGGACCTTGGCCATCCCTTCCTTTCTCCTGCGGGGCTAAAGCTCACTTCCTCTTTCCATTTCAGCAACCCAAGGAGTCCGCCCTTCCCTTTTATTTTCTTTTTCCAACTTGGGTCGGAGCCCAACTCTTTCCCTTTTTACCTCCCACTTCTCCTTCCCTTCCTTTTTTCTTCTCACTAGGTTACCAGTCAATTCTTTTTTTTTTCTTTTTTTCTTCGTCCATCCTGGGCTTGAGCCCGTTCCTCTCCTCCATCAACAAACCAGGAGGCCCAATAGTGAAGCAAATTCCCAAACAAGACCGGTCTGATTAGCAAGCTCACTCGATCAATTTATGGCCGTAATTTTTTCATTTTACATCGAAATTCGACACCGCTTGAACGGAGAATTTACATTTTTAATCCTCATCGATATTACGGTGCAACTTGAAAAAGTAATCCAAGGGTATAATAGTCATTTTGACCTTTAGAACGATCGGGGTGTAAGATTAGGAGGTCAAATTAGTGATTGGAAGTTAGAAGATTTTGGGAAAATAATTCGGGTGCAAATGCACACATTTGACCACTCATTTCTTGTATGTTTTGCTTAGAAGATCACCGTCCCTTGACCTATTTTACGCTAGGTTGTGTTTGTTATGATATTTTTCAGGTCCTAGTACGTGTGGGAAGGTCGAGGACGAGTTTCGGGTCGATTGAAGGTCGAGAAGCGCCAAAAAGTGAAAAAAATGTCCAAAGTTGCTAGACCGTGACAATTGCCCCGTAACCGTGAAGTGCGGGGGCCCAGGAAAGCAGCCACAGTTCACAGTCTAAACAACGAGTTCACGCTTGCTAGGACCGTGAATTGGAACCACAAACCGTGAACCGAAGGACGTCCAGAGGATTTTCAGAGGCTACTGAAGCCAAGTACGACCATGAACTTCAGCTCCAGACCGTGATGAGTTGTAGTGAAACAACGCGAATTGGTTCGAGTTCACGGTCCAAGCTTTGAGTTCATGGCTGTGAACTCAGACCGTGAACAACCTTTGGCCTGGGTATAAAAGGCAGTAGTAGAAGGAAGAAAACTAGGGATCTTGTTTTTGGAGAGGAATTTGTTTATTTAACTAGGCGATGACTTGATATATACACATGTTTTTGTCCACCATTCTTACACCGTTTGAGTCTTATTTCTCGTATTTTAGGCAGATTTCACGCTAGGTTGTTCTTGTTTGTGATATTTCAGGTCCTAGTACGTGAATAAAGGTTTGGGAACGAGTTCTGGGTCAATTGGACGAAGATTGGACGTTTAGCGAGAAGCTGGGAAAGCCACACGGGCACACCTAAAATCTCACACGACCGTGTGACTTGGCCGTGTGGCACCATTTTGCACGCGCAAGCCACACTGGCCATGTAGGGGACCCCTTGTGGCCGTGTGGAAAGTCCAGGGAGCTCACACGGTCAGCCTGGAAATCCACACGGCCGTGTGTCCCTTGCCGTGCAGCATGCCTGGAAGTCACTTAATCGAAACGCGGCGTTTTGAGAGCCACACGGGCAGCTGGAATTTCCACACGGCCGTGTGGCCGGTAATTTCTGGGTTTTAACCCAATTTCGAGCCAAAGAAGAGGGAATCGACTTTTTGGAGCAAAAACAGAGTTTTAGAGAGAGAAAGTGCGAAGAACAAACCTTAGGAGCTATTTGGAGTGGATTTCTCACCATTGAAGCCCTGATTGCATCCTTAGGAGTGAAGATGGACATCCCAGAGCAAATTCTTCCCATTGTTATGAGTATGACTGCTTTGTATTCTGATTTCCTCTCTCTCTCTATGGAGTAGAACTTTCTCTCACTTGGGTATGAATAACCCTAGTTCCATGTGTTAGGGATCTTGATTGTAATGACTTGGGATTGTTATACTGTTTGATTTTAATCGATTGATGCATGATTCATTGAGTCAATTGAAGTCTGATCATCTTTTCTTGATTTCTGCCGCAACCTGAGATAGATAGAATCTCTATGGAGTAGAACTTCCTCTCACTTGGGTATGAATAACCCTAGTTCCATGTGTTAGGGATCTTGATTGTAATGACTTGGGATTGTTATACTGTTTGATTTTAATCGATTGATGCATGATTCATTGAGTCAATTGAAGTCTGATCATCTTTTCTTGATTTTTGCCGCAACCTGAGATAGATAGAATCTGATTAGGTTGTTAGAGTTTCTTTAATCGGTAGTGGTAGATTGGTTATACGAGAGTTAATCAATCTACTGCTTTGTACTGGAACCCAATTCCAGTAGTGGAGTTCTGTGCTTATTGCCTCAGCAGTCTATCCCGGTGAAGGTTAGTCGCCTGCTGGTTAGCCTGCCTGAGAGGGCTTGGTCAGCTTAAGAGATTCCAAACTACTGTCGGATCTTCCGTAGTTTAATCAACAGTTAATCAACCCAGGGTAATTACAACTGAGACCTAACTAAGGAGCTAGGGGGACTCATTCCCGAGTGACTCTTCCTTTGCTTTATAAAACCGAATCATTTCCTGCATTCTTGTTGCTTTTACTTAAATCAACAATCACTTGACTTAGTTGGCTAGATAATAGATATTCATGGAGTAGGCAGTAGATCTAGACCCCGGGTTGACAATTAGAGGTTGCCTGTTACTGCATTTCCGGACTGCGATTACACTTGGTCGCAGTTTGGTGTTGTGTTTTAGTGTGTCAAGTTTTTGGCGCTGTTGCCGGGGACCCTCTAGGTTATTGGAGAAACGTGAAAGTTTGTTACTCTAGCTTTTTCTTTACTGCATTTTGTCTCTTCCACCTGTGTGCCTTCACAGGTTGCTTTTGCTGATTGTGTGCAGGTAGTGCATGACCCGTAGCCAGTCGGGAGATTTACTACATTAGACCAAGAGCCTGAACGGACCTGTAGGAACTTCAAGCGAGCTCTAAAGGCGCGACTGGCTGCGGAGGAGGCTCTAGCACAGCTGCAAATCGCCGATGAAGAAGAGATGGGTGACCCACAGGACCATGATGTAATCCTTCCCGAGGAGCAAACTATGGGCTATTACTGGACCGCCCGCGCCGCAGACATGAGGTCTCCCATCCAACACCCTTAAGTTGCTGCCAACAACTTTGAGGTGAGCACCTCTGTCATCACCATGCTGCGCGGTTCGGTGGTATTCCGTGGCAAGGAGGGGGAGTGCCCCCGATCACACTTGAGGCAATTCCACGAGCTCATCTATGGGATCACGATAAATGGGGTCCCAGCCGATGCCATCTAGCTGAGGTACTTCCCATTTACTCTGGAGGGGCAAGCCAATGAGTGGTTGGACGCTAGGCTTCCCGGATCGATCACCACGTTCGCCAACCTGGCGGACAAGTTCCTCACCCGCTATCATCCTCCGTCAAAAACGGTGGACTTGTAGAAGCAGATCACCCATTTTACCTAGGATGAAGATGAGACCATCCGGGACGCATGGGAGAGATACACCAGTCTCTTCCCGAGGAGTCCCAATAATGGTTTCAATGATGCTTTCAAGGTGGGCACCTTCTACCACGCCCTCTTCCCAGAAGACAAGCAGCTGATTGATTCGATTTGTGGCGAGAACATGGTGATCAAGACGCCGCCGCAGTTGAATCGGCTCTTTGAGGAGATGGCAGAGAAAGGGTATGATTGGGGCACTTCTAGGAGGTCGAGGCGAGCACCAAGCCGAGGTGTACATGCTGTGGGCACCCACTATTCTGATTTGGTGCAGGTTGTGTCTAAACTGGTCTCAGCCATCGATCAGAATGGGATGGTTTCGGGGATAGGGGAGCAGCCGGCAATGCGTAGCCAGTGGTGCGAGAGCGCCCATCATACCAGCAGCCTGGTGCATCTCCATCAGTCCCAGCACCGGGCGATCCCGTGTCAGAACTGAGGGATCTAGTGACTACCTTGGCCAGCACTAGCACCCAAAAGTTTAATAAAATGGAGCAATTCATGGAAGTTGCTGTAGGCAAATTCATGGAGATTGAAGCTGGCCAGAGAAACCAGCAGGCACTCTTGCAGGATATGGACACCAAGATCGAGCACCTGGCAGATGCCCTTGCTTCCAGACTGGCTGGCACACTTCCTGGCCAACCCCTACTGAATCCCAGAAATCTTAAGGAGGGGTTGCACGCCATTATGCTGAGAAGTGGGACTGTGACTGCGGATGCACCGTAGAAGAGTGCCAAGAAGGTGACCCAAATCACCCCAGAGCCGGAAGAAGACCTGGTGATGGAAAAGGAGCCAGAGGAACAAGCTCCAAAGCTACAACCAGTAGTGGCTGAATATAAGCCTAAGCTCCCTTTTCCCACCAGGATTTACAAAGACAGGTTGGAGGCAGAGTTCGGAAATTTCTCGTCCATGCTTAGGAAGCTGCATGTCCAAGTGCCCTTCATGGAAGCACTATCTCTAATGCCTAAGTATGCAAAATTCCTGAAGGAGCTTCTCTCGAAGAAGCAGAGGCTGAGTGAGCTAGCCACTGTGGAGCTCAGCGAGGAGTGCTCGACCATTCTGCAGAACAAGCTTCCGCAGAAGCAGAAGGACCCAGGTAGTTTTACTATCCTGTGCTCTATAGGTAAATTGCATGTAGAGAGGTCCTTGGCGGATCTAGGTGCTAGTATTAATGTGATACCATATAAATTGTTCAAGAAACTAGGCCTAGGTGAACCCAGTGCAACTAGGATGAGTATTCAACTAGCTGACCGATCTATAGTTCATCCTAGGGGCATAGTGGAAGACCTTCTAGTTAAGGTTGGCAGATTCATTTATCCTGTGGATTTTGTTGTCTTGGACATCAATGAAGACACAGAAGTGTCCCTTATACTAGGAAGGCCTTTCTTGGCCACCGCCAAGGCTCTCATAGATGTGCATGATGGGACCTTAGTCTTGAGGGATGGCGAGGAGCAAATAACATTTTCCTATGCTAATACTCTCCCTGCTTCATTGCCTTTGCATGCGGTTTTTCACCAGGAACACGAGTCTGTCGTGTATCCTTCTGTGCTTGCCATTTTGCAGGATCCCCTCCCATATTTTCGCTGCCACTCCCGTCCACTCCGTTACCAAAAGAAAAGATCAAGGAGGAGTGGCGGTCGAAACTGCAGGTAGCCAAGCCTGCTCAAAAGAAAGCCGGAGACCACTATGAGCTGGTCCCGCCTCCTGAGCCTCGACCACCTTGGCCATCCGAGTATTCACTCGCTTGCATCCTGCCGGATGGCCAGGTTGATTTGACGAGTGTTGGTGGTCACACTCGTCGAGTGCATGGCCACCACCTGAAGTTGTACCTCAAGAACGATGTGGATCCGCTCTTGAAGGCACCTGTTCCTTCACCTCTCTGAGCATCCACCCTACTGGCGTCCAGCTAAACGACGGTAAAAAAGCGCTTGTGGGGAGGCAACCCCACCAAGGTTTGTTTTTCTTTCATTTTTTTCGGTTTGTCCACTTGGAACTATGGTTTTTATCACCCAGTGTGTTTTGATGACTCTAGTCCGGCTGACTGGTCCCATTTCTAGTCCCCCCACAGTCCATATTCCCGGTAACATCGTTTCCCCTTGTCTTTCCCTCAACTCCATTGAGGCCAATGTCGTGCTTAAGTGTGTGTGTGGGGGGGGGGGGGTGTTTATCTGTCGTTGACTGCTAGATGAGGTTGTGTGCTTGGAGCCTAGTTCGCTGTCCAAATCTCGAGATTTGAGGGCTCCAAGTACTTGGGATTTGATTGGTGAATCGAATGGCTTTAGAATTATTGCATGACAACTTGATTGAAACTAGGACAACCTATGACGATGACTGAGACGTGCAGTAGAATTGTGTAGGGGTTCAGTTTTTGTTCAACTGTTTGCTTACCAACTGTGACTTGGATTGATCACTTGCTCTTGACAGTCGTTTATGCATCTAGTTCAGGGAATCAGAATGAGTGATAGAGCATATAGGTTCCCTCTTCCATGATGTGTAGCATTCACGTTGTCACTAGCTAAGATGATGGAGTCATAGGATTAGCCCACGACCAAATTGACTGTCCTGGTGTGTCATACCCCCTAGTCAGCCGCTTTGAGCCGTGTACTTTTCTTTCTTTCGGTCTACAATGGAAAATCACCCTTTTGCATCTCTTAGAAGGTTCCACAGAGTGGTTTTTACATGTTCTCTGCTGTTTCTGCTAAATTTAATGTGAGGGTTGGAGGTAGTTCTTAAAAAGTTGGGCATGTGTTTGAAAAATGTGCATAGGTGGGGTTCTCTCAAGAAATGAAAAAAAAGAGAAAAAAATATGAATGAAAGCAAAAGAGAGCCACCACCAAAAAACTGAACAATGCCCATTAAGTAGCGTTTCTTAGAAGTCTGGCTTAGAAATACTAACATTATTGTGACCTCCTTCACTCTTGTGCTCTAAAGAATTTGAGTAATGCAGAATGGCAGGAAGAAAGTAAGTGGTTTGATTGACTGTGATTGTGTTGGGTTTGGAATTGTGGAACCTTGTGCTATGAATACTTCCACCACCTAAAAGGCCTTTTCCCCATGTCCAAGACCTTAGTCAGTCATCTGAACCTGTGTCTAAGACCTTCGGATTAGTTAGTGGTGACACCCCATATGTGAACTGTAACATTTAGAGGCTGCCTTCATGGTGAAGAGACGTTAGGCATTGAGAGAATAAGCATGCGCATTTTTCGCATCAAATTGTCCTAACCCCACTAGTCGAGAGTGAGCGATTCATTTTCTCATATTCTCTCTACTCTTTACCCCGGTGAGGACCTAGATTACTCGGTCTCAATTCTGATATCTTGAGTTTTGTGCATGAGGTGACTGTCCTGAGTAAGTGGTTGAGTCAAGTCTATGTTGGTTGATGAACAGAAGGGAGACTCCTCCTTTACCCGATTTTGCTGCACTCGATGTCCTCTGTGGTGGTTGTCCAGGTTGCTATTGAAGTTGTTCATGTGTTGATGTTTAAAAGCCAGTACGATCCACGTGTTCTGTGCCTATATGATTTGTCCCAAATGTTGGTATGATTGAAATATGCTGAGCTTACCTCGCATCTGACTTGGTTTGTTTGGGGACAAGCAAACGGTTAAGTCTGGTGGAATTTGATGACTTGATATATACACATGTTTTGTCCACCATTCTTACACTGTTTGAGTCTTATTTCTCGTGTTTTAGGCCGATTTCATGCTAGGTTGTTCTTGTTTGTGATATTTCAGGTCCTAGTACGTGAATGAAGGTTTGGGAACGAGTTCTGGGTCAATTGGACGAAGATTGGACGTTTAGCGAGAAGCTGGGAAAGCCACACAGGCACACCTAAAATCCCACACGGCTGTGTGACTTGGCCGTGTGGCACCATTTTGCACGGGCAAGCCACACTGGCCGTGTAGGGGACCCCTTGTGGTCGTGTGGACAGCCAGGAAATCCACACGGCCGTGCGTCCCTGGCCGTGCAGCATGCCTGGAAGTCACTAATCGAAACGCGGTGTTTTGAGAACCACACGGGCAACTGGAATTTCCACACGGCCGTGTGGTCGGGAATTTCTGGGTTTTAACCCAATTTCGAGCCAAAAAAGAGGGAATCGACTTTTTGGAGCAAAAACAGAGTTTTAGAGAGAGAAAGTGCGAAGAACAAACCCTAGGAGCTATTGGGAGTGGATTTCTCACCATTGAAGCCCCGATTGCATCCTCGGGAGTGAAGATTGACATCCCAGAGCAGATTCTTCCCATTGTTATGAGTATGACTGCTTTGTATTCTGTTTTCCTCTCTCTCTCTATGGAGTAGAACTTCCTCTCACTTGGGTATGAATAACCCTAGTTCCATGTGTTAGGGATCTTGATTGTAATGACTTGGGATTGTTATACTGTTTGATTTTAATCGATTGATGCATGATTCATTGAGTCAATTGAAGTCTGATCATCTTTTCTTGATTTCTGCTGCAACCTGAGATAGATAGAATCTGATTAGGTTGTTAGAGCTTCATCAATCGGTAGTGGTAGATTGGTTATACGAGAGTTAATCAATCTACTGCTTTGTACTGAAACCCAATTCCAGTAGTGGAGTTCTGTGCTTATTGCCTCAGCAGTCTATCCCGGTGAAGGTTAGTCGCCTGCCGGTTAGCCTGCCTGAGAGGGCTTGGTCAGCTTAAGAGATTCCAAGCTACTGTCGGATCTTCCGCAGTTTAATCAACAGTTAATCAACTCAGGGTAATTACAACTGAGACCTAACTAAGGAGCTAGGGGGACTCATTCCCGAGTGACTCTTCCTTTGCTTTAGAAAACGAATCATTTCCTGCTTTCTTATTGCTTTTACTTAAATCAACAATCACTTGACTTAGTTGGCTAGATAATAGATATTCATGGAGTAGGCAGTAGATCTAGACCCTAGGTTGACAATTAGAGCTTGCCTGTTACTGCATTTCCGGACTGCAATTACACTTGGTCGCAGTTTGGTGTTGTGTTTTAGTGTGTCACTAGCATTTCGACCCAAAACACCAAAGGGGAGTTCTAGAGAGAGTGATAGTGTGAGTTCTTGAGTGATCTTGAAGCTTAATTGAAGTCATTGATAAAGCTTAGAAGCAAAAAATCAAGCCTAGATGAATATCTTGGGCTCCAATTTGTAATCTCTCTCTTCTCTCTCTAGAAACTCACCCTCTTCTCTTGGTGTAAGAACCCTAGGTCTTGATTTGGGTTTACTGTTGATGTTTGTGACACAACCCATGTTTGATTGATGATTTTACTTAATTGATGGATGTTTTCATGAATGACATGAGTTGGGTTTCCATTTTCATGTATTGAGCTTTTGACCTAGGAGGGAGAAAATCACCTTAGAGCCCATTAATGGCGTTTTCGGGTCACTCCTCACCCTATATGGTTCGGGTAATCCCCGAGGGAGTCGATTCCATCAATCTCCTATGATATAGGGTTGCTCTAAGTTGAATAGAGCCTACCACATTCATCGATTCGCCATTCTGGGTCATGCCCAAGGGAGTCCATCTCCTAACGGTAGAGTAATTGAGTCAATCGAGCTTTTGACCTAAGAGGGAAAAAACTCCTCACCCCATATCGTCCTGGTAATACCGGAGGGAGTCGATTGGATCGATCTCCTACGATATGGCGGTTCCCTAGGTTGAATAGAGCACCACTCGTCCATCATCACCGTTCCGGGTCCGTCCCAAGGGATTTCATCTCCTAACGATAGAATAGTAGGTCGATCGAGCTAGGATGGTATTCAACATCGATCCAAAGGTCGGAAATAGGGGGATTTAATCCAAGAGAGCTCCAAACCTTGTAAATAGCTAGGTTAGTGGTTAGTTTAGGTTAGTTAGCTTAGTTTTAACAATCACTACCCTAGGTTGACTAGATAACGAACTCTAAACCTGAAGTAGGATAAGCCTAGATCCACGTGGGACGATAAATTCTTATTGCTTGCTTGCCCTATGTTACACCCGGTCGCTAGTTATACTTGAATGTCGATTGGGATGTTGTAGTTAGAACGAGTCAGAGAAAATTTGAATCCTAGAGAGAAGGGAGAGGATTTTCGGCTAAAAGAAAGAAGGGAAAGTGAAAATTGAGGGGTGTGTGGTATTGGTGGCCAAAAAATGGCCTTTTATAGTGGCTAGGGCAGCGGCAGAGGTGGCCGCCGCAACTTCCCTTCGTGTTCTACTATGGTTTCCAGCATTTTCGCTTCAGAACACTTACCTCGATAGTACGAAAGCTCCTTTCATACTATTTTTAACGTTTTTAAATCTTCCATTCTCATCATAAGATCAAAATTTTGCTCCGAATGTAACACCTATCCAATGGATTCAATGTTTTCCTCCAATGAGTAACTCAAAATTTCAAGCCAAAAACAAGCTTCAAAATTTAAAAATTAATCTAGGAAAGAGAAATTCGTGCTTTCTCCGTAGTAGCACTTTTATTTAAAGTCATTAAGTTTGACGCCAGACATGGGCTGCCTCCCATGGATCACTCTCTCTTTTATGCCTTTCAGCTAGACTCAGTGAGGTGTCCTTATTATTGATTTCACTATCAGGTTTCACTTCATCTTCATCTTTGCATCTCGTTGCAAGGATTTGACATAGTTGAATCCATTAGGTTAATGACAATTGATGAACTCCTGATAATCCTCTGGTGTCTTGTACTCCAGCTCCTCGATCCTCGATAGCATCATCTTTGGTCTTGTACTGGCTATCCTTAATGCCATTTGAGCTATCTTCACAACAAGAATTGGCGAAACCTTGTTTAACTCTCCTCTATATTTTGGGTCTTGGTCATGGTGATGAAGTATTATATTTTCCGAATCCCCCATATGAGAGCCAAATTAAAATTTGATCTCATTGTCTGGATACTCCTCGATTTTGTCACTTTTTTTTATTCGCCTGTCTACTTTATACAAGAACTTTCATGCATGTAGGGTTACTTCTCCGTTGACATCATCAATTAGTTCTCCACCAGTGGCAAGGAATGGTCTTCTTAAGAGGGTCGAATACTCTTTGCTTGTCTTCGTGTCGATCACAAGGTAGTCGAGGAATAAAATGAATAGGCCAGCTTGGGTGCTTAAACCTCGAACAACTCCAAGAGCTGTAAGGGGTACTGTTGGAAATCATCTTCTCCAATATTGCCACTGTCACTTCTGCTTCTCCAAAAGATTCTATCAGATTCCTGAAGATCGGTGGATTCTCAACTCATTTCTTATCTTCTTTCTTTTTCATGCTCAGTAAACTCTGGATGCTCCCATCCTTGTCGAGATGACATTGACTTCCTCCTTATTTGGATTGTTCTTTGTGTTGCTCGGGAGTTTGCTTTGAGGATTTTGAGGTTAGGCATCAATGTGGAGTCCAAGTTGCCTTTTGATATTCTTGTAGTTCGTTTGCAGTCCTATCATTGTTGCCTCCAGCTTCTCAAATATGGTGGGTTGCTGATTGGAGATACCTTCTTCTTGCATCTTGTATTGAGGTGGATTGCCTAATCATGGTGAATCTTGCTTCTTCAACCATTGTGCTTCATGAACATAGGTTCCATTGGAAGAGGTGATGTTGTGGTAGTCCTTGTGCTTCTTCCCTCCTTTAGCAAGCCGTTGACCATACAGTATGCGAGGTTGGTTGAATCTTTGATAAGGAGGATAACTCCCCTGTTGAGATCTCGATTGATAGCTTGATTTATGTAATTGACATCTGCATGTTCTCGCCCTTCTTGGCTATAGTAGTCGAATCCTTCATGACCTTCTTCTCCACATGCTTCACAAACAAACAAGGATGAAACCAATCCATTCTTTGGCTCCATTGATGCTCTCTTTAGTTGTTGGGTCAGCTCATACATTTTAGTACCTAATTTTCCCCCTCACATTTTGGTACCTAAACTTTTTCAAAATTAAAAACAGGTTCATTGCTAAGAAACTCCTGGTAAGTTTTGAAAAACTTCTGGCTAGCATTGAGGTTCTGGCCTACTTTGAGGTTCTGACTTGCTTTGAGGTTTTGGCATGTTTTGTGGTTCTGACATGCTTTGAGGTTCTGACATGCTTTGAGGAGGTCATGACATGGTTCAGTGGTCCCCCTCTCTTCCTTCCATTTAATGCAAAAAGGATGACTGGTTCCTCATCCCCGTCCCCAATTTTTCATAATACCACTCGTGCCCCTCTTTTCACTTCTCCCTCATTAATTGTGGTCAGCTCATTTAAATGGAAAAGACATCCAAACGAAATGTTTGTATTGAATGGAGCAAGTGTTAGCACCATGCTAACAAAAAAAGTGTTAGCATGCTAACCACTTCTATTATATGTTATTATTCATATGTTAGATAAAATTTGATATAATTTTTAATATATTAACAATATAATAACGTTTTTTTTTATATATCCAAGCTAAACTATACTAAAGTATTCGGTATATCTCAAATACCGATACCAAGTTTACCGCCCTAACCACAACCCACTTGCTTGATCGGTATATTGGTATCAACTTCCATCGCTAATTCCAGGACGCCCACGAAATCCGCAATTCGTCCGCGTGACACGTGGCGGAGCATCCTCCAGTCTCCAGCAGACGGCAGAAATATAAACCCCCACCATGTCTTGGCATTCTCTCCACTCATTTCTGCAGCAGTGAACAAAGTGGAAGCGGACAAAGAAATGGCGGAGAAAATCCAGGAGCGGGCGGAGGAGAAGAAGGATGGCAACAATGGCGGTCCCAGTATCGTCTCCGTGAATCCCAAGCCCAGAAATGGGTTTCCCTCCAGGCTTGTCGATTTCCTGGAGAAGCTGATCGTGAAATTCGGCTACGACACCTCTCTGCCTCTTCATTATCTCTCCGGCAATTTCGCTCCAGCTGACGAGTCTCCCCCAGCCAAAGACCTTCCCGTCAAAGGCTCTCTGCCTGTAAGTAGTAATCAGTATTCTGCTTCCGATCTACATCGATCGCTTTGATCCCGCACCCATCATCCTTTATAGCTCTGCTGATTTAAATTGTACTGTTTGTGTTGGTTTGAACTTAGAAGTGCTACTTGATGAGTTGCTAGATTATCGCCGTCGAGATTATTCAGTACCGAAATTGTTTTTCCCCGCTAAAATTGGGAGCCATCTCTGTGTTTTAGTTCCTTGATTGGCGCTCAAGCAACCAAGCTACTTGTTCAGTTGTGACTTTAAAAGTTTTCCTGGAAACGATCCACTGCTGTGTTGTTGTTTAGAGAAGGATGGAGTTTTTTTTTTTTTTTTTTCAATTTGACACTTGTCTCCACTTGGTTTCTTTTGGTTGGCATGGCAGGAATGCTTGAATGGGGAGTTTGTGAGAGTAGGTCCAAATCCTAAGTTTTCCCCCGTTGCTGGATACCACTGGTATGTCAGTCCTTATTTGTTTTGATGCCTTCATAGGATTTCTGAGGGCGAATTCTCTTCGATTTTTCACTCTATTCGAATGATTTGTCATTGATTTTCAGTCTAATTTTGCAGGTTCGATGGAGATGGGTACGCTCCCATTGCAGTTTCTTTTGAAGAATCAATATTCTGCCTTTACTTTGCATATGGTTTGACAGATAGATATGTATTATATGCTCATATGATTTACTCCATGTACAGAATGATCCATGGTATGCGTATAAAAAATGGAAAGGCAACATATGTCAGCCGTTATGTCAAAACATCACGCCTTCAGCAAGAACAATTTTATGGAGGTCCCAAATTCATGAAGGTAATGGTTTATGGCAATGCCGTTTTTTTTTTTTTTTTTGTAGTTTGGTGTCTGGTTGCTCCCTTATCAACATTCCATTACCTTTCATTGTGATAGTGTCATTATCGAATAACTAAAAATTAACTTTCCCCCAAGTTAGAAGTTGGCTCAGTTTCTCTTCTTTTGTGAACATTTCGTCTTTTAACATTTTATTTAATTCTGATTGCCTTCTTGCCTAAGCCAGAGGAGTTCCTTTAACTCGCTGCTTTTGGACTTCTGGTTTGCAGATTGGGGATCTCAAGGGGTTTTTTGGATTGTTTATGGTTAACATACAGACCTTGAGAGCGAAATTGAAAATATTGGATTTGACATATGGAAACGGGACAGGTAGGTTTCCTACCTTTCTTCAATGCAAAAAATGAACATTTCCTGTCAGATTTGTTGGTTTGATAATGTTAAAGTCGTTTCATGAATGCTTCATTGTGGTATAGTCGAGAGGTGTTGGACCATTTTCTTTTTTACTACGGCATTCTATGACTTGGTGAACATGAAGTGCTTAGGTAGCATCATATCATAAGTTTAACTCTTCAGCAGCCAGATATGCCCCCTCATTTTTTCTCCTTCGAAGAGTTTGGAACCTGAAATGTTCTGCATCTAATGTCACAAGTCTTCATTTCAGACTGCTTCGAAGGAGCTCCCATGTAATAACTTCGGCAGAAAATAATTCTTTGAAAGGACTAATTCCTTGTGTTAACCTTACAGCTAATACTGCTCTTATTTATCACCACGGGAAGCTCCTAGCACTTCAAGAAGCTGATAAGCCCTGTAAGTCTGCGGCACCCTGTCTGTATCTTAACACATTCTTGATCAGCCCAGATAAGGTCCTGCATTGTCGCCTCTATAATTCTGAAGCTGTAACTAAATGAAGATTCCATCTTGCAGATGTGGTTAAAATATTGGAAGATGGGGATCTGCAGACTGTCGGCTTGCTGGACTATGACAAGAGGCTCAAACATTCTTTCACTGCTCACCCAAAGGTTGATCCATTCACAGGTAGCACTCGTCCTTCAAAGCTAAAACACTTCAATCATATCAACCAAGCAGTACTGATAAGTGTGATCGATGCGATGCATGCAGGAGAAATGTTCACCTTTGGATATTCACATGAGCCACCATATGTCACATATCGAGTAATTTCAAAGGATGGTGTCATGCATGAGCCTGTACCAATAACAATATCGGAACCTATCATGATGCATGACTTTGCAATTACAGAGAATTATGCAATCTTTATGGATCTTCCTATGTACTTCAGACCAAAGGTAAATGTTACTTTTTTGTTATTGTCTTATTTGTATCAAGGATGAGTACTTTGTCAAGGTTAGTTTTGGATGTATTTGTTTAATTAGGAAGAAGCTGTTCATATAATTGAAAGCAATATGTTTATTATGTTCTTTCAGGAAATGGTGAAAGAAAAGAAGTTCATATATGCTTTTGATGCAACCAAAAAGGCTCGTTTTGGTGTCCTGCCTCGATATGCAAAAGATGACCTTTTGATCAAATGGTTTGAGCTTCCTAATTGCTTCATATTCCACAATGGTGCGCCACCTACGCAACTTCCTTTTGGATGTTGGAGCACTGCACAAAATTGCTTTAATTATGGTTGGCTAGTCCTGGCATTGCTTTGTGTCAATGATTGCTTTTTTAAACAGAAACGAAAACTGAAATGAAGGTCCTTCATGGATTCTTTAGTTTCTTCCTTGCATAATTAGAGGTTGTCTCCGACCTATGCAGTCATCTGATTTGTATGCTTTCTCTTCCATGAGCAGCCAACGCTTGGGAGGAAGGGGATGAAGTTGTTTTGATTACTTGCCGCCTTGAAAATCCAGACTTGGATATGGTTAATGGAACTGTCAAGGAAAAGCTTGAGAACTTTGCAAATGAACTGTAGGCAAAATGTGGCTTAGTTCTTTCCTTCCTGTGTCAGGCCCTTGTCCTATCTTGTTGTTAACTTTTGCTTTCTTAAACAGATATGAAATGAGGTTTGACATGAAAACTGGGGTGGCTTCACAGAAGAAACTATCAGCATCTGCTGTTGACTTCCCGAGGATCAACGAGAGTTACACTGGCAGGTATGTCGTTGTTGCTTAAGCAATTCTTATCTTCTCACAACGAATGCTCATCAAGTTTGGAACTCTATCTTTTCCCCCGGTTTTGTGTAGGAAACAGAGATTCGTGTATGGTACCTCTCTAGATAGCATCGCAAAGGTCACAGGAATCATCAAAGTTGATCTCCTGAATGAGCCCCAGCCAGAGAAAACAAAGCTGGAAGTTGGAGGAAACATTGTAGGCATCTTTGACCTTGGACCGGGTAGGTTTGGTTCAGAAGCAATATTTGTTCCTAGGGAGCCTGGCATCACTTGTGAGGAAGATGATGGCTATTTGGTATTCTTCTCCCATGACGAAAATACCGGGTAACCTTTGTATTTGCGCTCATATGATTAGTTCTTCATACCTTTCACTTTTTCTGCATGCTAATTCATTTGAAGTTCAGCATCTGCCATTGGAGAATGCGAAGTCTGGAGACTTTACATCACTCCTATTTGGTTTTTGACATGCAGAAAATCAGCTGTGATTGTTATTGATGCGAAAACCATGTCATCGGATCCAGTTGCAGTGGTGGAATTGCCCCATAGAGTTCCTTATGGATTCCATGCCTTCTTTGTCACAGAGGTAATCAATAAGAACTCCAAGCAGATTACTATTGAACTCTTTCATCCTCTGGCTTTCAATTTTCCGAGCAGCACACCTTGATGGAGAATCTGCATCTTGCCTTCAGCTCCACCAGAAACTTGAATGATTTATCTTTTTATGTACAGGACCAACTTCAAGAACAAGCAAAGCTGTAAGTTACTGAATAAGCAGTGAATCAAGAGAGTGGGGAACGAAATCAAGGGAAGAGTGGATCATACTGAAATTAGAGACATCATAATGTAATGTATTTGAGAGATGGGTTAAGATGCAATGCAAGGAAATTGTATTGGGGATTGTAACGAGAGACTGAAAGATCTCCCACATACATTTGTTGGATGCTACGTCATTACCATTATACTATCTTATAAGAGTTACCTAGTTTTTAATGCTCTATTTAAGCATAGTGCTTAAAGGATGCGCTAACTGTATCGTTAATGAATCTGACAATTTCAATCTCAAATCTGCTCAAAGTTTAATTAGTACCTGAAATTGTCGCAAGGTGAATCGAAAAATCTGCTCTCTCAAGGATAATGAGTGTCTTAATGAAGCAAGTTAATCAACAACAAATTCGGATTGCGGAGGACAAAGTTATGATCCTCCAAAATATGGCAAACTCGAAAATTGCTCGTTTAGGGGTAACAAATGATGTTTTCTCGGGGCAAAGGCACGAGAATTTTTTTAATACATAGGGAATTTCTGCCAAATGAGCAATATTTTTCCAAACGAGCAATTTTTGGATGGCCATCTTCCGAGAAAACGTCATTTGCTACCCATAAACGAGCAAATTTTTGAATTTGTCGAACTTTGGAGGATCATAACTTTATGCTCCGCAATCCAAACGTCGCAAAGTTTTTTTTTATTTTGCATAAATTTTTTAGTACTACAACATTTACTAGGAATAAATTTTCAAAAAAGGAATATTTTTTAATATAAGGGGTTTTGGGAATAACTTTAATTTTCACATTTCCACATATATTCTGAAAATATTTCTATTATAAAAGTTGTAGTCCTCGAAAGTTATGTGCGAAATGAAAAAAAATATTGCTACGATCGGATAACCGAGCACAAAGTTAAGGTTGTTGAAAATTTCAAAAGAGTAGTACGAGTTCACTAAACTCGAACCACTTCAGCTCCACATGGTTCGAGAGTTACATCATCGATCTACGTCTAGATCGAGTCTACTACACTCGAACCAGTTAGTAGTTCGAGTTCCTCAAACACGAACCACTCCAAACTTAGGTATTTTGGGGAAATTTTTTTTATAAATGTGGTAGTTTAGAATTTTTATTTTATGTGTATTTGGGGGAAAATGCCGAACCCGGGTTGGTGGAGCTGAACTTAGGTCACCCAATTCGTTGGGTTGGGCCTTGCGCTCCCGCTCGAGAGCGCTGAAAGACAGATTTTTCCGAATTCGCAGAAAGTACGCAAATTTTTATTTCACAGAGCGCGATTTCTTATTTTTAGAGCGCGTTCTTTTCCAAGCAACAACAAAACAAGAAATTAACACCCAATTTGAGGATGGTAGCTGTCGGACAGGGTGTAGAAAAACAATCGATTGAAGCGAAGAAGAAGAATACAATAGATTGACATCAGTATTCAATTGGCAAAAGAATAAATTGGAACTTCTGAAACTCCAGAGGATCCCAAGTCACCGTTGGAGCTCAAAAATCTCGAGGATGCGCTAAGACAGATCTGAAAAGAAAAGCAAAGGACCCAAAACGAAGATCGTGTTGCGAAAAGTCCACAACTCTCCGACTGATCTAGAGTGGGAGAGAGACGACATGCAGTTGATGACAGGGGATGAACGCTTGAATCGTCGGCCGCGGCGGAGACGAAAACAGAGTCGATGGTATGTTTGGGGACTGAGAATGGATGGTTCCGTATGAGAATTTAGAATTGGGAAATTTTGCCAGAGGTGGAGAGAGATGAGAATGGATATAAGTTTGGACTTTGCTACGGTGACATGCATGTCACGGTGACATGCACTTTTCGGTTGACTTCATATAGGATTAGGTCGACCTAATCTGTTGTTTCAGTGTAAAAACAGTTTCATGGTGTCTACTTTGGAGATTCATATCTAACAATTGGCTAGATGGAAATTGGAGATTAAAGGCTTGTTTGAAGCTGAACTGTCCCTCTACACATTAAAGTACTTGGGAGCTCAATAGATTGTCCAGAAGACGATTTTTGAACCTGACCAAAAGGCTATGCCAAAACTGGGAAACTGCCTGAAAATTGCTAAGTCTGGCAACGTATTTGTCAAGCCTACTTTGGAGCTCAATTTGAGAAGCATGGATGCGAGTCAAGTCCAGGGGCCTCTACCACGTTAAATTACGTTTTTTTATACAAAGGAAAGGCATTGGATGAAAGATTGAATATCTTTAAGGCTTCAAACAAAAGGCTCGAAGTTGCTACGAAGGGTGTTTTCTGGCAGCTTGCTTGTGCTCGAAGTCTGCCAGAAAAACAATATTTGTAGCAACTTCGACCCCTTTGTTTGAAGCCTTACATATATCCAATCTTTCATCCAATGCTTTGAATTTGTATAAAAACATACCTAATTTAACGTGGTAGAGGCTCCTGGACCCGACTCGCATTCATGCTTCTCGAATTGAGCTCCAAAATAGGCTTCATAAACACGTTTCCAGACTTGAGCCATTTCCAGGCAGTTTCCCAGTTTTGGCATAGCCTTTTGATGAGGTTCAAAAATGGTATTCTGGACTTCCTATCGAGCTCTCAATCACTTCAATATATAGAGGGACACTCCAGCTTGAAAAAAAGTCATTAGTCTTCAATTTCCATCTAGCCAATTGTAGGATATGAATATCCAAAGTAGGGCACCATGACTGTTTTTACACTGAAACAACATATTAGGTCGACCTGATCCTATATGAGGTCGACCGAATCCTAAATGAGGTCAACCAGATCCTATATGAGGTTGATCGAATTCTAAATAAGGTCGATCTAATCCTAACTGAAGTCGACCGGAAAGTGCAAGTCACCGTGACATGCATGTCACCGTAGGCACACCCTATAAGTTTTGTTTTGGGGGAAAATGGATGGTCATGGTGAATTTACTCGCTCCCATCCCATTACACTTTTTACTAGTTTTAATTTATTTATTTAAAGTTGAATTAAATGAAATTGCAAATAAGTCCTTGCTGGCTAAAATGGGGAAGCTGGTGTCGCAGGAAAGTAGTAGTAGGCATCCATTGAGATTGTTAAATAATATATTTTACAAAATAATTAATATATAATATTATAATATTGACGCTTTGTTCACTCTGTCAATATTGAATTCTTTAAATATTAACGCTTTGACGCTCTCGTTCTCGCTCCCGCTCTACGCTCTGGTTACCTAAGTCCAGACTGGGTCTCGCATTTCCTTCTCTCTTTTTTTATGAATATTTCCTTCTCTTTTCCTTTTCCCGATTTTTTCGATTAAAATAGAGATTGGGATTGGCCCTTGTTATCAGAACCGGTGTCCGGGCTCAAAGGGAGTGAGAAATGGGTTGGGCTCGAGTGTTTGTCTAGGCCCTTGGGAAGTTGGGCTTATAGATGGATGGGGATGGGCCTAGGTATTGGAATTGGAGCTTTATGAAGAGTGGTCATACAAAGTCCGGTGGGACCATGATAATTGGAGTTCGGGTTAGAATTCTGATTATTGGTTTGGAATGAAACAAATTGATAAAGGAGAACATCAATTATATAAACCGAATGAGCTAATTTTGCTTTGGTTGGATTCGAGAAATTCGAATTGGATGTTCAACCTTAAATTGTGGGGTGGATATTGATAAGAAAAAATCATATATTAAGGTATTAACAAAAAGCAAATTAAAAACATTATTTGTTTGCATTGTCTTGCCTTCCCTAATTTTTTTGAGTGATGTTTGTCTTCGCCCGACTGAGAATTATATAGAAGATTCCATAGAGATTTCGGCTTTATTTCAACGGTCAGGACACAAGAATTATCTTCTAAATATGGGGATTTGTGGAAATATCTCCATATTCGAAATTGAGAAATGATCAATCCGAATCAAACGTCCATTCAAGTGACGATTCTGCGCTTGACAGAAAAATAAGTGTATTTAACCTTTCATTGCAAATATGGAGACCAACATTCTAATCAAAGTCATCTCATGTGGAGAGAACTCGTGGGCGATTACAGCAAGACTAAGGGACCCTGAGTGTATGCGAGTTTTTTTTTTTTTACAAAGATTACCAACTTTTATTACACCAAACAAATGAAAGACGAGAAACTCGGTTATAATTCTTAAAGAAGATCAGAAATGAGATCAAGAATATTAATCCAATCATCAGGAAGCGATGCTCGAGCTTTTGATCGTGCTACCCAATCTGCCCTGACATTAAGTGTTTTGGGCACTTCTTTGATTTTGATGAGAAGGTTTGTCCGAAGGATAGAAACAATCGATCCAATCCATGCTGCACACCTCCATGGACATCGAGAGCTATCATTATCCAAAGGTTTCACCAGCACCTGATAGTCGGATTGAACCGTACACTCAGATCCATATTCTTGGGCTAATTTCACTCCTTCGAGAAGGGCCTTAGTTTCTGCTTCAATCGGGGTGGAACAAAGAAGATTCTCAGCTCTCCCATTACACACTTGTCCATGGTGGTTAACAACCACAACACCATATGCCGCCGACTGGGAGTCGCTAATGAACGACCCATCACAGTGAATCACCAAAGACTGATTACTTGGCGGTGGATTCATATGAGACTGGGTTCCCCTGAGCTGAGTGGGAACGGAGGGCTGGGTAGGTGGGGACCTCGGGCACGAATTTCATTCAATAAGCTCTTTATAAGTAAGTTGGCACACCTTCGAAGGCCACGGAATTCTACTCTTGTAGGAGCATTCGTTCCTTGCCTTCCAAATGTTCCAACAAAGGAAAACAATATGGATCATGGAGCTATGCTGAACAACATCTTTAAGGGAACATAACCAGTCAAAGAACAAGGTTCCCTGAGGGGGTAAAGGGAGAAACGGAAACAGAGCATTCCATGCCACCTTGGCATGGGGGCATTGGAACAAGCAGTGATTGATGGATTCGACGGGGTTCTGGCACACCTGACAAGAAGAATTGGGAGCACACTTCCTCTGAAGCAGTCTCTCTTTCGTTGCTAACCCATTCCTGGAGCATCTCCAAACAAAGAATTTCAACTTCGGGGGGATGTGAAGGCTCCAAATCCACTTCCATTTTTTAGTATTCCCGCTTGGTTGCGTATTGGTGTTGGCTCTGTGAATCATATGGTACGAAGATTTCACTGTAAACTTTCCCTCTTCATTGTAGTTCCATGCCCAAAATTCATCAGCTCCATCCTCCCCGATTGGTATCCTGAGGATAGCTTCGAGTTCTGAGCTAGACACATGCCCCTGGATAACATCCGATTTCCACTTCCTTTCTCCATGATCAATCCACTCGTTGACCTTTTGATGATTCTGGGGGCCAGTCCTGAGAGCACTATTATCCAAAGTGGGGATCCAAGGGTCCTGATCGACCCACGTGTCATCACCTTATCCAATCACTCTAACTGCTCCCAAACCAATCACCTTTTTAGCCTCCCATAGACTAGCCCAGATCCATGATGCTTTGCTTCCCTTTTTAGCATTAAGAAAATCACCTCTAGGGAAGTACAAACCTTTAAGGAGATGGCTCCACAATGACTCAGAGGTCGTGAGGAGGCGCCAAGCATGCTTAGCAAGTAGGGCAAGGTTAAAATCATTGAAGCTCCTGAAGCCCAAACCCCCCTCATACTTAGGCAGGCAGAGAATTTCCTTCCTACACCAATGGAGGCTATTTTTCTGCATAGACCCTGACCAAAAGAAGTTACTGAGAAGAGAGTCCATTCTCTTAGTGATAACCTTTGGGAGATAGAACAGGCACATGATATACGATGGAATAGCTTGAATAACCGCTTTCAATAGGATTTCTTTTCCACCATGAGAGAGTAGGAGACTTTTCCACGCTTCCCCCATTTTTTCCATTCTTTGAATGAGGAAATTAAAAGTTTCTTTCTTCAAATTTCCCACTCCGTCAGGACCCCAAGATACTTTCAGTGGCAATTCGAGGAAGCGAAGCCAATGCTCGCTATGATCTGATCTTTACGTTGCATGGGACATTAGCACTGAAGAGAACTTAAGATTTGTTTATATTAACCTCTTGACCAGTGATAGCTCCACACTCCCTAATTAGATCGATAATTTTCTGCGCTTCTTGGTAATCTGCCTTGCCGAAAATGACTGTGTCATCTGCAAACAGGCAATGGGTGAGCACTGGGCATCTAGCGTTCAGCTTAATGCCCTTCAGACTATCGTTCGCCACAACCTTATCAATCAAGAAGGTGAGGGCGTTTGACATGAGAATGAACAAGAATGGTGAGAGTGGGTCTCCCTGACGAATGCCTCGGGAAGGCTTGAAAGAGTCAGTTGCTTCTCCATTGAAAAGAATAGAGAAGCTGATTGTTCTAATGCATGCACTACCCACCCACACCATTTACTTTCAAACCCATACTTCTTGAGAAGAGCCTCCAGACATTCACAATCCACCATATCATATGCCTTCTTCATATCCAATTTCAGCATCATATCTCTCCTCCTACGCAATTTTTGGTTCTTGAAATGATGAAGGGCTTCATGGACAATGATGATATTATCTTGAATAAGCCTACCCCCGGTGAATGCTGTTTGGAGCTCTGATACTAGCTCAGGAGTCCATCACTTGAGGCGCGTTGCCATAATCTTAGATATGATCTTGTATATAAAATTACAGCAGCTAATAGGTCGGAATTGGCTTATCGGCTCAGGGTTATCGACCTTGGGAATCATTGCAATATGAGTCTCATTCCATCCAGCCGGCATAGTAGCCGTTTCGAAGAATCCTCTAACTTCTCGACACAAGGTGTCTCCTAAGATATCCCAGTATCTCCTATAAAATCTTCTTGAGAATCCATCAGGACCAGGAGCTTTGCGAGCACCCAATGAGAAAATAGATTTTCTTATTTCCCCATCAGTCACCGTAGTACAGAGATCCTCGTTCATCTCCGTAGTCACTTTTTCAGGGAAGCCTTCCAACAGATGGTTAAAAGGAATCTGATTCCTAGCCTTAAAAAGATCCATGTAAAACTCTTATGCTTGTCTTTTGAGACTATTTTCATCTTCGATCCAATTTCCTTCTCCATCTTTGAGTTTCATAATTTTGTTTCTATGCTTCCTATAGATAGTGCTTGAATGAAAGAAGGAAGTATTATGATCACCTTTTTGGAGCCAGTTAACTCTCGAGCATTGGCTCCAGAACGCTTTTTCATCCCTCCATAGCTTAGTCAATTCAATAGTAAGCAGCTTCTCCTCCTCCACATTCTCAGTCGTTCTTGGCGTCTGTTGAAGAATTTCGAACCTAGAAAGTATTTCTTGCTCCCTTTGCATACTATTCTTATGGAAATCTTTTGCCCACTCCTTTAAATCTCTTTCACATTTGTTCAGCTGTTCAGTTGATTGGCCTTTCGGGTCCCACGCTAGGGCTATTATCTCCTTGCATTCTTCTTTCTCCAGCCATCTTTCATCAATCCTAAAGGGAGTCTTCTTCCTCCTGTTTCCCCGATAATGAAGCTCCAGTCTGATCGGGCAGTGATCAGACTCCACCATTTTCTCATGGAAGACCAATGCTTCTCCAAATTGGGCACGCCAGGGCGTTGAGCAAAGCACACGATCCAATCTCACTCTGGTATTCAATTCCAGCGACGTTGTGCGAAATTCCGTTACCACTTCCACTACCCACCTTGTCCTTCGATCTCCTGGTGAAGAACCTCTCAATTTTCCAGAACCCACCTTTCCGACGCTTGATCTCCACCGAGCTGTTGCTACTCCTCTTCAAGATCAGAACTTCCCATCGGCGGCTGCTGCGGCGGCTTGTTGTAATTCGAATGCTCTAGAGTGTTGGAAGGCTTTGATTGAGCATCATTCTTGATCTGGAAGGAGACGTTGCCGACTTTCAGACTGTAATTGTTGTTGAGCAGACCAAAGTGAGGAGTTGAGGCAGTGGGGGCAGATTCCGACGGGCGGGGAAGAAGAACGGTGCCGCTTGCAGGGGAGGTAAGAGGAAGAGTTGTAGAGAAAGAAGGAGTCGTCATTATTGTTGGTTGGAGCCAAATAGTTGTACCCACTTTTAATTAATTGGTTGGGACATAAATAAATAATAAATAACATAATTAAAATTGAAATTAGGAGTAAAGGAGGGGTAATTGGGTCATTTCCCAACTACTTTAACGACCACTTAACGGATAATTAGACGGAAGGGTAAATTCGTTACGTTTTAATTTTAGAAGGGTATGTTTGTGCGAAAATTTAGGAGAGGGGTACGTTTTTTTAATTTACGATAATAGAGGGGTACAAAATGCTATTAACCCTAAAAATAACTATTGTTACCTGGTAACCCCTAATTCTGGCCAGAATTTCCCACCGATGAGCATAAATCGGGAGTCCATCCTGCAGCCGCCTGGAGAAGGGAAGCTCGAAAGGGCTGGTGGTTGCTGGACGGAGAGGAAGATAATGGGCTGGTGGTGGTTTCGGGGTAGAAGGAGAGTGACGATCCTCGCGACTGCTGGAGTGAGAGGGAGATGACGGCCGCTGGTGTTATGGGAGGAAAGGTCGAGCGAGAAGTCGTCTGGGCTAAAACGACCGCGTGTAGAAGCAGCTCAGGAAAAGGAGAAAAAATATGTAGTCGCGGGAAATCGAAAGCGGGACCTCATTAATGAACAGTGCACGTATTCCGCTGAACAACGAGGAATAACCTGCTGTTTTGTTTCTAGGAAACGACTATTTGTTTTCTCACAGCTTTCTTATTTGCAATAATTGATTTTTTTCAGGAAAACGAAATGGACAAGTGAACACATTTATTGTCATTTTTTTCTTGATTTTCATTGGGATAATAGCATTTTGTGCTCCTGTACTATTGCAAGTTAACAAACATGCCCTTCTACTATTATTTTGCACAAACATATCCTTTAACCATGAAAAGATAACAAACATATTCTTCCATCAAATTTCCATTAAATAACCGTTAAAAAAAACAATAAATGACTAATTTACCCCTCAATTGTTTTTCCCAACAAAAAAAAACTCATAGTTTGTTTTTAATTATTCTGTTCTCAATTGTTTCTACCCCACGCATGAAACTCCCACACCAATCTTCTCTGGTTCTCTTTTCCAGAAGACGACCACACCGGTGGCCGAGAAAAAAAAAATTGAACTTAAGCAAAACAACAAAATTTATAAATACAAAATGCTTCAAAATCGGAATTAAAAAATAAATTAGGGTAAATTTAGGTTTTTGTTTACCAGCTGGGGATGGAAGTTTCTGAAATGGTTCGGCGGCGAAGAGTACCTTCTCACCTTCAAGCTAGAATACGGTTTGGCTTCTTCGTAACTCATTCCAACAGCGGTTGATTACGTATTCTGTCAGAGTTTTGAACCATTATCAACACTAAATAATTGAAAGTAGAAGTGATTATTTTTCCATGGAGAGCCCCTTTCTCTCCCTTGCGGCTGAGACGATCGTCCATGTTTGACGAACGTGTAGGCTTCCACCTTCTCGTAGAATTCAGATCTAGAGGTGAAGATTTTGCGGATTAGTTTGGTCGGATACGATCAGGTAAAAGTTGGACCCAATGACCGAATCGTCGGCGTCGCATCTCAGGATGGTCGCCGGTGTCGGGGTGAATGGTCGGTCGTAGGATAAGGGTTCAGGAGGAAAGGGGGAAAAGAAAAATTCAACCAAATTAAATAACTGCATTTAAAAAAATTATGGTATAAATGAGGGGTAAAAAAGTCATTGTGCATGTGATTTAACGGTTAATTGACGGAGATCTTAACGAAAGGTTACGTTTGTTACGTTTTCATAGTTCAAAGGTATGTTTGTGCAAAACAATAATAGAGGGGCACGTTTGTTAACTTGCAATAGTACAGAGCTACAAAACACTATTATCCCATTTTATTTTTTAAACCGAAAACGAAATGGAAAGTGAACATCACATAAGATTCACTGCAAAGTTTGGTGACTATAAGCATAATTTTCCCCCATTCCACCAATACGATACGAGCTGGACAATGAAATCTCAAGTTTGGGCTCAGCCCACTGCTAAGTCGTTGCTTCCGGCTCCGGGGTCGTAGCTCGGGAACCCTAAAATAAGAGTCGCAGCGCCGCAGATTGCCTGACGGACGGAGAAGAGGACACAGCCGTCGCCTGATTTCTTTCGCTCCGGCCAGCTGCGAGAAAGGAAAATCCGAGAATTTGCCGGGAATCTTGTTGATTTCCTTGTTTTCAATTGAATCGGATATTGGGTTTCTGTCGAATGGCGATGATTCGCTGCGAGAGCTCAGCCCAGTCGGGAACCCACTACGAGATCCTCTCCGTAAAAGAAGGCGCCACCTACGACGAATTACGCAGCGGCTACCGATCTGCAATCCTCAGCTCCCACCCCGACAAATCGCAGCAGAACACCCCGGATTACTCCGCCACCGCCAACCGGAAATTCCTCCGATTCCAGAGAGCATGGGAGATCCTGAGTGACTCCCGGTCGCGAGCGGCGTACGACAAACGAGCTCCTGGCGTCGAGACGGCAGCAGGACGCCAGCGTTTCGGGAGACATCGATTTGAATGATGTGGGGGTTACGGTGGTCGAGGAAAGAGGCGGCGGCGGCGTGGTGGTGGAGCTTTGTTATGATTGCCGGTGTGGGGATTGTTTCTCGGTGGATTCTTGGGATTTGGAGAGGATGGGATACAAACTGTCGAGGGATCGAGATAATGTGTGGTTCGAGGACGGCGAAGATGATACTTCGAGGTCAGCGGAATCGTCGGTTGTTATACCTTGTGGGTCTTGTTCTCTGCGAGTCCGGTTGTCGATTGAGACGGGACTCAAAGTTCCATTTGTTAGCATCTGAGGTTCAAGCAGTCAGAGGGGATTAGACCAAATAAAGGTTGGAGATTGAGAATGTAAAGGAAGTGGAGGAAGCAGAGACAGCAAAATGGGGTTGCTTGCTGCTTCTCCTGTGACGAAGAACGGAAGAAGAAGAAAGATGGTAGAGATTGATTAGGACTTTGCGCTTGGCAGCAAGCCGCCTGGTAAGTCCAACGAAGCTAAGGCCAGGTGTAATTAATGTTGGTAGTTTTGCATATCAGGTTGGTCACTCCCATGGTCCCATTAAACTGAACATCTCTAAACTCTTTTCTATTGTCTGCGATGAAATTTCGGTGGCTTGAAGCACATAGCCACATACACAGGCACAACATTGAAGCCACATTTTTTTTGTTTCAAAAGCTTTGCTTTTCTTTTCAATATACACTAGCCGGAACGCATTAGTCGTAGCCGCCAAAACCCTAGGCTTTTACCGCCTAAGGGGCAATTGTTGGGCCGCGTAGTTGAGCGTACTTGGGCTTTGGGCCCAAGAGAAGCGGGTCGGAGTTGAAGGCCCAATAAGGAGGCCAGGCCCGATTGAAAGACCGGGTCAGCGGGCGGTCCATGATCGACTGCAAACCCGAGGGAAAGGCAAGGGCGTCTGACATAAAGCAACTGAGCATCGCAGAGGGGCAGAGAGCCGTTGAAGATGCGTATCTGGTGTCAGGCAAGACTGAGCATTTATTGCCCGCCACAGGCGGCCTGCAGAAAGGCTGAAAGCCTGCCCAGGGCGCCTGACATTTCCCAAAAAGCCTGAATGGGCGCCCGACCAGGTCCGAGGCGCCCGACACAGCATTTAATGCCCCAACCACCCTTCAGCCAGATATAAATAGAGGGTGAGTGCATTAATGGTAAGGCCAACTACTATCTCTCTCTCTATGATAAATACATTCTACCTCTACTTCTCTCTCTAACTTGAGCGTCGGAGAGTGTCCCGGGCAACCGCCCCGGACCCTTGTTTTGCAGGATCTCTGAAGTCACTCCGTCATCTCGAGATAGGCGCCTCGCCCCAGCTCCACAAAACCGCCTAGTATTTACTAGGCACAAACAAAAAGCAATATTTCTTGTTTTATTACCAGATCACCAGCGCAGAGAGAGAAATAGAAAATGAGAGGCGGAAGAAGGTACTTGAGGCCGGGAGAGCAAGATCGATATGGTACTTTTCTCTTTAGTACCCTTCTTCTTCCTCTGTTTCTCCTTCCCTCGTTTTCTTCCATCACAACGCCTCACTACAATCTCCATCGCTGCCATCATCATCCCCCATCGGCTCTGTGCTCTCGCCGCCCGCCTCTGTTCGGTGTTGCCGGGTGCACCCCTAAACCAACCCCATCACCTCACCGTTTTTGTAACGCCGGAACGCCCCTACAATCCACCATCATTGCACTTGTAGTCAGCGTTGATCGCTATGGAAGGAGGAGAATAAGAAATTGAAGGTGGGTTGCTTTTGTAATTTTTTTTTTCTTCTTTGTGTGGTAGCGAGAGCTAGGTCGGTGAGAAAAGATGAGAGAGAAGAAGAAAATAGAAAAGGGAGAAGTTTGTGTGGCTGGGAAGAGGAGGTAAGAATGAAAAGCAATAAAATTGCAAAAAGATCCTCAGAGTTTCCCCTAGGTCCAAAATGGTCATCATTGTCCTTGTGATATGATGCAAAGGTGCAAAACTCGTCATCGCCTCAAAATTCGCCAACACGGAAGCAAAGCCAAATGGGCGAGTTCTAACCAAATTCACATCGATCCAACCCGTCAATTAGAAAAGTGTAAAAAACTCATCCTCGATCCAAAATTTGTCAACATCGGGTCAAATTAGATAAAAGACCCATTGATTCAGGTTCAAATTGGGCAATTGCCACAAAAAGAATTAGTTATAACAATTGACAAAACGACTTAGGTTAATGAGTAACAATTTTGAATAATTAAATAATCATAGTTGACGGGACACTAAGAAACAATGCCCCATCTTATCAGATCGACATTAGGTCAAATTCCCAACAATTTAAGTGAAAAACTCGTTCTTGCGTCAAAATTCACCAACAAAAGATTCAACTCGCTTTAACCGGGTCAAAGTAGGTTGAATACCCATTGATTTGGATTCAATTGTCATAAGTTAACTAATTAGAACCTCTATGGCACTAGAAATCTTCCAATATTCAATGATTTAAGAGTGCAAAACTCAATTACAAAAGCGGATAAAACTCGTTGCCGATACTAAATTCATCAACACTGGATTGATCTCGCTTTGACTGGCTTGATATAGCGGGAAGAGTTTTTAACAAAAAATTTACACCCGACCCAACCCGTCATTTACAAAAGCAAGTAAATCTTTGCCCCGCCTAAAATTTGTCAACATTGGATTCAACTTGCTTTGGCCGGCTTGATAAAGCGGTGTGAGTTTTTAACGAAATCACATCCGATCGAACAAAAGCGTGTAAAATTCGTTCTCGACCCAAAATTCGCCAACACCGGGACCGGGCCTAAATTCGTTGAATATAATTGGTAACAAAAGCCACACCCGACCCAAAATTTGGTACAATTTGTTGCGGACCAAAAATCCGGCAACACCGATGCCGGGTCGAATTATTAGTTTGAACATACATGAATTTGGTTTCATTTGTCACAAAGAGAAAACATTTAAAACATGTAGTTTGTTCTTTTAAAGAGATAATAATAATGTTCTTTGATATGATTAATTTGCAAGATTGACGCAACGAACAAAATGGTTAAATGACGCTAAAAACATCCAATCCATAAAGTCTCCAAAACCATTTGCAAGCCCGACATAATGAAAATTTTCGGCAAAATGACTCTTGACCTAAGTGTAAAACCCATTTGCAAGGTGGAGACAAAATAAAAAAATAGTAAACGACCATAACTGTGATCGATAAGCGAACGAAAGCCAAAAAAAACTTGCTCGACCTAAAATTCGTGAATATTGAGTTAAACTTACTCTATTGATTTAAGCGTGTAAAACTCGCTTACCCGGGTTCAACCCATTGTAAAGACAATCGAACAAAAATTTATGATGGGACACTATTGATTTGGGTGCAATTAGGATTCAATTGTCATAAGTTAATTAATTGGACCCATTGATTTGGGTGCAATTAGGATTCAATTATCATAAGTTAATTAATTAGAATCTTAATAACCTAAAATTAATTAATTGGAACCTTAATGGCATTAAATCCCTTCAAACCTTTGGTTAATTACAAAGTGATCATGTTTGTGATGGGACACTATGCAATAGTGTTTTTGTTACTTGTTCTTTTATAGATAGAATAAGTTAATTAATTAGAATCTTAATAACCTAAAATTAATTAATTGGAACCTTAATGGCATTAAATCCCTTCAAACCTTTGGTTAAGCTCGCTTACCAAAACTGTGATCGATAAGCGAACGAAAGCCAAAAAAAACTTGCTCGACCTAAAATTCGTGAATATTGAGTTAAACTTACTCTATTGATTTAAGCGTGTAAAACTCGCTTACCCGGGTTCAACCCATTGTAAAGACAATCGAACAAAAATTTATGATGGGACACTATTGATTTGGGTGCAATTAGGATTCAATTGTCATAAGTTAATTAATTGGACCCATTGATTTGGGTGCAATTAGGATTCAATTATCATAAGTTAATTAATTAGAATCTTAATAACCTAAAATTAATTAATTGGAACCTTAATGGCATTAAATCCCTTCAAACCTTTGGTTAATTACAAAGTGATCATGTTTGTGATGGGACACTATGCAATAGTGTTTTTGTTACTTGTTCTTTTATAGATAGAATAAGTTAATTAATTAGAATCTTAATAACCTAAAATTAATTAATTGAAACCTTAATGGCATTAAATCCCTTCAAACCTTTGGTTAATTACAAAGTGATCATGTTTGTGATGGGACACTATGCAATAGTGTTTTTGTTACTTGTTCTTTTGTAGATAGAATTTGAGCGGGAGCTGGATGAGCGGGAAAGGATGGAAAATTTTGAAAATTGAGACCATGAAAAGACTAGAAAGAGCGATTTCTCATCTCCTGTTTCCTTATCCTTTCCCTTCCTACTTGCTTCCCAAACTTCTTCTTCTTCTTCTAGTGGTTTTCTTCAATCAATCAGAGCATTTCCATCCCGCCATGCCTCCCCGCAAGAGCTCTGCCAAGCAGCCACGCCGCAAGATCCCCGTCAAGCGGGGGCCACGCAGCAAGAGATCCGTCAAGCAGGTAACCCATTACGAGATCCTCTCCGTGGAACCAGACGCGACCTACGAAGAAATCTGCGCCGCCTACCTATCTGTCACAATCACGGATTCCGCCACCGATGACGACGACAACAAATCCCTAGCAGTCCAAAAGGCATTTCAAGTACTGAGCGACACCCAGTGGCGGGCTGAGTACGACGAGGAGCTCCGCGTGGCGAGGCGGAGGCGAAATGCCAGAGTCACGGAAGAGGTCGATCTGATAGATGTGGGGATCTTGATGGGCGTGATCAACAGGGGAAGACACGTCGTTGAGCTTGTTCATTCGTGTCGGTGCGGGGGTTGTTTCTCGATTGATTCCATAGATTTGGCGAAGATGGGATACACAATGGGGGAGGGATGCGGCGAAGTGTGGTTCGAGTCGCCGGAGGAGGAGGAAGACGCTGACGCCGACGCCGACGCCGATAGTTCTAGGACGCTGGGTTCGGTGGTTATACCTTGCGACCGCGAGTCGTGTTCTCTGGGAGTCCGGTTCACGATTGACACAGGAATGAAACTTCCATGGATGTGTTCTATTGATTATTAGATGATTTGAGTAGTATTGTAAGGTGGTTCCCTAGAGCAACATGTCATATGGAGAAGGATTTATATCCTCCTCAATATGTTGTTTGATATGGTAGGATCATGAGTCTATTAGATCGAACTTTGTTGTAAAATTGTACAGGACGTTGTATTGTAAGAGTCGGTGGTTGGGTATTTTATGATGAAATCGTAGTTTAATTGTGGTTCAATTGCTTCATATCGCTAAATATCGCCTATCGATTTCAATAAGAAATTTTTCTGCTACGGTTTTTCAATCCTAACCTCGTCAATGTGAAAGTAAGAAATTTTCGCCCTAACAAGAATTTCCTCACTACTTTTGGATTGCCGTAACACTATTTAAATTTCTTCTCTAAAAGTCTAGAACACCTCATCGTTTAGTAGGGATTACAATCAAACTCATGAATATGGATAACTGACTGCCCCAACCCTATCAACGAGGAATTCTTCCGGATATGAAGCAAGTTTACATTTTTTTTTTTTTGACAAAAAATAATTATATATTGATCAAAAAGAAGATAATTACATCCTGGAATTTAGCCAGGTCAGGAAATCGAAAGAACGACTCATATATTGATCAAAAGCAAGTTTACATATTTACAAATAAGAATGATGATGATTTAGGCTAATCTGTGTATACATATTTAAAATTGGGTATGAGGATGATATAGGCAAATGTGCGCCATTGTCAATTTGTCATCCCTAACATTTAGTAGATAAGAGGTAACTGATATGAGCTGGGCCAATGGCCTGTTGATAGAATGGTCTAGGCCCATAGTCAGTGTTGCATGGATCAAAATAGAGAACGCGAAGACTTGAAAATTCCAGTTCTCAGTTCGTCAGTTCCCTAATCCCAGGATATTCGTGAGCTCAGATTCGGTGACAGAATTGTTGTGCTGATACATCCAGAGTGACCGGAGAACTCAACTTTCCCTTCAGAAATTCAGTACAACCTGAGGCGGAGATAAAAGCTCGCCGCTTTTTTCTATCTCCTCTGTTCTTGTTCTTCACCCAGAAAGAATTCAACCAAGAAAACTCTTTTTTCTTACTTGGAAATGTTCCGCGACGTGATTTCGTGAAAAGGGTCGACTAATGGTGTTTGGGGAAGATTAAATTTGGAGTCTTTTCAAGCTTTTGGAGGTGGGTTTTCAAGCACCCAGAAATTGTGGTGGGGGAACTCTTTGTTCTTTGGTCTTGCTGATCCAAATCTCCCAAAACCCTTTCTTACAGGAGAAAATGGGCTCTGAAGAAGGAGAAGGAAGGTCGGTGCAATCGTGGAGCGTGTTTGATACGATCAAGAAGTTCCCATCTAGCCCTGAAGACCTTATGGCTGAGATCGACGCTGCAATTACTAAATTGGAGAGTGAGCGGTCCACTGCTTTGCTCGACTCTCTGTCGCCGGTCAACGCAAATGGTAGTGGTAACTGTAAGGGCTCTGATCAGCCGCCGATTGCTACAGATTCTCAATATGATGCCAGGATTGCAGATGAAGCTTATCGAGCTGGTTGTGCAGCTTTTGCCGTTGGGAAGCTTGATGAGGCTCTTCAGTCGTTGACTGTCTCTCTCTCCAAGTGTCCTCCTGAGAAGACCTCTGCTATTGCCAAGCTTGAGTCCCTCATTTCTCTTACCTCCCAAGAACTTCACAAATCGCCTTCTTTGACAGTTTAAGACGTTTAATTTTGAAGACTTCCATTGATGATAAATGATAATGCTGAGGATCTTTGTTGTGTGTGGATTCTCAATGATGCTTGCCTGGCTACTGACCAGTAAAATGTACATGTTTGTTTGTTAGTCTTTTGATGCCGGGTTAGAGCTCTGGTTGTTTGGTTGATGGATTGTGCAGAGATGGTTCGTTACTGTGACAAGAATGTATTGTTTGGCTATGAAATATGGACGATAGATCGTGAGTTAGTTTGGATTCTGAAATTCAACTTCCAGATGGCTCTTGAATTCCATAGGAGTTGTTTGAAGGATGTATTGTGAATTTTTGATAATAGTTCGATGTAATGTAGTCTGACAGTCTTTCCATTTCATTTATCTGTATATTTTCAAAACTCTGTGAACCAACTGATCCTTGATTCAACTTTCTTAATTTCACGGCTGCTGTACCTTTACAGTCAGTACTGTGCAGAGTGCTGCTGGTTCATAAGTAGGCCTACTGCTCTGATAATCCATTTTTATCTTCCACAGCCTATATTGCGTATGCCTAAACTTATCTGGTTAAAGTGCCTGAAAGTGAGACGTGAAGAATCCAACTTCAGTGTTTGGTGGAAGACAGGTCCACCATATCCTCCACAATTAAGGTTTTGTTCATCGCATTCCCAAATCTGCAACTGCTGTTTACCAGACGCAATAGTTCTTACCATAGCTGGACATCCTTTATTGAGCACTGTAACGTTGTCAAATTATGTTGATGGAGGGAGACCTAGCTGTAGAAGCTACTTTTTTTTTTAAAGCTGAAGAGTAAAGTGACCACATCATGACAATAACATGCTAAAGTGACTTCATGTAGGTGGAGTTGAAGTATCAAAGGTCAAAAGGGGTGAAACGTGAAGCTTCATTTCTCAACAGTATTTCTTCCCCATCTGCACATTCATCAGGAAGCCTAATTTTTTCTGCAAGTGCCTTGATGAAGATGATGACGTTGATTCAGTTTCTCCCTCAACTATTCGAGGAAAATTTATTGTTTCCACGATTCGAAGACCAAAACATGAACGAAAATTAGAATGGTGGACAAGAAAGAACACAGAAAAAATGCAAAGATGGTAACATGAAAGACACAATCCTTATGTACGCTTTGTGTCAACTATGTTCTGCATTTCCCTTTCCTCTTCACTAGATCTATAGATTAGCGACGGAAGGCTACATATGTGGAACATTAATGCATCACACTATCATTTGTGTTATTTTAATCCCGTGTACATCACAATTATTCTATCACAAATCTCATTATACAAAAAAAAAATATTCGATCACAAGTCGAATGAATGACTACCTGATATATGATACTTATGCCTACCTCATTTAACAAGGTAATCAAATTTAAAATAGGAATTTACCGATGATATTAACATACATAATTTTTAGGGTTAAAGAACAAACACAATCTCCCCAATTAATTTTCAGATTTCTTTTGCCACATTGATTGTTCAAAGGAGGTTCTCATCTTTCTAGTAATGAACAACTTCAAAAAGGAGGGTGGAATGGAAGAAAAAGGAAAACCAGTCACACACAGTTTGGTGTAATGGTCATGTCTCCTTTTCACCATAACTAGCCTTCATCTTCAAAGTGTGGGGTGTTATAAAGTGACGAAATGTGCACCTTGTCTCAAGAAGTAATTTCTGATTTGTGCCCTTAAAAGCTTTCTTAGCACTATCTCTAAGGTGAGCAGCTGCAAAGCCACCATCAAGCTGAGGTCAATTTGGACATCATTCTCAAGATTGGGACTTTTACCCTCCACCACATTCCATGGTGCTTGCTCTCTCTCTTCCTTTCTTCTTTATAGGCAAGTTAAGCATCAATTTCCCCATCAAAGTTTTCGTGTATTGTCTTATTCCGCTCTCTAAATCCATAATGGGTGTGTTCTATCAGGAAGAGCCACCTCCACAAAACACATCAAAGAAATGCAAGTTCCTCATGGTTTCAACGCTCAAAGATGCCTTCTCCATCTGTCGATCTTGCGGCGGCCACATAAGCCCTCTCAAGCAGCAGCAGGATGAGGATCATGTTCCCAACACAACAACTGGACTGAAAAATTATGAACAGGAAGTACTTTCCACTTCTTCAAACTCTGTTACGATTTTCCTGCACAGACATACAAAGAACAATGCACATGAATTTGTTTGAGAAAATAACTATGTTGTTTCGTTTCTTCAGGTTGTCGTGTCAACAATTAGGAGCAGAGCGATGGAGAAGTCGAAGCAGAAGGTGTTTGTGATCACAGATAGCTTTTCAGGGGACCTGTTCTTTAGTCCTGAGAAGCAGAAGGATAGAGAAGTTGATAAGGAGGAAGATTTCTACTCAGTTGGGAGCTGTCTTTCGCGTTGCTCGAGCAGTTTGAGCAAGGGGGGCGAAGAGTTCTTCTCAGTGAAGACAAACTTGTCCAGGTGTTCGAGCTTGAGTCAGGTGGAGTACCCAAGTATTCACAGGTGCGGTTCGATATTGCAGGAGCTCTGCCACTGCGAAGGGTGGCCGTTTGGTCTCTGCAGGAAGGCTGTTTTGCTCCCACCTTTGCCTAAGTCTCCATCTGAGTCCTGGCTATGGCAGAAAGGTACTAGATCAGCCAGGCGGCCTTGAGTTCTTGCAGCTTGCAATAAAGACAAAAACTTAGAAACAACTTTAGAATAAGATAGACTGTTGCGGAAGGATGCAAAGTTTATTGTTCTGTCATGTTGTCATGTGTATTCCCATGTATCAGATTCTAGATTGGAAATCAAAAGTGCAGTCCTTAATCCATAAGGAGATTCACATTAAGCCTGAGTTCATATAGAACCATCCTTCTAAACATGGGTTCTGTAAGAACATCAATTTTCTACTTCATCAAGATAGTTTTTCTATGATCTACCAAAGGATGGGGAAACTTACGGACTACAAATCCTTTCTTTTTCATTATTTTTATAATCGGTCCTTTTTCAACTTAGATGATATTAGGTTAACACAAACACAAGGAAAGTAAGTTGCCGGCCGTATTTGCACAAAGAAACCTTTACTTCCAGTGAAATAAAGCTAAATGGAATTGAAATCCTGGGAACATCAATGCAAATCTTGAAATCGCTAAGCTTTTATTGAACTGCAATGCAACTCCAATTTGAAAGGTTTCTAAGAGCAGTAACTTGATCGAAACCATTGATAAAAACAGATTCCAAGCTAGAAAACTCTTGCAACTAAGCTAAATCAGATCCCAGGTTCCGATACTTTAAGCTCTTTGTTCAACATAAGATCCAGCAAGTCCAGAAGTACCAATCAGGGTCACCTGCAGAACAGGACCAAGCGATTTAGGCACACAATATCAACTACCTTGCTTTCCAAATATGCATTAAAGAACATCCAAGTACAGTTCCAGATGCAGAAGGTCGATAGCATGGGGGAACAATAATCTAAATCAAGAATTTCAGTTAATTAGCATTCGGTAAAATTGAGCAAGTCTTAATTACCTTGCCCCACTCTGATCCAAGGCCAGCGCATCTCATCTTCAAAAATATCATCTTTGAACCCAATTCCGTCTCTACTTTCTTTCTCAGGTAGGCCTCATCAGGTCCAAATGACTCCAGATACACAGAGTACCGTTCAAAAAACATACGGATTGCCTTTGCATAATCATTTGTTAGCGGTTTCACATCCTGTGTCACATAATTTACAAGATATTATTAAACTTCAACAACCATTTGAGAATAATTTAAAACTGAAAATTCCAGATTAAAAAACCATGAACATACCTCGCCACTCATCCCAATGCTGTCATCTAGCTCCATCTTCAGAGTCATGATCATCCCACCAAATTCCTCGACAGCTTCACATGACCGGAAAACATTCTTCAAGATCTCTTGACCGGATTTGTCATCAGAGTTCTTGGACAGAGCATTCTTTACATCATAGACGACTGTCGCATCAAGTTCATCCCAACTTGCAGCCATCAAGTCCTTGAAAGCACATAAGACATCAGGGTCCTTAATCTCGGGCAAGTGTGCTACATCCTCACTATAAGACCTTTTACTACCAATGCTGATTGCCAAAGGAGATCGGGAACCTAACAACAAGCACGGCCAAGGAAAGACTGAGTTAAAAGAGGCATGAACTATCATTTCTAAGGTAGCATCAACGTCAAACAGACAGGAGTGGGCGGATAAAATTAATCATTATATCTATCTAATTGACATAAGCCTTAATGAATTTCACATTGATGACAATTGCTGGTTCACTTCTAACAGCAAGGCACATATACCAATGAAAATTCATCTCACACATTCCGGCAATTTTGATAGTATTTGCCAACAATTTCTAAAGCCTACAATTCTGAATATAAAACATGGTAAAGAAGCTAAACAACTAGAGATGGGAAACAAAGGACTCAGAAACATCTTCTCTTCAGTTTTAAATCAAGGTGGATTAGCTACGCAGAATCATATAATTGGGGACGAAAATATTCAGATAAAGGCTACTGCTTCTCTTTCCTAATAGTGCAGATTCATTCAACCCAGTTCACCAAATACGCTCCCAAATCGACCCAGAATTTCAAAAGGCCCCAAAAAGGGTGTAGATAATAACTCCAAGGGTGATGATCAAATTGAGAACCAGATAAGTACGCAGAAGCGATACCGAAAGTGATGTGATTCGCAGAAGCGGTGGCGGAAGACAGAGTGAATAAGGATCGAGGAGTTGATTGTTGGTGAAGGAGCTGGTTGCCGGCAACAGCTGCGAAGCCTTTCGAAGATCTACGAGAAGCTACACGATATAGAGACCTGAGAGCCACCATCTTCCCCATCTTGCCTCTGAAGATGATCGAAAATTCCCCTTTTTCTGTTCTTGAATGCAGCAATTTCCTTCCTTCCTTCCTTCCTCTGTTCTGTTTTTACATTTTTTCGATTAAAATGGGGAATTTAGTAAACATAGCCACCTGGATTCCGCTTTGAGCCCATGTCCGAAATATCTTTGTTTGGGCCTATTTTACACCGGAATTCCGACTGTGACAGATCCAATATTATCGATCGCGGTTCGGCCCAATGTTGTAGGTTCGGGTTTTGTTGTTTTCAATGTTGTACATGAACTTATTTCAAATGCAGTATTTAATTTATAGTAATTTGCCAAAATTCTCCGAAGTTTTGTAGCTCCAAAAATGGCGAACGAGGCCGGTGCCGCCGAGGCGCCGAAGCCTAGCTCGCTCCGCCCTTGCTCTAGAGAACTTTGTCCTTTTATGAACAGAGTAGCTATATGGGAATGGCTGTTTTTTTCTTTTTAAAGAACAGAAAACTTGCTAGCCGATTAGTACAGACGTACAGTTGATTGATTTTTGGTCCTTGCTGGTATTCAACATCACTGGCTCAAAGCGGAATGGGGAAGCAGGCGGAAGATGGGGCAGAGAAGAATCATCGACAAGGCAGCCCAGCGATAGTGGAGGTTAATCCTAAGCCTCGAAACGGATTGGCTTCCACAGTCATCGACTTGGCGGAGAAATTGGCGGTGAAGCTCGCCGCCGATTCGCCTCAGCCTCTTCACTACCTCGCCGGCCTTTTCGCTCCCGTCCTCGACGAGACGCCTCCTGCTGCTGATCTTCCCGTTAAAGGAAACCTCCCTGTGAGCCCCTAACTTAGAATAATAATTTGCTGTTTTCGATTCCACGAACGGTGTCTGCTGTCTCTCCTCTCCAGTTTTTTTTATGTTATCAATTATTGATTATCTAATTCCCCTACCCCGTTGGTTCTGGGTTCAGTAAAACTTGACCAAAACAACGTTGATTATTGAGAATCCGGATGAAGTGGCCGCCGTTTGGGAACATGCAGAGTTCCTCTTTATTTTGAACCGTGAACATGAAGCTCGAGATTTTTAGTTCACGTTTGTGTGAAGTGAAAGATCAGTAATTGCTTCCCATTGTTGTGTTCACTGCTCACTGGCCTTGAGAGTTTTAACATTTTGAACTTGAAAACAGACCCATGCCGCAATTCTGACCTTGCCCTCCTCTGTTCTCGTGCTCCTCTTATGTCCCTTTTGATGCTTTAGGATTGCCTTAATGGCGAATTTGTAAGGGTTGGTCCTAATCCCAAGTTCCCCCCTGTTGCTGGCTACCATTGGTATGTCTTCTAGCTGCAGCATGCATATCTTTTGCTCTGCGATTCTGTTCATACGCTTCTGAGGCATTGTTTTTCTATTGAGATGATATGATAACCCCAACTCTTTCTTTTCTGTCTGTTGCAGGTTTGACGGGGATGGGTATGTTGTAAAGATGAGTCGCTGCTATGCTCATACGGGTGTTTTAAAAAATTTCCACCCCCCACCCCCTGATTTTTGTTCTGCGGATAAATTTGCAGAATGATTCATGGGTTGCGCATCAAAGATGGAAAGGCAACATATGTTTGCCGCTACGTGAAGACATCGCTTCATAAACAGGAAGAGTTTTATGGAGGTGCCAAATTTCTCAAGGTGTGATCTTGTCTTGGTCTGTTGTCCCTTCATGCTTAGCTACCAGTTCCAAGCCAATCATACTTGTGCTTTATTTAATTGCAGTTAGGTGACCTTAAAGGTTATTTTGGCCTGTTCGCCTATGGCTTGCGCACGCTGAGAGCGAAGTTGAAAGTCTTGGACATGTCATATGGACATGGGACTGGTAAGTTTCTTCACACTCATGGCACATTATGCTCTTGTGGCTTACAGGTTTGAGTTTCATACCTGATGCTTTATTATTCATGCAATACAAGGGAACTAACCTTCTCTTATACCCTCTTCCAGCTAATACAGCTCTGGTTTATCACCATGGCAGGCTCCTGGCCCTTCAAGAGGCTGATAAACCCTGTAAGCTTCATGTTCAGTCTGCCTTTGATATTTACTGGATCAAAAGCAAATGACTTCCTTGGGAGAACCATTTATTTGATGCTCTCTTTTTCTTCGGTAGGGTTGACAATCTCACTCATTGCATGCTGCAGATGTGGTTCAAGTCATGGAAGATGGAGATCTGCAAACCCTTGGTTTGCTAGATTATGACAAGAGACTCGGACACGCTTTCACTGCTCATCCCAAAGTAGATCCATTCACAGGTGATATCCTGCTTAACTGACTTTTTTTTGAAAGGAAAGCCTTTTCTCACTCAATGTCCTACTAAATACAGGAGAAATGTTCGCTTTCGGCTATGCAACTGAGCCACCATATATCACCTACAGAGTCATTTCAAAAGATGGTTTCATGCACGATCCTGTACCAATAACCATACCAGAGCCCATCATGATGCATGACTTCGCTATCACTGAGAATTATGCAATTTTTATGGATCTTCCTTTGTGTTTCCGACCAAAGGTACACTCATTTCTTTTGGTTTGCTGCCTCGGAAGAGAGCACTGAAGTAGACAGCTAAAATCGCATACAATTTTGCTTTTCCACCAGAGAATGCTCACAGAAAGGGGCCTCATTTTACATTTCGATGCTATGAAAAGTTCTCGCTTTGGGATTCTCCCAAGATATGCCAAGGATGAACTTCTGATTAGATGGTTTGAGCTGCCAAACTGCTTTATATTCCATAATGGTATGTATGCCTTTTAAACCGCTGATGAGGTTTCCATGGTGCACTTGGCTCATTATCTTCTCTAGTCTGTCTCTGCCTCAGTTTACTATCTCTCTTATTGACTAGCTAATGCTTGGGAGGAAGGAGACGATATTGTGCTCATCACTTGCCGTATTGGAAACATGGATTTGGACATGATGAATAGCAGTACGAAAGAAAAAGTTGACAATTTCACAACCGAGCTGTAAGAATAATTCAGTGACATGCTCTCATCTCATGATTCTCCTGGAAAGCTCCAAGTCGTCTGCTTTTTCAATGTTTGCTTTTTTTGGCTGCAAGCAGGCATGAGATGAGATTCAACATGAAAAACGGACTTGCTTCACAGAGGAAACTGGCTGCATCAGCTGTCGATTTCCCCAGGATAAATGAGAGCTACACTGGCAGGAAACAGAGATATGTGTATGGAGCCATCAACAGCTTTGCCAAGATCACAGGGATCATCAAGTTTGATCTTTACGCGAAACCGGAGCAGGGAAAGACTAATCTTGAAGTTGGAGGAAATGTTCAAGGCATATTCGAGCTTGGACCTGGACGATATGGTTCAGAAGCAGTATTTGTTCCTAGGGTGCCTGGGATCACTTCTGAGGAAGATGATGGCTACCTGATATGCTTTATGCACGATGAATTGACCGGGTAAGCCCCAAATTAACCAAAATTCTTTTCCGTCCTTTCGTCTTTCACAGTGTAAGTGTAACCCCCCTGTGATATTATGCAGAAAGTCGTCAACGATTGTTGTAAATGCCAAGACGATGTCTGCTGATCCTGTTGCAGTTATTGAATTGCCCAACAGGGTTCCGAATGGATTCCATGCGTTGTTTGTGTCCGAAGTAAGTAAAATTTCTCTAATCACATGATCATGCGTTCTGCTTCCTTGGTCCTTTTTCTGGGCCCTATCAACCAAAGTAGAAAAAATCCTTCACGTTTTCTGATGGAAATGTTGTTAATGACTGACAGGACCAACTTCAGCAACAGGCTCACCTGTGACAACCGCTTGCTGCCTTTTAAGCCCGAATTTTTATATTGGAATAATATTTTTTTTTTTTTAATAAAGCTTTCATTCATTTATCCCGAAAGAGGAGAGGAATTACAACAGAGGGGTTACAATGGATAGAACAGATATCCAGTCCTGTGGAAGGGAAAGACAACGTGCATTGCGCGCAACCCAATCGGCACATTTGTTGAATCGACGATGGGTGAAAGAAAGATGAATCCAGTGACATTGCCGAAGTATGGTCCTAATGTGAGAAAGAAGACCAAAACATCGCCAAGGCCACATGGACTCATCACCACCCAAAGCATCCACATTTGTTGGAATAATATGTATCATCAACAACTAGTCTTAGCAATTTAGCATCACAGAACCATTGGGATAGGTAGAATTACAATGAAGTAGAATATGAAATTTATAAACTCAAGTCTTGGCATGAGTAGAATAGATTGAATATTGTTAGATTTTAATTGTTTACTACGTAAGAAACACATGTAATTTGCTTCCCATAAGCATGCATAGTGAAGTGTAAGCATGGAATTAAAGGGTTTCCCACAGATGGATTTTTTAGCTTCCGTGAAATGTTTGTCACAGTGCTAATCGTCATTGGTTGGCATCACGGTAAGAGTTATAGCTCTAAAAGTAATTGATATAAATGAGGTATCGCACTCTATAAAGTTATCACGAATTCTAAGCTGGATAAACTGGCTTTTTGAGGTGACCAAACCACACATAAATCTGAGATGAAGTCTTGAAGGATGTAATCATGACCTTGAAAAATAGAAAAAACATGTCAAACCCTTAGTTAGTGAACACTATACACATACTGAATATGGAACCTTTGAGAATCAGAAGTCAGCGACGAAGAAATATATGAATAACAAAAGAGTAAATATGTGTCCATGAAGATGGCAAAAAGCTTCAGTGATAAAGCCTACTTTTTTTTCCCCGATTAAAATGAGAAATGTTTGCCGACATAATAAAATTTTTTATTGGAGTTTAAGCAGCAGGTTTTTAAACTCCATGGACAAAAGAGTAGAAATCAGAGAGGAAGTGTGAAGCACCTTTGAGATAGGAAGTATCAAGATCTTGGATTAGTGTGCAAAAGGTACCTGATTCTTCTGTCAATTTAGAGATTGAGGCAAAGATTATTGTTGCCTCAATAGCTCATGCATGTTAATAAAAGAAACAAAGAAGCTGGTTAGGAAGACCAACTGTTTAGTAAGACAAACTACTCCAAACAAACTAATCAAGTAATGCCAATATAACCAAGAGGCATGAGGTAAAACATAAACATCACACCTTAGAGTCTAAATCATACAAAGTATAGCAAACACACAATAATTAGTTCAATATTCAGAGAAAGTATAACACATGGAGCACCTAGGTAATTGGATTGGTACTGTCTTTATCCAGAAGGGATAGGAAACAAGAAAAAGACATAAATATAAAAGTCTTTGAGGACATCAGTCCACAACTTATCAAGTTCTCATTCAATAGGTTGCTTTCTTTTCATAGATATGGTTTGGTTTTCTCCACATCAGCGCTTTTAACTTCATTACATAGTGTGTCTGAGACTTGAGAAGAACTCATTCTCAATTTCACTATGAATAGATTGGGTGGAGAAAGCCTTCTACAACGTGGAGGGTAAGTCCTGAAACAGAAAGTTTAAGCATATAGTACTTAGTAGCTGGAAATTGGTCACAGGGGATGTGAAGTACATAACATAATAAGTATGTAAAAAAGTAGAGTATGAGTGCTAGACAAAGCAAAGATAACCAAGGTAGTGGTTTGATAATTAACATGCTACAGCAAACTCGAGACTAATAAAATAAAAAACGGAACAAAATCAGTATACTCTACTGTACAGAAGGCAACGAAGTCCAGAAATTAACATGAAGTGGAATTTAAAAAAAGAGAACTTACATCTATGGAGGCTGGATCAATTTTTACCACAGTGAAGTCTGGTTTGCTCCTTGTATACATGCTGATTTTGATTTTCGCATGAAACTTGAGGGTCATTCCTAGAATTTTAAGGATATTATCTGCTGGAGCATCTTTCAAGCTACCATTTTGAAGGAATAGTTGGTTAGCAGGAACTCCAAAAAGATCTCGCCCACTTTTTCAAACACGACAAAAGATGACGAGGTGTCATCACTAACAACTTCAAGTCGGACATAGCAATCACTATAGAGTTCCACCAATTGCAGTTACATTGACCTGAAGAACGTAACACCAATTGTGAGTTGTAGCGGCTTGTGAGGAGGAAGCCCCAGGAGTGTCACACCGACGAACCATCAGAATTATATGACAGAACAAAGTTCTAGAAAACCACCGATATTTCACCAATGCTGGGAATACACGCGCTTCACCAATTAATAGAAAGCTGTTTAGAACAAACAACCGGTGGATTAGATGTGGGAAGAACACCTTTACCCGAAAGGGGCTGAACAGTAAAGAGGCAATAGCTGATGGTGGAAGACCAATTGGAGCACTGGAACTGAGCTGGTCGACAATGCGAAAGGAAATTAGAAGGATTAGGGAATTGGAGCAAAAAGGTTATAACATAACAGTGTGGGCAATTGGGGAACCTGTTTTGGCAAGGTTGGCCGGAGTTGAACGGTGGAATTGAAATGAATGCAGAGAAGTGAAGTATTACAGTAGCGAGACATTAGTCCTCAATTACGGTGGCGAGACCACAGCGGGAGTGAGGGTGAGATAGGACAATGAACCGAAAGCCGTGATGGCTACACTGACCAACGGCTGTGGGCGCAGTTTCGCGGACGAACGACTGATATTCAAGAGTCGACAAAGTGCGGGTGACGTAGCGGATGCAGGGCAGGGTTCGTAGTACTGGCGCAGGCTTCGAAGAAATTGAATTAGTGGGGAAGCCTTCAATTACGATTGGGGGGGGGGGGGGGGATGTGTGAACTTCCTTTAATGCCCTTCCGAGAAACGCTCCCAGGGCTTGGATTTTCAAATGGAGGAATGCAAAGGCTTTAAAACGTATTATTAGTTCTCTTGATTCAACATTTATATCACAGCAACTATATTTTGATTTTTTTTTTTTTTTGTGTTTTTAGTGTGTTTGGTGTTTTAACAGTGAAAGGGTATTTTATTCATAACCGAAGAATTACACCATATCCATCCCTAAAATTGGTAGCAATTTATAAACGTGGCCCTACCGCCACATCATTAAATCTACCAATTTCTAATCTAGCAATTTCTACTCATCAACATCCCTAAAATGTGTGACGCAAGGTTGTCAACCCGCGGGTTGACTCGGACCCGGTTGAGCTAGTGGGTCAAGGGTTAATGGGTCACCCGTTTTAGCCTGGTTTAGCCCGGAAATATGGAAAGCGTAATTATATTGTACTTATCCTGATAAATTATATCAAATCTCATCTAACATATGAGTTATAACATATAATATTACACCAAAATAACATTTTGTACTTAGATTCAACATATAGTGAAAATTCACACACACTTATATAACATTAATATTCAAATGTTCAACTTAGGATTCCAAAGATTGAGTTAGGCGAAAAGAAAAATCGGAAAATAGGCGCATTTCGCAAAACAAAGAAAAAATGACACAATTTGACCTCCAACCCGGTACCTTGTGGCGGTCGACCCGGCGGGTGCGTGCGGCCCGTTTTTCTCACCGGGTCAGGGTCAAAGTGGGTCGACCCGCGGGTTGACAACCTAGTGTGAGCAATTGTCAAAGTGGGTCCCATTTACTATTACAAATCTACACAAACACTTAACAGTTGATTTTTTTTTTACCATTAGATCACTCGTGTTACCGAGAAATGAAAGTTACAAAGTCTAAAGAATCAAAGTGACTGAAGCCACGCAACAAAATCGAAACCCACCAACAATTCCCGCAGGGCCAATAATTCCACCAGAGAAAGATCCTGAAGCCCTTGATATCGCCGAGCGGCACTAGCTAGTAAGGTACCTGCCTCGTCCTGAATAACCCATCCTCCCGCTCCATGCAATCCATGCTTCATTGCACTATCAACAAAACAAGACAAAGAGCAAGAAACAGGACTATACTGAGACACCATGGGTGCCGACACCACCGTCTGATGCTCACTCTCCTGTGGATTTTCAATCCACTCGGCAACCTGCAAAGAAAATTGAAAAGCAAGAGAAGCAGGCTGATACTGAACGAAATTGAACACCACCCCATTACGCGACTTCCAAATGCGCCAAAAAAGAGTCACTAACTGCATTATCTCAGTAGAGCCTATGGTCGGCTGCTCAAAAATTCGGCGCCAAAACATAGCAATACTCCCTGTCGGCACCCCATCCTGCCAAACCTGCAATCCTGTTATCCGCCACCAGACACCGGAAAAATAAATGTTATATTGTCTCCTCCTCCTCCCCTATGCAAACCGGACAAGTCCACCCATCCCCAATCCCCCTAACTCAAAGTGCCTCCCCCATCGGAAGCACTCGTCTAAGCATTTGCCAGACAAAAAAAACGGAGTTTGGGAGGGATGGGTAGACCCCAGACCTTACGTCATAGACCTTTATCAAACAGAGAACAAGAATCCTTCCAAATACGTGGCCGATGATGAATAGACTGAGCAGCTAAGTGATAGCCGGACTTAACGGAATACCTACCATCCGACCCATAATGCCACACCAATCAATCATCCATTGGAGCACAAGACAATAGGATAGCGGTAATTGCCTCCACCATTTCCGAAGAAAACAATTAATTCAACCAATCCATCCGCTAAACTCCCTACCTATGATAGATCAAAGACGCCACTGTATCGTGCTGCCCCACAACACCTGGAAGCACCTTGGGTGAGTGCGGGTGTAGTTTTAGGCCCCAAGACTCCCCGGTCAAAGGAACAGAATGACCGGACCCACCTGCCAACGCAGTCCATCTAGAAGCAATTCACGGCCAAAAAGAGTACTCCGCCAGCCCCACGAGGGCAATGAGCCCTCCCGAGCAGTGACGAAAGTTGACCAAGGGAAGTATTTCCCTTTATAAATACGAGCCAAGAGAGAGGTCAGATTCTGCAAAATTCGCCAGCCTATCTTAGCCAGGAGTGTTTGGTTGAAAGCCTGAAAGCCACGAAATCCCAATCCACCTTCATCTTTACTAAGACATAACGTCTGCCACGCCACCCAGTGAACCCGTCTTTCCTGGTCATTCGCTCCCCACCAAAACCGAGGTAAGGGCCTATCTAAATCCCGACAAGTGGAAACAGGCAAACGAAAATAGGACATGACATGAACAAGCAAAGCATTCGCCACTGCCTTGAGCAATACTTCCTTTCCTGCCCAAGATAAACATCGTTGTTTCCAACCCTGAAGACGCTGCCTCACTTGTTCTTCGACAAATCTAAAAGTTTCCACTTTCGATCGATGCAACAAAGACGGCAACCCTAAATACATATCTGTGACACCCACCGTTCCAACTCCTAACAAACCTGCCATCAGCACCTGATCCTGATCCAAAACATTTTTACTAAATACAAATGCCGATTTCTGCAGATTAACCTTCTGACCATTTAGTCGTTCATAATCACCCAAGACTTCCAAAAGCTTAGCACATTCCAGTCGCGAGGCTCGCGGGAACAGATACAATCATTAGCAAAGAATAAATGATACACCACCGGACACTGCCAGCTCAGTCAAACTCCTGTTAACTCTTTAGCCTCCATCCTTTGTCGTATCAAAACTTCAAAACCTTCAGTACACAGCGCAAACAGGGTAGGGGACAAAGGATCACCCTGTTGCAGACCACGAGAAGCCAGAAAATAACCCGAAGGGCGGTCATTCATCATTACTAAGAAAGTCGGCGTAGTCACACAGACACGAATCCAGCGAATCCATTGCCTATGAAAACCCAACTTCTCCATAAGAGCAAATAAAAAGGACCACTCAACCCTGTCATAAGCCTTCTCCATATCCAATTTCAGAGCCATAAACCCTGCTTACCAGTGTGTTTATGAGAAAGATAATGCATCACCTCATGACTAACCAGAACGTTCTCCACAATTTTTCTTCCACGCACAAAACCATTTTGCCCCGGGGAGATAATTTGAGGCAAGAATCGCCCTAGCCTTTCAGCCAAAATCTTTGTTATCACCTTATACCCATAGTGCATATCTGTTACCTTACCCAAAGTAGTTCGGGTTTTACCCATACCCATACCCACATAAGAAACAGGTAGAAATTCAAAACCATGTTCATACCCGTTCAGGTTTCAGGTATCCACGGTTATCCATGGGTAATAATTTCTCTTTAAACCTTCAACCAATACGTGACACGCTAAAACACAACACCAAACTGCGACCAAGTGTAAACGTAGTCCGGAAATGGAGTAACATGCAACCTCTAATTGTCAACCCGGGGTCTAGATCTACTGCCTACTCCGTGTATATCTGTTATCTAGCAAACTAAGTTGAGTGATTGTTGATTTAAGTGAAAGAAGTAAGAAAGCAGGAAATGGTTTGGTTTTCTAAAGCAAAGGAAGAGTCACCAGGGAATGAGTCCCCCTAGCTCCTTAGTTAGGTCTCAGTTGTAATTACTTTTGGTTGCTTTACTGCTGATTATACTGCGGAAGATCCGACAGTAGCTTGAAATCTCTTAAGTTGACCGAGCCCTCTCAGTCAAACTACCCGGCAGACGGCTAGTCTTCACCGGGATAGAAGGCCGAGGCAATGAACACAAAACTCCACTACTGGAATTAGATTCCAGTACAAAGCAGTGAATCGACTAACTCTCGTATAATCGATTCACTACTACCGATTGAATAAGCTCTAACAACCTAATCAGATTCTATCTATCTCAGGTTGCAGCAGAAATCAATAAAAGATGATCAGACTTCAATTGACTCAATCAGAACACTTCAATCGATTATAATCAAGCAATATCACAATCCAAACATAATTACAATCAAGATTCCTAACACATGGAACTAGGGTTCTTCATACCCAAGTGAGAGAGAGTTCTACTCCATAGAGAGAGAGAGGGGGGGGGGGGGGAAACAGAATACAAAGCAGTCATACTCATAACAATGGGAAGAATCTGCTCTGGGATGATGATCTTCACTCCTATGATGATCTCCAAGCTCGATTGATGAAACCCAGCTCCAAAATTACTTCTATGATGTGTTCTTCGCACTTTCTCTCTCTAGGGCTCTGTTTTTGCTCCAAAAAGTCAATTCGTTCTCCTTTGGCTCGAATTTGGGTTAAAACCCAGAAATTCCCGACCACACGGCCAGGCCACACGACCGTGTGGCTTTCCCAGCTGCCCGTGTGAGTGTGCAAAACGCGGCGTTTCGATAAGTGGACTTCAGGCATGCTACACGGCCAAAACCACACGGCCGTGTGGATTTCCAGGATGCCCGTGTGAGTTCCCTGGAATTTCCACACGGCCACATGGGTTCCCTTACACGACCAGTGTGGCTTGCCCGTGCAATTTGGTGTCACACGGCCGTGTGGGTTTTTAGGCGTGCCCGTGTGGCTTCCTCAGCTTCTCGCCAAACGTCCAATCTTCGTCCAATCGACCCCGAACTCGTTCCCAAACCTTCATTCACGTGCTAGGACCTGAAATATCACAAACAAGAACAACCTAGCGTGAAATCGGCCTAAGACACGAGAAATACGACTCAAACGGCTTAAGAATGGTGGGCAAAAACATGTGTATATATCAAGTCATCAATACGTTAACATTCACACGTATTCCCACATTACATAAGCGGAAAAGTAAGATAATAATTCACTAGAATGAAGAAAATTAATTAAAACAACACAATTTCATAAAAATATTATATTTATATGTAAAATAAAATATCTTTAGAGAAAAATAGTGACTACTTATAGACAAAATACATATCCATGTATATAATCAAGCGGGTTCGAGTTGGATAGTGAGAAAATCATGCCCACCCATTACGCGTAATATTCGGGTTTGTGTTTTAACCCTACCCGATTAGGTCGGATTCGGGCGGATATCCACGGTTACGGATAATTTTGTCATCCCTATTCATGCATCTTGGAATTAGCTTGACCTCAATAAAGTTAGACATAACTAAGATATGATGTATCTCTACAATCCCGACACATCTTTGCAATCGATGAGGAAAACAACCAATGCCAAGTCTCGAAGGAGAAGTGAGAATTGAGATGCATGATTATATAGAGTGATCTTCCTATTCAATTACATATCTTTACTTTGCTTATGCTTCACGAAAACACCTAATCATATTTACTTTTATTGCTTGTGTCTTGATATTAGTAGTTAGATGTGAGTAGTTATGCATAAGAACATGGAATACGACCCTGGACATTTCTAGGATTTATAAATTTGATTGCATTTTATTTGCGTTTATATGACTACTACATGAAATGCGCGATCAGTGTCGTACTAAGTCATGTTGGTTGTTCTGTGGGTAGAGTAACGACCCTCTAATGCCTACTCTCATTGGCTACTGAAGGCATCCCCTAAAAGTATTTTTATATACTTTTTAGTAGATTTTTTAGGGAGATAGAACAGTCAAATGATGCGCCCTTGGCTTCGCATCTGTCTCTTCCTGCTTGGCTATCAAATACAATATATTCATTGAAAAATTTGGCAACTTTCAGTCGTTCTTCAAAATGGACCTTGGAGGCCGTTTCAGTGGTTAGGTCGCCGTTTTGGTTGCCATTTATTCTTCTCTCCATTCCTGCTTCTGGCTCCTACTAGTCGAATCATGATGTCCCTTCGATCAAAAATGGTCAACTATGTTGGTATGCCCTGAAAGCACATGGAAACACTACCAAGAGTTCATCAAAATGATAAAAGCAAGCTTATTGCTACTAGAATGCACTTGATCACAAAGCAAATTTAAGATATTATGACGTTAAAAGAATGAACCATGAAGAATGGGCCGTAATATGGGGGTTGGAAATATTAATTTTCTTGTATCATCAAAAACCCCTCAGGTAAAGTTAGTGGTGACCCATTGATGGAAATTCGATCATATCGTAAAGTGTTTAAGAGCTAGTTTCATGACAAAAAGATGATAGGATTGAGAGATTTGACATGAACATCTTTTGCATAAACTATTGCCTTGATCCCACAGGTCGAGTGTTGAGTGATTCATTTCCATATTCTATATCCTATTAAGGACCTAGGTTGCTCGACATCTTATTCTGTGTGACTTAAGCTCTGTGTTTGGATAGCTAAGCTATCCGTTGACTAGTGAGGAGTGTTTGCTAAAATAAAACTAATGTGTTTGAATGTCATATGTGGTGGTTCTAGGGCCTCTTTCATCTCACTTCATATACGGATCTTGATGATCACTTGTGATTCACTATTTTCATGTTAATCGTCTCACGTTAACTCCTCTCGAGCTACTTGCTCTCTAACCCTTCCTCTACCTGGTGAGTGAGAAGAAGCTAGTCTACGTCGCTAAAAAGAACTCAACATATAAACAATGAACCTTAAACATTTGCATGTTACTTTGCGGGAGTTGTTCTTACTCCCTTCCTTTAACTCTACTCTTTTAATGAATTGTGGGAGTTGACATTACTCCCCACCCTTAACCTCAAAACTAGACGCTCCTTAACCTATGATCACAGCGTTCATATCGTTGTCCGGTGTCATAACCTTCTAGGAAATTGTTCATGTTTCGATTCGACGTCTGGTGCCATAACCTCCTAGGCAATGGCCCGCATTTCGATTCGTCGTCCGGTGCCATGCCTGATGAACTATTGCGTATCGTATCAAAATCATGTCCTCACCTTCCTTAGGCGGTGGGTTACCTCAATATACATCCATAGGCCACGTACATTCTCGATTCTCCTAGTCCATTATCTAGGAGAAATAAATGCTCAAACATGCATCTCGAGTAATTAAAACTCGTAACTGAAAGCTTAAATTCAAGAAGCTTAACCTTAAAACTCGGCGTAGAATTTACCCCATTTACACTCACCTTGTACACGTGAATAGACCTCAATGTAGTATTGTTGACTTGGTCTCTTTCTCGCAATGTACCGACGCCTCTATCTCCTCTTCCTGGCTACGCCGTGTACCTCAAGTGTGGTTCATATGCCATACCTAGGGCTAGAAGTTTGGTACCGGTATTTGGGATATAACGAATACCGTACCCAATTTGTCTATATTTGGTATTACCGAATACACATATTATTTTTTGGGATTGGGATTGGGATTGAATTTCAATTGTAATTCGGTATTAGGGATTACGAGATTGGGATCGGTATATACCGAAATACCGATCAATACCGAAATATAAGCTAGTGTGTATTTTATCCTCTCAACTAGACTCTCTCATTTACTACTATACCACCCTCAACCACCAAGAGTGTCATTTAATTATACATAGATCATTTCATCTTTGTTTGACAATTCAAAAGTCCTCATCCAACTCAATTTTGACTTTCCAATTTAAGTCACTCTCATCTCCACCTGATAACTTATTATTTTCATAACACCAAAAAGCAAACACTAGTATTAGTCGTCTCCCAGCCTTCAATTCGTCAAATTAAAGATTACCTATGTCAAGAACTTGAGATGTCACATCTCCTTCATTTTCCTTATCCATATCCTAGCTCTAGGCAAACTCAAGACTCTTTGCTTAGTCCTTTTCCCTAAATTAAACAATCAAATCTAATTTATATATTTAATTATTTATTTCAAATGTAATTTATTTCCGATAATACCGATTGGGATACCAAAGTACCGATTGGGATACCTGAATATTTAGAGATTGGGATTGGGATACCGAAATTATTTAAGGATTGGAATTGGGATTGACTTTCAGATATAATTTGCTATTCGAGATTTCGGTATTTGGTATTGGGATACCGATACTGTACCGATTACCACCCCTAGCCATACCCATAAATCTGACGTTAACAACTTCATTTTCTATTTCGCCGCATAGCACTATATCTCGAGCTCTCTACACAACCATGCTCGTCCCCTTCTCAAAATATGTGACCAGGAACCCAAAAAAATGGTACAAGTACTCTTCATCCATTGTTCCCCTCAAAGCAGTCAAAATCGGAATTTTACTTAAAATCGATAATTTTCAAGGTTAATGTTCCAATTTTCAAGGTTAATGTTCCAATTTGGCTAAATTACACGTTTGGTCACTCAAATTACCTAAAATCAATCAGTATATCAATCCAAAGTCATTACAATCAGATTCCTAACACATGGAACTAGGGTTCTTCATACCCAAGTGAGAGAGGGTTCTACTCCATAGAGAGAGGAAAACAGAAATCAAAGTAGTCATACTCATAAAGATGAGGATAATCTGCTCTGGGATGTCGATGAACATTATAATCTCTATTGACTATTGTCTTTGTATAGTGAATAAATCGTAATTACGGGTACCAATACTAACCAAACGAGTATTAAAGGGTAACGTGCTGGTACTAATTACTAAATATTAAAAACGTAATCTCAAATCTCATCCCATAATAAATATTACAAGTATTTGAATATCCATAACTCTAAAAAAACAAGATATGGGAAGGCGTCAGGACAGGAGGCGTTGGCAATCATGGAGATTATCAACGCTTACAAATCAATTTCCGGTCAAGAGGTTAATATGGAGAAATCGTCTGTTTTCTTCAGCAAGAATACCCCGACCCAGGTGAGACTTTCCATCACTTCTCAGCTTAACTTCTCATCCACTATACATCATGACAAATACCTTGGAGTCCCAACCGAGTGGGGACGTTCGAGAAAAGAGACCTTTGGTTTCTTAATCGAGCGAATGGAGAACAAAGCCAGTGCATGGAAGAGCATTACGCTTTCTCATGGGGGGAAAGAGACTTTACTCAAAGCTGTCATTCAAGCCGTACCGACCTTCATTATGAGTGTTTTCCTCCTTCCGGCTTGCCTCACCAAAAAGATGGACTCTCTTCTGCATCGATTCTTCTGGTCAGGATCTTTTAAAAAGAGATCAATTCCATGGAGGAAAGGAGAAGTACTCACAGACCCGAAAGCGGAGGGTGGATTGGGTTTCCGGAATTTTTGATTATTCAACCTCTCCCTCCTAGCAAAACAAGGATGGAGACTTCTCAACGAGCCAAATTCTCTGTGGGCGAGAGTCCTATGTGGCCTCTACTTCCCAAATAGCACTTTTTCATCAGCTCGCAAAGGGAGCTCACCGTCATGGATTTGGGCGAGTTTGTGGGAAGCTCGTAAAGCTATGGAGATTGGGACACTCAGAGTTATCGGATCAGGTGATGATACTTGGTTTCATCGAGACCCTTGGGTTCACCCTCTCCACCATCACAAGATCTCTTCCCATTTGGATCCACCTTCTAGAGTGAGTGATTGGATGAACGAAGATCGGAAAAGTTGGAATACTAATCTCATTCAGCGACACTGTTCATCTGAGGAGGCGGATGCTATTTCCCGGATTCATATTGGTCCAGCAGGGAGTAAAGATAAATGGGTCTGGAAATTCACCACTGATGGCGCATTCTCTGTTCGATCAGCGTATCATGAGCTTCGTAAGAACCAGAGGGATCAGATTCTCCCAAGACCAGGGACTCATGATCTCAACATTCCGACTTCTGATGACTGCTGGAATTGGCTCTGGTCTCTTAATCTGCCCCCAAAAATACGTTTCTTTCTATGGAGATGTATCAGGAATGCGCTGGCTACTAAGCTCAATCTTCATCGGCGTCGCTGCTCACCCAATCCTAAGTGTCAACTTTGTAACGCTGAGGTTGAAACTGCTGTTCACTGCATGTTCCTCTGTCCTCATGCTTCTGCAACATGGGCAAGAGTAGCACCCCTTCTCTCTCAGCCTCAGAATCTTTCCCAATGGATCTTCTCTTTGAGGGAATCAGAGTCCCCGGATTCTCTCCGTCGAAAGATCTATTGTCTCTGGAATATTTGGAAAGCACGCAATGAGTTTATCTTCAGAGGTACTGTGTTGTCCCCCACATTGACCTCTATTTGTGCGTTTCGCGATGCGGCTGAGCCCCACTATGCCGCTGTTTCTTCCGCGACCTCCTCTCACCCCCGGGACTTTCCTTCTCATTCATGTCCACCGCCAGTTCTCCATCACAAGAGGATTCACTGTGATGGTTCTTTTGATCACGGATCTCAAGAGGCGGCTATCAGAGTGGTTATTACTATCTCTAACGGACAGATTTGCGATGGAAGGGCGAGAAAGGTGATTTGTTCTTCCCCTATTGAAGCTGAGGCTTGTGCAATCTTAGAAGCGTGTCGTCTGGCTGCAGAAGACACTTGTCCAGCTACGATCCTCTCCGACAGCAAGGTTATGGTTGATGCTATTAATGAAGACCCTTCTTGTTGCCCTTGGCGATGCTACGCTTTGCTGGCTCACATTAAGGATTTTTTACATCAGACCTCTTGGGTCAATGTGCTTTTCACTAACAGACGGAACAACAAAAATGCCGATTGGGTGGCTCGTAATTGTCGTATTGATTCTCTTCACCCTAAGTGGCTGTCTGTTCTGAATGTTGTCTCTGAACTGATGTAACTCTTGACCTGCTGTAATGGTGCCTCAATTGTGGGCTGAATGAATGAATGGTTCTTTCAAAAAAAAAAAAAAAAAGGGTATACTACCATTATATCCATTTCCGTTCCCCACCCCTATCTCTAAGGCTCGCCCTAGTCGCATGATCTTGCCCGAACCACACTGAGGCCTAACTTGCCCCTACTCACATTCACACTCACTCTCTCTCTTCTCTTCATCTTCTATTCTTCTTTAATGTTTCAGCTCCGTCTCTCTTATTTCTCCCAGTCACCTTTACTCTTTCACTCTCTTCCGATCTTCTTTTCCTCAATTTGTTTTTTTCCTTCTTCACCCGTATCAAAGTCCTATTCCCAGCCGTTTCCCCTCCAACTGTTCTGATTCATCGCGGCGGCGAAGGATTCCATTCTCGGCTCTTGCACTCCGCACCCGCTTCTCCCACTCCATCTCACATACCCGGCCGCCAATTATCGAGAATCGGGGGGTAAACGGGCCAGATCTGGCCCTATTTCGCTAGATCCGACCATCAACGAATAGCCGAAGTGGTATCCATCGGTGCTAGTTACCGCCATGGAGGAGGCGCTGGAATTGGCGCGGGCCAAGGATACAAAAGAGCGTATGGCTGGTGTGGAGAGGCTACACCAGCATCTAGAAGCTTCTCGGCGGAGCTTAAGTTCTACCGAGACGACGGCGCTGGTTGACTGCTGCATGGATCTTCTCAAGGACAATAACTTCAAGGTCTCTCAGGGCGCGCTTCAGGCTCTGGCGTCGGCTGCCGTGCTTTCCGGTGAGCATTTCAAGTTGCATTTCAATGCGCTTGTTCCCGCTGTGGTCGAGCGGCTCGGCGATGCCAAGCAGCCGGTTAGAGACGCCGCCAGACGGCTGCTACTCACGCTGATGGAGGTACTTGTCTGCTTGAAATGCCAATTCGTTTGGAATACGGTTACTTGTGATGGCGCTTCATAGACTAGTTTATTGCTTTTGAAATTTAATCTTCGTAATGGAAGTATGCCATAGGCAAAATAAGTGGGAAGCTACTCATGCGTTGCTTGATTGCTCTAACTATAGATAATTTCGCAAGGCTCTTAATTTACTTTCATTTTGATAGCAGCATTTGGTGTTGTAACTTTGATGGAGAAAAAAAGCCTCTATACCCCTTCTGTCATTTTCAGTGGCTAGGCGAAAGTATACCATCAGCCAATTTAGAATGACTCTCCAACTGGCTGTGTTCATATTAGGCGATATAGATTGTTAGCAGAATTGCTGATCGTTAGATATATAAAGATTTGTCGGCATTCGTGTACCTCTAAAATGTTCAAAATAAGATCGGCAAAATAACATCTACAGGGCAAGTTAATCTGCAAAGTCCTAGATGGTACAGTGATTCCAGTCTCAAACTTGGTAGTTATTTGACCTTTGGTCCCAATGCTGTGCCATCTTCTTGATAACGGTTGGCCTAATTTCTGGCAAGACCTTTCATGTGCTTTTGAACTTGTCTGTAAGGGCTGGCGTACTAGTGATCGCCACAAAGTTTCTTAAATTGCAATGACAGTCATGAGATTTGGTCTAGCTCATTGGTCCAATGGTATATGGTTGTTTCTATTATACTTCAATCGATATTCACAGAGCTGCTGCATATCTTATATTTTTGTAAGTGTCCATATTCCATATCTCTACGTGGTACCTCGTACTTTCTTCAGCATACCTTTAATCACCACCTCAAATGGAACTGCTGCGGATGTTGACCCTTTTCCTTGGGATCTTCCCTGGACAAATGAAGAGCAACTAACAAACCATGCTAGAAGTGAATTGCGATATGATTATGTCTGTCTGATGCAGGTTTCTTCACCCACAATCATTGTAGAGAGAGCCGGCTCCTATGCCTGGACCCACAAAAGCTGGAGAGTACGTGAAGAGTTTGCTCGAACAGTTACCTCTGCAATTGGTCTTTTTGCCTCTACTGAGCTACCTCTGCAGCGGGCTATCCTTCCTCCTGTATGATATATTCTTTTTGTGATGTGCAATGGCCTCATGTGTTCTAGGATTATTACAGCTGAAATCACCTGAAACTTCTTTATTTGTCAGATTCTGCTAATGTTGAATGACCCAAATCCTGGTGTCAGGGAAGCAGCTATATTATGCATTGAGGTCAGTTACTCTTAGCATGACACTCCTGTCCATTGTTTATGCATTTCAGTGCAGTTTTTGTATACTGATCAATTATACATTCTAAAATTTTAATTTATTGCAGGAGATGTACACACAGGCTGGCACTCAATTTCGTGATGAGCTTCTGCGCCACCATATTCCTATGTCAATGGTGAGTTTTGAATTACTCCGTTCTGCTGGATCTCCTATCCTACATCACGTGGGATCTATGGTTGTAATTGTTTTCCTCTTTCATGGCACAGTTTTGCTGTCTGTCTCTATAACATTCTGTTATTGCATGACTGCAGATGAAAGATATTAATGCGAGGCTAGAGCGAATTGAACCTCATGTACGCTCTGCAGATGGGCTCTCTAGTAATTTTGGTGCAATGGATGTGAAACCCACTAGTGTTAGTAGCAAAAGAAGTAGTCCAAAGGCAAAGAGTTCCTCGAGGGAGGTTTCCGTTTTTGGAGGTCAGCCATTTGTGTTAATTTTTCCCCAATAACCATGTAACTCTTGGTGTTTTGGTTAACTTGTTAGAATTTCTTCCTTAGCTCCGCATATGTCCTTTCTTTTCAGTATTTTACTGTTTGATCGTCAATGTTTTTATCAAGTCATCACTACTTTATTTTTTGATGAATCAAGTCATCACTACTTATTGGGACATTTTTTGTGTCAGGGATTTCATTTGTGCCATGTGATGTTTGTTTTGTGTAGGAGATTCTGATGTCACTGAGAAGCCCATGGAACCATATAAAGTTTACTCAGAAAAGGAGCTAATTAGGGAAATTGAGAAGATCTGTATGACCCTTGTTCCGGAAAAGGATTGGTCCGTACGTATAGCCGCTATGCAGAGAGTTGAAGCCCTTGTTCTAGGAGGTCTGTGCTTCTTCTTTATAATATTAACTCCTAACATTTTCGCTTGCTGTCGATAGTTTTGCTGTTCATTAATTCGTTATTATTGATGTATTTTGTAACTCTGCAAAAGATTCAGTTCACCTTAGTGGGTGCTGTTCTTGGTCTGTGCTCAAAGTTAGTTTAATAAGATTTCCCAGACTAGCTCTGTGGTTTCAGTTAATGATTCATTGTTTAACAAATGATTATCCTATTATGATCATAATATCTAGATTTTGTATGGTCGCGTTGATGCTTTTATATTGCAGATGCAATATTTCCTGTCAATGATGGTCAGAATGAAAAAGTTGTACGTTGATATTTAGGGAGTTTTCATTGGATTCCAGCTTCTTTCCATCAATAATGGTTGCTGTTTTTGGTTTCTTGGGAAAAGCGGTTACTGGTCAATGAAATCCAAATTAACTAGTGCTGCATCTCGTGGCAACTTTTGTTCCTCTGTAGCTCATTTCCTAACTGACTGATTGTTTCTTTTTCGTTTTAGATATCTTTTTGTAAATTTTCTGTGATATTCATTACAAGGAACACTTATGATCCTTCTCGTTAGGTGCCACTGACTACCCTTCTTTCCGAGGACTTCTGAAACAGCTTGTTGGGCCTCTAAGCACTCAGCTATCTGATCGAAGGTCCAGCATAGTGAAGCAAGTAAGTTATGCATTTTGCTATCCTTTTGTTAGAATTAAGGGGTTTTTTTTTTTAAAGTAGGATGTTGATCTTTTAGTGGGAGCTGTATGAGGTGAAATTGTTTAAACTTTACAGAAAGTGATGAAGTATTTCCTTCCCTCCTCTGTTGGGTGATTTAATAATCTATGGCAAAGGAAGATGGCTAGATAGGAACATGAAATCTTGTGCATTTGATGAAAGAAGAGATTTATGTATCACGGAGCAAATAAAAAGAGAGAGCATATTTCCATGATTTCTGCTTGATGTGTTTTCTGGGAATGTATGCATGAGGTCTTTTGGATGAGGAATTGTAACGGATCATTTGACCCAATTGTCTAGTTTTGGGACACTTGGACCAAATTGACCTGTTTGTCAGCAGCAAATTTGGATGAAACAGTTTGGCTTGTGGAATTTCGAATTGATTCGTTTTGAGTCAATTCCAATTGTCTGGGGGGATGGGCAGGTAATTCAAATTGACTTGTTGTTTTGTAAAATGAGACAATTGCCAAAATTGTCTTGTTTTTTAATTGATCCATCCAAACGATCCCTATGTAAAAGAAGAAGATTATCTAAATCAGTTGATGGACTAATACACAATTTGGATGTGGTGATGTTCAGTTTAAATTATTTACTTTCAGTGATCAATGGACACTTTAAGAGACGTGGAAAGTTGGAATAGTGAAAAGAGTGAAGTGAAAAAAAGTAATGTATTGGAATGCATCATCCTTTTCCAAATGTAAGAATTTCAGAAACTGTTTGTGACAAAGGACGTGAGTGACTGAGGCACATGCATTCATAGAATACACTATTGGAAATCATAACTTCCAAATGACTACTTCATTCTCAATGAAAATACATGGAAAAGTTCATTGTCTCGAAAGAATACGAGTTACTGGTCTGTATGTCTAACCTTTTTTTTAAGGCTTTCTTGGAGTCCTAGTATATGCAAAGAATAAAGATGACATGAATATGCTGAGCAAACATGCTTGTTTGAGGACTAACTAGAAGTAAAATCTACATCTCTATTTTTTGCTAAGAGCATTTTCATAGGTTTCAACTACTAGGCTCTGTTCATACTAATGCCCTCTTTAAATTTTAATAGGCCTGTCACCTGTTATGCTTCTTATCAAAGGAACTTTTGGGTGACTTCGAACCATGTGCGGAGATGTTCATTCCTGTAAGTTCTTTCGCATCATCTCCCTAACTCACACATTCAAATGAGCCAATTTGGTGATGTAGTTTGCTGATAAAAGAAGCCTTCTGTTGCTATTGTTTTCAGGTCCTTTTCAAGCTGGTGGTGATTACTGTACTTGTAATTGCAGAATCAGCAGACAACTGCATAAAGACAGTAATGCTTTCTCTTGTCATTCTGGCCTCATTTAAATTTGGATGTATTCTATCTTACTGTACCTTTTCTGATGTTTAGATGTTACGTAACTGCAAAGTTATCCGTGTGCTTCCTCGCATAGCAGACTCTGCTAAAAATGATCGAAGTGCTATACTCCGGGCAAGGTACAATTCAGGGTTTGTATTTTTGTTGCCACAGGTATATGTATTTATCATAACTTTGTCCTCTTTCATCAGATGTTGCGAGTATGCATTATTGATCCTTGAACACTGGCCTGACGCTCCCGAAATACAACGGTCAGCTGATCTTTATGAGGATTTCATTAGGTGTTGTGTTTCGGATGCAATGAGTGAGGTACTTATATGGGAATTGTTGAGTTCTTTTATGTCCATAGTTGCTTTTATGTGTGGACTCACATTTTTGCCTTCTATAGTTAACCTCGTCACTTCTGGAGACTAACCGATATGTTCTGTTTGTGAGCACGAGTGTATGTGATTTCAGTAGGTTTTAAAAATGGGAATGTACGTTAAGCTTAGAGAGGCTGTTAGCAATGAAAGATGCATTTAAATCTCAAGGGCTTGGTCAAGTGGTAGTGTGGTATGAAAACATCAAACTTATCATAGGCTCAAACCTGGGGTGTTCAACATACACCTGTAAAAGCTGGGGTGTTCAACATGCATTTAAATCTCAAGGGCTTGGTCAAGTGGTAGTGTGGTATGAAAACATCAAACTTATCATAGGTTCAAACCTGGGGTGTTCAACATTCACCTGTAAAAGCTGGAATCCACTCTTAATGTTTGAAGAGGCTTGATCGGATCATTTAGTAATTTGCATACTTAGAGAAACAATGTTGTATGATTTATCATTTCCAAACTGACTAGTTGTTAAATAATAAGATGATTTAAGTCTTGATTAAATACAAAAACATTGTTGCTTGGTGTCTGAAAGATATTTTGTGGTTGTTCTAAATGCTGGGGAAATACATCCTATGAAGTTTGTTTGTGTTGTGGTTTATAAACCCTCTGTACCTTTTTTCATGCGATATGCTATGTATTTATTGATATTTTCTAGTGCATAACATTGTAGTGGAACTTAATAGGTGCGTTCTACTGCAAGAATGTGCTACAGAATGTTCGCAAAAACTTGGCCGGAGCGTTCCCGTCGTTTGTTTTCATCCTTTGACCCAGTTATTCAGCGAGTATGTCTATCTTGGTATGCTTTTCTATTTCTGTAATTTGTTGCTAGGGCCATAGTTTTCTTACTTTTGTAACTTGTGCTTGCAGATTATTAATGAAGAGGATGGTGGCTTGCATAGGAGACATGCGTCGCCTTCCGTTCGAGATAGAAGTGCATCAAGTTCATATGCATCACAAGGGCATGCTGCTTCAAATTTACCTGGATATGGAACTTCTGCCATTGTTGCAATGGATAGAACCTCCAGCTTGTCCTCTGGGACATCGCTGTCATCTGGGCTATTGCTGTCACAGGCAAAGTCTCTTGGTAAAGGCACTGAACGGAGTCTAGAAAGTGTTTTGCATGCAAGTAAACAAAAGGTCACTGCAATCGAAAGCATGCTTAGAGGCTTGGAGATATCTGACAAACAAAATCCTTCAGCTCTTCGGTCATCCAGTTTGGACCTAGGTACTTTCTTTTTTATAGATGGCCTTTGTACATAGTGTTTTGGTAAAAAATTATCTTAGTACTTTATGAAACAGTCTGTCATATTTTAAAACGATTTTGGTACCCAATGTACAAAACTTTTAATTACTAAAAAACATAACTATGAAATGAACTTGAGTTGTTCTGTGAGCGGCTGAATATATTTTTTAATTTCCCCTAGTGCAGGAGTTGACCCTCCATCATCTCGTTATCCGCCATTCCCAGCTTCAAGTAATCTCACTAGCTCATTTCCTGTGGACTCAACCGTCTCTAGTATCAGTAAAGGTGGAAACCGCAATGGTGGCTTGATCTTGTCTGATATTATTACTCATATTCAAGCTTCCAAAGACTCTGCCAAGCTATCATATCGCAGTGGGGTGGTGGGTGAATCTGCACCTTCATTTTCATCTTACACAGCTCGGAGGTCTTCTGAAAGGTTGCAAGACAGAGGTTTGATAAATGAGAATAATGACATCCGGGAGGCAAGGCGCATTATGAACCCACAAATTGACAGGCAATACCTTGATACACCTCACAAAGATGTAAACTTCAGGGATTCACAGAATAGTCATGTTCCAAACTTCCAAAGGCCACTTCTGAGAAAGCATGTGGCTGGGCGGATGTCTGCTGGTAGGAGAAAAAGTTTTGACGATAGCCAACTTTCCCTTGCGGAGATTGCAAATTATTCTGGAGGTCCAGCCTCTCTTGGTGATGCACTTAATGAGGGACTAAGTCCAAGCTCTGACTGGAATGCTAGAGTTGCAGCTTTCAGTTACCTCCGATCTTTGCTGCAGCAGGGCCCTAAAGGCATTCAAGAAGTTATCCAGAACTTTGAGAAGGTTATGAAGTTATTTTTCCAGCACTTAGATGATCCCCACCATAAGGTGGCACAGGCAGCTCTGTCAACGCTGGCAGATATTATACCTGCTTGCAGGAAGCCTTTCGAGAGTTACATGGAAAGGATCTTGCCCCATGTTTTCTCTCGACTAATTGATCCCAAGGAACTAGTTAGGCAACCTTGTTTAACTACCTTGGATATTGTTGGCAAAACTTATGGTGTTGACACCCTCTTACCAGCACTACTTCGTTCACTGGATGAACAACGATCACCAAAGGCCAAATTGGCTGTCATTGAGTTTGCTATTGGCTCCTTTAACAAGCATGCAGTGAACTCAGAAGGTGCTGGCAACACTGGCATTCTGAAATTATGGCTTGCTAAGTTGACTCCGTTGTCCCATGATAAAAACACTAAGCTGAAGGAAGCAGCTATTACATGCATTATATCAGTTTATTCCCACTTTGATTCCTCTGCTGTCCTCAATTTTATACTTTGTTTATCTGTGGAGGAGCAAAATTCCTTGAGAAGAGCCCTTAAACAGTATACTCCCCGTATCGAAGTGGATCTAATGAATTTCTTGCAGAACAAGAAAGACCGACAGCGGTCAAAGTCAGCATATGATCCATGTGATGTTGTCGGAACATCTTCAGAGGAAGGATATATTGCTGCATCAAAGAAGAGTTATTACCTTGGCAGGTATTCCGGTGGTTCGATTGATAGTGATGGTGGCAGGAAATGGCATTCCACTCAAGAATCAGCGCAGGTCACAGGAATTATTGGTCAAGCTACTTCTGATGAAACTCAGGAGACCTTGTATCAGAATTTTGAGGCTAGTGCTATTGTTGATGATAGTAATGATCTAAAATCTAGAGATTTGAGTTACATGGTCCATAACCCATCTATGAGTCAGAACATGGGATCCCAGTCTGGTCACTTGGAAAGCTTGGACAGTGACTTGAACCATGAAGGTTTCTCAAGTCCACGTTTTGATCTTAATGGACAAATAAGTACTGAATCTTTGGTGGTTTCTGAAGGCTATATGCATAATTCTTACTCCCTTCCTGAGTTGGATCTTCATAATTTAAAATCTACTGCTTTAAGAATCAATTCTGTTGCTGATGGTGGTCCTAGTATTCCTCAAATCCTCCACGTGGTGAGCTCTGTAACTCAGATTAGACATTTTCCTGAATTCTCGGTGATTGTAACTACAATCATTTTCTCTCTTTCCAGATTTGCAATGCTAGTGATGAAAATCCTGCAGTCAGCAAATGCGGTGCGATTCAAAAATTAATTGAAGCTTCCATGGCCAGTGATCACTCAGTTTGGTCCAGTGTAGGCTACTCTATTACCATCGTACTTCAATTGCTCACAAGTGTTTAGGCCACAGTTTAGACTCTAGCAATTTTATGCTTTATAATGACCTGCAGCTGGTTATAGTTTTTAGTGGCCTAGGAACAAATTGTTTTTGGTTTGGAGTCTTATGAGGCAATATATGCTGCTGCACCAAATTAAGAAATTCAAGATTATTTCACTAGATTATGTGAAGCTATTATGAGTTTTGTGAAGTTTAGTAAGCACTTAGTGAAGGTTATGGAAGCATGTAAGATTCAGATTTCTTTGTCAAGGAATCTCTTTACTAGAACTACAAACTCTATGCTGCTGTTGAATTTTTGTTTTCAGAGTTAGATTCTTATGTTTGAGATTGATTCTACTGTTTGAATACTATTCTTTTTGTTGCTTCTTGACTAGATCTTTTTTCCTCTGCAGTACTTCAATCAGATTTTGACAGCGGTACTTGAGGTATTGGATGATCCTGATTCCACGGTTCGTGAACATGCTCTCTTGTTGATTGTTGAAATGCTGAAAAATCAGGTACTTGTTAACGGTTTTCACTAGAGGTTTATCTTATGCTCTCCTCTATTGCTTCTAATCCTTCTGGAAATATGTCTATTGCCATCAACCCTTTCAGAAAGATGCCATGGAGGATTCCATTGAGATCGTGATTGAAAAGCTGCTTCATGTTGCAAAGGATGCTGTCCCAAGGGTGATTTTCATTTCATCTTACAGGAAGTGCTTGCTTCGTTCTTTTGTTTACTACCCATTAGCTGCCTCTTGATCTTGTGTTGTTACTTCTGTGTTCAGGTATCCAATGAGGCTGAGAACTGCTTGAACATTATTTTATCTCAATATGATCCATACAGATCTTTGAGTGTACGTGCTTCTATCGCCCACTGAACTTCCTGTGGCTTTTTGAATCTGCCATGTGGTTTGGGGGAACATTGCAATCTATTATAGTTTTGATATACTTGGTCCACTGTTACAGGTTCTTGTTCCTTTGTTGGTAACTGAAGATGAGAAAACTCTTGTGACGTGCATAAGCTGTCTGACAAAGGTATTTTTGGTTTTCTTGTTTCTCTCTTTCCCCTGGGGATGGGAATTCGAGATCTCAAAAGCAAGTCAATGGCATGTCTTTGGAGTGTCTTCAAAGGAAATAAAGTTGCTATTATGAGCTGTTTAATTAATTATTGAATTCAACTGTCTGTTCTTGTGTCCAGCTTGTTGGCCGGCTTTCCCAGGAGGAGCTAATGAATCAGTTGCCATCATTTTTGCCTGCATTGTTTGAAGCTTTTAACAATCAGAGTGCCGATGTTCGCAAGGTAGAAATTTCTGTTTGCTTGTGTTCATTCCACTGTTTGTTTGAAGCTGTTAACAACCAGCGTGCCTCCCTTTCACACTGTTTCCGTGTTATTTATTTACATTTCTTAGGCCTCCAATGTATTGTTTCTGGTGTTGTGATAACATGTTTTTTTTTCTTCTTCTTTTTCCCCTTTCTTTTCTGGGTCTGTCATCTACTTCATATTTGGTTGGCATAGACCGTGGTTTTCTGCCTGGTGGATATCTACATTATGCTTGGGAAAGCATTCTTGCCATACCTGGAAGGGCTCAACAGCATGCAGTTGAAGTTGGTCACGATCTATGCTAATCGGATCTCTCAGGCGAGAACAGGGGCTCCGATCGACAGTGGCCATGCCTAAGTTTCTTCTCCCCTGAGAATATGTTTGTGTGAATTTTGTATATTTGTGTGAATGCATCTTGAGAGTGGTTTTTGTCTCTGCTCGTTTGTCTCTTAGAGTAGGCTAGCTCTTGCTTTCTTTTTGTATCTGTGTAATTTTTATGTATTGCTCAACTCAGGCTGTTGCCGCTTTGTTTGGTTTTGTGAGGGCTTTTTTCAGTGGGAAGATTCTTTTTCTTCTTTGCAACCGGCGGGAAGAGTTACTTGCATTGTATTTGATTTTCAAATGTTGTAAACCGGCGTTCTGTCAAAAAGAGCATTTTTAGCATATAGCGTGGAAGGAGGAAATTGTTGTATTGTGACACCCTTAACGTTTCTTGAATTCAGGTTGGTTCAGGTCCTTAAGCCACCGAAGTTAACAAGTTTAAGTGAATTTTGGTTTGTTGGGGTAATCTATGGTGTTTATAGATTAGTAGTGGTTATTACTTAGTAGCAAGGTTGTCAAACCAGATTAAGTCATTGAGTTGGTCAAGCAATTGCTTTACGGGTTTAACGGTCTGATAGGGGTTCAACAACAAATATATAAACAAATAAAACAACAAATATATATACAAATAAAATAGTAATTTTAAATTGGGTTATAGGTATAATATGCCCCTCTACTATGTGGTTTTTATCAAACATGCCCCTCTATTATTTTTATATCAAACATGCCCCTGTACTTTGAAAAAGTTATCAAACATGCCCTTTCTAATAAAATTTCCAATGAAAAAATTGTCAATCATGGTTGAATCGAGATTTAGACGACCTGACAGAGGGAAATGAGAGGGAAAATGTCAGTTTTGCCCCTGTTTTATTTCTTTGGGTCTCATCATAGTAAAATTATTATAATCATTTGGCTATATAAAAGGACCAAAACATTATAAAGTGATTATTATGGATATTTTAGACATTTGTGTCGCCCAAATCAAAGTTCGGGGTGGTTAACGATTTTTGGATGAAAATTTTAACAGAAGGGCATGTTTGATAAAATGACATAGTAGAGGGGCATATTATACCTATAACCCTATAAAATTTTAATGCTGAAAATAAAATTTGTCTTGCACATATCTATTAAAAACTCATCTCTAACCTATCTCATCCTTTTAAATCATCAAGGTTGTCAACCTGTTGGTTGACTCATTTTGACTCTGACTCAGCAAGCAAAATGAGCTACACATGATCGTCGGGTTGACACGTTGCAAGGTTACTAGGTTTGAGGTCATCGGCATCGTTTTTTTTCTTTGCTTTGTAAAATGTGCTTTTTTCGGTTTTCCTCTTCGCATAACCCTATTTTTGGAATTCTATAAATTGAACATTTGAATATCTATCTATAAAATATATAATGAGTTGGATTTCCAGCGTTTTGAATTTTCTGGCCTGTGACGATTTTACGGAAGGACAACTCAGTTAATTTACCTGATAACTTAATTAAGTTTTGCGTTTTGATTTCCTCAATTGTTCCTCCATTTCCTTGACTTTGTCTTTCGACGTTCAAACATTGTTGAACCCTACACTTAGCACACAACCACCATTGGCTCTTTTGGGACCATGTTTGGTTGGTGTGTACTGTGACTTCTTATGCATGCCTCATTCACCATTTGTGGTTGGTGATAAGTACTTACTACTCATGGACATGGACTTGCCCCCTGTCCACCCTTGTCTATGGTCTCACACTTAACAAATTCATGTATGGGTTTGACTTGTTGTGTCTTCTTGGAGATTCCCCCCCCCCCCCCCCCTCTCCATTCTTCATGGTGGGTAGGAATGGCAATGGGGCAGGTACGGGGGATACCCATACCCGCCCCATAGCAGTTCGGGTAATTGATTACGGGGCGCGGGTCGGGCAGGTCGACCCAATGGGTATGTAATTTATGTAAAAAACATTAGAAATATTAGTTATTTTCATTAAAAGACCAAGAAAGAAACCATAATATTATAAAATCTAGTTAAATTATTGAAGAAATTGAGGTTTTCACTTACTTACAACTTTATTATAGCTAAAATATAATGTAATAAGAGGAGAATGCTAAGTGATTTGACTAAGATTATATGTAATTTAGGCAAGAACGGGTCGAGAATGATGCGGGTCATGGCAGGTCGGGTTGATGAGAGATACCCATGCCCGCACCGCCCCGCCCCAAAACAAGCTAAACAAGTTGGGTAAATCGTGTCAGGTCGAAATTGTCATCGCTAATGGTGGGTGACATGCTCCATTGTCCATATTTACCAAAATTTGCAAGTATATGGCAACTCTCTCTGCCTTTCCCACGTCTTTTCTTGTTGGACTTGCCCCCATATCCACTGTTTATGATTGGTGGCATGCCCTCTTGTCCATACTTAGCCATATTATCATGTTTATCACAAATATGTGTGGCTTTGGGTTGATGTGGCATCTTGGACACCACATGCCCTCAAGATGGACATCTCGACTTCTCTTCCTTAAGCTTGAGACTCTTCTTGCACTGAGCACACAACTTCTCAACTTCATCATTCATCATTGCGGCCGGGCTGGCCTACTTGGTACCTGACGAGCTCCCTTGCTTGAAAATCACATTGGAGCTCCTTCTAGGCGTCGTTGTATTTAACACCAGCTTGAAACGTGGAAACTCGACTTTGAAGAAGTCTAGGTTGACCATGTTGACGCCAAGCAACTTGGGAAATTGATCAGTGTCTACCAACATGGCATCCTTCTTTGAAACAGGGAACTTGATGCGGCCATTTCAATGGAATCCTGCAAGATATTACAGAAAACCCCACAAGCATCAGTGGCATGTGACATGCTATTATGCCACTTACAATACTTCTTCCCTTTCAACTTCTCGGGTGAGGGAAAGACATGTCCCCCTGTCAACTTGACTTGACCATCCTTATAGAGTTTGTCAAAAATCAAGTCCGCCTTCGAGACATCAAATGAGTACTTCCTCGGCTGAATGTGCGCACGATTGGGTCTCTCCCCTTGTGGCCCATCTTCAACTTTTGATAAAGAAGCACACACGTATGGCTTCGCTAGAGTTATCTCAGCCAAGTCTACCTCAACTTCATTGGCCTCGTGGCCAACATGATTGATGGTATAGTCTAAGTTTGGGAAGTATGATCCCCTTGAGGCACTCCTAAGATTCTCTTCCTCGTGTAGAAGAGACTCGTACCTCATAATACAATACATGAGTTGAAACAAGTCAGAGAACTCCCTATCTTGGAATTTCTTCCTTAGTTCAAAACTCAAACCCCCTTGTGCCAGCTTGACGAACTCCCTCTCTGTCAAATTGACAAAGCAACGGTTACGAGCATTCTTGAAGTTAGTCAAGAAAGGCTCCACCGATTCCCCTGGTTGTTGGCGCATACGTGCCAAGACAGCCATGGAAACCTCGAGTTTAGATCTATAAAATTGAGCATGGAATACTTGCTCCATTTGTTGCCAAGTCTGGATGGAGTTAGACGACAAGTTTACGTACCAAGCAAAAGTTGGCCCTGTCAACGAGTTGCCGAACAGTCTTAACTTAACGAAATATCCTACATCGCCACATTGGACAGTGAAACGTCCAACGTGCTCTACAGTGGACTGATCTCCAGTCCCTGTAAATGTGGAAAACTTGGGAACTCTGAATCCCCTTTGAAACGGGTGAAACCTATCTACCCATTCAGGATATGCCTTTCGGTAAACGAGTGGCATAGAAGGTCTTACTCCCATGCCAAACTGCTCCATGAGGAGTTGAGCACTTGATCTCTAAGGGTGTTGGCGTCATGCCCCCTTGTTGCCCCCCATACGATACAAACCCAATGGGATCCATGCCATGCCCATTGAAAAGGGGTGTCGTTGGAATTAGGTAGCCTTGTGGTGGGATCTAATCCATGTTTCCACCTAGACCTCCTTCTACTCCCAAATTCATGGGAGCCACGTAGGGTCTTGCCTCCGGGATAGATGGACGAGTATCCACTTGCCTAGGTGGCTGCTCAACTTGAGTGTTGAACATGGTGGCGAGGTTCTCACCACGCGGGGGTACCACTTCAACTCCCACGGGTCCATATGACGACTCCCCCCACTTGAGCAGTAGCTGGAATCTCAACATGATCTACACGACGTGGAGGTGGTTGGCTTGCCGTGGTTGGCCATTCCGGCCACCGGCGAGAGAAAGAAGACTATTAGTAGGCGTTAGGCTTGTGCCATCTGTTGGTAAAGCTTTTGACTGCACTACTGGTATACTTAAGGACTGTCGGAATTTATCCAAATCATTTGTACTTTCGTTAACTACTTCGAACAAGTGACTCAAACATCTATCTACGCGAGAATGAGACAGTCAATTTGAGAATTTAATTGATGAATACCAGCCCTAGCCTCATCCATCATGCGACGGTTCTCCATCAGCATTTGGCAGTTCACATCCGTGGCTTGACGATTCTCTGCCACCATCATGCGGTTCTCCTCCATCATTTGACAAAGGGCCCCCACGGCTTCACCAAGATCTCCACTAGATGTGGTAGCCACCAAGATCTCTGCTTCACCATTTCCTCCGGTCACCACCTCTGATGTTTGGCCATGCTCGATGTTGACCACCCATATGACTGAATTATGCTTATATATTTTATAATCTTAAAGTGCGGGAACATATCACATGAATAAGTTATTATGACTATGGGGTTTGACTTAGCAAACCATCATTTTTACTTCATGCTATTATTTCTTCATAATCTACTAAGCACGCAAAAAAATGTTTATTTTTCTAGGCATGTTTGAAAAAATGTTATATTTCTAGGCAAGTTATCATGATCTAGTAAGCACACAAGATAAATCAAACATCTATTAAACTCTCCCATAGAATTCGGGTCACATGTGAATCGCTCGTTGGTATGAGGCCAATATTATCTACAAACTGGTTATCCCGCTCTCTTTTCTGAACAATTTGCTAGGCATGTTTGGAAAACGGCCACTGCCAGGGCTAGAGGTCGCATAATCATATGGCTGCACACAGTAATGAGTATGCATCTGCCACTTCCTCCGCTTCATCCAATACGCACAAGTACCCTCTCCGAAAGCAGATCGAACCCCTGTTATTTCTAGGAGTATAAAGGCGCTGAAGACTCTTGACTATCTTAAGTTAGTGAAGTTTACTTTGACAACAGTGTTATGCAACTCTTTCATCTAGTATCAGTGCGATTCTCTGCAGAAGCATGCTTGTAGGTGTTGCACTTGTCCAACAGCGAGATCTGATCAGGAGATAGGGATAATAAGCCGCTACTCAAGTAATGCTGAGATGCCCTCGTCCTGTAATTAAGAAGATTTCATTGTGCAATGGACGAAGTGGACAAAACCGACGCAGAACTTGTAATCAAGAGGCTCAAACAATAAGTCCATCCGTAATGAAATATTTCCCATCATCTTGATCCGAAAGGCAAGTAGTACCTACCTCCGTCTTCGTGCTACACTATTGCCTTGTTCTGATAAACGGGAAGCTTCTGATCTTGATATGTGGCTCAGTGCAGAAAGGTACTCCTGAAATTATTCACCTTTGATTGTAGAATATGATCGTGAGGGGACAACGGAACGAACTATGTCCAAGATATGAGACTGGTTCGCCCTGCTGGATGCCAATAAGTCGAGCAATTAGTCAGGTACGTCAATATGAGCCATATCAGATGAAATGCAAGAGAATCATGGGACTTTTTATCTTGAACAAAATGCCACTTTTCTACACCTCACTTAAAATGTCTCAGCTTGTTACTATTAAATTTAAACATACATATCATCATTCATCCATGTGCAGTACAATCATTTGGAGATAATGTGCGCACTAGTCAGGGGTGGATATACCAAATAGTACAGCGGTCATACCTCTTTGCCAATCCTCCACCTCCAGACAGGCTACTCGTTCTATCGGGTTCACTGCGTGCTATCACTCTCTCACTTGGATCTTGGAACATAGAGGAGGAATCAGCTTCCACCATGCTGCCGATAGACAACATTGCCCAAGTCAAATTTACTTTGTCATGAGAACCCATTTTCAACCTCAAACCGTTAATGTCATCGACATAGCAGCCAAAGCCATGATGCACAATGTTCGACACCATCTCTCGCTGCCTAGCATGCCAGCTGAATGTTTCTGATACCCCGGAAAGAGCAGTAAAGAGCTCCGAGGAACCCTATAAAAGAAAACACTATCAGCCACAAACACAGGAGACAAAAGGCAAAAATGCGTGCGAAGCTAAAACTTACAGGCAAATAGCACTCTGAAAACAGCATCTCAGCGTCTGAAACATGATTGCTCATTGCACATGCAAGCCTGACGATTCCTGAAGCATTTTCATCTTCTGATACAGACAAATGTTTTAGATCTGAATACCGGTGACGAAGTTTTCTCCAGGTCTCTCGAACCATATCAGCTTCATCCAACCATCCAAGTTGTGCTGCGGCCATTGGGCATTTCTTATTGAAATCAATTCGGCTACACTCGTCCATCAATTGGTACTCTCCAGCAACAACTCCCATAAAATCAGTTTATGAATCTTCAATCTCCTGATGTGACGAGGTCGGCAACAGTTGATCGCAATTGCTTTCCAAAATTTCAGAAACTCTGTATGATTCAGATATGCAGTCATCAAGATCTTCCTCCACTGACGATAGATTGAGATCAAACCCATTGGTCACTGGCACTTCTTCCAAAGTAGAAGTCACTTGATCAACTGACAACCTTGTTTCGTCATCGATTTTGGTCTCTGGAACAAACGATGACTCCGGAACACATGAGATATCAATTGCTTGGCGGATTTGATTTGAGTGTAAATCTACTGCATTTTCTGAATACTGGTAACAGTTTTCCTTCAATTCCTCTGCTCTTAAACTCGATTCAAAGTCAGCTTGTCTGCTTAAATAGTTTTTCCTGCTCATGTCATCACTGGGAATTTCACCTAGTGCTATAAAATTTCGAGTATCATCTTCGGAATCTGAAGAGACTACATGATCAAGCTTTCTTCTACAGTTTCGCCTGACAAATGTAACTGGGCTAGTTGAGGTAACAAAAGCATCGTGATCAAATTCAAGGCAATTCCTATCGAGCATCGCTTTCTTCCTGGCCTCTGTACTGTCCTTTCTAAATCCACATGTCACCAAACCACCATGCATCACTTCTGATTTTACTTCTAAGGTCCTCACAACAAGATAATTTTCTTCTGACTGCAATAATGACCTAGTGATCTCTTTCTCAATCAACTCGGAAAACTGAGAAGGACAATCCCAGGGAATCATCTTTGGCAGTAATTGATGAGCAGGCTCGGGAGAAAAGATCAACGATCCTTGTAATTTTGGAGTGCCTAAACTCAAGATGTTAGGTACTAGGGAATGTATAAGGATAAGGAACACACATGCACAAGTCATATGTTTTGGTAGTGCTTCGCTCGGTTATTTATAGCAACCTACCTTTTCATCCATACATATTAAATTAGCTTATTCTGAAGATTCATGAAGCATCGAGAGGGCAAACTTACAGTTAAGCATAAATAGAAATGAAAATATCTACACAATCAGATCGGTATGAACACTAACGAGTAACGACAAAACAATGAAACAAGCTTCAGAGTGAAAGGGCTTATCAATTTACCTGTTTCCCTGAATTGTTTACCCTGGCACCAAAACTGGGCATGCATAATTACCTTCCTGATATCTCCATGACAACATTCAACTATTTTCTCTATGATATGAGGTTCGGAATAAGACTTTTCTGAAGAACAAACCTATAGAGAGGAAAAAGGGATAGTCAGCATGGGATGCTTGTCTCATAGACAGCCAAAGATGCAAGCAGAGCACCTACCTTGTAGACATGCTGAAGAAGATCCTTGCGGGCAGGCATCTTAAAATTCACATAAAGCCTATCCAATTTTTCAGGAAGGACAGGATTGTCACCTGTTAATTACTAAAATCATGAAAAAAGGAACAACAATATAGATGTAATTATGTGCTAAGTACAGACAAGGAGTAATCGACATCCAGGGGACATTCTCACTGTTGCTGGTTAATATAACAGGGCCTTTTGCATTGTCAGCAATGTTCTGGATAGCAGAAATAAAACCAGAATCTTGCGGGAAGATAACATCAACATCCTCAAAGAGAATCGATGTTTTAGTTTTGTTGTCAGACTTCCCACAGGTTTCAGTGAGTCCATGAATGTTATGCTTGTCTGCTTTAGATTCGAAGTCAATGAGTTTGTTCTCGTGCTCTTGCATCACTTCATAATCTAGAGGGGTAAAGGAGAATTTCATGAATCCTCCTAGTGGCTTCACAGGACTCTCTACTGACCTGGAAGACACGTCACATAAGAAAAATGATAATATGAAAAAAAAGCTTTTCAACTCAGATGTCTAGTAAATACAAGAGAATTAGTGGTATTTGTTTCCAATTAGTGCTAGGTGTACAAACCTTTTAAAGAATTGTGACCCCAACGCCTCGCCAAACCTACGCCTCACACCAGTGCCATTTCGACATTCTGATGTACTGACCTAAATAAGAAATTAAAATAAGAATACAGCCTTTCTTTAATATAATAGTAAGGTACTGATGTTCTATTTAGTCCCAGAATGTAACCATAGGTGACTATCACAAAAAGCTAAGAATGGAAGAAGGGAAGTTAAAAGGACACCAAAATATCATATGAATGCTCAACCACTAACTTTGTCTATAAAAACATAAAAAAAAAAAAAGTTGAAGCACCTCCAAGATTTTGTAACCCTGCTCCTTTGCACATGCATAAATGGCTGCAGATTTCCCACTCTGCAATGAAGAGAAATCTCATTTAGGGTAACTGGAAAGACAATAGAACACAACAGAAAGTAGAAGCAATCACACACATACAGCAAGTTTTCCAATTAAAAACAAGGGTTTGGTCTAGTGGTAATACCACTAATCTGGAACCTGGAGGTCTCAAGTTCGAATCCTTAAGTAGTTGAAGCATTGACAAAAAGGAAACGACAACGTACATCAATAGCTAAATCCAGAAGAAGGATATTTCTATAGTTGAAGCATTGACAAGAGAGCACAGATTATAATCGTCAACTACTTTAACGACTAATCAAATGATACTCTGGACTTGGGTAAGTCTTTGGAGGATAATGCTATGGCATGTGGGTGTAAAACTAAAGCAGCAATTGCAAGATTTAAACATTAATGACCAATAGAATCTACCAAATTATACTAAAAAAATATCTATCTACAAATGATTCACATAAACCAAAACACTTTTGGCAACAAATGAATAAACAGAACAACTAAACATATTTACAAAGTTGGACAACTGGAATAAAGAACCTTGAAACTTATTTACCCCTGCTGGTCCAGTTATCAATAAAACTGGCTTACGGCTACTCATGTCATTTATGTTCTCAGACTCACTTTAGGAACACAAATAATCAGTATCTTGGTCATTTGAATCAATCCCAATGGAAGAAAACTTGCAGACACCATCACTCTTTTGATTCCAATTGTGAAGCTACTCATTCACAAAATTCACTGCTTCAGTATTACTAAGTACCTGCACAAAGTTTCCAGAATAAATCAGCGAAAGAATTCAGAGGAAAACAAAGAGGTGAGTAAGGTTTCTAACATCAAACCTCTCTGGCGATCTTTGGCTGGTATTTGTCAGTCCATAATCTATTATCGACCTGACTTTCACCATTAAGACAGTCTGCTATCCCCCTGCAAATGCAGTAAAACAAAAATTAAGATTTTGCTAAATGCAAGCAACTTAAGCAACCAGGGAAAATATCAGAATAAGTCTTCTCCAGTAACCAGTAGCATGCAGAGTATCTTTGTGATACTGATATTATAGCTTGTGCATTACTAGACATCTACAACCTAGCTCCCACCAACTGAATCACTATTCTGAGATGACCAAGCAGGTTCAAATTATTTTACCTTCGGTTGAAGCAAAATGATAATAATGTTTTTTGAGTGTTGCAGCAGCAGTAAGTGGGTTCAATCTCTGGTCATTAAAAAACTAAATTCATTTCAAGCTGGAAAAAAAAAAGACTAAACCAAGCTAGCAACGACTAGAAAGATTGAATCACCCCACATAATTGACTACTCCATACCGAAGCAAGAATGCATATATTAATCCTTCTTCACTAATGCATTCATCATAAAGCCTCTAAAGGTGCTTTCTAGATCAAGCCAACTATGATATTGTGGAAACCAAATTTACTCAGACCAGAGGAATAGCACAAGGCAGTGGTTGGAAGAGAAGAAGAGAAATCCAAACCTCTCGTGCTGCAAAACACCTGTTTCCTCTACATTTTCAACCATTACTTGTGCACCAAAAAGACCAGATTCATCAGGCTTGCAGTCCTACCATGACACAGAAAATGGAAGATGAAAAACAGAAGCAAGATTTAACCAAAGCTCTGAACTCACTAAAGATTCAAGAAATTATTTGGTGAGAGAAAATGAACATACTGTTGTCATGTCAGTTATGAGCTGACAGCAGATGCCATGCACATCTGATGAATTAGAGGATACAATTGCAGACTCTTCATTCAAAAGTTCTCCTTGAAGAAGATGTCGATCTACAGAAACATTATTATCAGCAACTTATCTGCAGGAGAGACACATATGAGGTACAAAAGGAGACCTACTGAACAGCAAATGATCTGTTCAGGCATCAAAATGTAATGTGTAGAGACCTTCTACAGTACATGCACTATCCGCAAAGGGTTTCTCATGAAGTTCCCAGTTCGTCCAATCTAGAGAGGCAGCACCCTCCTGAACAAAAGAAGCTAAGTAAATCCCTGCTGAGTTGAAATCATAAGTTTGGAACCGATAATACATAACAATTCAAGACCGAATACTTATTAGCAAATTAAAGTTAGATCCACATTTCAGTTGAAGAAGTTGGAAAATGATGGAATCTCAACTACAGAAGGTTACTATTAATGTTGATAATTTCAGAAGTTGTAGTTCCAACCCACCCCCACAGAAAGATGAAAATGATAAACAGCCTCACGTAACTACTATATTTGTCGCCTCACCCTCCTTCAATCCCACAAGATAATGGAAAGAAAAATAATGGGAATCACCGTTGCTCTCTTAAATACATACCTCATCCCTTTCAAACACATGAATAGGTGGCGCGGTAGCTTGGTCAGATCCTCTCAGGACATCGCCTATCACCTGATGTCTCTTACTCTCTTTCCATAATGAGAAAAATGGGTGCAATAGCTTCCCAGAATACTTCTGGGGTACTCCTACAAAACATAAAGATAGGTAGCAAGACAAGTTCAGGTATTTCACACATAAAGCTATAGGGGGCTCAAATTGCAGTGAAAAGACTTTCAAAGTATCATGGCTAACACTTGGTCATTTTGCCAACTGCAGGAGACAGTGAATTTCGTTCACTGACCTCATCAGCCATTTTAGCCTCCAATCGCACATTTGGCATGGATAGAGGAGTTACATCCTTATCCTCCGTCAGATCAGTATCCTTGATGATCCCGTTCCTTTTTGGTGTAGAATCAGCTGATGATCTCCCCTTTGACTGTTTGAACAAAGCATAACCATCAATTACGTATTGACCTAGACATTTCAAAGGAATCGACCGTATAGCAATAGGGGACATCAGAATAACTGATGCCAAGGTCAAGAAAGCCCGAACCAAATTCGATGTATCGGATACCTCTGCACAGACTAAGAAGCTAAACGACAATCGAGCAACAAACCCACTAAATAAACAGCAGCCTACTTGATGAAAAGCTAAGTAGCAAGGATGTTTGATCTTCTTAGGAGTTCTACCATGACAAATCGACCACTTTGCCTTGCGCGCTACTTTCCTCTTGTTTCCTTGGCTGCTTCTGCAGTTGTCCTCTTCGTCTCTACCTTCCGCATCCTTGTGTTCGCCATTACTCTCTTCATCGTCCCGTTTCTTCTTTACCCAGCCAGATTTAGCGCCTTCGGGTGACGTTTGATGGAACAGCGTCGATTGCACCAGTCTCCGCCGAACAATCCTCCGGATCGGCTTCCCGACCTATCACGAGTACGCAACCACCGCAGTCAGCGGGCCCTCTCCCTCAGCTGACCGATCCATGTGGCCGTCGAATCTAGCGAAGCGAATTACTAGACTTAGGGTTTATGAGCAAATTGGGGGTTTTTGGAGGAGAACGTAGGAGTTACGGTAACGGAACAACGCCCTTCTACCTTCTATGAGGAATTAGGGCGATACTCGATAGAGGATTCTCTTCCCGCCTTAAAACAAGGGCATACAAATTTATATAATATAATATATATTTGTTAAGAGCTAGTCTATATGTTGGAGATCATGTTCATGTATGTTTGACCAAAAAGTAAGAAGGAACAACTGAACAAGGTCCCCGTGAGCCGTGACCCTAGGGATGGCAACCAAACCCGAATCCACGGGTACTCACCCGACCCAACCCAGTCAACGCGGGTAAAATCCGTGTTGACGGGTTTTAGGTCGGGTTTGGGTTTAAACCCGTTCACTATTCATCGGGTTGGGTTGGGTTTGGGTTTAGGTAAACCCGACCCGTGGGTACCCGCCTACACATATAATTAATTTTCTCGGTATATTTAATATTTTAAACAACTAACCTTATTTATGTTTGTGGAGACATGTCTAATTTTTTCTTTCTAATTGTGTAGAATGAAGTTTGTGTTATCGAGTGGAGAGTGAAGAAACTTAATTGAAAGGAAGAAGCCTTCAATTAATATGTTATTTATGGATAATTTATGATTTACTTCAATTTTCTTGAGTTTTCTAGATTGGTGTTAAACAATTTGTATAGTTAATTTGTGATTTGCTTGAATTTTCTAGAATGGTGTTTTAAATATGGATAATTTGTATTGAGAGATTGATATTTGATTTTAATTTTGATAGGAACTTGTTATTGTAAATTTTTTACGACAAAAACCCGTGGGTACCCATGAACCCGCGGATACCCAGCGGGTTGGGTTGCGTTTGAGTTTTTCAAACCCAGTGGGTTTTACCCCGGGTTTTTTTCACGGATAAACTCATGGGTTTGGGTTTGGGTTTGGCAAAACCCGACCCAACCCGACCCATTGCCATCCCTACGTGACCCCGTCTAAGTCTATTTACTATTTAGCCATTTTCTTTATCCTTTTTTTTCTTTTACATGTGCCTTTTTTCTTTTTTTCATATTTGTCTTTCCCGCCTTTTCTCCCTTTTCAGGAAGTGTTCCCGGGATTACTTTTTTGTTTTTACTATACTCGAGGAATTATATTTTGTGTTTGTTTGGGATGGGAAAGGTCAAAGGTACAACTACAAACTGCGAGAAGATCTATGATTTATGAGTAATAAATCAATTTTATTTGAAGAAAAGTATTTTGTGGTGAATGGAGGAGTTAAATGTGCTTAATTGATAGTAATGTAATGATGGGTGACCTTTAAGAAGTGCACACTCGCAAGGTTTAATTCTTTCTTCCATGCTTCAATCTTGGTGTTTATTCCATTCCTTAGTAATTACCTGGGAACAGTCCTCATGGTTTTGCCAGAAGGCCTCAAACCTAAATTGCCAACCCCATTGAGGCTTCTCCCCTTGGGGATAGAGCTCTATACAGATAGGAAGATGATTCGAAGTCCACCTCTCTAAATGGTAGACCTGGGCAAACTTAAATTGTTCTTTCCATCTTGTATTAGCCACTTCTCTATCCAGTCTTTCCTCCGGGAAGCCTTCATCCTCTCTACCATTATCCCACGTGAATATATTCCTTACATATCCTAGATCCTCCAAGTTGCAAGCGTCCAAGGCTTCTCGAAATTCTTCCATGTTTTGGACATCAGGAGGCCTGATTCCATTTTTCTCCTCATAACCCAGCACCTGGTTGAAATCTCCACATACTAGCCATGGTAGATCAACCTGCATGTGCAGGTATCGCATCATATCCCATGTTTTCCTTTTCTTTCCTTGATGAGGCCATCCATAAATGTCTGTTAACCTCCAGTTCTTTGTTGGATTAGCCTCCTCTACCAGAACATCAATGTAGTGTCTCGAACAGTCTTTCACTGTAACTTTCAAATCATCCTTCCACATCAGCAGCAGCCCTCCTGCTCGCCGTTTCGAACCAACACCCTGTCATGTAGTCCAACCCAAGTCAGCCATTACTTTCTTCCATTCATGTTCCTGTTTCTTTGTTTCCATTAAGAAAACAAAGCTGGGATCCTTTTTTCTGAGTAGCTCAGCTACCCTCCTAACTGCCGTGGGGTTCCCCAACCCACGACAGTTAAAACTTAGGACACTCACTGGGCTGGGCGACCCTGTTTCCTCACAGGGACCGCCTCTTCGCCATCCTTTTCTGTTATGTTGTACTGACTATCCAAAACTGCCCCTTCCGGGAAGACCAAGGTGCGAGCCTTTTTGTTTGCAGAAGCTCCTCCCTACTTAGATCTCCACTCTCACCTTTCTTTTCAGCATTCCTCTTCTGGGGAGTCACTTGCAAGGTTCCTCCCTCTCTAGGTCTTGCTTGTTCCTGCCTTCTCCAAACTTTCCCTCTCGGTGACCGTTGTTCCCCTATGGTTTGTTTTTCCATAAGTAGATGTTGCACAACACCCTTATGTTTATCATTGCTTGTTTTTTTAGATGCTGCTCTCTTTTGTAAATCAGTGGCATCCCCATGGCTGCCCTTGGCTCCCTGCTCCAAAGAATCATTAGGTAGGCCAGTTTCCCCACCTCTCTCACTTTCCTCCATCAAGGTAACATGCTCCTTACCTTTCCCTTCTGTTTCCTTATGCTTATCATTCTCCAAGTCATGGAGCTTTGGTTCAGTCTCCATCCGTTCCACCTTCACTGTCTTTTCTACTCTATGATTTGAGCATATGCTCTCAATTTTGAACTTTTGCCGCAGCTGTCTCCACACATCAATATCCGCTTTCCTTGCCCCTGGTGATAACCAGTTCCTCGGAGCAGGGGGAGCTGCTCTGAGCTCAAAACCAAATGGGTCATAACCCAAACTGGAAGGTTGGGGGCACTTAACTTTGACATGACCAATTCTTCCACAGGAATGACAAACCAAGGGTTTCCGCCGCCTCCCTAAACCCTCGCTAAACGAGAGAAAACCTACCTTAACGGCTATTATTTTGAAATGAAAGAAAAGATTTGACTGAAAAACTAATGCCTCGTCGCAATTGGCTCAGAGCATCACGTTTGATATCCAACGAGTTAAGCCGAGACCACGGAAGAATTTCTCTTTCAACTGTCATTGTCAACTGTCAGCTGTCAAATCCTATACAAAGATAAAAAAAGAAAAGAAAAAACAAAACTATTACGATTTAGGGCTAATACCACTACAACACCCGAACTATCCGAAAAATGTCACTTGTGTCCTATTGTATTAAATATTTCATCTGTGTCCTGAACTATTACTCTGTTAGTGTTGACCAGCATTGACCGTTAAAATTTAACAGATTGTCTAGTTAGCGTTGATGTGGAAAATGACATGGAATTTTTAATTCCATTTTATTGAAGAAAATAATTAAAATAAAAAAATGAGAAAAATTGAGTAGATAAGAATCAAATTTTGTCTTTCCTCTCTACCCCTCTACGCCCGACTACTCTTCAGAGCGACCTCGACGCCCGACGATTCTTTTAGAGAAACCTCACCGCCCGTCAATTACCGTCGGAACTCTCTGCTCCATGGCATTTTGCATCACCGTAGCCTCTGCTTTTCAGCTGGAAATCACTTCATTGGAAGATTTTTTGAAGGGATCGAGAGATCGAGCATCGTAGATCTAGATTCTAGAACAGACCCGGCAACCCAATCCGCCACCACCATAATGAACTCATCCCACTCCGCCGCCACTCGAATCGGACCCGCCAACCCAGTCCGCCATCACTCCAATCCGACTCGCAACTGCAACCTCCAGCAAAATCGACCCTCTAGAAACTCTCGGGCCTCCGAGCCGTCCGCTTCTCCAAAAATCGTCACTGAAATCTCCTTCGCGGCGGCGAGTTCCGTCCTACCGACCCAGGTTGTGAGCTCATGCTCTCTACTTCGCCTATCAGTTCCGCTATCTCCATACCTGCAATATCAGTTGGAAAATTGAAAATGGAAAGAAAACAGAGGACAAGAAAATAGGGGAGAGGGGACAAAGACCATTTGAGTGGAGAGATGGGAAGGTTGGCGAGGTGGACAGAAGAGGAAGAAGTAGTAATGGAAAGTCTTCTTGGCTTTTCGTAGATTGTGGTGATTTTCCGGCGGTGGGGGGAGAGGGGATGAGTATGGGAGGAGGGTTTGGGGATTTGCGGCCGAGGAAGATAAAATAAATTTATTTTTTGTTTTGATTATTATTTTATTTTATTGTATTATTATTATTTTATTTAATTTTAAATTAAAAATAATATGATGTGGCATCTACATGATCGCCATGTTGCTGCCACGTCAGCCTCAATCTGACGTCGTTTTTAACACCGTCTGGTCAACCGTTAATTCTTAACGGTCAACAAAACCGACATGATTCAAATGTCACAAAGAATAATAGTTTAGGACACAGATGGAATATTTGATACAATAGGACACAAGTGACATTTTTCGGATAGTTCGGGTGTTGTAGTGATATTAGCCCTACGATTCATGATACAATCAAATCCAATCCGTTGGTTGCTATTTTTGCATATCTCCTCCCCAAGACAATTTATTTATCGAATTGTAATGATAATATAAAATGAAGTTGCAAAAATGTTAATAACAAATTTGGATGGGTCACATTTTGAAATGACTTGGTATTGTATGGTATCATAGGCTCTTTAAGACAAGTTGAAGATTTGATCATCACGAATTATAGTCAGACTTTCTTACCTATATGAAATCAGAAAAATATAAACACAGCTAAAAAGTTTATGTTTGTCGAGATAATGCATGAAAATAGATTGCCTTGGGTTATCTTTAACTATTGGGCTTCTCTTGTGGGATTATTTGCATGAATTTTTTATCTAGTGGATAAAATGAATTGTTAATTCTTCACTTAATATGATATGTTTCATCTGATCATACTAAATCGTATAATACTTGGGTTTCAGCTAGGGATGGCAATTTCGACCTGACCCGATTTACCCGACCTGTTTGACCTGTTTTGGGGCAGGTCAAACCCGCCCCGTAGGCGGGGTGGGGCGGGCATGGGTACCTCTCATCGACCCGACCTGCCCTGACCCGCCCCATTCTCGACCCGTTCTTGCCATTATTACATATAATATTAGTCAAATTACTTAGGATTTTCCTCTTATTACATTATATTTTAGCTATAATAAAGTTGTAAATAAGTGAAAACCTCAATTTCTTCAATAATTTAACTACATTTTATCATATTATGGTTTCTTTCTTGGTCTTTTAATGAAAATAACGAATGTTTCTAATGTTTTTCGCATAAATTACATACCCAATGGGTCGACCTGTCCCGACCCGCGCCCCGTGATAAATTACCCGACCTGGACCCGACCTGCCATGGGGCGGGTATGGGTATCAAGATACCCGCCCCGGACCTGCCCCATTGCCATTCCTAGTTTCAGCTAGGCCTGGAAAATAGATCAAACTGTTTGAAAAATAATGGCTCAATCCGGATTGTACCGTTTGGTGTGGATCATAGACCATTATATTACACATGGTTTGGTTTGGTCCGTATTAGCATACCATATTGTGGTGTACAGAACCATACCGTGGACCCATCCCATTTTCACTTCATGTTAGTAGCTCACTCGATCACTCTCTCGCTCTTCAACGAAACCCAAGCCTCACCCTTAATTTTTCAAATCTCGACCCCTCATTGGTGCACAAACCACACTCCGTCATAGAGTAGAGACGATATGAGATTATGTTAATTTTTATGATGTTATGGTGCTTTTACTTTGAATTTTTGTTATTTACTTGGGGTCGTTTGGATGGAGTATTTGTGAGTTACTTGGGTTCAAATAACTCACAATAAGTTATTTGAACACAAATAACTCGTTTGGGAGCGTTTTACTGAAATGTGTTATTTGGACAATGAGTTATTTACAAATAACTCATACTCATGTGTTATTTCGAAATAATCCGTTTTACCAATCTGCTTTTACCAAATACCATATTTCAAATACCGCATTTTTATGGTTGAACCAAACGAGATACTTTATTTCAATTACCACTAAAATAACACTAAAATACTATGTGAACAGTAAATAAGTTGTTTAACTCTACACGTATCACATTGACAATTAACCCATCCAAATGACCCCTTAAATTTTTAGTTTTGTGGGTAGGAATTTTAATGCTAATTAAACTATTTTTTTTTTGCCCCACGTGATTTGCCCGGATCGGAGCATACAAAACCAACAGAGGCGTGGTCTGGACTCTGGATCACGATCCTTCGTCTATGCTCAAATCTCTCCGTTTGTAATATGAACCGTATATATATGGTAATGGTCCGGAACAGACACCACTGCCTACAAGCTTAAGTTCCAGCCCGTCAGCCCCTGATCGTACACCGTATACATCAACATTTCAACAACATTCGTGTGTTTTTAGGGTTGATTAAGAGTATTCGGTATTATTAGGCGAGTAAACAAGTGAGCCTAAGTTAGGATTTTCTTGACCAAGGTATCAAGGATTGCAAAACCGAGGACAGACGACAAAATATGGAGAGAGAGAGAGAGAGAGAGAGAGCGTTGTCCAGTCCCGCTATTTGACCTCAGGCAGTCAGGCCTCGGCCACCACTCCGCCCTTCGCTAGCCTCTGCCAAAACAACAGTACCTACTACCTAGGTTATAGGATTATGTCTATATACATAATCTTATGTTCATCACAATACGTAAGCGTGGTTATTATACAGTTCTTATTATTTAAGAAATTATAATACGGTTATTATTAATATATATTTATGGCGATGAACTACAAAATACAAATGGTTCATGTAGTAGTCGTAGAGACCAACATGTATAAATATAACGTTACCAATTCGACTCTCACTACTACTATACAAGAAAATAAATAGAAATGGACAACATTACATAACATTGATATCATGAATTTGCGAAAAAGAAAAAACAAATTCCCATCTATAATATAAAAAAGGGTTTAATGGCTTTAGAGGAAAAGCATTCGTGAAATCAACATAAGAGTTGCTCCCAAAGAACGTCCGGAAAATAAATATATATAAAAAGGAAGTAGGGATGGACTGTAAATTCGTTGGCAATATGTCTACACTGGTTTAAATCCAGCTCGGCCCAATAATTCACCGATCCGCCATGAAATGATATAACCCTTTTATTCTCTCGAAATGTCCCACTTTGATACGACCGTTAAATCTCTCCTCCATCCTGTCCTTACCATCTTTCGGTAGCAGCATCCAGAGCAAGAACCGGTAGTCCCCCCGTTCTTTCTTGCCGTCCGGTGACGAGGTCTCCTCAGAGGGTCGTCGTGTTCCGGCAGTCAGATCAGGTGGTTTTGCTTCCCCCGCCGGGGCGGAGTCAGCGGGCGAACCCGTCGCCGTCATGGTATTGTCGCGGGGAGGGATTGCCCTTTCTAACGCATATTCAGTCGTGCCGGCATGGCCCCACATATTTGTTTTCGATCGGAGCATCAAGCACGCAACTCGGTTCTACTTGACTAAGCCTCGTGCTCGTCCAAGGGAGGGAGTTGGGTCATCAAGGTTGTCAACCCGATTTAGTTTAGTTTATTGGATTGGTCAAGCAATTGGATGCGAGTTATTAGTTGGATTGGGTGATAAACCCAATTGGCCCATTTTACTCATAAGAAAATATAGTTTGGATGGATCAATTCAGAAATGAGACAATTTGGCCAATAGTATCATTTTATAAAACAAGCCAATTAAAATTATCTTCCCCACCCCAAACAATTGAAATTGACTTAAAATGGATCAATTTGAAATTTCTTAGATCAAATTGATCCATCCAAACTTTCTGTTGGCAAACGAGTGGATTTGGTCTAATTGTCTCAAAACGAAACAGTTGAATCAAATTGATCTGTTACATTTATTCATCCAAACGTCCCCATAAGTATAGATAGAGGTGAAAAATGGTACCGTATCGGTATCCCAATACCAAATACCGAAATCCCGAATACTGAATTACACCCGAAAATCAATCACAATCCCAATCCCTAAACAATTTCGGTATCCCAATCCCAATCGCTAAATATTTTGGTATCCCAATCAGTACTTCGGTATCCCAATCGGTATTATCCAATACAAAATTAATTATCTTTGCAATTAATAATTAAATATATAAATAATATTTATTGTTTAATTTAGGGCAAAGAGAATAAGCAAAGAGTCTTGAGTTTGCCTAGAGCTAGGATATTGATAAGGAGAATGGTGAAGAGGTGACATCTCAAATTCTTGTCATTGGTAATCTTTAATTTGACGAATTGAAGGTTGAGAGACGACTAATACTAGTGTTTGCATTTTGGTGTTATGAAAATTACAAGAGATTAGATGAGAGACGAGAGAGTGATTTAAATTGGAAAGTCAAATTTGAGTTGCATGGGGACTTCTAAGTTGTAAAATAGTGATAGAATGATCTATGTATAATTAAATGAGACTCTTGGTGGTTGAGGGTCGTGTAGTAGTGAATGAGAGAGTCTAGTTGAGAGGATAAAATACATAATATCTTATATTTCGGTATTGATCGATATTTCAGTATATACCGGTCCCAATCCTATAATCCCTAATACCGAATAAAATTAAAATTCAATGCGAATCCCAATCCCCCAAAAATAATACGTGTATTTGGTAATACCAAATATAAACAAATTCGATACGCTATTTGGTATATCCCAAATACCGATACCAAACTTTCAGCCCTAGGTATAGAATGTTATAATTTGAGATTCTAGAGACTAAAAATATAGCTCAGTTTAAGGTAGCATGTAGTAATTCCGGTTGGCCCGTTCTTTACACAACTAATTCATGCATAACTAATTCATGCATGTAACTCTAATCCCTAAATCTTAAATTGTGAAATGTGAATCCTAGTCTTTAAAATCATTAAACCCTTTCCGATCAAAGTAAGTCTTGAATGGTTTTTACAAATTCATCGGTGTTCTTATACATCATAATAAACAAGTGAGTATTGATGTGGTTTTGACAAGAATCTCCTACTCGAGATGGCAATTATGTTGATACTAGGGATATTTCCGTCGATTTGCATTTGATATAAGTTGAGTCTGGTTATAGTACCGACTAAGATGACAACCATAATTTCATTAGAATTAGAGCAGGAGGTAACAGTAATTGTGATATGCACCTGTACGTTTAGTAACGAAACCATCCCACCCACTAATGACACAAATTCTAACAACAAGATGACTTGTCGTTATGTACGATACGATGCAAATATATACTTGTATTGTTCGTTCGTTAGGAAGGGAGGGAGGGAGAGGATGTACGACAAAATTCATAAAATGAGCTAGGGAGGGAGAACGGGGCTGGGCTGGCTTCTGCTACACGCTATATTGCCTGCCAGCTGCCTGCGCGTGGAGTGAGCTCTTTCAGTGAGGTCAGGTGAGAGAGAGAAGCTAGGCTGCTGATTTCTTCTGAGACTGAGAGAGAAAGAGAGAGAGAGAGAGAGAGAGAGAGAGAGGGGAAGGAGGAGGATGTTAGATATTTCTGCTTGGATCTATTGTTGGTGTGGCGATGGCAGGAGGAGGATGTTGCAGGAACTGCTGTGAGTGGCTTAGGGAGCTGCTGTACGTGCACTACTGGATCTGGCTAGTTTTTGCAGGAGGATTCTGGATGGCCGTCACCATATCCAGCATCTTGAGGGCCGGGATAGAGTCCCCGGTTAGTTGGATCTTGCCACTGTTGGCCTCACACTACGGGACTGTGGTGATAGTAGTTGGCGGGAATGGACGGTGGTGGCCATCCAAGGCGACGGCGTTGGGTTGGACGTTGCGGTGGAACGGAGGAGCTGTCCTCCAGTGCTCGGGGATAGGATACGCGGTGCGATTGTTACTAAAGCTGGCATTGAACCCTGGTTAGCTCTTCTCTACACCGCATATGCATTTTGCATATCGCGCTTCATCTGCTACCCGGTCAGATTTGATTTCACCATGGCCTGGGTGTGGTGCGTTTTCTTCTACCTTACCTACTTAGTTACTAGCTAAATTCCTTCCTGAACTTGGGTTGTATGGTTGTGTGTGTGTTCAATTAACTTGATACGTCTGTGCATAGTCCGTAGATGGTCTGCTTGCTTTTAATGTAGGCGCTTATTCATTTTTTATTCATGCCTAGAGGCTAGAGCTAGAAGGCTGGCTGCCCTGGGGGTGGATGTTCTGGAACCTCGGCAGCAACCTTTTCCTCCCAACACAAAGGGAATGTTGCACATTTTTCTTTTCTTTTTTATTGTCAATAAAAGTTATAATTGGGCTCCCCAATAGAATAAATCCATTTCTATATCTGGGCTAACGCAATGAAAGCCCAATATTTCTTGTTGTGGCTTAATGCAAGGCAGGGCTGGGTTTCTTTTCATTATATAAATAAAAGGCCTTGAAAGAAGGAAAGAAACTGTCTTGTTGTGAGTTGTGCTTGGATTGGATTATTAACCAAGGGCATCTCTTCCACCCTTCCTTTATCGTCGATCATTGTAACTTTTTGTTTCCTTCCACACCAATGGTTTGCCTGCAAATTTAACCATCGGTTTTGACAGATTGTGCTATGTTTTTTATGGGTTTTTTTTTGTATATTTTTTTTTTGACAGTACCACTGCAAGCGCTGCTTGGGGTATGCAAGTTGACGAAGACCATAGGTGGAATTGGAGTTGGGTGGCAGGGATTTCTGTGGTTCTTATCTGCCTGATCTTCTTTGGCAAGTTTCTCGATGATTACTACCCTCCCAACGTGAACATTTACGAGAGGGGGAGGAAGGGTTTATGGGGGGATAAGGAGAAACCAGTGAATGCCGATCCCTACGTCCCTCCACCGCCGCCTGAGAATGTCAATGTTGTTGAAGATGTGGAGTCGCCAGGAAACCGCTCAAGTGCAGCTTCTTCTTCTATTACTCTGCCAGGATCCTCCTCCGTGCAGTGAGATCTTTTTTTACTGCTTTCTCTCTCCAATCTTCTTCTTCAAATCTTCTTTTAGGTCGTTTGAATTAATTGTCTGCTTATCTTCTTCACCTTCTTCTTTTAGGTCGTTTGATGGTGAGCATCATCGGCCTAGCTCGGTGGCATCATCAGTGTGGGGGTTCCTGCACCGTGCAATGGATGCTTTTTCTACTCCATCCGGATACTCCCGCCTTTCTACTGTGGAGTGAGTTGTTTTGAATGTTTTCCCTCTCCCTTTCTTCAAATCCTCTATTTCCATTGGGTTCCTAATTAATAGTCTGCTTACCGATCTTCTTTTTCTTCTTCTTCTTTTAGTTCGCCTGAAATTGATCCCGAGAGCGGCCATGAAGAGGATAATCGGTCTAGTTCGGTGGCATCATCAGTGTTGGGGGGCCTGAACCGTGCACTTGGTGTCTTTTCTACTCCGTCGGGATACTCCCCTCTTTCTTCTTTAGAGTGAGTTTTTTTTTTCCGCCGTAGTTGTCATCTCATTTTATTAGCTCTACTTGGCAACCAAGCTTCTCTAAAACAGTATGCAAATCTGCAGCTACAACTTCCAACTATTGTTTACACTTCAGACTAACTAATCATCTCTACTACTAATCAGACTTTTCTCTCATTACAAAAAATGAAAGTAGACTGAACTACTTAACAATTGGTTTAACTCAACATTTCCCTCACTATAGAATCAGACCTCTTGCTGAATTTGCTGCTTCAGTTCATCCTCACTTTTCTGGACAGCAGTAAATACCCTTGCACAACGCTCCTTCCATAGAGAGGCTACAAACCAACACCAAAATACCCCTGCAAGCTTATCCCCTTCAGCCACAAGTTTGCAAACCTGTTCCAACATTCTCTTCCAATTCGTAGCCCACACTACATTAGGAAACATAGCATCTAGTAATCCAGTAGCATATCGACATTCACAAAAGAGGTGGTTCCTCGTTTCTGGCATTGTCTGATAAAGTAAACACTGTTCAGAGTCTATCACCCCTCACTCTTTCAATTAGGTTCTGGTTTTGATTCTATTATGGATAATCAGCCAAGCCAAGAATCTATGTCTAGGTATAACAAGTTTGCTCCATAACAAAGCATACCAATTCTTTTTCATTGGTCTTATAATTGATTGTGTGCTTACCAATTTTTTTCTTCTTTCAGTTCGTTTGATCGTGAACCTGCAATTGGTTTCGAGGGCATCCTTGATCGAGTTAATGTAGATCACAATCGGGGGGCTACTTCGGAGATTGAGATGATGTTGAGGAACCAGCCAAGTGGAGCTTCTTCTTCTTCTTCTCCTCCTCCTCCTCCTCCAGTACACTGATCCTCGTCCGTTGCTCCACCTCCTCCTCCTCCTCCTCCTCCGCCAGTACACAGATCCTCTTCCGTTGCTCCACCTCCTCCTCCTCCGCCAGTACACAGATTCTCGTCTGTTGCTCCACCTCCTCCTCCTCCTCCGCCAGTACACAGATCCTCGTCCGTTGCTCCACCTCCTCCTCCTCCTCCAGTACACAGATCCTCGTCCGTTGCTCCACCTCCTCCTCCTCCTCCAGTACACAGATCCTCGTCCGTTGCTCCACCTCCTCCTCCTCCTCCTCCTCCTCCGCCAGTACACAGATCCTCGTCCGTTTCTTCACTGCAGTGAGTTGTTTTAAATACTTTCCCTCTCCCTTCAAAGTCTCAATTTTCATTGGTTTCCTATTTAATTGTCTGCTTCTTCTTCTTCTTCTTCTTCTAGGTTGGCTGCCGGCATTTGGAGTGATATTGACTTATCATCGGATCAAGACGTAAAGACCACTTTCGCATCTAATTCGAGTGGGCCTAAGTAGCCGCCGCAACAAATGAGGTGGTGGACTTGGTTTTAAGATTTCTCAGAGACATTTGTATTTGTTTTTCCCTCAACTTTTCCCTCACTCATCATTGGATCATGATCGTCAATTTCACTCCAAGGATGTGTTCCTTTGTCAAAAGATCATAGTATATAGTATAGATATGCATTTGTGAGAACAACATCGTGCATGAAGTAGAAGGTTTCTGTCTTTTTACCGAGTTGAGGATCATTGGATCTATTCCATTGACTAGAAGCTCGAGCTTCCATGCTCCCATGTTCCACAAGTCTTCCTCCCTCCTGCTTGTGAAAGGAAACGCATTGCTTCCCCAAATCCACATCATGTGGATGGCATTGGGCCTGACTACCTTGCCTTGGGGATCAAATACCACAAGGATGGCTTGTTCCTGAAGTGCCACTGTTCCCTAACGAACTTAACCACCGCATCAACAAAGGGTGGTGCACTGTGTACCATGGCATTGCGGATTGCAGGCTGTCGAACTTTGTTTCATTGCGTTTGTCCACTGGATCGAAGCATCCACTAGAGGGACCCACACCACCTCGTACTGGCTGTCTAGCCTTGTCGAATGGAGCCTCGACTCATTTTAGAACTGCTCGAGGATCGAGAGCTTGTCGTGGGAGATGTTGGGGTCTGATATCAGTAGGACATTCTTCCTTCTCGGCACTTCAATGCTGACCTGTGCTCTCAAACTCCAAAATTAACGACCTGAAGTATGTTTCATTTAACTAATGAAATTGAAAGACCTGGTTAACTAACCCTTCTCTTGGTAGATCCACAAGTGGTTGCATCTCATCCTCATAGTAAATCAGGGCTTTCAGCACCTTCAAGTTGTCAATGTGGATCATCTCAAACATATCCACCAGCATTGTGTACTCTTCAAGGCTTCTCTTCTCATCTGCAACTCGCAAAAAACATTGTTGAGTATTACATGAATGGTTCTTGATACTAACATCTAAGCTGAACCTTGCACAAGAAGCAATCAAAAGAACCTATGTGTTGGTGACATGTAGCTAAATCCTTCCTAATATGCTCATGCATCATGCATGTTGTTGAGCTTGTGTTCCAATGTGGAAAGGCTCCCATGACTTTGTAGTCGTAAGTGCATACTTAGGAAGCAAGCTTCAAAGTAGGGATGGCAACAAAATCCGAAGCCATGGGTACCCACCCGATCCAACCCGGTCAACGCGGGTAAAATCCGTGTTGACGGGTTTTGGGCCGGGTTTGGGTTTAAACCCACTACACTATTCACCGGGTCGGGTTGGGTTTGGGTTTAGGTAAACCCGCTCCATGGGTACCCGCCCACACACATATAATTACTTTCCCGATATATTTAATATTCTAAATAATATATCTTTCTTAAATAACTAATATTCTATATGTTTGTGGAGACATGTATAATTTGTTCTTTCTAATTGTTTAGAATGAAGTTGATATTATGAAGTGGAGAGTGAAGAAACTTAGTTGACGAGGAAGAAGCTTTCAATTAATCTGATTGTTTATCTTTAATTTTGAACAATTTGTATTGATCATTTGCGATTTGCTTGTATGCTCTAGATTGGTGTTTTTTGTATAATTAATTTGTATGAGAAAATTGATGTTAAAATTTTATTTTGAAAGAAACTTGTTATTGTAAATTTTTACCACAAAAACCCACGGGTACGCATGAACCCGCGGATACCCAACGGGTTGGGTTGGGTTTGAGTTTTTCAAACCTAACAGGTTTTACCCCGGATTTTTTTGACGGATAAACCCATGGATTTGGGTTTGACAAAACCCGCCCCAACCCGCCCCATTGCCATCCCTACTTCAAAGCGAGACTCATCAAAACTTACCAATGACTTCTGAATTGAGGTGCCAAACAGGCAAGTTTTGTGGGTTCAGGAATGAGATGGATTGGTATTTGCCATATTTAATTATGAAACAAAAAATATTTATGATGCCAAGTTCTGCAAAAAAGAAAGCCATACTCATGTCCCATGGTGGTGAGCAGAGTAATCTCACCACACACAGAAAAAAAAAAAAAAAACCAACAGCAGGGTTTTTTTATAGTTTTAGCGACCATACAAACCGCTGACAATTTTCCCGGCAGGGGTTTATTGACCGCTGGGGACCGATGCAAAACCGACCGCCTCAAATTTATGACAGTGGTTAACTCAACTGCTGGTGAATGCCCTTGCGGCAGTTCTTGCGGCGGTTCTAATGGCTGTAGTTGCTATAATTGCCGACCGTCAAATCAAAATTTGCAGCCGTTTTAACGGTTTCAAATCCCCTTCTATTGATTACTCCAGCGTTTTATTTAATTTGCTTGATAATAAATTTGCTGGAAAATTTTAGTATGCCATGTTTCAATGCACAACCCTTCAAAAGTGACATCAACCATTATAAATATACCACAGAATTTCAGCAGTCGACATAACACATTACTAGGTAGGAAATTAACAAAGTAGTACGTGGTTCAAACTAAAAAGTAAAAACCAACAATTTGCAGTCAAAACTTTGTTCGGTTCAAACTAAGAACAAACAATTTGCAGTCAAAACTTCGTTGTCTTCTGAATCACCCACATCATGTATTGCATTCCATCTTAACCTGTTAAAAGCCAACGAAACAAATAAAATTCCCATCACTGCTACTAGCTGAATTCAAGGCAACAAAATGGAATCATATATGAATCAATGACTACATGTTTCAGCTCTTGAAGAACAGAATGGATAACTTCACGATTCAATGAGAACAAACCTGCAATTAATGTAATGATGAAACTTCAAATGATTAAGTGAAAACATGCACATGTATAAAATTCATCTTAATGTTGTTGGTTCCCCCTTGACGGTTTTCTCTCAGTTTTCAGTTTTATTGGTGCTTGTCCTGCATTCCCCTGTTTGTTATGGTATTGTGAATCAATAATACCACCTACACCAGTAAAATTCCTAAATCAAACCAGCAGCCATAGGCAAAGCCCAAAAATCCAAAGTTAAAATAAATCATGATAGTGCTAGTTTAGCAACCTGAAATTACCTGATTCCCCATTGATCTCAAAGGTTCCTGCACCATGGAAAGCAGAACAGTATCATAACCAGAGAACACTGCGCATAATGAAAGAGAAGCATGAAAAGATCCAAAGGAAGGAAAACAATCAATCAATCACATAAATTAATCACTCGGGCTCCTTGTATCTCCGCTCGTTGCCTTTGCTCAACCACCATATGGTCACTCAAACACCATCTCCAAGCACCACTATTCAATAGATTTGAAAGAGAATGGGAAAGAAATATTACTTAGTTTCATTATTCATTGTCCAAGGGATGCAGTAAGAAGATTATACCTGAGGCTGAGAGTTCCAATAAGTATTGATGTAGATGTACGTCACTGGATATGTCTCATCAGAGCAGTCTCCTAATCACAGCTTCCCCACTCTGTGCCACTGCTGTCCAATGATAAACACATATAAAAAATATTGTAGATGACAGGATAGGAGTGGATTCGGATCATATATAGCCTAGGGAATGCTTCTTACTAGGAATGAAAGCTCTCTTAAAAGCACGCATTCGATCCATGTACTTAGTAATGGTTTCACCATCTTGTGAAATAGCTTACTTGTCTCCACACATTTCGCACGTGCACAACAACACTGATTGACCGAAAGGGTTGTTTGTCTATTCTGAAATGGCTTCCTGGGTCTACTTGAGATAATCTGGAAATCTGCTGCAAAGTATGAAAGAAATGAGATATTTCCATGTGTTCTAAAACTTCTTCATGGAAATTGAAATGGAGATGCAACAGACAAGAAAAAAGAATATAAGTCTCCATTGGTACCTTGGTGCCATGCAACTTATTTATGCTTTCGTATTCAATAGTTGGCACCTGCATAAGTTCTAAGGCCACATAGAAAGAATGAACCATGAGATTAATCTATAAATTGTAATGCACAAAAATACACGTGAACGTCAACTTCACTTTTCAGTTCTACCAACTCACTTTTCAGTTCCACCACTTCACTTCTCGGTTCAACCACTTCACTTCTCGGTTCAACCACTTCAATACCTAGAGTGACTACCTCAGCAGAGCATGATGTCGTGGTAGAATTTGTTGAAGCTGAGGAAGAAGAAGGCACAAAATAGGTCGATGGGATTGTTCCCAAGGCAGCACAACGAACCCTCTCCAAATGCTCTGGACCATGTAGCTTCTGAAAGATTTGGTCATTATTAGTAGACCCTTCATGTCGAAGAGTATGCGCCTTTTCCTACACAAAATTAGTTATCAAGTATAAACCATATCAGATTGTAAGATTACATTTGCTGGGTTAAGCTGTACATATATTCTAATTCATGCACAGAATAAGTATTCAACAATTGTAAGAGTTTAAAAAGAACAAACTTAGAAGATTAGTTTTCTAAGTTTACAGAAGAGGGAGGAGAAGAAGTGAAGGTTAGGGTGCTGCAAAATTAAATGTTTTCAGGAGTTTTTTATACTGTTTTCAGCTTGTATTCTCAAACCGAGAGAGTGAATGGAAGTCTTTTAGTAGGAAAATCAGTGCTCACGTTACTATACACTCAGCAGCAACAGACAGTAAGAATAACACATAACAACAGCCAACAAATTCAAAGGAAACCCTGAAATTAGAAGAAGTGTACCTTGAAGGAGATGATTATTGCGAGGAAGAACCAAACAAATATTGACTGTAAAATCCCTCTTTTAGCCTACAATGTTCAGAAAGGTAAAAAAAGGAATTCGTCAATGCTAAGTAGCTGAACATACGATAGGATATTTTGTCTTATAATCATTTCTGAACTTATGATATCAAGTTGCCAAACTTGTTTGTCTAATAGCATAACAGGAAAACCTAGAACCTCAATTATGATATCATCTTAAGGAGAACCCCAACATAGATGAAACAATCCACTAACATCAATGCTAACCCACCAAACAATCTCTACACATTATACAAACTCAAACAGTATATTATATGAACAGATTTCCGAGCAATACTGCCAATGAATCTATGAACTTAATTTTTAAAGGACAATAATGATCAGCCACATGCAAACAATCAACACTCAAGCTAAAAAAACGAGGACAATAGAATATCTAGGTACATGACCAGCTAAGAATTATACAAATTGGTATTGAAGGGACATGTGCTGGCAGCCAAGAATGACACGGATATAGTAAACTCTACATGCTTGTTATGATTTTTTCAATATGATAATGGGATAAAAGTTGGTAAATGGATCATCTGGCTGCTAAATCTTCATTGGATAGAAGTTACAGCCAAGTGCATCTCAACAACTACTTAATAGTATATTAAGCAATCTTGCTGCATAGAGGAAGCATTGTCAGCATCATTCTTTATTCTTGGGAGCATTGTGATCATGGTCACTCTTGCTGCATAGAGGAAGCATTGTTATCATTCTTAATAGTATATTTTGTTGCACCCAACTATGAAGATAGAGTTCGATTATGTGGATGGAAAAGAAGAACAGCATAGGCTTCCATGCATTGAACCTATCTATTATTGTGAGAGCAGAGAATTAATAAAAGAGGAAGAGGGATGGACTCACGTGCAAATTGACAAAATCCCAGACGGCCGGCTGCTGTTGATTTCGGGATGGATCGTCGGCGATTCGCGAAGTGCATCGATTGAAGGAAAGGAGAACGAAATTCGAATCTCACTGTTAGCCACTTCACCCTAATTCAGAATCTGCAGTTCGATCAATCCACACGCATAATCAAATCTCGGAATATTAATAACTGAATAAGACTCGAAATTAGGTTAGAGAGATTACCAGGAAAAGGTCGAGAGAACGTGGTAATGTAGGTCAAATTAGGAGCAGCAGCAAAAGCTTCACGGTCGATGGAGAAGACGTACGACCTCTGAAGTTCGAGAACGACGGGGAAGACGTATGACCGCCGGAGTTCACGATCGACGAGGAAGACGTACCACTGAAGGAGAAATCTCAGGCCAAGAGGAGAGCTCTTCCTCGTTCAATTTTTTTTTTAAAAGCTCCCGATAATGTTTCGTTTGAATAAAAAACGTATTTGGAAGGGAAAAAATCGTACTTGGAAAAAATGTAGTTGGAAAGAAATTGAGCAGGCCAGGGGTTATAAAAGAAGCTGCTGGACTGTTTTGCCGTCAAAAGTTTCAAACCAAAGCCCGGAAGCGGTTATAGAAACGGCTGCAAAGCAACCCCTGGGCTTGGCCCATTCTCTTGTCGCGCAAGCCACAATGGGTGTCATGGTTATAGTAGACAGCAGCGGGAACATGTATGAACTATGAAGGTGCTAAGCTCGTTGAGCTTAACCACACTCCAAGTAGGGCTGGCTATTTGATCCGGGTTTTTTTGGTTTTATTCGAAACCGGACCGTATAACCCGGATCGAGATCGGACCGGGACCGGATAGTAAACAATCCAATCCGACCCAATCTTTGGGCTTAGATTTGAGGTAAAAAATCGTTCGGGGACCGGATCAAAAACTGGATAAAGACCGGATAAGAGAGAGCTCAACACCAAAAACTTAAGGGTAATTTGCATAAACGGTCACAAACCTTTGCACTTAGTACAAAACTTAACCAACTCCTCACTCTTTCAAGCCTTAGGCCACTCAAATCCTCACAAGCTCAATATAAAATCAAGACCGAATTGGGACCGGACCGGATCAAGACTGGACTGTATCCAATCCAATCTTTGGTTCTTATATTTTCAAAAAGACAAGACTGGACCGGATCAATCTGGGCCAATTTAACCGAACCGGACTGTATGGCCACCCCTAACTCCAAGCGACCTCCAGGATGGCCTTGATCGATGATCTTGTGAAAGGGATCGAATCGAGGCTTCAATGGGACGGAATGGAGTGCAAATGCTGCTAAGGGGCTTAGCATCCCATTTGAAGCTGGTGAGTGTCTCGAGTATTGTCATGGTTGTGCCGTGTGCATCTGCTCCGATCCTCCAAGTGCCTTGTAGGCTATCTGGAAACAAAGATTCCCAACCATACATAGCGTTGATTCGTCTACGACATGACTTACTAAGTCTGAGTCCAGCCAACAAGTATTGAATTTGGATGAAAGTGACATATATACTACGTACATGGACTTATTTATCAAAAGTCGCAGTATATGTACGCGTGTTGTTTGTTAAAACGAACTGCAAATACCATTCATAACCCTATTTTGATATATTTTCCTCTTAACTAATCTCACAAGAAATTCTGTCAATGGTATAGGACAGAAAATCAAGCTCTATGGGCCGGTAGCTGATCTGGTGGTTCTTCGATCTCCTCCAATTCTGCATGTGCTTGGTTAGCCTTTTTCCGACTCAAAACAAACACAAAACTGATTAGAAGACGAAAGGAAGAAACACTCGTTCAAACTGCATTTGTTTTCTTGAGAAGCTCTTTAACTTATGGTACACCATACCAGCAATCGTCATTCAACTTGGAGGGTGGCACTGGCACGATTAAGGATGTCTTCAACTATGTGGAGAGGTGGGGCCAAGTAGACTTCTTTGCCGTCTGGTGCATGCACTTGCTTCATCATCACACTATCGCCGGACATCGATAACATCCCACCTAAATCGCCCTTGATCAGCTGCATGCATGTTTGCACTTTGCACCAGTAGATGCTGCAAGTGACCTCAAAGACATGGTAGCTAGAGCTGTCAAAATGTAACCCGGCCCGAGTAACCCGCCCGATCAACTCGACCCGCAACCCGTCCGCAACCCGATTTGACTAAAAGTCAATGACCCGTAACCCGCCCGACCCGCAACCCGATCGACCCACAACCTGACCAACCCGCAACCCGATCGACCCGTAACCCGATCGACCTGCAACCCGACCAATCCGCAACCCGACTAACCCGAACCCGTAACCCGACCAACCCGCAGCCCGACTATAATAGAAGGAATTCGATCAAGATAAACCAAAAATTGACATTTGAAATTCTAGTTCACTAAAGTCTGATCATTACATCATCAATTATTGACTTAGTATAATAATATACATCATCAACCTATTAACGCATATAATATCATCAAATATTTATTTAGATACATCATCAACCTAATAGTGCACATAACATTATAAAATATTAATTTAGCATATTATGATAATTATAAGATTTAAAATTCAAATATCATGGTCCTGTCATACAAAAGACTAATAATAGTTCACAAAAGTCTGATCATAACAAGAATACATGACTCATAATAGTTCATATTGCACTACAGGAAAACAGGTTTCTAAACACGGTATCTTATTCACGGTAATTTTTCCTGTATTAGAAAGTACATTAATAACCACGGGAAAATTTCATGTATTTAGTTGTATGTTTCTAATCACAGGGAATTATTTATCAGTTTTTTAGTCTTCATTTCCCGTGATTAATACTTAGTCATGGTAATTCGTGTGAACTTTTAAGAATTTCTTTATAAATTATTTCTTTCAATTTTATGAGGGATAAATTCTTTTTGCTTAAGATGTATTTTGGTTCCAAAATTTTCATTTTTGGTAGAATTGGCTCCAAATTTTCATTAGCTCCAGCGGCAACGTAACCGCCTCTTTTCTAAAATTTGGGCCGCCAAGCGCAAAAGGGACTTTGGTTTCAAATATTCTTTGGTATTTGGCTCCAAAATTTTCATTTTTGGTAGAATTGGCTCCAAGTTTTTATTTGCTTCAGCGGCAAAGTAGCTGCCTCTTTTCAAAAAATTTGGCCACAAAGCGCAAGAAAGGAAAAACCTTAGCTCTCAAAAATTTTGGCCGGCAAGCCTCCAAATTCCAAACACACCCTCGCTCTTTCTCTCTCTCTTTCTCCCTTCCCTGTACCTATCCTCAACTCATCATGATGATTTGATTGGTCTTGAAGATTTGAGAGTTTATTGGTATTTAAGCTAGTTTAGAAATCTTGTATCAACATGATGATTTGGATAATTCTAGATGATTTCAATTTGGCTGGTGTTTAGACCTGGCAAATTACAACCCGACCCGAAACCGCACGAAAACTAGAAATTTTTGTAACCCGAAATCCGAATGACCCGAACCCGATAACACGTAAGTTTTTGGGTCGGGTTGGGTGGGTTAGCGGGTCGACCCGTTAGACCCGTTCCATTTCATATATCACTCCTAAAATATGATAAAATCACTCATAAATTGGTGAGATGTTTAAAAAAATCACAAGATTTGAATGACATGTTTGGAGTTTAAGGATAATCAAATATCATGTGTTTCTTGTAGTAGTATTACTCTTGTGATTGTTTTTTGAAGATTTGCGCAATTTGTATTTCATTTCATTAGCGTGGGAGGATTTGAAAATATGTTAATTGACATGTGTTAGGTAAACTATTGTCATGCATATGTGAAAATTTGTATTCTTTAAGAAAATATGAAGCATGTTTGATATTGTTTCTGAGATTGCTCGTAACCCGAAATGACCTGTAACCTGACCCAAAACTGAATGGGTTGGGTCAATATTTGACCAGAAATCAGCCAACCAAACATGACCCGACCCGTAACCGAAGTCCACAACCCAAAATTACCCAACCCGACCCGATTGCCAGGTCTACTGGTGCTCATGCTACAAGAAAGATTATTTTCAATTGTGTTATTATTTGTTTTATTGACACTAATCTTATAACTTTGAGTTGTGATTCCTTTTTTTTACAAGTATTGTGCTAGCTTCATATAGTTACGATTTACGACTTACTAGTAATCACTAAAAACTAACGCGATGTTCTAGTCAGTAAAGCCCGCAACCCGAACCGCCCGACCCGCAACCCGATTAACCCGCACCCAACTGACCCATAACCCGATTGGCTCGCAGCCCGATTGGCCCGCAACCCGATTGACCCGTAACCCGATTGACCCACAACCCGAGTGACCCGTAACTCGAGTAGCCCGCAACCTCATCAACCCGACCCCGATAAACCCGCAACCCGACCAACCCGCAACCCGAATGAATCCAGCCCGAACCCACCCTAACCCGCCCGATTGACACCTCTAATGGTAGCGAAATAAGCAAATGGGAACCAAAGATAGAAATTTTGGAAGGTAATCGGTAAATGTGTGGGCACATTAGTGGGGTCCTGCCCCTACTACTTCTATGGATGAATTTTCCTATTATCTCATTTTTGTCCATCATTACACTCGATATACCTGGTTCTATCCGTTACAACGCAAGTCTGATGTGTTACGGGTATTTCTTGATTTCAAAGCCTTAGTTGAAAACTATTTTCGTACATCGCTCTTTTCTTCTGGCTAGTGGTATTATCCCATCTGCTCACTCCTCCTCATACACCTGAACATAACGGTATGGCTGAACGAAAACATCGTCATATCGTAGAAACATGACTTACTCTTCTTCACCAAGCTTCTCTTCCTCTTTCTTTTTGGTCCCACGCATTTGCAGCTGCAGTTTACTTAAATAATCGTTTGCCATCATCTACTCTTCACGATGCAACACCCTTTTATAGTCTCTTTAATGAACACCCTCATTACACCAAACTCAAGACTTTTGGATGTCTATGCTTCCCATGGCTTCAGCCATACTCTCATCATAAGCTTGACCCTAAGTCTCGCCCCTGCATATTTATTGGTTATTCATCACAGCAAAGTGCGTATCGCTGCTTTGATCCGTGCACCCATAAGGTGTTTGTTTCCCGTCATGTACGCTTTATTGAGACTCAATTTCCAGGCATGTCATTGGTTCCTTCTTCTTCTTCTAATAACTATTCTGCTACTGCTTGGTTTCCAGCTCTTGATCCCCCTATTACTCTACTCCCTTTCTCTGCCTCTTCTCCTGCAGCTTCACCGCCATCTTCCGGTCCCTTGGTGCTCCCTTCCCCAGCTCCAGCAGTGGTCTCCACCAGCTTAGATTCACAACAACAACAACAACAATCTCAGTCTTCTCCACGACAAGCAGCACCTTCAACAGCTCCTCTTGCGTTGCCCGGCCCTCGTCGAATGGTAACTCGCTCTCAAAATAATATATTTAAGCTAAAGCAGCTTTTTGCCGCGGTCAAGTATCCTCTTTTATCTACTGAACCAGCTTCTATTATAAGTGCTCTTCGTGATCCTAACTAGAATGCAGCGATGGGCCATGAGTATGATGCACTAATGAAAAATGAGACGTGGGATTTGGTACCTCGAAGTTTAGCTCAAAATGTTTTCGGTTCTCACTGGGGTTTTCGTATTAAACGCAACTCTGATGGGAGCATTGATCATTATAAGGCCCGATTGGTGGCCAAGGGATTTCAACAACGCCCAGGTGTTGACCTTTCAGATATATACAGCCCGGTATTGAAGTCTGTCACTGTTCGGACAGTTTTCACTATTACTCTGTCACATGCTTGGCCTATCCACCAGTTTGATGTTAACAACGCATTCTTGCAGGGAGCTCTCACCGAAGAGGGTTTCATGGAGCAACCTCCCAGTTTTAAAAGTCTCACTTTCCCTACTCATGTTAGCAGGCTAAAAGGAGCAATTTATGGGCTTAGATAGGCACCTCGATCATGGTATAAAGCTTTATCCACCTTCTTGGAAGGCTATGGGTTTGTCAAAACAATTAGTGATGCTTCTCTCTTTGTTTAAAATCATGGTGGTGTCCTAGCTTACTTTTTAATGTACGTTGATGATTTGCTTTTAACGGGTAACAACACTTCATTCTTTCAGCAGTTCCAGACAACTCTATCTCAACGTTTTAGCCTCAAAGAGTTGGGACATGTGAACTACTTTCATGGTATTGATATTACCCGAATTGAGCATGGTTACTTTTTATCTCAACACAAGAATATTACAGATGTTCTTGCTCGTTTCTCTATTACTGAGGCTCGTCCAATATCTACTCTTATTGCAGCCACCACCAAACTTTGTCTTTTTGATGGTTCAGCTCCTGCAGATGCCACTCTCTATCGCCAAGTACTAGGTTCCTTACAGTATTTGCTGTATACCCGCCCATATATTTCTTTCAGTGTAAATAAGTTGTCACAATTCATGCACTCCCCCACTCAGTCTCATTGGCAACAAGTTAAGCGCCTGCTCCGCTACTTGAAAGGCACTCTCAGCCATGGCCTGCTCATTCGTCCTACCTCTACTCCATTTACTCTCACTACTTATGCCGATGCTGATTGGGCTGGGGATCCCGATGATCGAAAGTCTACTTCTGCATTCCTTCTTTATTTGGGCCCTACTTTGGTTTCCTGGCAGTCTCGAAAGAAGCGGACAGTTGCCTGGTCAAGTACAGAGGCTGAATATAGAGCCATTGTTGCTGCCGCTGCTGAAATTCAATGGATTCGCAACCTGTTGTATGAGCTGCATCTTCCTCTCTCGAAAGCCCCAGTTATCTATACAAAAAATCTGGGTGCTGCCTCCTTTTGTTCGAATCCTTTCTTTCATTCCCGAATGAAACACTTAGCTCTTGATTACCATTTTGTTCGACATCTTTTGCAGCATAAAGCTCTCCACATTGAACATGTTTCTACCGCGGCTCAGCTTGCCGATCCTCTCACCAAGGCTCTTCCATTGGCATGATTTCTTGCTTTAAGGTCCAAGATTGGAGTCGTAGACTCCGCCTCCATCTTGAGGGGGCATGATACAGATAATTGCAATAGATCAGGCTTGTCAGCTACTATATGTTGATAAGGCTTGACAGTACTGTTTACTCCTCATGCTTTGGTTAACAAATGTATTATCATTTATTACTCCAGCTGTACAAGCATGCTCATACCATTTATTACTTTAGCAGAAGACGCATGCTATACAAGCATACTCACTTGTGTACACCTGTATATATACCTTGATGGTTAATGAGAAATACAACCCATTCCCAAAACCTTTTATCCGGTCGTTGTTGGGAAGCTCTGACGAAATATGAATCACATCTCTCGTGGTGAGGATACAACCCACGAATACCTTCAATGCGCCATATCCATCTTCGATCAACTTGCCGCGTTCAGAGCCCCAATTACAGAAGTCGAACTCGTGACTGCGATTCTCGATGGTCTCGACTCTCGATGAAGATTTCCGGCCATTTACCCGCAATTTGGAGGCGAAGTTGAAGCCGATTTTGTTTGAAGACCTCAACAGCCTCCTCATCAGTGAAGAACTTCAGCTGCTCCGCTTTCGATCACTCTCCTCTGCTGGTGGTGCCGCCCCTCGTTGGCCTTCTTCTTTGGCCACTCTCGTGGTCGCGGCGGTCGATATACAAGAGGCAGAGGTGGTGGCCATTCAACTGGCGGTCCACCCTCAACTAGTCTTCCTCAACTGGCGGCCCAACCTCACCTGGCAGCCCACCCATCGGCCCCTGCATATTCTGCCCCAATTAATAAATCTATGTCTGCGGGAGTTCTTGGTTTTGGGCTGAAGGCCCTTCAGCCCATCTGTTGTGGTCTGATATAATTGTGGAGGAAGGGGTCATATCAGACCTAATTGTCCAAGCCCCAAATATCAAATCCCCACCTATTCTTCTAGCCCAGCTTCGTACCTAGCCCAATCGTCTCAGCCTTTTCATTCCTCTCAACAATGACTTCTCGACTCCGAAGCCAATCATCATCTCACCTCCGACCTAGATAATCTGGCTCATCATTCTGAGTATAATGGAACTGATCAAGTAACATTTGGTAATGGTAACTCTCTTCCCATTTCTCATTCGGGCTCTTCTACCGCTCATCTGTCTAATTATTCTGTGTCTCTTGATAATATACTTTGAGTGAAAAATGCCCCTCATAATCTTCTTTCCATCAGTTCTATTACACGTTCTAACCCCATATCCATTGAATTCTTTGACTCTTATTTTGTTGTTAAGGACTGTCACACGAAGCATGAACTTTATCGAGGCTCTACAGTTGATGGCCTTTATTCTCTTGCGCTTCACATCAACCGACATACTCCTCCTCGTGCTTTTGCTGCTTCTCTCGATCTCTGGCATCAGCGTCTTGGTCATGCTAATTTGCGTGCTGTTCGCCACCTTTTGTCGTCTCATTAAATCAAATACTCCTCCGGCTCTTCTTCTTTATGTCATGGTTGTTCCCTTAGCAAGATTCATAAACTTCCATTTCCAACTTCCTCTTATCGTGCATCTGCTCCTTTAGAACTTATATGTAGTGATCTTTGGGGGCCCGCTCCTGTTCCTTCTTATGATCAACAATCTTATTATGTTTTGTTTTATGATCACTACAGTAAGTTCACCTGGATCTATTTTCTTCGCTATAAATCTCAGGTTCTCAGCGGGTTCACTCAATTTCGTGAGCTTGTTAAAAAATATTTTGGTCTTCCCATTAAATTTTTTCAATCTGACTGGGTGGCGAATTTCAAGCCCTCACTTCTTATCTTGCGACTCATGGTATTACTCATAGACCCTCATGTCCCCATACACCTGAGCAAAATGGGTGTGCTGAATGCAAACACCGTCACATAGTAAACAACGGCCTTGCCATGTTGCATCATGCACAAGTTCCCCTCAAATACTGGCCTTGCATTTGACGAAGATAAGGTGGTTACTTACTTCCTTTATTCGTCAATCACCTTTGTAATTCAAGAAGCCCAAGGTAAGACATATATGAGCCATAAAAATCACTGATGTGGGGTTGAAAGCGTAAGAATAGTCTCAACAGGCCTTCTTAGATGGGTATGGATCACAGTAGCTCTAGTAAAAAAACCACCCATGGAATGACCAACCAATATCACTCTTTTTGGCAAACTGCTAGCACCTTCCGTTTCTCTAACTTTATGAGAATGCTTTCACTGATCCAAAATATGAAATTTTAAAATCATATTAAGTAATAAATTCACGTAGAGAAAACGAGATTTTGGCAGAGTTAGTAAACACACTCAAGAAGTAAATCATCTTTATATCAAAATCAAAGAGTCAGTTATCAAAGAATCTATCTTAAGCTATTCTATTATATCTCATCATGGAATGAACTGAGACCCATCTCGTTCCGCTATTAGGATTGAAAAAATAAATAGAGCTCTCAGCTAGCAAACATAACTATCACATTTACCTATCAAACTTCAAGTCCTTTCATCTAAATAACCAAGGTATTTTAGTTTGTGAGGCATACTCCTCGGCATTATTTAGCAAACGCGATAAAAGCTGGAATACCCTATAGATGGCATTACACAACATATTCAACGTGTTCTTCAAATATCTGACCATCCATTGCAGAATGTTCACCTTCAAGGTCAACGGCAAACCAGTCTAGCCTACTCTGGTATTGGGTAGGCAATTCAAAGCCATCAAATGCATGTCAACACTTCTCTCCTCGGAAGTCAAACCGGTCTCATGATTAAATGTTCTCTCTAGCGGTCCTCCTTCCTTGGTACGCCCTATCTGATTTAGCAGCCACAACTAGAACATAACAACAAGGATTAGAGGGTGGCATTAACAGAAACCAGCAAACCCGAAGGAATGGAGTACATAAATCCTGCTATATGCTCTGTTGATATGACTTGAATCGGATTATCAGCCGCTACTACTGGTAATCGGGGGTCTCGCTGTATGCGCTCAATGTTATTTGGGTTCGGGTTCTGGACCTGGTCTGTAACCGTTTCCTTTGCCAGATTGGATTAGGTTTAGACCCACATGGAGAAGTATTATAAATACTTCTCATACTCCTCTGTAATCTGTAATCTCCTCGATATAGTGAAACTGGCTCTCTCTCGCCCGTGGATGTAGCTAACACACATCGTGTTAGTGAACCACGTAAATCGTGTGTCGTGTTTTCGATTCTCGCTTTCGTATTCTTGCTTTATCGATTCCGGCGGTTTTCCCGATCCGTAGCAGCGCGTTTATAACAAGTGGTATCAGAGCTGCGGCTGGAAATCAGGCTAGGGTTTTCGATTCAGAAGAATGACGTCGGTGAACATGAAGATCGAAAAGTTCACGGGGAAGAACAGCTTCGCTATATGGCAGATCAAGATGCAGGCTTTATTAAAACAACAAGGGATGTGGGGGCCGTTGTCTGCAAAACAGAAGAAGGCAGCGGTCGATGACGATGAGTGGAATACCCTGGAGGAGAAGGCCCACTCGACCATCATGCTATCGTTGTCTGATGACGTCATCATTGAAGTCGCTGCTGAGAAGACTACCGCGGGCTTGTGGTTGAAACTAGAGAGTCTGTACATGACTAAGTCTCTAACCAACAAGCTGCATCTCAAGCAACGGTTGTTCAGCTTGAGGATGCAAGAAGGTACGCCTTTGAGGGAACATCTCGAACAGCTTAACTCTATTTTGCTGGATCTGCGTAATATAAATGTTCAAGTTGATGACGAGGATGCTGCCCTAATCCTACTGGTTTCTTTGCCGAGTTCATATGAGAATTTCGTTGATTCTTTTATTGCTGGTAAAGAAAGCGTGTCGTTGGAGGATGTCAGGTCTGCTCTTCATACGAGAGAGATCAGACATAAGGCGTCCGGATCTGGTACAGGTGGTGAGGCATCGGGTTTGGCTGTTACAGGTGGAAAGGGAAAGAAGAAATCTGGTAAAGGGAACAAGAATTCCAAGGGTCCCGGTCCACAGCCAGATGATGCTTGTCACAACTGTAAAGAAGTGGGGCATTGGAAGTACAACTGTCCCAAGAGAAGAGGGCAACAGAAGAAACAAGGTTCAGTTGCCGTGGCAGAAGCGGACAACAGTTCTGAAGACGATCTCGCCTTGGCTGTAGATGAGAAGGCACATCGTGGGGATGTGTGGTTTCTGGATACTGCAGCCTCATACCATATGTCTTCGAACAGGGATTGCTTCACAACCTACGAGCAGATAGATAGTGGTAACGTGGTCATGGCTAATGGAGCTGTCTGCAAGGTTGTTGGAATCGGGTCCATAAAGGTTCGGGCACATGATGGTTCGTTCTGTACCGTGAATGATGTCAGGCATGTTCCACGAATGACAAAGAACCTGATCTCCTTGAGTCTACTCGACAGCAAGGGTTTCTGTTTCAAAGGAAAAGGTGGAGTTGTGTATGTCTGCAAAGATTCAAGGAAGGTGCTGAAGGGCGTGAAGCGTGGGACCTTGTATGCATTACAAGGGTCAGTGTTGTCTGGTTCTGCTGCAGTTGCATCGTCTCAGGTTCATCAGGAAGATATGACCACTCTCTAGCACATGAGACTGGGGCATATGAGTGAACGGGGGATGCAAGTTCTGTCGAAGAGGGATCTTCTTTGCGGGCACAAGATGCAGAATTTGGAATTCTGCGAGCATTGTGTGTTTGGGAAGCTACATCGCAACAAGTTTCCAAAGAAGGGTATCCACCGGACGAAGGGGATACTAGATTACCTCCACTCCGACTGTTGGGGTCCTTCACGAGTTAAATCCATTGGAGGCAGCATGTATTTTCTGTCTATTATTGATGATTATTCGAGATTTACTTGGATTTTCATGATGAAGCAGAAAAGTGAGGCTTTCACGAAGTTCAAGCAGTGGAAGACATTGGTGGAAAATCAGACCGGGAAGAAGATCAAGAAGCTGCGAACGGACAATGGTCTGGAGTTTTGTAATTCTGAGTTCAACGAATTCTGCAAGGATGAAGGGATTGCCCGTCATCGGACTGTAAGAGATACACCCCAGCAGAATGGAGTTGCAGAAAGGATGAACCAGACATTGTTGGAGAGAGTACGGTGCATGCTCTCTAATGTTGGACTAGAGAGAAGATTCTGGGCAGAAGCAGTGAACATGGCTTGCTTCCTGATCAACCATGGACCTCACACAGGTATTGAGTTGAAGACTCCTTATGAGGTGTGGTATGGTAAGCCTGCTGATTACTCTTCACTGAAAGTTTTTGGGTGTCCTGTTTATTATCATGTGGATGAGGGTAAACTGAACCCAAGGGCAAAGAAGGGTGTATTTGTGGGTTACGGAGATGGAGTTAAGGGATTTCGAGTCTGGTCACCTTCTGAGCATCGAGTTATACTTAGTAGAAATGTGATATTTGATGAGAAGTCTATGTTTAACCCCATGTTGAAGGTTACTGTTGTTGAAGGTAGCAGGAATGTTGATAAGCAGGTGGAGCTGCAAACTCTCAATGAGAGTGAGTTTGAGCACCAAGGTGGAGAAGATCAACATGATGAGGATGTCTCTGCAGAGCCAGAAACTTCAGAGTCCAGAGCACGAGCTCAACAGTCTATGGCTTCCGGTAGACCGAAGAGAGCGACTGCAGGAGTACCTCCACAGAGGTATGGTTTCGAGGACATGGTGGCGTATTCATTTCAGGTTGCTGAAGAAGTGGATGCAGGAGAGCCACAGTCCTATAGAGAAGCCGTTTCGGGTGGCGAAGCTGATCAGTGGCTTGCCGCAATGGGAGATGAGATGGAATCCCATGACAGGAATCAAACTTGAGAGCTAGTCAAACGACCATAGGGAAGGAAGATTGTTACAAACAAGTGGATCTACAAGAAGAAGGAAGGAATCACTTCTAAAGAGGGCATGAAATTTAAAGTTCGGGTGGTTGCACGAGGCTTCTCGCAGAGGGAAGGAGTTGACTACAATGAGATTTTCTCACCTGTGGTCAGACATACTTCGATCAGAGTGCTACTAGCAATAGTGGCATATTATGACTTGGAGCTCGAGCAGCTAGACGTGAAGACAGCTTTCCTACATGGAGAGTTGGAGGAAGAAATTTACATGACTCAGCCAGAAGGATTCAAGGTTCCGGGAAAAGAAGACTATGTTTGTAAGCTGAAGAAGTCCTTGTATGGACTTAAGCAGTCTCCGAGGCAGTGGTACAAAAGATTTGACAGTTACATGCTTGAGCTGGGCTATAGCAGAAGTCCATATGATTGTTGTGTGTATCACAACAAGGTGGAGGATGGTTCGATGATCTATCTTGTTTTGTATGTGGATGATAAGCTCATAGCTGCAAGGTCAAAGTCTGATATCCAGAAGTTAAAGGGGCTTCTCAGTGCTGAGTTTGAGATGAAGGATTTGGGAGTTGCTCAGAAGATCTTGGGTATGGAGATTTACAGGGACAGGTCGAAGAAGAAGCTTTTCTTGTCACAGAAGAGCTACATCCAGAAGATACTGTCGAGGTTTGGCATGTCTTCAGCAAAGCCCTTAAATACTCCTAGTGCTTCAAATGTTCATCTATCCTCAGCTTATGCACCACAGTCGGAGGCTGAGAAGGAGTACATGTCGAGAGTCCCATATGCTAGTGCAGTAGGTAGCTTGATGTACGCTATGGTATGCACTAGACCTGATCTTGCACATGCTGTTAGTGTTGTCAGCAGGTTTATGATACAACCTGGGAAGGAGCATTGGCAGGCTGTGAAGAGGATCTTCCGGTACCTTAAGGGTACACCTGATGTGGGGATTAGCTTCAGAAGTGATACAGAGTGCTTGGTGTCTGGGTATTCTGACTCGGACTATGCTGGAGATGTTGACACAAGGAGATCGATGACCGGTTATGCATTCACTCTTGGGAGTTCTGTAGTGAGCTGGAAGGCAACTCTGCAGTCGGCGGTGACATTGTCTACTACTGAGGCAGAGTATATGGCGTTGACAGAAGCTGCTAAGGAAGGAATATGGTTGAAGGGACTGGTTGGTGATCTTGGTCTACATCATGATCAGGCAGTGGTGTATTGCGATAGTTTGAGTGCAATATGCTTGACCAAGGATCAAGTCCACCATGAGAGGACTAAGCACATCGACGTGAGGTATCATTTCTTGAGGACAGAGAAGAGGATTAAGGTGAAGAAGGTTGGCACCGCGGATAATCCTGCTGATATGTTCACGAAGCCGGTTCCACATGGCAAGTTCCAACACTGCTTGGACTTGCTGAATGTCTTGAGTGCGTGACTCCGCCCTGCGGGGCATTGATGGCGGGAGAGAGAGATAGAAGGAGCAGAGTACATCAGAGATTTCAGAGGAAGAGGATTCAAGTCAAGGTGGAGATTTGTTGATATGACTTGAATCGGATTATCAGCCGCTACGACTGGTAATCGGGGGTCTCGCTGTATGGGCTCAATGTTATTTGGGTTCGGGTTCTGGGCCTGGTCTGTAACCGTTTCCTTTGCCAGATTGGATTAGGTTTAGACCCACATGGAGAAGTACTATAAATACTTCTCATACTCCTCTGTAATCTGTAATCTCCTCGATATAGTGAAACTGGCTCTCTCTCGCCCGTGGACGTAGCTAACACACATCGTGTTAGTGAACCACGTAAATCGTGTGTAGTGTTTTCGATTCTCGCTTTCGTATTCTTGCTTTATCGATTCCGGCGGTTTTCCCGATCCGTAGCAGCGCGTTTATAACATGCTCTATGCTGGAGCAATTGGTTTGAAAGAAATGTGAGGAACTTCAACTACAAATCCCGAATCTCGAGGTTTGTTTGCTATCAAATTGGCAGACTCATTTCAAATTCGTTAGTGGCATCCAACAAGGTTGATCCAGCAATTGGAGAGGGTTGGGTTTTGTAGTTAAAGGTGAATCTTTTGCTTAATCATGGAAGTTAATAGGAAGAAGTTACTAAGCTTGCTTATCTGGAGTATTGGTGGATAAGGAATCTACAGGTGATCAGATGAACAAGCAAAGCAGCAGCTTCACAAATTGAATTCCATTGTTTCATGGGGCCTAATAAAAGATTGTGGCTTTAAGATTGCCAGCCTATCATCGTCGAGTAGTTGGTAGTTGCATAATGAGTTTCTCCATGCTACAGTGTAAAGGTTCTAAAAAGAGAGATCAATGGTACTGGTTTTGTAATCCCAAGTTCCAACATGTGACTATTAGATCAAAGAATGTTAGGGAGGCCTGAAGTAGGAGGAAGTGGGCTTGTTTAGCTTTGCTGCTGGTGCTCTCTGCTGTTTATTGAGGCTGGTCTGCACCATTTCTTGATTCTCTACTATGGATTGTAAGAAACTCGCTTCTTAGGGCTTCTCGAGACTGATCTTCGGCACCCGTAACTACTCGTAATGAATAGAGATTCAGAGTTGAGATTAATGATTTAGATGAGAAAGAACATAATAGATAAAGAATCGGCCGAGTTCTTGGATTAGGAGAGAATAGAAATTAGGAGTTGAGAGGGGAGACTAGGGTTTAGGAGACTCTTCTTAATATTCTTCTTGATTGCTTATGACGTAAACCCAAAGTACATATTTATAGGAAATAAACCCAAAACCTAATAATTAACCCTAGACTATTTGGCTATACCTAGCCACCTAACTCCACCCAAATAATACTAATAATAATAATGAAACACTAAGAAACGTGTTTCTTACAATCTACCCTCCTTGAAAGCGACCTTGTCTTCAAGGTTGCAGTCAACTTTCATCTCTTTGACCTTCTGCTTTCTACATTTCCAATTGCGCTCGATCCCTTGAATGAACTCTTCACGAGGAACTCCCATTTTCCTTGTATCTTCTCCACCCACGTGACACATATCACGTTCACCATAACCGAACAATTCTTCCTCTTCTTTTTCGAAATCTACGAAATAAGAGTCGGAGAACTGTTCTTCCTTGTGCTCCTCATCACTTACTAACTTGAAATCCTTGAGAAATAGCTCCTTAAATTTCTCCATGGATTTGGTGATGAAGATAAGCTCCTTAGGACCCCATTCTTCTTGTCCTTTACTCTTGGATCGACCCACATTGATTTGGAAGAAAGAGGTGTGGCCCAAACCTAAGTTAAGACTTTCCTTTCTCCATTTATTTTCAAAATCTATTGGGCCTGACTCCTTTGGGAGCCCATATCCGTTATCCGAACCCTACAAACCCAATGACTTCTTTCTTCAAGTAACCTTCCTTGAATTTAAATCTAATAAAAGAGCCCAATGGCGGCCCATTCTTTTAAATCAACCAGACCCACGACCCGAGTGATTCGGGCCACAATCGGCCCAACTAAACTCTCCTTCACTTTCAGCCCGTGATTAGAATATGCCACTCCTTCCATGCCTTCTCGGACCACCACAAGCCCAGCGAGCCCTATTTTTGACCCATCAGAGTCGGCCCAACCTGCTGCTGTGCTCCGTGAGCCAAACACAAGGCCTCGTGCCTAGGGTTCTCGAGCGAACGGGTGATGCCGCCGTCAATCTCCCTCGTCTGCTCCTTCGACGCCGATCTCTCCTCCTTCATCTCTTTCTCCGATAACCTATTTTCCGGCAGTGCACTACTCAACCGGCGGCGCAAAGTCATATTTGACCAGGCGCTACTCTTCTCCTTCCTAGGCGAGGCTTTCGCCTCCTTCTTCTTCGACTCCTTCCCCAACAGAACACAGGCCGCTAGACAACGGCGGGACCCGGCCACTTTCGGCCTTGAGGAAACTGACGCCACTGTTATCCGAGTGCCCAGCGCCACGACGAGAGTCGCCATCTCTTTCTTCGACATTTTCTTCCTCGGCCAAAGGCCGATCGAAAGCAGGCGTGGAGGTCGGCTCGCTTCGAGCCTTGGCTTCACGGTTGTCGTCTTCAACTCCGCTATATTCCTCTTCGACAACATACACCTCGCCTCATTCGCCGGCGATGCTTCGGTAACCGCGACTTCTTCCTTCTTCAGAGAACAGACTGATTTCGACAGGTCTCCCGCTTTCTCTTTCTTCTGCGACACAATCTTCAAGCGGCAGGGTTGTAATTTTGACTTGCAGGTGCCCTTCCTCCGCCTCTCCGAGTCGGCAGCAGTTGACGCTGAAGGGAAGTGCGGCGCTCCGCTCGTGGTGACATCATTGTCCGCAAACGGCTCAGTTTGACACCGCTCCAACATTCCATCTACGTCGCCCTACGTAATTGGCGACTTCTTCCAATCCTTCTGCTTCTCAAACTCAAGGTCACCCATGGGCCCTTGCTTCTTCTTTCTATACTTCCACCCATCAATTGCGAGGTCCCATCGCTCTAATGTTGACCTTTGCTCCGCATCTCCTTGGGAATCTTTTATAGAGGCGGTCGCTCTTTCATTGTCGAGAACAGCGGTAGTAGCAACAAGGTCACCTTCTTCTTCCGCCACCGTATCGACCGCAACCTCGTTCTCCTCCTTGAGCCGGCCTTCTGCGTCTTCCATTGCAGTGGTAGTCATGACCGCATCGGCAATTCCCAGCAACGGTGATGGCGCTTCTTTCATCGATTCGACGCAGCTTGGCGCCTCTTCGGTGGTCGTTTCCACCAGCTCTTCCATCGTGGCCACCGGCAGGTGCGTCCTGGGTCCATCCTCTTCTTTGAGCTCGATTGGGAACACAGGTTGTTCCAACCAATCTTCAAAATCTAGTTCTGCAGTTGCGTCATTTAACAATTTCATCGACAATTACGGTGGGTCTTCCTTCACCGGCTCCATCGATGCGTTGGCTGCGGTTTTGGGTAGATTAGCCCGCGCGATGTTCCTGGACAGTGGCAAGGACGATGTAACCTCGTTCTTCCTTACCCCTTCCAGTTTCGACTTCAAAAGCTTTTTGAGTTCTTTGACTAAGAGCTCGAAACTTGCAGTAGCATCGGTACAGATGCCTGCAACCACTGCTCTGATACCAATTGTAAGAAACCCGCTTCTTAGGGCTTCTCGGGACTGATCTTCGGTACCCGTAACTACTCGTAACGAATAGGGATTGAGGGTTGAGATTAGGGATTTAGATGAGAAAGAACATAATAGATAGAGAAAATGGAAATTAGGAGTTGAGAGGGGAGACTAGGGTTTAGGAGACTCTTCTTAATATTCTTCTTGATTGCTTATGACGTAAACCCAAAGTACATATTTATAGGAAATAAACCCAAAACCTAATAATTAACCCTAGACTATTCGGCTATACCTAGCCGCCTAACTCCCCCCAACTAATACTAATAATAATAATGAAACACTAAGAGGAGTGTTGTCTGCATGGCGTACGTTGGAAGCGAGTTGAGCACTGAGGTTGCCAGGGTAACTCTACCTGCAAAACTAAGTGAATCTGCTTTCCATCCTACAAGTTTATTATCAATGCGGTTTAGGATATATTTATATGTGTCATGGGTCACCCGTCCGTGCAAGATAGGAACACCCAGATAGCGCCCTAGGTCTTGCGTGGCCGAGATACCCATACTGCGAACATCCTCAGCACTCATCGTACGCGATGTGTTCTTAGAGAAGAACAACATTGATTTCTCTTTACTGACCTTCTTCCCATATGATAAACCGAACACATCCAAACATTCCAGCATGACGTGGCCCTTTTGTTCACTAGCTTCGGCGAAAAGGATCAAATCATCAGCCAAAAAAGAATGGGAAAGAGGTGGAGCACCTGGCAAAACTTTTATAGGGTTCCAGCCGCCATTGCTCACAGCTTGCTTAATAGTTTGGCTGAGTCTCTCTATGCAGAGGGTGAACAAATAGGGTGATAGGTGACACCCTTGCCGAAGACCTCGCGAAGGTGTGAAGGACTCCGTTAAGCTGCCATTCCATAGGACTTGCATTGTGGAGGACGTGATGCAGGCCATCACCACTGACACTATGTTGTCTGGGAATCCAGCTAACCACAATGTTTCTTCCACAAAAGACCAACTCAACCTGTCATAGGCCTTTGCCAGATCGATCTTTGCTACCATCTGTCCCTTCTTACCCTTCTCCAGCCCCATAGAATGTACAACTTCCTACAGGAGGATAATATTATCCGTGATGTGTCTACCAGGCACAAAACTCGTCTGAATACTGTGGATAAGTTCTTCATGTAAGGTTTTATCCGATTGACTAAACATTTGGTGAAAACCTTGTATGAAACATTGAATAATCCAATTGGCTGGAATTGAGACACCAACTCCGGGCTTACTTTTTTCCGGGATCAAGACAAGGATGGTCTCATTCACTGTTGTTATCTCCGTCGAATTTGTCAAACGTCGAGCAATGAACTACGCTAAGGAGCTACCCACTGTGTCCCAACATTTTTGAAAAAACACCGGTTGGAAACCATCCTTCCTTGGCACCTTGAGACCTCCCTTGCTCTTAACAACCCACCGCACTTCTTCCGAGAGCATAGGTCGAGAAAGCGAGAGGCCCTGCTCACGACTAAGGGTCGCAAATCTATTTGGAAGCTGAAGGGAGACTTCTAACTCTGCAGTAAAAATATCAACAAAGTATCTTCTAACCATCTCCCTCAATTCCGCCGCGTCATCCAGCCAAATCCCATCTTCACGTCGGAGGCAAGAAATCCAGTTGTATTTCCGATGTTTAAGAGTAGACAGGTGATAGAACCTAGTATTTCAATCCCCCTCCACAATCCAAATAACTCTTGATTTTTGTAGCCAAAGTAGACTCTCCTGCCAAAGTGTACTCTCTAGCTCCGAAAGAGTGACATCCTCTTCTTTGAAGGAGACAGCTGAAGCAGAGTCTTCATTCCGCATTTCTAGAGCCCGAAGTTTGCATATTATTTGCTTTTTCCTCCGGAAAATATTGCCAAACACTTGAACATTCAATCTCCTTAGGTCTTCCTCGATAACCTGCAGTTACTGAGGGAGAACGTTAGCCTGGCTCCAAGCTTCAGTCAACACATCCCCGAAATGTTCATGTCCCAGCCATGCTGCCAAAAAAAGAAACGCAGGCATCCCTGTCTGGCTCCTGTCCGTTGATGCCCGGATCAGGATAGGCCGATGATCATAGCCAATTCTCTCTAGATGCTTACTGATAGTGTCCGGGTATTTCACCATCCAACGTCTGTTATAGAGATCATGAGCCTCTTCAAAGCGAGCACCCCCCCCCCCCTTTGATCTGCAGGGCCGAGGATGAAAATACTTAGTTATTCCATGTAACCATGTCCATATTAATTTTATCCCTATTTAATGAGTATCGATTTAAGTTGATTAGTAATTAATCATTACTTGGAACACCCAAGGATTTCCATATCTAAAATATTGTTCCAAGCTAGGGGTGGAAGTTTGGTGTAACTGTTTGGGATCCATCAAATACCACACAAAATTTATCATTATTTGGTATTATCGATTACTGAGTTAATTTTTTGGGTTTTTTATTGACATTGATTTTTAAATAGTATTGAATATTCTAGATATGAAATTGGAATTGATATATACAAAGATATCGAGCATCCCCAAAAAATTTAACATGATATAATAAACCTTCCCTTAACTCATCGAGCCTCAAAGCCCTCTCAAATAAATGAAGGACACGGTTCATCCTCAATAACCAAATGTATAATTAACTATATGATTGTAAGAAATGACTAATTATTATTGACTTGTGTGTATGCTCTATCTTAGAAGAATGAATTGCTTAGTTGTATTGATGAGTAATTATAGTTAAACTAAATTGAGATTTAGAGAATTATGAGTAATTTAATAATATTGAAGTATAAGTTCTATACATATGATTGTAATAAATGGCTAATTCTTATTAACTGATGTTTATGTTTATGCTGAAATATTTTAGAAGAATGGATTATTTAGTTGTATTGATGAATGATTAAAGTGAAACTAAATTTAGATTTAGAGAATCATGAGTTATTTAATAATAGGGAAGTATAAGTTTAGTCAATTGAACATAATACCCCAGTATTTATATACACAAAGAGGAAGTTTTCAATATCTCGGTGTTCAATTCAAACAACCTTATTATTGTTTGTAATATGACTTTATTTAATTTAGTATTTGGTATATAACTGTTTGTTTACCTTGCTGCTTTTCCGCCAAAAGATTTGTTGTGTTACACTTGCCCACCTAACCCAGTTTGTATGCTTGGGAGTATAAGCTGCTATACTAATATCATATCAAACTATTTCAGATTTAGATTGATTTAGTCGGTATTAGCATTTGAGGTACAAATAAACTTATTTCTCCTAGTCATAGCAAAGTCCATACACTGATTAATGACTAATGGCATGTAAAAAACGTGGGTTAAAAAGAAAAGAAAACTCATACGTGAGAAGGGGAAAAAACTCATTTAAGGTAAGTTCTAACGAAAGGGGAAAACTTGTCTAATCGTCAGTTAGAAGAACGTGCATTATGGGAAAAATTATTTTAAGTTAAGTGTTAGCTGGTCCTACGGTACACCCTCCCACATCCCACCATACCCATTAAGCATACTTGCACTTTATATATACAAAATTGGGCCCAAGTCACTCGGCGTTCCGCTGTGAGTTGATGATGGCTCAACAACGGAAAGAAAATCCCCCTAGTAGTTCCATGTTGTTCAATTCCTTTCACATCGAGCATTTCGAAACACGATTACGCCCTCACACTTTCCTATACGTTGGAACTCGAAACTAGGGGTCATTTGCATGAGTCATTTACGAAACGAGTCATTACAAAAATGTAGACATTTATGAGTCAATAAGGAGAAATATGACTATATTGCTGAGGAAGAGAACCGTAGATGCCCAACCATTTTGTATACGACAAAAGAGAAGATTATTTGGAGAAGAAAGTGGAGATCAGCTCTAATAGTCAAGGGTTTGGGACAGGATATCCCGTTCACCTCACTGTCCAACAACCTGGTGGTCGCTTTGGGCAAGGAGAGGAGCAATAAAAATCTCTGACATGTTGTTTTCTGGCAAGGAAAATATCTGTTGTTTGATTTCAATGAATTCACCTTTGACTTCTTGAACAACGAAAGTAACACGGTTCACAACTCTCTGAACAATGTTCGAACGAGGGTGTTTGATGATTTTGATGGCTGAGAAAACTAAGTTACTTTACTCCTACTCCTATGGAGGTTCAATGAAAACTCCAGAAACTAAAGGCTGCGACTATGGCTACATTGCAGAGAAAAAGATAGAGTTTGACATGTGTGTCGCAACCGCACCTCTTAATCGGGGGACCCGTCGCGTCTTGCTCGGAGTCACCATCGATCGCGCTTTGGGGTGGGTCGAACACCCATTTCCGGTTTTGTTACTTAGGTTAAAACCAGAAATCTGGTCGGGTCTCGACCTTGGGGTCGAAACCGGGATTTGGTCTGCGAATTTTAGAGAATATGGGTTCGGGAGTACGGTTACGTGTGGGGAAGTGTATTCACACCCCACAACGCCCAAAATTGGTACTACTTAAATTGATAAGTTTAAGGGTTGGGTGTATTGTTATTATTTGGCTCTTTTACGTATTTAATTATATAAAATTATTGATAATTATTTTGGGTGTATTTTTTAGAGTCCAATTGGAAGATATGATTAGCGTAAATTTTGAATTGTTGTAGTTACTTGATAATGTTTACGTCTATTGACGTAAAAATATTTTTTAGATTGGTTGGACTCGAACCTATTGGTTGCCTATGTACCCGACTTAGTCGGGATCAAAGTCCACGTAGTTCGATGTAATTGAGAGTTTTAAATGTCGAGTCTCACACATTAGGAACGTGGAGAAAATTTGTTAGTTGGACTCGAACCAATTGGTTGCCTACGTACCCGAGTAGGAGATCAAAGTCCACGTAGTTCGTTGAAATTGATAGATTTTGAAAAGGAGATCTTAACACGTTTCTATTGATACGTGATACTTAATTTTCTTATTTAAGAGATGTAATTTGATAATTATGATTTAAGGGGATAAAATGTATTAGTTGGGTTAAAGATGAAAGATTTTGTAAGAGGAAAACCCAACACGTTCTATTGATCGCATTTAAGGTTTAAGATTGAGATTTTCGTGGTGAAATGTGTTTTAATTTTGTAATTGTATGATTGATGATTTTGAAGGATTTCCATTTAAGAAACAATCGAGGTCTATTGGCTAGTGTCATTTCGTATTAAGGGATTTTTTCTAAATAAAACGAGTATGTGTATGAAACATAGAAGCCCAAATAGGCATATTAATTAAGATTTAATAGTATTTTAGAATATGAGGTAAACGTGACTTGATTAAAACAAAAAAAGTTGTATAAATTTTTGCTTAACAAGACATTAAATAGACGAATTAGAGAAGTGTGCAACAGAATTTCAGTGAAGTAGCCTGCCTTTTGGGGAAGGGCCCAGCCCAATAGGGACAGTGGCTGAACGCGTCAACTGTTGTCGTTTGGGATTTGGGTGGCATGGGTTCGAACCTCGTTGTGGTTACATTTTTGGCCATTATTTTAGGAACCGGGTATATATAAAGGAAAAGATTGAGAGCTAGAAACCCTAGTTCGCCGTCGCCTCTCTCCCTTCTCCCTCATTTCTCTCTCTCGTGTATCCTCTGAGAACAACAAAACAGAAAGGGAAAAGAATGGCGATCCCTTTACTGCTCTCTTCCTCTCCTCCCCTCTCTTCTTCCCCTCGATCTCCCTACTAAGAAATCGACCAAAACAAGCAAAACCTCCCATTTCCTCGATCTTTTTCTCCTCCCTCGATAAGCCTGATCGCCGACCGTAAGATGCAGCCGCGGCGGCTCCGAGAAACGGCGACGGTGAGTGAGCTCTTGCATGTTAATTTTTAGGGTTTGATTATCCGATTTTTACTTTGGTTCTTTCTTTTAGGTTTTCGATCTGGATGAGGGAAGCATGAATTCGGATCTCAAGGGAAGAGAAGGGGAACGAACGCGGCTATAACGGACGCCGATGAGTGTGAATGTGATGGTAAGATCGATGGATTCTGACCTTTAGATTTTGATTTATTTTTTTCTGTTCCTTTTTCAACAAAATGGGATTCAGACCTGGGCCTTTGGTGCTTTGTATTGGTTCATTTTTTTGTTTGGGTTTCGATCATGGTGAGGGAAAAAGGAGCAGTGGGTACAAAAGGAGGAAGAAGGCTGCCGGCGGTGAGTGATTGTAACAAGCGACAGCGCTGGCGCCAGTTAAGTAGAGTTAGTTCCCTTTCCTTTTCATTTTGGTCTGATTTGAAATCTTGTTGATTCTGTTTTGGAATAGTTCGAGTAAGAAGTAGGAAATTTAGGGATTTTACTGTATTTTGGTTCTGGAAATTTGTCGATGCTTATGTGTTTGAAACTAGAAATTTGCGTTTTGTTTGTGGTGATTTCTGGAAAAAGGTAATGTGTGTTCAGGAGGTAAGAGTTTCACCTATAAGTGGTCAAACTTCCAAACTGACTTTCCTCATGAAAAACCAAAACAGAGGACAGCACGATCACACACTAGAAGCGTGTTAAATGGGGCGTTTTGTGGTTTCAGTGTTGGTTTTCTCTGTATTTTCGAAAGGAAAAGGTTTGGGCTTAGATGTATAGGGAAAACCCTTAAGCAAGTTATTAGTTTCATTTGTTCTGTCATTATGTTGAATCTGTGTTCTGATAACTTGGTGGATTTAGATGTGAACTTGATAATGAAGTTGGGATTGTATTTTAGAAGTCAGAAACTTTCACGGCTCTGTTATGTTATTTTTTTTGGAAAAAAGTTCGGTTGGTTTTGATGGTTTCAACCGTCAAACTAATATTTCTGTTAAGGTTTCAAACTAAGGGATTAAAACAATGAAAAGTCATGAGTCGATAGGTTTACATATCAAGTGACTATAAATATTGCTATCGCTTATGCTTACTTCGTCTTTCGTTGATTTAGTGTCAAATTTGTTTTCTTTTTTGTAGTTTGTGATGGGTGAAATCTGGGTTTTGCTGTGTTTGGACATGAGTCTTCTAATGGTGGTTGAATCTGGAAATGTATGTGTTTATCATGGTAGGTTCTAATATAGAGATTTGTGTGTTTATAGTTACAAAACTCATATTAAACATAACTGCTCCGCTTTGGTGTATTTAGGGGAATTAGGAACTGATTGATGTCCCGTGATTTGGATTTGGCGAGTTTGTCGTTGATGGTTTTTGCTTGAGATTAAGCTGTGGTAAAGTGGGTTTAGATATGAATCAGGTAATTAAAGTGAATAAGAATATGATGAAGAGAAAGCTAATGTCAGAGTTCCAAACAAAATAATAAATCTGAACAAATCTTTTGGGAAGCATTGACAACTATTATTATCTTTGTTTTAAACTTGGGTTTATAGAAAGAAGTTGGTGGTTTTAGATAGATAATGATAGTGATTGGATAACCAACCTTTTCCTTTTGCTTGGGGATAACTCTGGCCTTTGATGAAGTCTCCTCGATTAGCTTTTGCTGTTCTTTCCCTTTCCATTGTAGCTGATGGACTCCTTAGTTACTACCTAATTTTTGTCTTTGTTGTTGTGTTTTTGTGTTTGGGCTGCTTTCTCTGTTTTCTTTTTTGGCAGTTTTCGTATGGATGAAGAAGAAAAGAGGAAGAAGTGGAAAAAGAAGAAAAGCCCAGTCCATCTCTGTTTTGGCAGAATTTCGTCTGTGTAAAGAAGAAAAGAGGAAGAAGGAGCTCTCCTTTCCTCTGTCTTTTTCCGTTTGGATGAAGTAGAAGAGGCGAGGTTGAGGAAGAACAAGGGAAATGGATAGGCCTCCTTCCGTTGTTTTTTCTTTCTTCTATGTGCCTCGTGTGTGCTGAAAAGCCGAAGAGGAAGGCAGCAGAAGCCTTTTAGAACAAGCAGCTTGGAGAGCAAGCTTGGGTCAGGTTGGACCGGGTTGGGTCAGGTCAGACCTAACCGGGTTGATTAAGATTGACTTTTGTTGACTGAATTGACTCTTTTACTTTGGGATTTGATTTGGGCCTAAATCTATTTTATTGTTGTATTGCGCTTGTAATTTTTATGTAATAACTACTTAACAGTCATTATGTAAATTTATTTATGTTTGATTTTATTTCAATTAAGTTGAATACGATGCTTATTTATTTTTCTTAATTTGACTTATTTTTTATTGTTCAAAATTAAGGCCCAATCATCGCAAGCTACGAAGTCTTAGCGCCAATTATATGATCATCCCACATGACGACCACAATGCTTGATTGTCTAATTGAAGCAAGTCAACACTATCAAATTGTACCATGATTTGCTATTGCTAATCGCATTATTCCAAATTATACCAAATAAGATTTGTTATTGCTAATCTCATTGAGTTATGGCAAACAAGACTCAATCAAAATACTATAAATATGTTTTACTTGGAAGGTCATTTAAGATTCGCTATTGCAAATCTTAAACAAAAAACTAAATTTTATTTAATTATATATGTTTTAGCCCGGACAAAAATTGGTGTCTACAGTTGCCCCCCTTTGTATATCTCTTGGTATTTTAGAGGTATACAAAGTTATCCTAGCATACCATTTTTGTCCGATATTTATGTTTTGGTGCGCTCACCAACTCTCTTGAAGTTTTGAAGATTGAGGTAATTGATTAGCTCCCATGTGATGTAGCCGTGATATGGGTGCTGATTAGTTTCTTTCGTAATGTAGCCGTGTCGTTGATACTGATTAGTTCCCTGGCAGTGTAGCATAGATGTGGTTACTAATTTGTTTCCCGTGCAATGTAGCCGTCTAATAGGTCCTAATTAGCTCCCTTGCAGTTAGGGGTGATAACGGTACGGTTAACGTGTTAACCGGTTACCGTTTTTCCGGTTTCGGTAATACCGGATTCCCCCAATCTTGCGCCGTTAACCGTTACCGAATTAATTCGGTATACCTCCAGCCGAACTGCAACGGTCTCGGTATGGGAAGCGGTTTCCCGAATTCCCAACATACATCATGTCATCATGTCTGTGTCATGCGTCTCTCGATCTCTGCGAAGCTGGAAAGGAATGTGGAAAGTTTAATAATTATATTAAGATACTAGGGCCACTGCCCACTGGAAACTACTAGGGCCATGTCCATTTAATAATTATATATGAGTATATGTATATGACTTGCCCACTTCTTTGTCCGTGAGTGACAGTGATTGACCTTTTCCTTTCTAACAAAAATCGATATTCATCTTACCATGGACCAATCCGTTTGCAAGGAGACCATTCATGACACAGTGCAATGTTTGTTGCTTTACAGAACACTGACAGTGAGATAGGAGCATCATCCTTTGGAAGAACAACTTTTGTTGGCTTGTCGGCTAATGAAAACAAAAATTGAAATCCAACAAGTGAATTTCGAATAGCAAATACCAAAAAATGAAAATAAAAAATAGCATTATAGTTTTATAGTAGTAAGTACTACGTAGCTATAATTCAAAAGGGAGCAGTCTCTGGCCTGCTTCTTCTAAATGTTTGAATTAAGTTCTAAAAATGACGATAAAAAATAGAATTACTAGTTCCTCACTTGCCACTAGGACCTGTACCACCAACATCAACAAAACCTTGTTGCTTCAAAGTGGTGCGAAGGGTATCATCCTCCTCATCTTGGTCCTCCTCGTCCTCGACTGAATCTTCCTGCTCTTCATCTTCCTCCTCCTCCTCCTCCTCCAGCACAACAGGTAGCGCTTGTTTGTCACCTTCACTTGGCACGACAGTAGCACTTTCCATTCGAGCTTGGAAGTTAGTAGTGACTAAGTATAATAAAAAATACAAATTGTTAGAATTCATCTTATAATATATTATTGGGAAATGAGTAAAGGAATACTTAAAATAAATTAAATTATGAATTCTTATTTCTTACCACTTTCATAATCGATTTGGTCTTGATTTTCATCTTCTTTATCATCAACTTTTTCTGCTTTCTTCCCTCCTTCAAACCTTATCCAATCTTCAGCACAAATCAAGGCCTCTACAATGATGGGGCTCAACGAAGACCTAAACGGGCTGAGCACTCGACCTCCACAACTGAAAGCGGCCTCTGAGGCAATAGAGGAGACTAGAACAGCTAGGATATCCTTAACCATCCGGGAAAAGAATAGGATATCTAACTCCGTTCTTACTCCACCACAGCAAGATGTCAAACTTCATATCATTATCATCCTCGTTAATAGCATCATTAGCATCTCTTAAGTAGATGTCTAGCTCAGAAAAACCTCGAATCCCCATCTGAAGTTTCTCCTTTCTCATCTTCTTGAATTCAGCATCAAATGTCCCTCCATAAGCTACAGATCCATCATCAACACTAGGAGTGGCCTGAACAGTAGGCTCGGAGGGTTGAGGTGCATACTTCAATCTGTAAACCTCAAACATTGCAGTCATCTCTGCAGTCACATCTTTCACCAAATCATCTCCTTTCTTCTTCCCATACATCTTACCCAACATCCAAAACAAATAAGCCATTTTACGCCTAGGATCTAGCACACAAGCCATGTAAACCAGTCTATTTATCCTTAGGTTCTCCACCTCATCATCATCATCATCATTCTCAAACCAATACTTTCGTACCTTTGCCTCCATTCTTTCTGCCATCCGCTGTATCTCTACATCTATGTCTTTCTTAAAAAGTTCTATCACTTCATAGATGTCAGCAATAGCCTTGAAGAAAGTATGAGCAGTTACATAAGATGTTCCTAATACATCAAAAAATAACAACAAATTATTCACATATTACAAGTTAATAAAAGTAAAAACCATGAATTTGAATAGGTGGAGTTCTGTTCACATACCCGATACCCGTAAGGTGAGCTCATAAAAGAACTTCAAATACTTCATTAGCCGCCGAATATTGCTCCAATCTTCCTTAGTTGGAGGACCTCTCTTTGAGTCCACATAATCCCGAAATGCAGAATCATTGGGGCTCGCATGCAAGAAGTTAAAAACAAGCTCAAACCTTTCAGCAGATTCCAACATAAAATAAGTTGAGTTCCACCTAGTTGGAACATCCAAAGATACAAGTCTTCTTCCATCCATTTGTAGATATTCAATGGCAGATTTGAACTTTGCACTTCTACCTGGTGATGACTTCACCCATTTCACACAATCTCGAACCCTTTCTACAACAACTCCAACCTCCTTCAACCCATCCGACACAACCAAATTGATTATATGTGCCACACATCGAAATTGCAAATACTTCCCACCAAGCAAATCTGTTCCCCACTCTTTCATCTTTGTTCTCATACACTCTATAAGAACATCATTAGAAGAAGCATTATCCATGGTAATTGATATTCGGCTTTAACATATTGAATTTTTGGACTTTATGTGATTATCCATGGTATGTTTTAGCTAATTGGTTCTATTTTAAGGCTCCCTAACCCAAGAATGGTTGAAAAACTATTACTACCTAGTGCCATGAGTTTGATGTATTACAGGTGAAGAAAACACGAAAAAGAAGTTGCACCGGCAAACAATGCTCTAATGCTGGGCTTAAAGCCCAGCTGGATGGCAATTAATTGAGAATTGGCCCAAGTGAATTTTGGGGCCGGACACAATTTCTGGAGGGGAATTAATTGGCCCAAGGGGGACTATTTTGGACGCAAGATTTTTGGGCCAAGGGTTTTTGCCAATTTCTGGGAGGAAACGAAATTCTCTGGTGGCAGGGGAAATTTGGGGAGAATAAAAGGCAGGAGGGATTTTTACCAAAAAAGGGGCTCGGAATTAGAGAGAGGCATAGAAGGCGGCTTGTTGGGTTGTGCGAGGCGGAATTTGATTCTTGGAGGGGAGCAGAATTTTTGGGCGGAATTCTTGGCAGAAGAAAAGAGAGAAAGCGGCGCAGCAAGGCAGGAGAAAAACAACAGGCGACCAGTCGATTTTCAATCGGCAATTGAGATTTCCAAGGCTACTTGAGCTGAGTTCAACGAGAGCGATTAGTTGGTTGGATTTTCTGAACCTAATTAGTTGTTTCTTGTTGTTTTAGAACATGATGAACAAAACCCTATCGATTTATCTCAATTTCATCATGAACTAAACCCCGATTTCTGGGGGAAACACCATAGGATGTAGCTATTTCTTGACTTGATGGATTGATTCGTATTTCTTTTCTTCCAATCTCTATTGCATGAAATTACTTAATGCTTTGTGTTGACTGGCCACCAATACAATGATTTGTAGTTAATTAGGTTATTAGCGACAGTGAAACCCTAAAAACTGAACCTATTTCATGTGACATAGTAACTTATCGAAGCGACAGTGGATTAAATAAGGTGCTATGCGGTCTTAAATAGGATATCGATCTTCAGGCTAAATAGTTAATTCATTGAGCTACGACAGTAGGATTTGAATTGATTATTTAGTACGTAGTAATTCCCGACAGGGATAGCTAGCACATTCGTGATATCCTAGCTGTAGAGATATGGATTAAATTGATTGGAATATGTGAATTAATCTGGATAGGATAGGTAGTGAATCCCGGTGTTTCTCCCAGAGCTTTCTCCATTGAATTTCTCCCGACAGTTTTCATTTAGTTAATTTGTTTATTTTATTTTGCTTTTAGAAACTAGTCTCATTAAACTATTTTCACTTATAGTTTGCTCATAAATTTGATAGAATATAAGGTTGTACCAGTCCCTGAGAGACGATACCCGGACTTTCCGGTTTACTACGAGATAGGAATTTAAGCAGTACGCTTTTGCCCTATCAAGTTTTTTGGCGCCGTTGCCGGGGACTGCCATATCTTATTTTTATTGATTTTTGTGAGTGAACTATTTTGATCTGGGTGTTAGTGTGCAGAAGAATTTTCAGGTTTATCCTCCTCGTGCATGCCTAGGAGGACGACCGGCGATTTACTGCCATTAGATCCCGATATCGAGAAGACCTACCGACAGAACAGGAAGCAGGTCAAGTTAGGGAAGCAGCCTACCACATCCACAACTCCTAGGCCTTCCCTAACTCAGATTCGTCAACATAGAGGGTAGGCTTCATCACCTGTCATCCCTACACCACCGCCGCGCGTCATCGAGCCTGTCATCATGGCTGAACAGGATCGTTCGATCAGGGCTCGTCTGAATCGGAGGACTGGAGCCCGAGCTTCATGTGTTGTCATTCCGGCTGGGGATGCAAACATGGAGATTACCCCAGCCTTCATCAATATGATCACGAATGGGTACACCTTCTCAGGGGCCAGCACCGAGGATCCTCATGAACATCTCTGCCGGTTTGCAAACATTTGTGACACTATGAAGAGCCCGGCTGTGTCTGATGATGCCATCCGTCTTCGGATGTTCTCATTTTCTCTGCTAGGGAATGCATCACACTGGTTCCAGAACTTGACACCCCGTTCCATCACAACATGGGGTCAGCTTGAGAAGGTATTTCTGGATAAATACTTCCCACCTGCCTTGGCAATGAAGAGGCAAGAAGAGATTGTTACTTTTAAGCAGGCTGATGATGAGAGTCTGACTGAGGCATGGGAGCGCTACAAGGGGCTGTTGATGAGATGCCCAAGCCATGGTCTTGAAGATTGGAACGCGATCATTATTTTCTTCAATGGAATCAGAAGGGAGTTCCGAGATGCTCTGAATAATGCTTCCCGGAATGGTTTCACAAGCATGGAGGCACCAGCAACATATGATCTGGTAGAGAAGATCTGTTCAGAAGCTAGTGAATGGGGTAGTGAGACCAGTATCCGAAGAAGAGGAGGCTTGCATGAGATAAACAGAGTTGCGAGTCTAGAAGCCAAGATAGATGCCAAGCTGGATTCTAAGTTCGATGCACTCGAACGAAGATTGGCCAAGATTGCTCTGGGTAGACAAGAGGAAGTTGCTTCATGTGAACTTTGCGAAGGTCCTCATCATAGGGATATGTGTCCACTGGGAGCTGCTCAGTTGGAAGATGTCCAATATATCCCACCTCCAGGTTTTCAGCAGCAGCAGCCTCAACCAGAGAAGAAGCCCCAGCTGGAGGAGTTGATTTTGGCTCATATACAAAAGACAGACAATAATTTCAAGGGTCTTGATCAATTTGTCACTCAACAGCTAGCCATCAACAATAATATGCAATCATCTATGCTAGCTATGGAGAGGCAGATGGGACAGATGGCTCAAACTTTGGCAGATATGCAAGCCAGGATTCCTGGGACATTACCAGCAAATACTGAGAGGAATCCGAAGGATGCCATGGTTGTAGCAGTGACATTGAGGTGTGGAAAGGCCTTGGAAGACCCTAGCAGCTCGAAAAAGGCACCAGAGGCAGAAGAGGAAGCACCGGGAGAAAGATCTTGTGCAGAAAATGAAGAATCAGCCTTGCACAGGCAAAATGAAAGCAGTTTGCCTGTGCAAAAGCATGCTGCCCGTGTACCTCAAAAAGTGGAAAAATTGAAGAATGAAGAGGTAAAGCCTTATGAACCTCCCGCACCATTCCCTCAGAGGTTAATGAAGCCCATGGAAGACCCAAACTTCAAGAAATTTGTGAATATCTTCAAGCAACTTCAGATTAACATACCATTGGCGGAGGCACTTGAACAGATGCCTACATATGCTAAATTCTTAAGGGAGTTGCTGACGCAAATGGGCTGATCTGGAGAAGGTAACCCTTACTTCTGAATGTAGTGCTGTGATTCAGAATAAATTACCAGAAAAGAGGGATGATCCGGGCAGCTTCACCATTCCATGTGTCATTGGAGGTACAGAATTCAATAAATCACTTTGTGATCTTGGAGCAGGAATTAATTTGATGCCATACTCAGTCTACAAGAAATTGGGATTGGGAGATTTTCTTAAGCCTACTCGGATCACTCTCCAATTGGCTGATCGATCAGTAAAAATTCCAAAAGGGAGTGGTGGAGAATGTATTGGTGAAGGTGGGGAAGTTTATTCTCCCTACAGATTTTGTGATTCAGGAGATGGAAGATGATCGATGAGTGCCTCTCATTCTTGGTAGACCTTTTCTAACAACTGGAGATGCACTCATCGATGTTGGGAGAGGCAAGCTGACATTCCGAGTAGGTAAGGAGGAGGAAATTTTTAATGTCTTTCAAGTTGATCATAATCACGATGCATTTGATGACTTTGAAAGTGGAGCTCGAGAAAGGAAAAATTCATCTTCCTGTGATAGTGGACCATCCGAAGAACTATCACCTATCCTATCTGCTCAGATTCTGAAGTCAAAGCAAGGGCAGAAATCCTTGCCAGGTCACCTCAAGTATAGATATTTGGGTAAGGATTTCAATCTTCATGTTATTATTCCTTCTTCACTGACATTGAAACAGGAAGAGTACTTGCTTGAGGCGCTGCAATACCACCTACGCCTCACTAAAGGGTCCAACATGCAAGCTAAGAAGGTCATACCCAACTTTCGCACACCTGGCCCTGCAGAGGTGACTCATATGCTGGATGGAGGTTATGCGTTCTATCATTGCTCGGGAGGGTATGCTGGATACCTTTCCATACTCATTGGTTGAAAGCTCCATGAACGTCAGGCTGAGGACGTTAAACAAGCGCTTCTTGGGAGGCAACCCAAGGTAAGTTTTCTTTATTTTTCTTTTTTGTTGTGTCAAACCCGTGCATGTTTAGATTAGGAGTTGAACATTAGGGACAATGTTCCATCCTGAGTGTGGGGTGGTGAGTCTTAGTGTTGTTTGTCCCTGTTGCATGTGGTAAAAAAAAATCAAAAAAAAAAAAATCAAAAAACAAAATTGTTTGTTCCTTTTGTCATGTGGTCGGTAAAAAAACAAAAAATCCAAAAAAAAAACAAAAAAATTGCCATTAGGTTGAGCACAGCGAAACTGCATGCAGTTTGCCTGTGTAAAAAGCAGTCTGCCTGTGTAAAAAGCATGCTGCCCGTGCAAAACTAATGGCTAAAAAACACCTAAAAATCAGAAAAATTTAAAACAAAACCTTGTACTCTTGTGGTAACATGATGTAAATGACTGTGATGCGTGTGAAATGAGTTTGTGCTTGAATGAAATCATCGAAAATCACCCCACTAGTGTTGAATTGCATAGTTCTTCACAATGAGCTTGAATGTTTTGACTGACTTGATATGCTTTGAATGAGCAACTCTTTTAGCAACATTCTCTTTTGTAGGATAGTGTAATGACTTTTGGTGAAGTAGTTAGGTGGAGAACATTGACCATTCGACATGTTTGGATACTGTGCTTACTTGCATCAATTGTGAGCTTTTGATTTTGCAATGAGTCTCTCTGTTTTGAATGTTTTATGATGGGGTGAACTGTATCTTTATAACATGAGAAAACACTACCTGACAAGTAAAATATAAGAAAGTTGCCATAACAATTAAAGTGTGGGTAAAAATGCCAAAATCGTGTGAGACAATCACTCATTGCACATGGGGATGAGGAAAGATTCAATTGACAATCGGTTCGCGACCGTACGATGTTGCTTATCAAGTACGATTCCCCAGTTGAGTGAAGTGCCATTTGAGGATGCAATGACCCTCCACACGGACCGAGGATAAGGAGTTAAAAGAAGCCCTTATGTGAGTGCTAAGAAGCAGAAATTGCTCTTGCTCGGTCACCGGTAGTAAGAAACAGATCCCACTTGTACTAAATACGACCACTCGGCAAGCAAAAATAGAAAGAGAGAAAACCTCTCCTTGTCATAAAAGGTAGTGATATGCTTAAAGTAAAATCATGTTTGCGAAAGGCTTCCCCCATTAGTTTTTGAGACTCATGCTTAGTTAATTGCTTATGATTGGTGTGAGTAAGCCAGACTGTCCTCACGAGATATGCACCTCACTGATGTGGTTAGATTATCCTAATAACTGTTGCACCATAAGTTGTTAACCACCCACTACCGACGATCGAAATTGAGTGTTGCTATTTGAGTTTTTGATGGATTTGAGTCAGTCAATGGTTAAGGGTTGCAAAGACCTTGAGTGTGGGGTGAAAGGTATGACCATTAAAGCACAACTTGTCCTTAGAGAAAGAAACTACTGATTACAACAAGAGTACAAGGAAAATTTTGTTTTGTTTGAGTGTTTGATTAGTGAGTCTCTGGTGTGTCATTGTTTTGGTTAGTTATGTGTTTGTGTCTTTTGAGTCGTTGCTTAGGGACAAGCAACAATTGAGTGTGGGGTTGTGATATTCGGCTTTAACATATTGAATTTTTGGACTTTATGTGATTATCCATGGTATGTTTTAGCTAATTGGTTCTATTTTAAGGCTCCCTAGCCCAAGAATGGTTGAAAAACCATTACTGCCTAGTGCCATGAGTTTGATGTATTACAGGTGAAGAAAACACGAAAAAGAAGTTGCACCGGCAAACAATGCTCTAATGCTGGGCTTAAAGCCCAGCTGGATGGCAATTAATTGAGAATTGGCCCAAGTGAATTTTGGGGCCGGACACAATTTCTGGAGGGGAATTAATTGGCCCAAGGGGGACTATTTTGGACGCAAGACTTTTGGGCCAAGGGTTTTTGCCAATTTCTGGGAGGAAACGAAATTCTCTGGTGGCAAGGGAAATTTGGGGAGAATAAAAGGCAGGAGGGATTTTTACCAAAAAAGGGGCTCGGAATTAGAGAGAGGCATAGAAGGCGGCTTGTTGGGTTGTGCGAGGCGGAATTTGATTCTTGGAGGGGAGCAGAATTTTTGGGCGGAATTCTTGGCAAAAGAAAAGAGAGAAAGCGGCGCAGCAAGGCAGGAGAAAAACAACAGGCGACCAGTCGATTTTCAATCGGCAATTGAGATTTCTAAGGCTACTTGAGCTGAGTTCAACGAGAGCGATTAGTTGGTTGGATTTTCTGAACCTAATTAGTTGTTTCTTGTTGTTTTAGAACATGATGAACAAAACCCTATCGATTTATCTCAATTTCATCATGAACTAAACCCCGATTTCCGGGGGAAACACCATAGGATGTAGCTATTTCTTGACTTGATGGATTGATTCGTATTTCATTTCTTCCAATATCTATTGCATGAAATTACTTAATGCTTTGTGTTGACTGACCACCAATACAATGATTTGTAGTTAATTAGGTTATTAGCGACAGTGAAACCCTAAAAACTGAACCTATTTCATGTGACATAGTAACTTATCGAAGCGACAGTGGATTAAATAAGGTGCTATGCGGTCTTAAATAGGATATCGATCTTCAGGCTAAATAGTTAATTCATTGAGCTACGACAGTAGGATTTGAATTGATTATTTAGTACGTAGTAATTCCCGACAGGGATAGCTAGCACATTCGTGATATCCTGGCTGTAGAGATATGGATTAAATTGATTGGAATATGTGAATTAATCTGGATAGGATAGGTAGTGAATCCCGGTGTTTCTCCCAGAGCTTTCTCCATTGAATTTCTCCCGACAGTTTTCATTTAGTTAATTTGTTTATTTTATTTTGCTTTTAGAAACTAGTCTCATTAAACTATTTTCACTTATAGTTTGCTCATAAATTTGATAGAATATAAGGTTGTACCAGTCCCTGAGAGACGATACCCGGACTTTCCGGTTTACTACGAGATAGGAATTTAAGCAGTACGCTTTTGCCCTATCAGTAATGGAGAACAAATGTTGTGCTTTCCAATCTTGCAGACATTCTGCCAATTTTTCTGCAATATCCTTCCCACTATGACTAGTGATGGGAACAAAGCTAATGATCCTCTTCTGCAGCTTCCAGTCACTTCCAATGAAATGAGCAGTTACACACATGAAGTTCTGGTTGTTATCAGAAGTCCATGTATCTATGGTGATAGAAATTCTTCCTTTGCACTTGGATTTGAAGAACTCAGATAGCAACTCTTTTTTCTCCAAAAAGATTATATAACAATCCTGCCTTATTGTCTGTCTTCCAGGTATCACAAACAATGATTGGGTTTCCGCCATAAATCTCTTAAACCCTTCATGCTCAACAAAGCGAAATGGCAGCTCATCCAAGGTGATCATTACAGCTAATGCAGTTCTAGCTTTTTGTTGATCAAACTTCCATGGAGTAAGAGAGCCTACCTCACCATCCCCAGGCTGATAATTCAATAGTGATTGACCACTGGCTGCCTTCCTTTTTCTCTCGCATGCCAAGTGATGGTTCTTCATACCAGTAGTCCCGTTATTGATCGAGTGAGCTTTTATCAAAGTTCCACACTGTTTGCATTTACCATATGGGTAGTCATCCACCAGAGCATCCTCATAATGATCCCACCACGGGGATCTCTTCTTCCTTCCCGGTCCCTTCACATTTTTCTTTGGCTCAACCACTCCATCCGCTGGCGTAGCAACTGCAGGAGTTGCAGTAGCAGTAGGAGGTGCATATTCAATGCCTGTGGTAGGTGTAGGTGTACTAGATGCGACATTCCCTTGAATCCCTTCTGCAACTCCAACACGGGTATCCAATTTTTTGGAAGTAGTTCGAGGAGGAACTGAACCACTTTTTTTCGGACCATCTCCTTTACGAGGACGAGAAGGTTTTGTCCTATAACAAAAAGTAAAATATCATAAAAAGTAAAAATCATTAAAATGTCATTGCAAACATGTCAAATAACAAAAACCACCCAACCATAAACCATTAAACCACTATCTTACATTTTTCACTTTGTTTCTCAAGTAACAAAAAACCAAAAACCGCCCCTCGACCAGTTGACCTTGTGGCTGTGATCGGCTGTACCACCCCTTGTTTAGTTGTTTTTCACTTTATTATATATTGCGATTTGCTTCTGCCTTCTGCCAAAAATGAACAATAAATCAATAATACAAAATTACAAATTACAAAACAAACTAATTCTTAATATATTACTTCTACCACCAAAACCGAGAATCCCATGCTTCTCTTTCTCTCTTCTCTGCTCGGCAACAATCTATAAGAGAGTGACAGTCCAGACTACGAGTCTACGACAATCGACAGATGACAAATCAATGAATGGACCATGGTAATGGCGAAAATCAATGGACCATGGTAACAACCTACGTACTCGGCTACGCGGCTACGCCAGTTACCTTTCAAATTGACGGAGAGTCGGAGAGGGCGAGCTGCTGGGCTGTGCAATCGACGAGGTTCGACGCAAACAAGGACAACGGCGAAGGGCGAGCTGCTAGGTCGTATCTCTTGGCTGGAGCTTGCGCCAGCGACGAGGAGGACGAAGAAACTACCGCCTACCGGTTTTGATCGACGACGACGGGATTCGATGGAAATAGGGCAACGACGGAAGGGCTTGCCGGAAACAAAGGCTGGCGGTGAGGATGACAGCTGTTGGACTATGTCGTATCTGTCGCTTGGATGGAGCTTGACAGCTTGTTGCCGGCGACGGAGACGACGAAGCTACTGTCGGATTGGATGAACGGAAGAGTGATCGGCAGACGGCAATCGACCAATCGTGCAGCAGCCAGCAGGAGAAGGGTAGGGCAGCAGGGGAAATAAAGCGCGATGCAAATTCTTATGTGTTTTGCTCACCGATCCTAGGGCTTCTGTTTGGAGACTTTGGACTTTTGATGAGTTGCCAACGTTTGGGTTTGGCGAATGGCGAGCGATTTCTTAGTCCAAATCGGTATCGGAATACCGTTCAGCCGACGGTAATTTACCGGTCCGAGCTCGGTACACCGATCCCCCAAATAATCCATCCGACTACCGTTTGATTCGGTTAACGGGTTAACCGAAAACCACCGGTTACCGGTACGGTTATCGGTTAACACGTTAACCGAATTACCGGTTAGCAGCCCTACTTGCAGTGTAGCCGGCTTGTAAGAGCTAATTGGTTTCCTAGCAGTGTAGTCGTGTCATGGGTACTGATTAGCTCCCTGCCTCCCTGGTAGTGTAGCCTAGATGTGGGTACTAATTTGTTCCCCTCGCAGTGTAGCCGTGTAAGAGTTATTGATTATAATGGTAATGAATGATGTATTCAAGTTGTTTGGGATAAAACGAGCTAAACAAGTTGAAAGGTGGTATAAAAGAGCATTCAAGTTGTTCGGAGTAGAACATGCTAAACAAATTGAATTATGATGCAATCAAATTGTTCGGGGTATAACATGTTGAACATATATTGAGGGCATAGCTAACGGGGTTGTCCGGAATATAACAAGCTAGACATTTTCTGGCAATGCAATCAAGCTGTTCGGGATAATGACGGATTGAACATTTATTGAAGCCAAAGTTATGAGGTTGTCCGGGATATATTCCTATTTAGATGGTAGACTAATGCTTCAGGGAACACATTTTTCCAACTTGCTGTTGCTACCATCCGATCAAGCCAAGCCGTTCTTCCGAAAAACCCTCATCCACTCTCCTGTTATCCCGAGTAAATGTGAGACCCGTAAGCCTCCACCTCCCTGCTGGTCTCGACTAGGGCTGAAAATTGGCCCGACCCGCCCCTGACCCTGTCTGACCCGCCCCTGAAGGGTCGAGATGTATAACTGACCCGCCCCGACCCTGTTTCTTTCATGACTCTGTCTGACCCTTTGGGTCGGGGCGGGTCAGGAAGGGTCGGGTCAGTGAGTCGACCCTAATAAATAGACTACTTTTCTAAAAATTACAATTTGATACCTGAATTTATTTTTCTTACATTTTAGTACCTAAATTTTATTTTTTTACAAATAAGTCCCTAAAATTTGATGGTAAAATTACGTTTTGGTACCCAAAATTTTTAATTTTTACAATTTTGTACCTAAACTTATAAAATTTTACAAATAGGTCCAACATGTTTGTATGATGCTAAGGGTCATAGGGTCAAAAAGTGACCCGACCCTAAATTGACCCTATAGACAAACTGACCCAGCCCGACCCTAAGGGTTGGAGCGGGTCGGGGCGGGTCAGTGGATTTTAAGGGTCAAACTTACACCCCTAGTCTCGACCCCTGTACGTCCACATCTATGTAGTGAAGCGATTTATTGATAACCTTTAATTACCTTGACATAATCAACAGTCCTGCACATCTTACGGACCCTACTCTCCAATTTATTTCAAAGGGAGAAGAGAGGAGTTTATCTCAAGTCAAGTGGTATATATGCTAGAGACAATGTATCTTGAGATGGCGGGTAGAGCCCTATTTATAGTTTTTGGGAAGCTCTTTTGGATGAGAGAACCCCAGTTGCTTGGAAACCAAGCAACGTTGTTTCCCCAAAAGAAAGAGAGGATAAAATATAAAAAAAGTAGGAAAGTTGGAAAAAAGGAGAAAATTGTCACTTTTAATGCTGTTCGAAAATGATACTTCATAGTGTCGTTTTGTTAATTTGATTCAACGGAAAATTTGCCACTTCTTCTTTAAGAAGATGTTGTTCTCATGATTGCTATTCAACAAATACATTTGAAAATTAAATACCATGTCATAAATTTATTTCTAACCGATATTTCACTTAGCTCGAATATTAGCTATGTCAGATTGACCATGTTGGTTGTCTGGTACTTATGTAGTTATCCCGTTTTGATATATAGAAGCGAATATATTGAAGTTTAAATATGATATTATAAAATTTATTTCTTAACAAGATTCCACTTTGCTCTAATTGAGGCAGATAATGTTTTTTTTAAAGTATTTTCACTGGCCATGTTTTGACAAAAATGTGCCATTTTAACAAACTAGCTTATAACCCGGTCCGTTGGCCGGAATGTTCATATTTGATTATTTTTATTTTTTATGTTACATTTAAGTCTATCAACCCGTTTAATTTTATTGACAATTCTTCGATCTAGATGATATATAGAGAAAGAATATATAGGTCGAACTTTTGGAGAAATAAGAATATAAAATATAAAAATGATTGATCTCATTTTTATAATGATAATTAAGCCCCAATTAAAATGCTATTGGTTAGTTGATTGTTAAGAAAGGTAGAGTACAAAAGCTCATTGGAATTCCCACACGCCATAGATAGTTTGAAACACAATTTTAAACCTCACAATCCTACATAAAGGGTTCAATGCACTCCTTAGGAACAATATGCCACTAATCAAAAAGAAATGGAGAGTTGTTGATTCAAGTCAACTATATATATACTAACAACTCAATTAAGAGGGGACCAATAAAACTTGAGAGCAAACGACAAAATTAGGGTTACCTCCAATATGCTAATAAACTCGATCGAAGTAATAAGACACAAAATTAGACACTCCGTATCTATCAGTTCCAATAGGTTGAATAAAGAATCGACCTAGCTGCAAAAATCATAAACCTAAAGGTCCAATAGTCACCACTCTCTGCTGTAGAACCAAATTTTTATCTCAACAGACATATGTTTCAATAAAAAATTCAATCTCTAATCCTCCTTCTACAACTCCATTTATTGAACTCCATTCTATTTGTCATGGATTGATATCGGAGTTGAAATCTTCTACTTGCCTAGCTTAAATCCCGAATAATAAAATCGTAGTGCTAAGAGATACCAAAAGATTGATTTCAAAGGCGGCCTTGTATTAAAAAGTGAAAGGGGCGTAAACTATTGCACGATAGATGGAATTTCGGAGGAAGTTAAAAGAGATAAGAACAAAGATAAAAAAGCACTAAATTTAAATTTAAATTGAAAATTTCAAGGATACAACACGCAGTAACATAATTAGTTTCTTCTATGGTAGCCAATTATCAATCTACCTTTAGCAAAAAAATTAAGGCGAGAGCAAAAAATTTAAAATTGAGAAAATTACATGAAACTCTAGCTACTATGAAAGCTGAAGTATCAAGCACCATAAAAATATATACGGTAGACTTAGTGGGCTTGGTAATCATGATGGAAAATTCATCCAATTTTCAGAGTCTAACTTTGTGTATGCTTTGTACTAAAAAAGATACAACAAATTTGTTTAGTGTAATTGGTTGTGATTGTTGTCTTTGTTTTAAGAGACCCGGGTTCGAATCCTCATATTGGTATTTTTATTGAGATAAATATTTAATTGTAAAGACAAAAATGTCCTTCCTACTTTCACTCTCGTTGCAGGAAATTTGAAATGGAGAAAAGTTCACAAAACTCTACCATATATTATTGGAGGACATTTATTGGATGCATGGTATCGTCGAGAGGTAGAAGTTGTGAGTTTGGGATTGGATACTTTTTAGCAACTAGCAAGGTGGCTTGTGAGTGCAGATCTTAAGCAATCTGTCATAGATTGTTGAGATCCAGAACGATAAATGTGAGATCTGTCACGTCTTGCTGAAGTATCAAGTGATCAATAAGCAAATCGCTTTAATATGAAATCTATCCAAAAAGATGTATAGTTTGAAAATTTCTTTGAAAATTATTTTATTTTGAGAAGTTTTCATAATAACATGTGTATTTGGGTGTTCCTTCATCTGGTCAGGTACTCAAGAAAATAAGAAGTTCCATTTGGTGTCTTGGGAACACTGTAAGTAAGAGACCCAAGAAGATGGGTGTCCTTGGCATCCAGGATATGCGTAGACATAATTTTGCTTTATTATCAAAATGGTGGTGGAAGTTTGCAAATGATGTTAGTTGGTGGACGAGATTGATGAATGTAAATATCCAAATGATGATTCGAAGTGGATGTCGGGTAAACCTTTTACTTCGGCTGGCTTTAGCCCATGGTCGCAGAATTATCAAATGAAGGATATCTTTCGGAAGCACGCAATTATCAAACCTGGAAGCTTAGGGGAAGGTATTTCCTTCTGGAATGACCGGTGGATTAAAGAAGTTACCCTTGTTGCCGAGTTCCCTAGAGTAGTTGCCGCGGCCGCTGAGAATCCACAAGCTACACTACCTGATATCCTTTTAAGAGAGAATGAGAGTTTTTTTTGGCATATTCCTTTAAAATTTACTTTGAGGGTGTGAACTGAGAGGGAAAGGGAGAGGTATTGTACATTCATCACAAATAATTTTCCATTGTTGACAACATGACAAGACAAGATAGAGTGGCTACTAAGCTTATCGAGTGGTTTCACTGTCAAATTAATCTTTGTACCAGCAGCTCATAATGAAGAACTTGCAGATGATTCCACAGTTGGTGCGTCGGCTGACTTCCCCTATAGAATCATATGACAGATCGAGTCACATCCCATCCAAAATTTGTTTATTTGTATGGTTGGCTTATCACAGGAGAGTTCTCACACAAGATGCACTAAAAAGAAAAGGGCTGGACCTTTCCCAACATGTGTCCACTTTGAAATAATAGCGAGGAAGACCCGAACCACTTGTTCCTGATGTGCAAATTCACAATGCAAGTTTGGAGAATCATTAGAAAATTTGTTTATTTCAACATCAGGTATACAAATATGGAGTTAACACAAGTGATAAAGAGGTGGACAGCGGTGCACCCGCAAGGACCTAAGGATTGGTATACGACATCATCGTAGCACGCATTGTTGTGGTGTGTTTGGAAGGAAAGGAATTGCAGGATCTTCGATGACAGGTGTACAACCCCACAAATCGTATCATACAGGATAGGTAAGGTCATTGCATCATGGCTTACCGTGGCGGGGAAGATCGATAGGCAGGTTGTAGACGATTGGATGCAGAGATTAAATGAGAGTTTTTTTAGAAGGATGCCTGTGCAATAGTTCTAAAGATGACATCCCTTAGTTCAGTAGGAAGGAATACTTTGTCCTACTGCTGCTGCCTCACTTGCATCCTCAATTTGAGAAGTCAGGAGGACCTATTGCCTTGGGTTGTAGAATTAGATTGGCATTGGCCAGTATTCAGACCTTTTTCTGAAATTTTCCACTTCTGTACCTTTTCCTTCTGTTTTTTTTGGTGACTTTAATAATGATGAATTTCACCCTTATAAAAAAAATTAATATATTTGTATGGCCTCAACTTTTCACATAATAAAAATCCCGGCAAATCTCGATCTATAATATCATGGCCTGAACTATACACCAAAGTAACAAAATTGGCCAAACCCAAAAATTGACCATTATCTTGGACGGTCAAACGCGCCATGTCACTGGCAAGTTAGCACCTTTCACTTAATTTTTTTTAATATTTTCTACCTATTACTATTAATTTTTTCATTTTGAATCCAAAAAAAATTGAAAAACGAATTTCTGGACCCAAAATTCATTTTTCAATTTTTCTTGGATTCAAAATGAAAAATATAAATAATAATAGGTGGAAAATATAAAAAAATTTAAGTGAAAGGTGCTAACTTGGCAGTGATGTGGCACGTTGACCGTTAGTCAATGCATTTGACCATCCAAGATAACGGTCAATTTTCTGGTTTGGCTAATTTCGTTACTTTGGTGTATAGTTCAGGCTGTTAGCTTCTCGATCTTGCTCAATGGAAGTCCTACGGAGAAGTTTTACCCCTCTCGAGGCATTCGACAAGGAGATCCGATTTCGCCCTTCCTGTTCATTCTCATGTCGAATGCTTTGTCTTTCTTGATCGACAAGGCTGTTGAGAAAGGGGAAATTCAGGGAATCAAGCTTAATCCGAATTGCCCTCGGATCTCCCATTGCTTATTTGCAGATGATACAGTTATCTTTGGGAAAGTGACTCACTTCTACTGTCACTCCAGGAATTGGCCAAGTGAAACCACTTCCTAAAGCGTAGTATAGCGGGTTTGGGTTTAAATGTCAACCCGGGTCCTAGATTTGATGACTACTCGGTGAATTCTTGTTATCTAGCAATGAAACTTTAATGCAAGTCTAAACTAACAAACTAACAAAGCAAGTAAATTGTTGTATTCAGGTTAAGAGAGGTCACCCGGATATGGTTCCCCCTAGACTGCAGTTAAGCCGGATTGTAATTACCAAGTTCAGTTTCTATGATAGTTATACTGCGGAAGGTTCTTAAACAGCCTGAAGTCTCGACTAAAGGTCTTCAGACCCTCTCAATCTGAGTCTCTAGCGGGCGACTAACCTCCACCGGAGTAAACAGATTGAGGCCTTAACAAACAAAACCTCCACTACCAGAGTAAATCCGGTACAGAGTAGTGAGTTGGCTCCTCGACTAAAGTCACCAACTCCCTACCTTCAATCAAGGATGCTCTATCAACCTAGGCAGATATTCTCATTCTAAGTTAAAGTAGAAACAACAGGAATTTGATCAGGATTCATGCCATTCAATCAATCAAACCTCAATTGAATATAATCAAATCATAGAATCAGTACTTGGGTTCATACAATCAAACCTAACATACAAATCTAGGGTTCTCCATACCCAGATGAATGGGAGAACTACTCCATGGAGAAAGAAGCAAAAGCAGAAT